CGATATTGGACACGGGTGGGCAATTTTTTTTCCTTACGAACTAGACAATGGAATGAAGTTGTACTGGGGGTCAAAGTTCTACATCTTATCATCCACTGTTGAACATAGGCCTTTTCCATAGACTTCCATAAGGAACGGTACCATTGCTTATGACGGTTTACCATTGGTGAAATTTTATCAGTAGTTACCTCACTTGGCAGGTGGATCGGCAACTTTCCCTTATGGGGAAGGCTTATGTCCAGCAGTGGAGTTAACAGTTAAAATAATATAACATAACAGATATCTTAAACCGCGGGATATCGTTAAAGTAACACATAGTATCTATGAAATGATGGTATAAGGCAGGGGGAAGCATAAAAGATCCCGATGGGTCGACATGCAACGGCTTTCGTCCATTGCTTACTCCATATGCGAAAATATGATAATATGTATGCTATTATTTTGTTTTTTTATTTATTCTTTATTGCACAATAAAACTTTGTACAAGTGGCGAGCTTAATGCCATATGGCATTCTCTACCAGCTGACACCATTAGGTAAAAACAGAAAGCGTATGAAGGGCAGATGTGGTGAAAAATATGTATTTCTACCGTGAAGCAGTTGTGTTTGTATGGCTGTGTTTCGGTTTGAAGGGTGGGATGTGGCAGTGAATTTACAGGGTACAGAGGAATAACACCTGAGTCGTCAGGAATGGCAACGCATGGGGCTATCATGGGCGAAACAGTATACTCTGTTTAGTCCATGGTACTGCTCATGTGTATAGGCGACGGTTACCACTTTCCATCAGGTGGGCCGTCAGCTTGTTTGCCATTCTAAGTTGTATAAAAAAAAAACAAAATGACTATCACATAGTCATTTTGTCCATTCATATTTTAATCTATTATAAATGTAATTTTTATTTGAAATAAAGCAACAGCTGTGTTTCTTGCCCGTTCTTCTCAGCTGAAATTGCATTCCGAACTGGGCAGTAGAGTTATAAAAAAATGGCGATACATAAATGCTTATTATTAAGTTTATTTGAATAAAAATTACAATTACTATAAAAAAAAAATTACTGACGCCAAAAAGTTTGTATGTATATCAATTTAGGTACTAATTATATTAATCAATATATACATATAATAAAATCGTAACTGGTCGCTGTCTGTACACGGAAGATATATAAGGAAAATTATTAATAGCGGGCTCTATGAACGTAGTAGAATCCAATGATTTTTAGAACTGGTCTGTTTGTCTGTACGTTTGTGCGCGGTAATCTTAGAAACGGCTTAATCGATTTGAATGCGATTTCACTGATGCCGTTTGCTCTGCTTAACATTTAGTGTTTGTTTCATTTCAATCGATTCATAAATAAAAAAGTTATATCAATCTAAAGAATCACATATAAAATGCTATAAAATAACCGATCAATTGAATTGGCAGATTTTTTTTTTGTATTATATGTATTGATTTTCGAATATTCTGTGCCAAGCCGGGTCGAATCGCTCGTATTTATTATTAGTGGAAATAAAAACAAATGTTTATTTTATAGTTTTTTATTTAAAACCAACCTTTAACAAATTAAAAATTAGACTCTGCCACCATTACAACATTGGGATATAAAATAAAAATAATAAATACAATATTTTGATAAATAAAAACATTATTAATAAATCACAATTTTCGTGTCCATTTTTATTATTATAAAATCTTAATTGAGGTAAAAATATTTATTTAAATAATAACAAATTTATTTAAGTCTCTTTACAGTACAATTACATTAGCGTTTACATCAAATAGTTTGTATTGGAAACTCAGCAACGCCTCTAGTGGACGATTTCAGAAACTCAGATTTCCATAGTAACTTATCCGTAGATATCATAAACGTAAACGCAATCGTATCGAATGCACTAGCATAATTGACATTAACATTTAGTGTTTGTTTCATTTCAATCGATTCATAAATAAAAAAGTTATATCAATCTAAAGAATCACATATAAAATGCTATAAAATAACCGATCAATTGAATTGGCAGATTTTTTTTTTGTATTATATGTATTGATTTTCGAATATTCTGTGCCAAGCCGGGTCGAATCGCTCGTATTTATTATTAGTGGAAATAAAAACAAATGTTTATTTTATAGTTTTTTATTTAAAACCAACCTTTAACAAATTAAAAATTAGACTCTGCCACCATTACAACATTGGGATATAAAATAAAAATAATAAATACAATATTTTGATAAATAAAAACATTATTAATAAATCACAATTTTCGTGTCCATTTTTATTATTATAAAATCTTAATTGAGGTAAAAATATTTATTTAAATAATAACAAATTTATTTAAGTCTCTTTACAGTACAATTACATTAGCGTTTACATCAAATAGTTTGTATTGGAAACTCAGCAACGCCTCTAGTGGACGATTTCAGAAACTCAGATTTCCATAGTAACTTATCCGTAGATATCATAAACGTAAACGCAATCGTATCGAATGCACTAGCATAATTGACATTAACATTTAGTGTTTGTTTCATTTCAATCGATTCATAAATAAAAAAGTTATATCAATCTAAAGAATCACATATAAAATGCTATAAAATAACCGATCAATTGAATTGGCAGATTTTTTTTTTTGTATTATATGTATTGATTTTCGAATATTCTGTGCCAAGCCGGGTCGAATCGCTCGTATTTATTATTAGTGGAAATAAAAACAAATGTTTATTTTATAGTTTTTTATTTAAAACCAACCTTTAACAAATTAAAAATTAGACTCTGCCACCATTACAACATTGGGATATAAAATAAAAATAATAAATACAATATTTTGATAAATAAAAACATTATTAATAAATCACAATTTTCGTGTCCATTTTTATTATTATAAAATCTTAATTGAGGTAAAAATATTTATTTAAATAATAACAAATTTATTTAAGTCTCTTTACAGTACAATTACATTAGCGTTTACATCAAATAGTTTGTATTGGAAACTCAGCAACGCCTCTAGTGGACGATTTCAGAAACTCAGATTTCCATAGTAACTTATCCGTAGATATCATAAACGTAAACGCAATCGTATCGAATGCACTAGCATAATTGACACTGGTATGTATGATACCATATATAGTTTGTCCAATAATGGACAATAGTCCAACTGGACTTACAAAATTATTACATTACATTTAAAAAATATATACAATTTTCTCGTTTGCAAACCTCAATCGATGGCCGATAGAAAGAGTTGACAACAAACCCATAGCGGTTTCAAAATGTTTCATAAATGTGCGGAGTCCTGGCCCTGTCAATGTACACTATTTTATAAAAAAAAAAGGTATTTTTAAACATATTCGAATTTTAAATGTCTTTTCTTATTTTTTTTTTTTTGTTTTTTGGCACAAAACTAACATTCACATGATATATTCAATCTCATTTTTCAACTGTCATGACAAACCACTAGCTGTAACAAATGTAAGTAAAACATTTTTGTACCAATAAAGTATTTTCAACGAATTTTATTCTATTTTTCTGTTAATCGTTATAGTTCCCCCCAATTTTTGGAATACTATACAATGATTGGGCCCAGTATAAATTATATCCTTTGATGGGAGAAATCCAAATCGACAAATTGCCATATTTAAAATAAAAATAAAAAAATTAAAATTGAGAGGAACGAAAGCAGGGATTGTTAGTTGTGGCGATATGTAACCCCATTGCTAGCAATATACCCTATCATGTCAACCTTCAAGCGGTTTGTACTGGAAACCATTGTGGTTAATTCTCGTCAAGTTCGCCACGATGGGCCAACTGACCTGCTTTCATTTACTTCATCATCCCTTACTGCCCCTGCTAGCGTATAACCTATAGCGCAGACAACCGATCCACTTTCATTAAAAAAAATATTGGCCTCAATTCTGTGTTCACATTGCAACATCCATTTGGTTTTGCTTGGTTTTCCAGTACAGCTGGCAACATCGAATCACTTGTCAAAGATTTTTTTTTTTAATTTTTAAATATTAAGTTGCATAATTAATAATAAAAGCAATAATCTTGTCTGTATCTATTATAAATTGTATTATTTTGATTTCCATTTATAATTACATATTGATAAAAATTTTAGCATCTTGATAAGGTTTTAAAATAGGCATTCGTGTAATCTCTAAATAGTGTAAAAAATTCAGTTTTTTTTCTGATTTTCACACCGTATCTTCTAATCTAATATTATTATTTATTTCCTTGTTTCCATGTACTTACTTACCAATTATATATGTATATATATATATATATATATATATATATATATATATATATATATATATATATATATATATATATATAAAAGGAAAATATATAAATTATATATTCCAAAAAGCCTGACTGCGGTTGCCAATCCGCCTGCTTAGCTTGACAACTACTGGCAACCCCCTTCCCCCTCAAGGTTTATATTCAGCAGTGGACAGTTTTTTTTTTTTATACAACTTAGAATGGCAAACAGGCTGACGGCCCACCTGATGGAAAGTGGTAACCGTCGCCTATAGACGTGAGCAGTGCCGTGGACATAACAGAGTATACTGTTTCGCCCATGATACCCCCCATGCGTTGCCATTGCTGAGGACTCAGGTGTTATTCCTCTGTACCCAGTAAATTCACGCCATAACCCACCCTTCAAACCGAAACACAGCCATGCGAACACAACTGCTTCACGGTTGAAACACGAATGGGACAGAGGTACCCAAGCAATCGACTTTTGTACAAAGTCTTCCTCTGGTTAAAGGCTGATATGAAACTACCAAGACGAAGAAAAACATCCGCAACAGTGTAAAGCCATGTTTCGGATCTATAAGTTATTACTGGCAACACGCATTGATTACAGACAGCGATTGCATGTTACAAAAATGTGCTCTTTCATTTAATGGGAGGGTCTTATCCATCTATATACGGGGAGGATCCTATCCCATGAATTTGCCACGAGCCCCAGACCACAGCTACGCCACTAGATGTATTTTATTAACAAAAAAAAAAAAACATACGAAAACTGGACGACTCGCTTGTTTATAATGAAAAATAAAGTTTAACATAATATGGCATTGTTGTTTTTTTTTTATCTGTCGATTTCATATTTTATTGAGTTAGTGACAAGTTTATAACGACCTTTGCTCTGTGGTAATTCGATAATAACGTTCTTGTATCTTGGACAAAATTCATCTACTGATAACGCTTATCAGGACGCCTCCCCGCTGCTTCATTTCCCCTATAATGTATTATATATGTGTACATAAAATATGTAATTATTGTATATATTATACCACTGAGTTGGCAAACAAGCATACGGCCCACCTGATGGAGAGTAGTTACCACAGCCTGCAATACCATGGCGCATTGCGCGCACGTTGCCGACCCTGAAGGAACCTCTTTATCCCCTTTTTTGAAGAACTTTTACATATAATAATATTAACAGGATTATTTTGTTAATACTTCAATTGAAAATTGTTCGTTTTTGCAAAATGACAGATAATTCGAATGTTGCCACATTCAACTCTCTTATTCATAAAAACGTTTAACCTTTCACAAACCTATTTTAGCAAGTGAACTGCTTTTGTCTCTTTTTTTTTTAATCAAATTACCATACTGAGAGAAAGTGACAAAAGAGTGTAATATTTAAAATTGATTTGTAGTCGATTTTAGTTTTTATGAATAGGGGCGTTGGGTTTTATTTACAAACATTACATACGGTAGAATCTCGATTATCCGGATATCGTTTATCCGAATATTCGATTATCCGGACAGGACAGAACTAATCGGATCCCATACAGTTGTTACAACAGAAGCGCATCAGGGACTCGACTGCAATGAGGAAATGTAATTCGATACGTCAAAGAATTATTACTACGTAATTATATTTAACCAAAATTTTAAACTACATAGCTGTAATACCTATAATCCATTGTCATTATAGATCGTAATTTTTTTTTAATATCATATTGTCTAAATGGCGTACGTAAAACCTGTTATATGGGGGGAAAGGGATTGTTAGCAATGGAGACTGAGAATCCCATTGCTAGCAATATACCCAACCAGGTCGATCTTCTCGCGGTTCTCCCCGGAAACTATCATGGTTAATTCCTGATGAATTCATCATGATGGGCTAACTGGCCTGTTTTCATTCTCATCGATCATCCTTCACTGGTGCTCCGCCAGCGTATACCGTTAGCGCAGGCGGGGTTACCATACCATTTATACCCATAAAAAAACCTGTTATATATATATATATATATATATATATATATTAAAATTTAATTATTGTTCGATTTGACTTTAAAATCGATTATACGGATTTTCGATTATACGGAATACCACTGATTTTATTTGATCCGGATAATCGAGATTATACTGTATAATAATGTATTTTGAAGGTCAAATTTATTGGCTTTTCAATATACAGTTAACATAACAATTTATGTTATCTATATTTTTTTTTTCTATAAGTACCCGCATATAGTACAAATAAAATAAGAATGGAACTCACATGTTACAATGTTCATAACTTTTGTTATGTGGCAACATCGCAACTATTTATTTATTTAAATAACTTTATTGAACAAAATAAAATATGGCATAAAGGCGGACTTAATGCTAGTAGCATTCTCTACCAGTCAGAAACAGCTATGCAAACACAACTTGTTCATGGTAGAAACACGAATGGGACAGAGGTGGCCAAGCAAGACTTTTTTTTTATACAACTTAGAATGGCAAACAGGCTGACGGCCCACCTGATGGAAAGTGGTAACCGTCGCCTGTAGACACGAGCAGTACCACGGACATAACAGAGTATACTGTTTCGCCCATGATACATCCCCCATGCCTTGCCATTCCTGAGGACTCAGGTGTTATTCCTCTGTACCCAGTAAATTCACCCCATATCTCACCCTTCAAACCGAAACACAGCAATACAAACACAACTGCTTCACGGTTGAAACACGAATGGGACAGAGGTGTCCAAGCAAACGATTTTTGTACAGTCTCTCTCTCGTAAATGTAGTTGAAAAACAAAGCAAAATATGAAGTAGGTGCAATTTTTTTTTTGGTAGATTCAAATGCAATATATTTTACAATAAATATTTTAATATGCAAGCAAAATATTTTTTTATAATCAATCAAAAACATTGAAAATTGTTGAATTGCTTTTGAAAATTGACAGATAATTGCGATGTTGCCAGGGATGAATAATATATAGTAGTACCTATATACTTTAGTTATACAATATCTATATATTGGTACAATAACGAATATGTTAAAAGTCTGTTATCCACAAAAATAATATTGGATAACAGACTTAAAAAATAGATATCCGACCGATATGGGCGATATCGGAATGGGCGATGACCTCTTTTCTATCATAAATAGATCCATAGGAACCCAATATATAGATATCGGATCGGTATCAACATTACCCATGTCTAGATGTTGCCACACTTCGGTGAACCAAATTTATGAACGCTATTAAAGGCAAAGATGGAACAGCTATATCTTGTATATAGCAACATATCCATGCTTGGCTCAACCCACTTGATCGTTTACGGACGTCTTATGACGATTCATGAATTCATTTGGACATTCAATGTGGACGTAAATAAAAGCGACTCTTTTTTTTTATTTATACAAACTATTATACACATATAAGTATGAATGTGCCGCCCTCTAGTGATAAGAGTTTCTAGGCCGCTTACATTGTACCCCGTTTTCTTTTTATTAATATATCACGTATAAAAACAGCATATTTTTAAAAATAACCATTTAAATTGTCACTGTGTATACTTCAATAAAATATTAATCACACAATTATCGCATTTCCGGCAAAATTTATTTTAGTATGTGGCAATACCAAATCTGAGGACTGAGTATTGCCATCATGTCAAGTATTACCACTTCACAATTAAATTTATCCCATCGTAAGTTCTATTCTTATTACTATTTCAACAATTGTAGACTAATCCGTAATATACGTTTTAATAGCTATATACAAAAAAAAAAAGTTATCACAGTTTGGCGTCCCTGTCGACACCTTCTAAACCATAGACTAAAAACTGACTCACGTACGGCGCGACGCGTTTCGGCTCATTGAAATGAGTGTCATGCCCGCCCTCTACTGTCCGTGCCCGGTAATTTTTCTCCGGGAAACTGCCCTCGTCGAATATAAACTCGCTGTACTCATAACCTTTGTGCTCGACTGAACCTTTGCAAAGCACAGCCAGGATTGGAATGCTTACTTTCGTAAGGGCAGCTTTAAACTCTTCAGGCGAGAACGGTCTGAGTGTTATCAGTTTGAATCTTTGATCGTAGGTGAAGCTGAAATAAATAATAATAATCAATTATTAAGTTTTTTTTTTTTTAATGGATGATAATAGAATGGTAACCCCGTTTGCGCTATGCTCTAACGGGGCGCCAGTTAGGGATGATAGGTGAAGATGGAAGTGGGTCAGTTAGCCCATCGTGACGAATTTAAAATGCAAGGGGAACCAAAGGGCCTACCATGACATGTTTTATCGAAATTTCGGAGGCAAACGAAACACAAATTTAATGTTAAAATTACATAATACATGCCGTTTGGAAATATTAAAAATGTTAAAATATCGTCCCTTTGGACTTTTATGATAGGATGTATGACGAACGAAATGTTAAACTCCATTTATTGGTCCGATTTTGGTATAAACAAAAAAACACGAAATTGAGTCCGAAAATTCGGAATTTCATTTCATGGTAGACCCATAAGGAATGTGGTAAGATGTTTATTATTTTACCTACGTTTATTATTAATATTAACTTTTATAATATAATTAAACTAAAAAAAAAAAAACAATATATATATACAAAAGGCGGTCTTATCGCTAGGGCGATCTCTTACAGACAATTTTTGGTTAAAGGAGAACAGATAGAGGTGGGCACGTGGCGCTAGAGTGAATTAATAATTTTTTCGTGTATAAAATACAAAAACCTACAACAACAATTTTTTTTTTATACAACTTAGAATGACAAACAATCTGACGGCCCACCTGATGGAAAGTGGTAACCGTCGCCTATAGACATGAGCAGTACCATGGACATAACAGAGTATACTGTTTCGCCCATGATACCCCCCATGCGTTGCCATTCCTGAGGACTCAGGTGTTATTCCTCTGTACGCTGTAAATTCACGTCATATCCCACCCTTCAAACCGAAACACAGCCATGCAAACACAGCTGCTTCACAATTTATTAAACTACTTATTATAACAACACTATAAGAATTAAAAATATATTATATATATATATATATATATAAAATGCATGTATACATCGTAATAAATACTAACCGCACACGGCCATCGGCCAGCCGTTCCGTGAGTCGCTCGAGGGTGGCGGCCGCCGCGGACTGCGTCAGCCCCCGGGTTTCCTTCAGCGCTCTCAACGCCTGTAAAGATCACATCTCTGTAAGTGTTATTTCCTCAAATTTCTCTACGTCTTTAAAAGATAATATCTTGGCGGGAAAACTGGTCTTTGCTCTTTTTGATATCGCCCATATTTTTTTTAATGTATGAGTAGTCCTGGTTTTCCTATGAATAAATAAATAAATAAATAAATAAACCTAATTATGTATTTATAATTGCTTAATTTTCTTATTTCTTGCCATGTTGCCTTGCTATTTACAATTGAGCGGGTAGTTTCTCCCTTCTGACCTTTGCCCATATCTACTTGGGGTCAGTGTAATACGTTTCCATATTCCATTCACCGGCTCGTGTGGTCCCGGCATAGAATAGGCCACCCCTTCCTTTCTTATGGGTGTCGCGAGAGGCGACTCAGGGAACTTATGGTTAACTACTAACTAAACCTTAACTGCAGTTGCTAATCCGCCTGCCAAGCGTGGCAACTATTGCCAAAACTTCTCAAAATAGGGAAGACTTCAGCAGTGGCCAATTAACGGCTAAAATGATCATTAAGGGTAATAAAAATTGATTATTTCCCAAAAAAAAAATAAATGTATTGGCATTCCGTCGCGGATGATGCTCGAGCATACAAGTTGTGAGAGGCTTACCTCGTCGACAGTATAGGTGGGCGCGGTCTCCTTGGGTGCATTGTATTTTTCGTAATTCTCGTAATACGATGTGAACATTTTTCTGTACCTGTGACAAAAGAATTTATTACATTTAATACAAATTTTATAATTATGTAGTTTGTAAAGTAGTTAATAAGCCTTGTTAACACCAGAGGGAGACTTTGTACAAAAGTCGTTTGCTTGGACACCTCTGTCCCATTCGTGTTTCAACCGTGACGCAGTTGTGTTCGCATGGCTGTGTTTCGGTTTGAAATGTTTTTTTTTTAATGGATGATAATGGAACGGTAGCCCCACCCGCGCTATCGGTATACACCGGCGGGGCACCAGTGAAGGATGATAGGTGAGGATGAAGCAGGCCAGTTAGCCCATCGTGACGAATTCAACAAGAATTATTCTCGATGGTTTCCAGGGGGAGCCACGTGGAGGTCGACCTAATAAGGCATATTGCTAGCAATGGGGCTGTCAAACTTCATTGCTAACAATCCCTTTCCCCCGGTTTGAAGGATTGGATATGGCAGTGAATTTACAGGGTACAAAGGAATAACACCCGAGTCCTCAGGAATGGCAACGCATGGGGGATATCATGGGCGAAACGGTGTACTCTGTTATGTCCATGGTACTGCTCATGTGTTTAGGCGACGGTTACCACTTTCCATCAGGTGAGCCGTCAGCTTGTTTGCCATTCTAAATTGCATAAAAAGAAAAGAAAACTAAAATTTACCAATGATATAATCAATCACTTACCATCGAGAGAATTCCGACGGCAGTACAATAGCGACTCGATACATTGGGTCCAATTCAATTAACTTTGAAATAACACCAGGGCGACACGCGTTGAATATCATACCTGAAAAATTGTAACATAATTTTTTTAACCTCCTATTCAGTAGCGTTACAGTAGAATGGTGGGTGAAAGGGATCGTTGGTAACGGGGATCTAACATGTCCATTGTGGAGGGAAAGGGATTGTTAGTAATGGAGATTGAGAATCCCAGTGCTAGCAATATACCCAACCAGGTCGACCACCTCGCGGTTCCCCCTGGAAACTATCATGGTTAATTCCTGATGAATTCATCATGATGGGCTAACTGGCCTGTTTTCATTCTCATCAATCACCCACCACTGGTCCCCTGCCAGCGTTTACCGTTAGCGCGGGCGGGGCTGCCATTCCATTTTCATCCATCAAAAAAAAATACTCTATCAGGAGGGAAGGGACTGTTAGAAATGGGGAGTTTAGTCCCCATTGCTATCAATATACCCTACCAGGTCGACCTCCACGCGGTTCCCCCTGGAAACTATCGTAACCAATTTATCATTGAATTCGTCACAATGGGCTAACTGACAAGCCTTTTCATCCTCACCTGTCACCGCTCACTGGCACCCCGCTAGTGTACACCGATAGCGCTGGCGGGGTAACCATTTTCACGCAAAAAAAAAGTATATATACTCTATCAGGTCGACCTCCATGCGGTTCCTACTGGAAACCATCTTGGTTAATTCTCATGGAATTCGTCACGGTGGGCTAACTGGCCTGCTTTCATCCTCACCTATCATCCCTCACTGGTGTCTCGTTAGTGAATACCGATAGCGCAGGCGGGGTTACCATACCATTATCATCCATTGAACAAAAGCCGGTCAAGTCGGACAAGTCGGTCAAGTCGGTCAAGTCGGTCGGTCGAGTCGGATTCACGCAATGCACGAGAACGTACAAAATCAAGTTTGATTTTTTTTTCTGAAATACCTATAAATTTACGGTTTCCGGATTTTTTCCTTTACTTGTGTGAAATATTTAAAATGTTAAAATATCGTTCCTTTGGACTTTTATGATAGGATGTATGACGAGCGAAATGTTAAACTCCATTTATTGGTCCGATTTTGGTATGAACAAAAACACGAAATTGAGTCCGAAATTTCGGAATTTCATTCCATGCCAGACCCGCTGATTCTAGTGGCCATAAACACAGAAACAATCCACAATTTATTGCACAAGTTTGCAAGAAAAATTGTATTTAATTAAATTAAGATTTGAAGTATTAAACTCAAGGTCATACATGAATTATACAAATAAATTATCATGATTACAACAAGGCATTTCCAAGTGAAACCAAATATAGACACATTAATTGCAAGTGTCGTTAAGTATGTGTGTTTACTCAGTGATATATCTACGCCAATATTATAAAGAGGAAAGATATGTATTTTTATGTGTATGTATGTTTGTAATGAATAAACTCAAAAACTGCTTTGCCGATTTCAAAAATTCTTTCACCATTAGAGAGCTACTTTCACCCTGAGTGACATAGGCTGTATTTATTGCTAGAAAACATTAGGGATCCTTACTAAAACTTTAGTAACGTAACTCGAGGTGTAAAAAAAATGCTATAAAATATCTTTGGTCGCGTGCGCTGCGGAAACTATTGGTGATAGAACAAAAGTGTGTTCTACAATATTGAAGAAAATATCAATGACTACAAAAAACATCGCGACACTATATGTCCAACTATTATCGTTATGTCACAATAACCACATTTTATAATGTTGTAAAACAGTCCACACGTGCGAAGCCGGGACGGGCCGCTAGTCTATATTATAAAGAGGGAAAATTTGTGAGTTCTGATGTTCGGGGTAATCTCCGGTACTACTTATCCGATTTTAAAAATTCTTTCACTGTTACAAAGGCATATTATCCCCTAGTATTATGGGCTACTTTTTGTTTTAGCAAATATATATTTTCAATAATTAATAACAATAAATGTAATTGAAGTCGACAAGAATTCTATAATATGGCGTACGTAGCCTGAACGGTTGGATGCAAAATATGAATTATGGTTTTTACGATAAGAGCAAACAAATATACACTTTAACACGGTGTAACAAAGTCTATCTTGCTTGCTCTAAACGAACCCGTATTTTTTTTAATGGATGATAATGAAACGGTAACCCCGCCTGCGCTATCGGTATACACAAGCGGGGCACCAGTGAGGAATGATTGGCGAGGATGAAAAGGTATGTCAGTTAGCTCAATTTAACGATAAATTAGTGGGGGGAAGGGATTGTTAACAATGGGGAGGTTAGTCCCCATTGCTCTCAATATACCCTATCAGATCGACCTCCACACGGTTCCCTCTGGAAACCATTGTGACTTATTTATCGTTAAATTAGTCACGATGGGCTAACTAACCTGCTTTTTCATCCTCGCCAATCATCCCTATCTGGTGCCCCGCCAACGTATACCGATAGCTCAGGCGGGGTTACCATACCATTATCACCCATTAAAAATACAATATAAGAACTTACCAATATGACATCCTAGGGAGTGTCCAATGTAAGTGACCTGCTCCCACCTGAAGTGTCTGATCACCAGCGCCACGCAGTAAACAAGATCGTACACGTTGATCATCATGCCGGGTGGTAAGCGGTCCGACTTACCGTTACCGGGCAGCTCGATTGCTGAAATAGAGAAAATAGTCTATTTAAAAATATGTATGTATGTATATGTATGCATATGTACTATACTGATTGCTGTATGGGTGATAATGGAATGGTAACCCCACCCGCGCTATCGGTTTACACCGGCGGGGCACCAGTGAAGGATGATAGGTGAGGATGAAGCAGGTCAGTTAGCCCATCGTGACGAATTCAACAAGAATTGTTCACGATGGTCTCCAGGAGGAACCACGTGGAGGTCGACTCAATAGGGCATATTGCTAGCAATGGGGCTGTCAAAATCCATTGCTAACAATTCCTTTCCCCCTTGATTTGCCGTATGGTCCCGGTATAGAATGGGCCACTCCTTCCTCTCCCGCGGGTGTCGTAAGAAGCGACTAATGGAATAGTCGAGGGAGGGGCAGCAGCGTCCCTCTTAAAACATCACTAAAAGCCTATCTGCTGTTGCTAAGGGGGGAGGGGGGATTGTTAATAATGGGGAATACCAGTCCCATTGTTAAAAATATACCTTGTCACGTCGACCTCTACATGCCCCCCTCCCCCTGGAAGTCATCGTGCTGAATCCCAGGTGTATTCATCACGATGGGCTAACTGACCTGCCTTTTCATTCCCACCTATCATCCTTCACTGGTGCTCCGCCAGCGTATTCGTTATATCGTTAAGACACAAGCTTGCGCGTTCACCGCTAAGAAAACCCCATTTGCTGTGGCCCCACAGTTCCAAGGCACGTCTCTTAACATCTCTAAAAGCATTGGGATACTTGGTGTCAACATCTCTAGTGACGTACAGCTCCGTAGCCATCTCGAAGATAAGGTGAAGCTGGCATCCAAAAAACTTGGTGTGCTTAATAGAGCGAAGCATTACTTCACGCCGGATCAGCGATTAATGCTTTACAAATCGCAAATCCGGCCCCATATGGAGTATTGCTGTCATTTATGGGTGGGAGCACCTAGATACCAGCTTGAACCCTTCGACTCAGTGCAACGACGAGCTATGAGAATTATCGATGATCCCAGGCTTGCAAGCGGTATCGTACCCTTAAGTCTTAGGAGAGATTTTGCCTCACTCTGCGTGTTCTACCGCTTATACAAAGGGTTGTGCTCAGAGGAATTATTCAATATGATGCCTACGGCCACTTTCTATCATTGTACGGCTCGCCATCGACAGGGAGTTCACCCTCATACCCTACAGCCTAAATGGTCGCGTACAACGCGGTTTCAGAGATGCTTTCTTCCACGAACACTCAGGTTATGGAATGAGCTCCCTGCCGAGGTTTTCCCAAAAGACTACAGCATGGGGTTCTTCAAAAGGGGTTTAAAGAGGTTTCTTCAGGGTCGGCAACGCGCGCGTAATACCTCTGGTATTGCAGGCGTTCATAGGCTATGGTAACCGCATACCATCAGGTGGGCCGTATGCTTGTTTGCAACCTCAGTGGTATAAAAAAAAAATCGTTAGCGCAGGCGGGGTTACCATTCCATTATCATCCATAAATAAATAATCTATATGAATTTTCAAATCAGTTTACAACTGACGGAGTTATGAGGTGACAAACATAAAAAAAAACTCGAATTGTGAACCTCTCTTCTGAAGTCGATTAAAAAAATTTGGTGTAGTCACATGTCAAGCTACAATAAAAAAAAATCCAAATACTAACCTACATAGTAAAATTTATCAGGTAGTAAGGACACAAGAGGTCGGAATGTTGCAGCCGAGTCCAACATACCGTGCACCAACAGCACCGGTGGCTGGGTGCAGTCTCCCCATGCGACCACTGAAAACAAAAATTGACAATTCATAACTTATTTTTACCATATACTTAAATATTTTTAGGTAAATACTTAACTTCATATCTATATATTGGGTTCTTCTGGTACTTAATAGTTTTAAGGGAAAGGATAAAAAGTTAATTTAATCATTTATTTTGTATGTTAGCATTTCATACAAAAATAAATACCAATTAGACAATGTCTGTACATACGACATATTTAAGAAAAAATTATGTGGAAAGTTTTGATAAGGGTAATAGGAGCAAAAACAATTTTATCCTCTATCTATTTATATGTTTGTTCTGGCAACACATAAGAACTACCTTACCTATAACCTTTCAACTGTGTCATGCAAAATGGTGGAAAATCCACATCTGTGGCGTCCCGTGAGCGGACTTTACACAGACTAGGTATTTTTAGCATATAGGTTTAAAAAAACCTGATTTTTCCGAATTCTAATTAGAATTATACAAAATTCAGATTAGATTTATATTCCAACTAGATTCGACTTGAATTGCATTGCAACTGTTCTAAGAGAAATAAAATGGGGTCACCTATAAATTACCTTTTATTTTTCAATTATTAAAAAACTAAGACCTTGCTGGATGTAAAATTATATATTTTTTGTACAATATTATACACTTGATAAAATAAAAATAAAATTACTTTATTATAATTTATTGGAACATATTCCAATAAATTTTATTTATACAGCAATTGTTTATAAACATGGATCAAAAAATTCCCTCTTTAATTGACACTTAAGTGGGTCTCCTATTTCATTCTTTTACATACATTCTTGGCATCAGGGACAAGAGGTGGTTTGTTTACAATAATTTAAGCTTATCGCCAAGCTAGTTTGGACAAACAATATATATGACATTATTATTTATATGTCCGCTACGCGGACGTGACACAGATGCAAATTTTTTCTCAACTGTGTCACATCCACTGAGCGGACGCTGAGTTGAGAGGATAACTGTTCGCGACATTATTTGTATATATGTAATCGTAATTTATAGTTGTTAAGTCCCTAGTTAATCGTTTCTGTATTCTGTTATTTTATATAGATTTTACATAGATTTAAGATAGTGTAAGTTAAATAAAGTATTTCTTTGTGTGTTGTCATTATTACCTACGAATAGAAATAGAAATTGTAACAATAAATAGAATTAAGAAATTGTAAATTGCAATAAATAAACGCTATAGAGTACCGATCTGAAGAGACACGCGTCTCGTTCTTTCTCGCCCCGTCCCGCTCGCGCAGATTCGCTAACGCGAGTTGGAAACGTTATCATGCGAGCGGGCGGGTATAAAGATAGGCCGCCTCTCGTCGAGCGGCATTCGCTTCCGGGCAGCGACACACTACACTCGAGAAGAAATAGGACAAGAAGAAAAAATACTCTCTTCAGACGGTACCGGAGGCTTCAGAATAGTAATCCCTGTGTTTCACTCCAGCCTGAACCAACGCCCCTACAGTCCACGCTCACCGTACGGCAGTCCACACCGTTCATCGTGGTCCTTCGAGCCGGATTGCTGGAGGAACACCGTTGGTACATCAAGAAGCCGGATCGCTGGAGGAAGACCATTCTGAAGCCGGATCGCTGAAATGCCGACTACGAGAAACATGAAGTCGTCGCAACAAAAAATCGCCGTCACCGAAGCCACAACGTCCGCCGCCACTACGTCGACTACGACCGCCGGAACGCTGTCCGTCGCTGCCACGCCGTCCGTTGCTGCCACCACGTCGTCTGCGGCTGTCAGAATGCCTTCTGTCGCTGCCACGTCGTCTACCGCCGCCACCACATCGACTACGAACACGTCCGGCGATACGACGACCACAGGAGCCACGGAGACTACCGAAGCCACAGGAACGACAGAGGAGACAGCAAGGAAGAAGGAACCGAAGCACGGCACGGCACGCACGGTTCGCACCACGGCCTCGCAGAAGAAGAAGGCTCTGGCCAAGGCACGGGAGGAGCTACTTCGAAAGGAGGTGGAATTGGCTGCTGCACGTGTCGCCGCCCTGGAAGCCGAATCAGAGGACGACGAGGAAATAGAAGACGACGACGCTACCGTCAGAAGAGAACGAACGTCGGATTGGGTTCTTCGAAGCACGCTAGCACTCACGATGGAGCCGCATGTACCAGAGATAGAAGAAGTCACCGGCAAGCGTCAGGGGTTCGTCCCATCGAGACCCGTTGAAGAGGATTCGAGAGCGCCGCCGCCACAGCCGAGCAGCGACGCACTTCACCGGGACCACGCACGCCACGTTGACCCACATGCCGCCATGCCTACGATAGCAGCAGCGATGCAGTCGATGAAGAAAGAAGAACCGGTGCTGAAGGTGGGCATCGATTGCAATGAGTTTGCGATCGCCATGCAGATGGCCGCTCGCAACATACTGCCCTCCACAGCGTCAAGAGTCACCGAGTTGCCAGTCTTCAATGGATCGTCGAGCGAGTGGTTACCATGGAAGATGGCCTATGAAGAGAGCGCAAGTCAACTCACAGAACAAGAGAACCTAGCAAGACTGCGCAGAAGTTTGAAGGGGGCCGCAAAGGACGCGGCACGCTCCCTATTCGTCGGGTCTACGACCGCAGAAGAAGTAATGAAGATGTTAGCCGCGAGGTTCGGCCGCCCTGGAGCACTCGTCACAGCCGAACTGAACAAACTCCGCGCGCTACCACGACTCTCGGACAACGCAAGAGACGTCTGCCTCTTTGCAAGCAAGGTGCAGAACGTCGTCGCCACGATACGAGCGCTGAACAAGAGTCACTACCTCTACAACGAAGAAATAGTGAGAAACGTCACAGAGAAGATGCCGTCGGTACTACGCTTCAAGTACTACGATTTCGCCAACGACCAACCGGAGGGACAACCGGACCTCATAACACTCTCTCAGTTCCTGCAAAGGACCGCCGCACGATGTGGAAACTTCGCCCCCGCCGAGGAGATACCGTCCGAAGACCGGCGGGAGTCCGCTCCTAGGAAGACGGCGAAGACATACACGACGCAGGAGAAACCCGCTACACCACCGTGCCCGATGTGTCGACGAGAGGGACACGCTCCATCGGACTGCAAGACGATGAAGGAAGCAGACACATCGGCGAGATGGGAGTTAGCGAAGACTCATAGGCTGTGTTTCCGTTGCCTCAAAGTGAGAAGATTTCGCCACGCCTGCAAGAGCAAGAGATGTGGAGTAGATGAGTGCACGCAGACTCATCACCCTCTGCTGCACACCACGCGACAACAGCCGGAGAATGAAGTAACGACACACGTCGTCGAGGACAAGTCCGCCGCAGTCACCGCATCGGCAAGGGAAAACGACAAGATCGCGTTCCTGAAGATCCTGCCGATACGAGTCACCGGTCCCACGGGAACGTGCGACACCTACGCGCTACTGGACGACGGGTCGACTTGCACCATCATCGAGACGACGGTGGCGGAGCGAATCGGTACTACGGGCCCCCCCGCACCATTCTACATGGAAGGTGTGGCCGGGGCACGGATCAACGCAGCTCAATCGACGCGTGTTCACTTCAAGATCCGCGGGCGGAATTCACAAGAATACACAGTGGGGGCACGGACGATGGACAGACTGCAGTTATCACCGCAGTCGGTACCGCGCAGCGTCATCAAGGGCTGTCCACATCTACGAGACATAGAGAGGGAATTGGTCTACGAAGAGGGCAAACCGACGGTACTGTTGGGGCAAGACAACTGGCACCTACTGCTGGCCCACGAAGTCAGAAGAGGATCCGACACGCAGCCGGTCGCATCGCTCACCGACCTGGGATGGGTACTGCACGGTACGAGTCGCGGCAGGACAAGACAGCAGGTGCACAGAGTCAGCCACATAGTGACGACACATGAAGAGGAACAATCGATGGAAGAAATGATGAAGCAACATTTCGCGCTCGAATCGCTGGGGATCGCACCGAAGAGGTCCTACAACGAAGAGGAACGTCGCGCCCTACGCATTTTAGAAGAGAAAACTCGTCCGTTACCGGCGGGAGGATAAGAGACGGGGTTATTATGGAAGAAGGACGACCCTGTGCCGCCGGACAACTACGAATCAGCGATGCGACGTCTCCGACCGGTCGAAAGGAATTTCGACAAAAATGAAGAACAGTGGCCGCGTGAAGATAGTACGAGCGACGATAGTCAAGCGGAAACGGGAGAAGAACGCGTACACAAGCTACAGAACGCGACGCAGTTGTCTATAGCATTACCCGATCCGTCACGTTTTTCTAATTGGTTGAAACTTGTTCGCAGTTCAGCACGGGTGTTGCAGTTCATCGACCTCCTGCGACCGACCAGTCAACGCTGTACCGCCATCCGAAAGAGGAACAAGAAGAAAGAGAGCACCGACCCCACTTGGACCCGCACGAAGAAAGTCGATAGAGAGAAGACGAAGATGAAAATCAAGAACAACAATAGTCCATCTGTGTGTTTCATCCCCATAGACACACACTACCTAGATCGCGCGCGACGGCTATGGATTCGCGCGATACAACAAGAGGCGTTCGGCGACGAAATCGCAGTATTGAAACAAGGGAAACAGCTGCCGTCATCCAGTCGACTCATACAGCTGTCGGTCATTCTGCGACTTCGATCGAGAATAGCAGCCGCCGCCGATCTGTCAGCCGAGCAACGAGAGCCCCCCATCGTCGACGGAAACCACGCCTGGGTGCGCCTATACATCGCATGGGTGCATCGGAAACTTCACCACGGCGGCTTCGAGATCACCACGAACGAGGTGCGACAACACTTGTGGGTGTTGCGCCTACGACACGCCGTCCGCAGTGAACTGAAGAGGTGTCAGCTGTGCCGCCTACGAAGAGCAAGACCGGCGTAGCCGTCAACGGGCAACCATCCACAGAGCAGGCTGGCGCATCATCAACGACCGTTCACGTTCACCGGCCTAGACTACTTCGGGCCTATGACCGTGACAGTGGGCCGCACTCACCAGAAACGGTACGGAGTGCTCTTCACCTGCCTAACGACGCGCGCAGTCCACCTAGAAATCGCCGGCAGCCTCAGCACGGACTCCGCCATAATGGCCCTGCGGCGCTTCATAAGCCGCAGAGGGTGTCCCACTGAGCTATGGTCCGACCAAGGCACCAACCTCAAAGGTGCTGACGTCGAACTGAAGAAAGCAGCCGAGGAAGCCATCCAAGAAGAGTCATCAGTCCATTTCATCCGGTGGCGCTACATTCCCCCGAGCGCACCCTTCATGGGAGGTGCGTGGGAACGGTTGGTGCGTAGCGTGAAGACCGCACTAGCCGCTACGTTGAACGAACGGGCGCCCAAGGAAGAGGTCCTCCACACTCTGCTGGTCGAGGTCGAGCACACCCTCAATAGTCGACAGCTAACCCACGTGTCAACATCGGCAGACGACGACAGCGCCCTAACCCCCAATCACTTCATATTGGGCGGTCCGTCGCGCGTCCCACTGCCAGGCAGCTTCACCGAGAGCGACGCGGCGGGACACAAGGAGTGGCGTGCCAGCCAGAGGCTAGCTGACTGCTTCTGGAACCGGTGGGTGAAGGAGTACCTACCCGAGTTGCAACACCGGCGGGAGCCCCGAGCTACACACGGAGCCATCAAAATGGACGACCTGGTCCTGATAGCTGATGGGACCTTGCCTCGCAACACGTGGCCGCGAGGCGTGGTGGTGGCGACCTACCCTGGACCAGACGGCGAGATCCGAGCAGTCGACGTGCGGACGAACAAGGGCATCCTACGGCGACCCACTAAGAAGCTGATCATACTGTCCACATCGACATCGAGCGACGCGAACACGAGTTAACTCCAGCTACGAGAGCTGCGGCGGGAGATTATGTTCGCGACATTATTTGTATATATGTAATCGTAATTTATAGTTGTTAAGTCCCTAGTTAATCGTTTCTGTATTCTGTTATTTTATATAGATTTTACATAGATTTAAGATAGTGTAAGTTAAATAAAGTATTTCTTTGTGTGTTGTCATTATTACCTACGAATAGAAATAGAAATTGTAACAATAAATAGAATTAAGAAATTGTAAATTGCAATAAATAAACGCTATAGAGTACCGATCTGAAGAGACACGCGTCTCGTTCTTTCTCGCCCCGTCCCGCTCGCGCAGATTCGCTAACGCGAGTTGGAAACGTTATCATGCGAGCGGGCGGGTATAAAGATAGGCCGCCTCTCGTCGAGCGGCATTCGCTTCCGGGCAGCGACACACTACACTCGAGAAGAAATAGGACAAGAAGAAAAAATACTCTCTTCAGACGGTACCGGAGGCTTCAGAATAGTAATCCCTGTGTTTCACTCCAGCCTGAACCAACGCCCCTACAGTCCACGCTCACCGTACGGCAGTCCACACCGTTCAATAACAAACTAATATAAAAACTAGATACTGCACTGAAATACTTGTACTCCTAATGGTCAATATTGAAATATTGTATGTTTTATCTTGATAACTATGCCATTTACCTATAAATGGTTGCCTACTTTTAAAATTTGCAATTAATTAAAAATTTAAAAAAGTCAGTAATAAAATTGTAACAATCATAACCTAAATTGAAAATAAGACTCCTTTACAAGTTTATGAATGTAGGGTTCAGAAAGTTGTTATCTGCTGAGAAGAGCCCGCAAGAAACTCAATAGTTACTCTTTTAAATCTCTGTTAACATTGTGTGTATTTATTTAAACGTACTATGTATAAAATTACATGAATAAAGTTGAATGTATTATATTAGAATTGATAAATGAGGGCAAACATAAATAAATTTAAATTTTTGCTAATGTATTTTTAGATTTTAGAGTGTAAGTTTAGTCTCCAAAAACAGTAACATCTATTGACTCTGCATGACCTCTAGACAGCTGTAGTACAGAATTTTAGAACCTTTACTATAACCTGCCGTTTGTAATTCATAGATTGACCCGTACTTGGTCAATAAGAGCAAAGTACATTTAAAAAAATATATCTTCATAAAAAATGTATGGAATTAATTTTATATATTTTATAGAATACTCACCACATAATTTACCCCACGGGGCTTCAATATACCACTCGTTTTCGACTAGACTCATTTTTAAATACAATTTAGAAAAAAATAAAATAAACTGGTGATATAAATGCGACACTCGAAACTTTGATAAACTTAATCAAATACAATTTTTTTTCTTTAGCTCATAGAATTGTAGATAATTTGCAAGTAAACATTAAATTAAAATTCGTAATAGTGTACACTTGACACTATCGTTATCAGTTCCTCATATTATTTCAAAGTTCATTGTAAAAGAATAGTAATCGCCTAATTACCGTAATCACGGCCGAATTCAGTCGAATTCGGTCAATCAAAATAATAAATTAGTATAGAGCAAATCACTTTATTTAAGAGTCAACATTTATGTCATATTATCGAAACTGAAATTTTTTTTTATGTAACCATCTAGAAGTATCAACATAACAAAATAGATGAATAATTATAATTTTTATAGTATAGCTTAGAAACCTTCCATTAGATAGAGTTAAATCAAAGAAAAATCGAAAAAAAAGTATTATATGTATTTAATACCAGAAATGGCATTTGTATACAAAAAAAGACAAAAGAAAATATCAAATTAAATTAATAAAATAAATTAAGCTATTTGTATGTATGTATGTTCAAAATATCTATATGGATAGATATTACAAAATATTTAAACATTTTATAGAATTTCAATGAACTGGTTACATAGGTAGTTAAAAATAATATTTTTTGTACAAAGTGATACAAACATGCATTTGACAGTTGACAGACTTTGTCAACATTGACAGTCATTTGATAGTCTGAGAGTTGCCTATTTAAAAATACCCAGCGTCATATATTTAATTTTTTCTATTATTACTTTTTTATTTAAAACAAACGACAAAAACTCTAATAAAATTAATACGTAAATGTTCAAAAAGTATTTTTTTTAAAAAAAAGACAATACTTAGCGACCCAAAGAACATAAAATTAAAAACAAAACAACTCGAGAAAGTCGGAGGTTCTTAGTCGATTGTATTATTTATGATTATTACTTCAGAACTCCGATACTAATAATCGATTAGAGAATTTTTTTTATCTGTAGTTCTTTTGTTTTGAATCCATTAAAAATAACAAATAATTTTACAAAAAAGCAAGCAAGCAAGCATGTATGATCCTTTATACATCGCCATTCTAGAGGACTAAAATTTTATCCCACCCTTCAAACCGAAACATCGCCATGCAAACATAACCGCTTTACAACTGAAACATGAATAGGACAGAGGCACCCTAGCAAATGTTTTTGTATAGTCTCCTTCTGGACAAATGCTCACGTACAGTACGGTTTCAGCGGAGTATTCTCCCACGAACGTTCAGGCTGTAAAATGAGCACCTTGTCGAGGATTTGCCTAGAGACTACAGTATAGGATTCTTCAAAAAGTTAGTTTTAAAGTTTTTTCAGCATCGGTAACGCGCACGTGACTTCCCTATAGAATTGCAGGCGTTCATAGTCTACATTAACTTTTATTATACAACTTAGAATGGCAAACAAGCTGACGGCCCACCTGATGGAAAGTGGTAACCGTCGCCTATATACATGAGCAGTACCATAGACATAACAGAGTATACTGTTTAGCACATGATACCATCCTTGCGTTGCCATTCCTGAGGACTCAGGTGTTATTCCTCTGTGCCCTGTAAATTCACTGTCATATCCCACCTTTCAAACCGAAACACATGCAAACACAATTGCTTCACGGTAGAAACACGAATGGGAATTTGCCATAAACATAGTTACATAATATGATGTTACAATTTAAAGACGATGTAGTGACAAAAATCGAAAATGGAATGTTGCGTTGGTTTAGCCATTTGGAGAGGATGGATGAAAGAAGAATTATGAAAGAAATTTATCGAGTAAGAATGAATGGTGATGTCGGTAGGGGTCGTCCTAGACGGACGTATGTCGACCGAATAGGCGACGTGCTGAAGAACGGGCCAAATTAAAAGTGCCCGTAACCGGTGAGCGTGTATGAAAAGACTGGTGAATGTGGAGGAAGCGAAAGAGGTTTGTTTGAATCGAAGCATTTGGCGTTCCATTGTTTTTGCCTACCCTAATGGGAGATAGGCGTGACAGATATGTATGTATGTATGTATGTTGCAATTTATTTTTTTAATATGGTATGTTTCTTTGCTACATTCGTGGTATAATAAAAAAATACTGCCGTTAAGCAAAATTTTGGTAAGGAATACATTTTAAAACCCGAACATTAACAGAAGGAAACTCATACGTAACTGCATAAATAAAGTGAATTCATTATGATTGGTCGATTCATCTAATTTCTTCCTCACTTATTCTTTATTGATGCCTTGCTAGCGTATACCAATAGCGCAGGCGGGGTTGCCATTATATTGTAAAAGTTCTTAATTTGCCTGTAGGTATCTTTGTGTATAGTTCATTGTTTTTTAATGCAATTTTAATGCACGACAAGCCAAATCCTGTCAGAAACCTTTGGCGACAAAGCTGAATGAGGCCCATGTATTATTAGATAGATAGATAGAGTCTTTATTAAGATAGGAAATTGGTAGTAGCACTCACCAGTATTTAGCAACGCCGGGATCAGGATCAGTGTTAAGGAAGACCAGGACTAGGAGTCTGGCTACCTACACTAATTAATATTAGTCAGTTAGCGAGTTCAGGCAATGTTCATAGTATTTTAAGACAAAAGGGTAATCTGTCATTTTTTATTCTATTATTATTTTTTTATTTTACATTGACAAGCGCTGCTGGAATGCATATCGCCTGCCATTGTACCAAGGAGGTTCTTAACATTTATTAGCCCCAATAATAGTTAAAAAAAACAACATTAAATAAACAATACATTTTGTTGGTACTAGGAGCCGCCTCAGTTGCTATATATGCACACCTCTAGTGAGATGTACCTATACAGCGATGATTTTCAGGCGGTCCCTTAACTCATTTAATCAATTCCTTGATTTCGAAATCTCTAGTGACGTACAGTTCCGTGACCAGTTCGAAGATAAGGTGAAGCTGGAATCCAAAAAACTCGGTGTGCTTAATAGAGCGAAGCATTACTTTACGCCGGATCAGCGATTAATACTCTACAAATCGCAAATCCGGCCCCAGATGGAATATAGCTGTCATTTATGGGCGGGAGCATCTAGATACTAGCTTGAACCCTTCGATTCAGTGCAACGACGAGCTATGAGAATTGTCGATGATCCCAGGCTTGCAAGCGGTATCGAACCCTTAAGTCTTAGGAGAGATTTGGCCTCACTCTGCGTGTTCTATCGCTTGTTCTCAGAGAGATTGTGCTCAGAGGAATTATTCAATTTGAACAATTGAATTCAATTGATTAAATATAAAATGTTTGTAAAGCAGACAAATAGAACAATAAAAACAGACAGACAAGGTTGGCAAATTAGCCCTGAAATGCTATGCATTACAAATGAAAGTAAATAATAAGCAATTTAGGTGTCAGAGATGCAAATTAAATTGTATTTGAACAGCTTTAGTGGAATTGTTTGGCATTTCACGTCGCAAATAAATGACACAATAGAATGGAGTGAAAACAGTCTTTCATTATTTCCACTTGCTAGGTTCTATTGCGTCATCAATGTTCTTTAGATTTTAAAATTAAACAATTGAATCAACTTTAACAACTATCGAACTCTGTCAAAATCTGTAAGTCTTTCAGACGAAAGAAAAATGGGTTTTTCAAATCGGTTTAGAATTCACGCAATTATGAGGTTATAAAACAAGCATGAAGAAAATATAATTCAATTGAGAATATTTTCTTGGAAGTTGGTTAAAAATGAAACAAGTTTCATTTAATAAATAATTTATTGACACAGAAATATGTTTTTTTAAGATTGTCATAATTTCACGTGCTGTATAAATGTAGAAATATAAATATATGTAAATCTATATATCTCTCTATCTCTCTAATATATAATATTCTCGTGTCGCGGTGTTTGTTACCAAACTCCTCCGAAACCGCTTTACAGATTTTTATGAAATTTTGTGTGCATATCGGGTAGGACTGAGAATCGGCCAACATCTATTTTTCGTACCCCTCAATGATAAGGTTGACCTACCACTAAATATTTTATTTTTTTATTTTTTCGACAAAATTTTTTATTTTTATTTTATTATGATTCAGCATTGAAAAATACATACGACTTCAAATTTTCACGCTTTTACGATCAACCCCTGTATTTTTAATCGCGATTTTTATATTCCGCAATATGGTTGCAAGATGACAATCGAATATAATAATTGTAGTACGATAAATTTTCATGTATAGTTCTCGAAATAATGTACCTATATGGTAAAACAACGTTTGCCGAGTCAGCTAGTATGTATATAAAAGAGTATGCTGATTGACGGACTAACTAACTTATATATCAACCTTAGATTATATACAATAGATAGAATGTCTCCATACAAATGCTTCGAGAGAAACGGATCAACTTTTTCATACAATTTTGCATGATAAATAGTTACGAGTGTTTCCTTTATAACTTCTATTTTTTATTTTGTCTTATAATTTCTGCACTTTTTTAGTAAATTACGTTCTGACGGTCGGTGATAGGTTTTTTAAAAAAAAACGAATACTGTTTAAGTTCACAATGTCGTTTAATATAATTTAACACAGAGTCTTTATTTAAAATAAGTAATTATATAATATTAGTTATATATATGAATCGTGAATGATTCCTAAAATATACACCGTACGTCCGCGACTTAAAACATACTGGCCTCTCACCGCCCTGTGGTATTCCCTTTTATCAATTTCCTTTGTAAAGTGTGTCTTCATTCTTTCTGGGAATTTGTGTGTGGGAACAGCTATTGTGCAATATGTATTGGTATGTTGTAATATGGTTTGGAAGGGGTTCACACCCGTAACAAGTACGTAAATATTCATTTTATTTACTAGACAATACGTCAAGATACGTTGTATGCGTAAGTATAATAAATACTAATAAAAAATTAAAGAATAAATGTTAACCCGTTTTGAGACTCGATATGTCTATATTTATTTTATAATTTCTACGCCTTTTTAATGCGTAAAAACTCATTTTATTTATTAAATTTATAAAAACAAATATAGATACGTCAAGATACATTATATCCGTAAAGATATAGAATCAGATCAAAAAACGAGTCAGCTAATTTGACAATTAGCTGACAAAAGTTGACCCGTTTTTGAGACTCGATGCTCTATCTATATAATCTTAGATATCAACATATAGTCGAAACCTTTGAATGTAGAATTTAGAAAATTTTCAAATAGATTCTCTATATAACAATAAACGAGTAATAAAAAAGGAATTTTGAAAATTCGACCCCTGGGAAGTTAAAACAGACGTTAAAACCTTGTATGTAATTTAGCCAGTTTAGATTTTTTTTTTTTGATGGGTGAAAATGGAATGGTAACCAATGGAAGAGTGATAGTTTCCAGAGAACCGCGAGGAGGTCACTAACAATCCTTTCCTCCCCGCCAGTTTAGAAGTTAGATACATAAAGTTTAGTGTTTAGTGTCATGATTCAAAATCATCATCATTTTCCTACTCTTAACCCAAGGGGGGGGGAGGGATTGTTAGTAATGGAGATTGAAAATCCCATTGCTAGCAATATACCCAACTAGGTCGACCTCCTCGTGGTTCCCCCTGGAAACTATCATGGTTAATTCCTGATGAATTCATCGTGATGGGCTAACTGGCCTGTTTTCATTCTCATCTGTCACCCTGCACTGGTGCTCCGTCATCGTATCCCGTTAGCGCAGGCGGGGTTACGATTCCATTTTCATCCACCAAAAAAAAACCCCAAGGGGGGGGAGGATTATTAATAATGGAGAATAAGGTCCCCATTGCTAGCAATACACACAACCAGGTCGACTTCCACGTGGTCCCCCTGAAACCATCGTGCTAAATCCCAAGTGATGGATGAAAATGGCATGCTAACTCCGCCTGCCCTATCGGTATACGTTGGCCGGGCACCAGTGAGGGACGATAGATGTGAATGAAAGATGGTTTCCAGAGGAACCGCGTGGAGGTCGACCTGATAAGGTATATTGATAGCGATGGGGACTAACCTCCCCATTAATAACAATCCCTTCCCCCCTACCAGAGTATACTGTTAACGCGGGCGGGGTTTTTTTTTTGATGGGTGAAAATGGTATGGTAACCCCGCCTGCGCTAACGGGATACGCTGGCGGAGCACCAGTGGAGGGTGATAGATGAGAATGAAAACAGGCCAGTTAGCCCATCATGATGAATTCATCAGGAATTAACCATGATAGTTTCCAGGGGGAACCGCGAGGAGGTCGACCTGGTTGGGTATATTGCTAGCAATGGGATTCTAAGTCTCCATTACTAATAATCCCTTTCCCCCCACGCGGGCGGGGTTGCCATTCCATTATCATTCACTAAAAATACTTCCTTAAAGTGATCTTATTAGGCGGCGTGGGGGGCTTAACGTCTGCCGGGTCAATGTTATATAATAAAAGTAGTGATACGACGGCGTTTAAACATTTACTACTAGTCACACCGCGACATGGAACGCACCAGTTTTATCTTTACTCCATTAATCTTATAAGACGTCGGTAGAAATAATGATAGCAAGTCCACGGCCTTGACCGTTCAGTATTTGCGTACCCATTCACACATATTTTGTAATCAAACATTCGAAATATTATTTTTTAACTCTAAGTTTTTTAATAGAAGCGAATTAAAATACAATAATTGGCAATAAACTGGAATGAAAAATGAAAACGTCCGCTGTATTTTTAGCTAAAAGGTGAGTTGTAATTATTATTTTATTTATTAAATAATTTAAATAAAGATTTCAATATTAATTTGTTTGTTATATGAATATCAAACGTGTATCGGTTTTATTACGTCCATTAATAACAATAATACTAACTTGAATATGTGTTAATTGATTAATCAATTTACCTATTACGGTTTAACTTATCAATCCAACGCTTAATTTATGTAGATAAGAGCTAAAATTGTTAATTAATTAATGACTATTTTTATTAGTTTATGAGTAAATCATTGACAAATAACATGATTCACTTATCGCAACCTACCAAAAAAATTTTACACATGTCACCATATGAATGACATTTGTAACTTTTTTTTACCACACCAGTGTTGCCAATATTTCACTTATTTATCTTAAAATATGTATTTTAAAATGCCCATAAAATACAATCTAGTATTGTTTCTTATAGAACGATAAATGCATAAAAATATTTTAGTAAAATTTACTTTTATTTCAATATATAATATTTCACTCAAATAATTTTGCTTTTTTTTTTCATGTATAAAAATGATTAAAGAATATTCCAATTTCTCAAAAATTTTAACTAACTTCAAAAAGATGGAGGTCCTATGTTCCACTTTACATGTTTTTTTTAAATAGTTTATTTTTTTTTACAACCTTGATTACTAGTAAAAATGAAGGGTAACCAAGATGAGTGTCAAATGTGATAACTAAAGAACATGTTTTCAAGATAAAATCTTAATAAATAATTCGAATAGAAATATTTATAAAAATGTTTCAACCCAGTTTATACCCGCGACCTCATTTTCACGAAATAACACGTCTACCTCTGCTCAGGTCGTGAAGTTATATTACATTTGCTAATACCACCCATATGACGGTGTATGTTATCCTCTGGAATTAAGTTTTTTTAGACCACCTTTGTTATATTATCACGATGCGCGCTAACTGACCTGCCTGTTCATTCTCACCTGATTCCTCACTGGTTCCCCGCCATTGTATACCGTTAGCAAGGCTGGGTTACCATTCCATTATCATACATAAAAAATTGCATTTGTATGGAGATAGTCTATCTATATAATCAAGGCCAAAAACATGTGGCTTACCGGTTTTACATGTCCTTCAACGCATAGAGCAAGCGGCAAACAAAATTTGAAAATTTATATACCTTTATTTGCAGTCTCATGAAAAGCATCATACGACAAACAGAAAAGGAGGTCACAATTAAAGCTCCATGGGGTAATATAAAAGGTAACCACATACACACACACACACACACACACACACACACACACACACACGCAAACACACACGCGCGCACGCACGCACGCTCGCACGCACGCTAGCACGCACGCTCGCACGCACGCTAGCACGCACGCTCGCACGCACGCACGCACGCACGCACGCACGTATGTGACTATATAGTCACATATAATGCGATTGCACATCAGACGGTATGCTTGTTTGCCAATATTGTGGTATAAAAAAAAATACATGAGAAGTTTGATTTGCTATCATACTACAAATTCATATTTTATTACTATTAATCAGGTAAGTTGACACGTGAACCGGATACATGCGGCCGAACTTAATGACTGATGGATGGCAAAACAATAATTTGATATTGAAATATAATACTTTACTGAACTAGATGTTGTCTTACGGAAGTCCATATCACTGGTTATTAGTACAAAAATATTTTATTTAGTTCCACTACCATTAGATATATGTGTGACTGCCAAAATTGGAAGATTGACTTGCACTGTTACCACCAAATGTTCCATAACCTCTAAATTTTAAATTTTTTTGAATTTTTGTATGTCTGTCTATATATCTATTTATTCGGGCATTATGCAAAAACTACTGCACCCATTTCGTTGCGATTCTCACAGTTATATTTCTAAAAGGTCTAACTTAAAATGTGATGCATGTTTTATCTTGATATGCCATTTATTAATAGTACAGTAGAATCTCGATTTTCCGAATCGAATAAAACCAGGGGTATTCCGCATAATCGAAAATCCGGATAATCGATTACAAAGTCCAAATTAAACAATATGTATTTAAAGTTTTAATTTTTTATTGTGTTAATGGTTTTGCATACGTCATTTAGACATTACGATATAAAAAAAAAATACGAGAACAACATTTCTAAATCGGTAATTAGGGTCGTGGAGAAGTAAGTCCGGATAATCGAATATTCGGATATGCTAGATTCTACTAAATTCTAACTCTAACTTCATTGGTTTTTATACTTTTAAAACCACGTGTACGAAGTAGCGGGCATAAAGATAGTTTGTAATACATATTAGTAAGGATTTGTGACTCAAACAAAGCAATACGAACCAAAGCATCCCTATTAATATTATAAATGCAAAAGCAACTGTCTGTCTGTCTCTTACGCTTTTACCCCCAAACCAGTGAACCAATTCTGATGAAATTTGGTACAGAGATAACTTAGAGCTTGTAAAAGGGCATAGCGCTCACGACTATTAAACCCGCGAATGTGTTGTCCCTCTGTACCCTGTAAATTAATTTTCAGCTTTAACTTGGGGCAACCCGTCCAACCCTCCGGTGTTGCTGTGCCACGGAAGACTGGACGCCTGCACCTCGTTCCGTCCCCTGGCCGCGCTGCTACCGGACACTTTTTTCTATGTGACTGTAGATTTGCCAGGGAACGGACGTTCCGACCACCTGCCAAAAGGCGCGAGATACACGATATTGGATTTTGTGCCTACAATTCAAAAGATTAAGGATTATTTTAAATGGAACAACTTCGCGTATATTGGACATTCATTGGGAGTTATCATAAGTTAGTTTTTTATTCTATTAATATTATACATGTAATATTTTTCCATGCCGTGTGGTCCTGGCATAGAATAGGCCATTATTTCCTTTCCCGTGGGTGTCGTAAGGGTCGACTAAAGGAGGGTGAGGGATGGGCAGCAGCGTTCCTCTTAAAACATCTATGCGATTGCCAATTCACCTGCCAAGCGTGGTAACTACTGGCAAATCTCCTTTATGGGAAACCATAAATACCATTTTCCATTAGCTGTTTTTTACCACAACTGAAGCCTGTTTTTGTGAAAAAAAATAATTATTTCAATCATTAACAGCAAAAGATATATATATATATATATATATATATATATATATATATATATATATATATATATATATATACTAATTTCTATATAACTTAGAATGGCAAACGAGCTATAGGTGTCCACCTGATGAAAAATAATAACCGTCGCCTATCAATATGAGCAGTACCATGGACATAACAGAGTACACTCTTTCGCCCATGATACCCCCCATGCGTTGCCATTCCTGAGGACTCAGGTGTTATTCCTCTGTACCTTGTAAATTCACTGCCATATCCCATCCTTCAAACCGAAACACACACTATTATAATATGTATGTTTATTTTATGAATGTTTGTGTGTGTGTGTCATCTAAAATCTACTTTTTTTAAACCGCCATCAATATCTCTGTACATCCTACCTGTCAACCTTTAGGATGAGAAGTAGAGAAGGCCTACAGCAAGTCCGTCTTTTGTATCACATTTTATTGGGGAAAGAAGTTTAGACTAAAAAAAAAAAACAAAAAAAAGCTACAGAAGGCATTATTCCTTTTAGGCAAGTATTACGACATAGCGTATCCAGGAGATATCTTGCGCAGCGTCGAATTGGACCCTATGCCAGCATACTTCACCTTCAGCCCTGATGAATTAAGCAATTGGTATAAATTCAGCTATGAATTATTCTACAGTGAAGAGCGCTATCCGAAACTCAATGGGAGCTTGGAGACAGCTCCGAAGTACACCTATGAACAGGTTGGGCTTTAACTAGCTCTATCTCGTGGCTGTGCCCGCGTGAGTTAGTATATAAAGTAGTTATAAATTTTTTTTATACAACTTAGAATGGCAACGAAGCTAACGGTCCACCTGATGGAAAGTGGTAACCGTCGCCTATAGACATGAGCAGTACCATGGACATAACAGAGTATACTGTTTCGCTCATGATACCCCCCATACGTTGTCATTCCTGAGGACTCAGGTGTTATTCGTACCCTGTAAATTCACGCCATATCCCACCCTTCAAACCGAAACATAGCCATGCAAACACAACTGCTTCACGGAAGGAACACGAATGGAACAGAGGTACCCAAGCAATCGACTTTTGTGCAGTCTCCCTCTGGTAATATCAGTACCGCCCCGATATATACGTATTGGATTCCTCCGGAAATAGATGAGGGAAAAAGGCTATCACCCATTTCAATATCGCCTATAATATATCAGCTTTTAATTGTCCACTGTTAAACACAGATCTCTCTCTATTGGGGAGGTTTTGCTAGTAGTTGCCTCATTTGGCAGGCGGGTTAGGCCTTGGAGGTGTTTTAAGAGGGACGCTGCTGATCCGTCGCCCTCCTTTAGTTAGCTCATACAACACCCATGTGACAGGAAGGTGTGGCCCTTTTCTATGTCTGTTATATTAGATACTACATAGTGTTATTTTGTTTAATTCCGCTACCATTAGTATATTTGCAACTGAAAAACTAAAACGTCATCTGTTAAATTGAGGGACGATGTTAAGAAAAAAATGTGTGGTTTCCGAACTACATCGTCTGTATTGTCTATTCACCTGTATTCTATTCTCTATGATTGCTCTCTCTCTCAAAATAAAATGGCTGAATCATTCCTACAGGTTTTTCTTGTCTCTGCAATTTTAATAACATCTAAATCTCTATCTATACATATCTCTATCTAGACATCTATTTCATTGGGTTTTCCTTGGTATGACAATAAGCTAATGGCTTACCTGATGGAAAGTGGTAACATATACAGAGCAGTGCGTTGGGACATCTAATGTAGTCTTAAAATTTCTCTTCTTTTAATAGATTCTTGAGCTAACAATGAAGAGTAGAGGTCTGTCCAGGGAACCGGCGGAGCAAATTCTAGAAAGGTCTCTGGTGCCTGCTGGCGACGGGTTGTATTGGTAAATACCCAGTTTTAAGACTAGATAATGACGTCATTTTGAAGTAATTTTAGGGTTGCCGTCATGCAAATTTTATTGGAGGTTAAAATGGAATGGTAACCTCACCTGTGCTATCTGTATACATTGGCGGAGCACTAATGAAGGACGATAGGTGAGGATGTGGTCAGATCTGGCCCATCGTGGCAAATTAACCACAATGGTTTTTGGAAGGATTATGCGGTGTTCAGTCTGACAGTTCAGGGTATATTGATAACAATACGGCTTCATTATTAACATTTTTTTTACACCACGAAAGTAGCATATATGTATACAGCCTGTCTAAAGGTAAACGGGGTTACCGTGGCCTGTAACCTACAGTAGACTATTTCACCTAAAAAAAAGAATATACAAATCGGTTTAGAACTAACGAAATTATGGGGTAACAAACATAAAAAAAAAACAACCGAATTAAGCATCTCTCTCTTTCTGTAATCGATTTGGAAAAATCAACTCTATACACCAAACTGAGAGTAGTGGATTGTAATAATAAAAAATTCATGAACGATGTAAATTGTTTGTTGATTTGTATTTATTATTATTAATTTTATTTAAGTTAAATCCGTGTGAATCCGTGGAAGCAGATTACACCGAGGATGCCGACCCTTCAGAAACCTTAATATACCCTTTTCGAAGAACCCCATGTTGTAGTTTCTAGAGAAAGCCTAGGGAAGAAAATCATTCCACAACCTGAAAATCTGAAATCACACTGTGCGTGACCATTAACTAATAACGCTAAATATTACCAGAGGCAGATTCTGCATAAAAGTCGTTTGCTTAAGCACCTCTGTCCCATTCGTGTTTCTATCGTGAAGCAGTCGTGTTTGCATGGTTGTGTTTCGGTTTGAAGGGTGGTATATGGCAGTGAATTTACAGGGTACGCAGGAATGACACCTGAGTTCTCAGGAATAGCAACGCATGGGGGGTATCTTGGGCGAAACAGTATGCTCTGTTATGTCCATGGCTCATGCCTATAGGCGACGGTTATGCACTGTTATATTTAAATAAAACTTATTCAATTACAAAGATATATTTATTAACTTCAAAGAGCGCGAACCAAGGTGGGAAACCAACCGGAAAATCCGCAAGTACATACATGTCAACTAATGTCATCTGTCAATTAAGACGCGTTCCTTTTATACATATTTAAACTAGGTACGTTCATCCTTTAATCACTTTCCATTAGGTGGGTCGTTAGCTTGTTTGCCATTCTAAGTTGAATAAAACAAAAAATATTTTTCTTTCAGGTTGGTATACGATCAACGAATGAAAGTATTAGCAATGCTCCCACACTCGCCCGAACAGTTACAAAAAATCTATACCTCGCTGACAACACCCACATTTTGTATTTTAGCAACAGAGACCCTAAAAACGGGTCACTACGACAAAGTGCCGTTCGTTAAAGACGTAACACTTTGGCCAAATAAGAACTACAGGGTTAAAATAGTGGATGGCGGTCATGACGTGCACGTGGAGAGACCAGAGTGCATTGCGAAGGACATTTCTGAGTTTTTATTGGAAAAAATTTGATATTAATACTGGTGTTGTGTGCCAGGCAATGGATAATTATTTATTTCCTTTTAAGTGATAATTTATTATGATTTCATTACACTCGTTATAAGTGATTTTTATTGAAAATTTCATCTCCCTAGGGGGGTTTTGCCGGTAGTTACCACGCTTGGCAGGCAGATTGGCAACCGTAGTTAGGCTTTGGAGATCTTTTAAAAGGCTCGCTGCTGCCCATTCCTCACACTCCTTAGTCGCCTCTTACAACACCCACGGGAAAAGAAGGGGTGACCTATTCTATGCCGGGACTACACAACAAATGGAATGGAACAATGTTTTATTTAAGGATGAGGGAGGTATTTTTTTAATGGATGGTATTGGAATGGTAGCCCCGTCTGCGCTATCGATTTACATTGGTGGAGCACCAGTAAGGGATGATAGGTGAGGATGCAAGTAGGTCAGTTGGCACATCGCAATGAATTCACCTGAAACGATACGAACACGATATGATATGAACACGATAGTTCCCAAGTAGACGTTTTACCAATGGAAGACTATACAATAGTTATCTATTTGGGTACCTCAATCCCATTCATGTTTCCCATTGTGTATAAAGGTCAACCGTCCACTGCTAAACGCAAGTCTCCTCCTTAAGGTAGCTTTCGACAGTAATTGTTACACTTGGCAGGCGGGTTGGCAATCGTAATTAGGATTTTTTCATAATACCGCCAAATCCTTTTAAAGCTTATATTGGGTAGAAGAATGATCTACCTGTTTATTTCGCTCTTACAAATATATTGTTTCTCTCTTACATTTCAAATTTAAATATTTTAAACCTGAAAATGATTAGCGCGTAAATGGCAGTAAAAACCAGTAGCGCCTCTGTAGAGCAATTTAGTAACTAAAATTAATACATATTTTATTACCTAAGTAGGATCTACTAAGTCTCTAAAATCGCCACTTGATCGCTAGTGGTTCCATAGACTAAGTAAAACATACTCACGTACTAAAGTGATACTGTGAGTACAATTTTTTTTTTTCAATTTTTTTACCACAGGTGGCAAACAAGCATACTGCCCATCTCATAGTAATCGATTGCCATAGCCTATGTACGCCTGCAATACCAGGGGCTTTACGCGCTCGTTGCCGACCCTGAAGAAATCTCTTTACCCGCCTTTTGAAGAACATCATGCTGTAATCTCTTGGTGAAATCTCGGCAAGAAGCTCATTCCATAATCTGAGTGTTCGTGGGAGAAAACATCTCTAAAACTGCGTTGTACGCAACCATTTTGGCTGTAGGGTATGAAGGTGAACTCCCTATCGATGGCGAGCCATCATACCGCTCGCAGAAAAAGGATGTAAAATAGATAAATTATATGATTCTGACGTTAAATACGATAACTGTCAAATTGTATCAAATATTTGTTTAACAGATACCATTGTCAATTATAATCACCCACAATAATCATTAAATCATAAATAAATATTAAGCAATAATAAAAGCAAATAAAAGTCATTTCATGTCATAATAGTATATTATATAATTTATTTAAATAATAACAATAACAAGTAAATAATCAAATGTTATAATGTTTTTCTATATTTAACACATCTCGGCATATTTTATTTCTGAAATAGCAGTAGGTACATAAAAAAACGAATGACAAATTATTTACCGATCGTATCCCGCGGCTCCGCCCGCGTGATTTAGTACATAAAGTATCCTGTATGCTAAGTTAGGATATAATCTATCTGTGTACCAAATTTCATTCAAATCCGTTCAGTAGTTTTTGCATGAAAGAGTAACAAACATACATCCATCCAAAGTTACAAACTTTCGCATTTATGGTATAAATAAGTTGTCATTTATATTGTGCATTTATTAAAAATGCTTCTATATTTTTTTACAAATATAAAAAAAAACACTTTTTCTTTTTAAAAGTTGCTGTTTCGAAGGTGACTTTTTTATTTATTCTTTATTGACCATATTACAAAAGGTACAAAAGGCGGACTAAATGCTTTTTTTTTTATTTTAAAACTGCGAAATTTAATTGTACTTGATGCGGGTTTCAATCATATTTCTATATACTTTCTTCAAAAGGTATTGTGTATACAAATCGCTCGAAGCCGGGTAGGTCGCTAAATTTTTTTTTTTATTACTACTATATACTAGACTTTTCTGTTCTATTTCTAGTAATTAAAAGACGAAGTAAAAATATTGTCTATGTCAAGTATAGAATATATATATATATATATATATATATATATATATATATATATATATATATATATATATATATGTATATATATATATATACATATATATATATATATATATATATATATATATACAATAATACCGAGTATTGCACCATAATCACATTTTATATACAGAAATAATTTATTGATATATCCAAAGCCCTTAATCCCTCCCACCCTTCACTGGTGCCCCACCAGCGAATACCGATAGCGCTGACAGGGTTAACACACCATTATTAATACATCAAAAACTCATTTGAACCACAACTAATATTATAAACTAGCTTTATGCCCGCTACTTCGCTCGCGTGGATTACAGAAGAAAACAAGACCACTTCTAGATAGCGTACCGAGATGAAGCGAAATTATACCAAGATTTTTAAACTATCAAAATACCAAACTGTGAAGGTATTTTAGAGGACTAAACAAAATAACAGTCGGAGATTGATGTCTAATATGGAAGGTTCTGGAACTTCTGCTAGTAATAATGGTGGTCAATCTTCGAGTGTTGCCAGTCGCACGCATACTAACGATAGCGGAATTAAACAAAATAATGCTAATGAAATAACCAAAACATCAACTATAATTTACACTTCTCTTTTTTAAAATCACGATTCAAAAAATCTTTAATGTATCCAATTATTCTGTCCGGATTCGTCAAGTGGACATCGTGGTCACCTTCGACTGTTACCAATACAAAATGTTGCATGTTCTTTGATAGGTCTGAGAGTAGTTTTTCGACGTGCGCCTTCCCTGGTAAGTAGCCCTGACTTAATGTACACTGTATGTGCAGAGTGGGGGGTGAATTTCTTGAGAACAATTGGTAATAATAGTCGGGGGAGTAATTTTGGGGGGCAGGGAATCGGAGGCGACGGTCCCACGAGAGTCTGAAACAAATATTTGAAGTTTGTATTATACAAATTAAATTTCGCACAGATGGACAGACAGAAAGATAAATTAGTATATATATATATATATATATATATATATATATATATATATATATATATATATATATATATATATATATATATAATATGTAAGATGAAAAAACTAATAAAATATAAAAAAATATATATAGGAGAGACTTATGTCCAACAGTGGACAGTTAACAGCTGATAGGATGATGACGATGATGATAAAACTTACTTGTATTGATCATCGCTGATACACTTCAAGCTTCTGGACAGCGCTATCTCCGCTTTCTCCACGTCCAGTCCCCTGGCCCTTATGACAGCGTCGATGGCCCTCTTTTTCGTGTAAACTCTGTCGTCCACGTTATATTTTTTATAATTATCATAATATTCCGCGTAGAAGGCGTCGAAATATTCCGACATATTGTGGATCTGTAGACGCTGCATGGCCATTGAGCCATCGAGTAGAATGAACTTTTTAACGCGGCCAGGGTAGATGACGTTGTAGAATAGGCCTGGAATTGATAGTTTTTTTTTTGTGACAGGGAAATTTAAGAATATAGATAGATAGATACTCTCTATTGTTTCCTCCAAAAGATTACAATAGTAAACTTATTATAAATATAAACAATTACAAGAAATAATCACAATGAGAAAACAATGGGCGGCCTTATCGCTAAAAGCGATCTCTTGCAGGCAACCTTTGGATGGAGAGGAGTTATTATAAACAGTTTATATATATATAAAATTGAACTACAAAAAAGATTCTGAGAATAATTGCGTTTGAATATTTTTTACATGTTCTTCCTACTATGTTGTCTTCCTACAAATCATTTGTAGGAAGACAACAGCTTACAGTTTAATAAAACTACGTGTAATGAATGAAAATCAACAGCAGTTTATTTGATTAAACTAAAATAAAAAATAAAAAAAAAATAGTTTTCGCGAAAAAGGGTCCGGTAGAATTGGTACATAGGCACTTATTGACATTCTGTAATTTTAAAAATATGTAAAAAGTGCTTATATTGTTTAAAATGAAAAATAAAAAATCTACCCTAGATTTTTATATTTCAAATCAAATGGGGAAAAAAAAAGTAGGTATAAAATCGCTCACCCTGGTCACAGCCGTTGGAGTGTCCGATATAAGTGAACTGATCCCACTTGAGGTGGTTGACGATAACCTCCAGGGCACCCAAGAAGTGGATACGACACAGTGTGACACCTAGAACAATTCTTACTAATATTATAAATGTGAAAGTGTGTTTGGTGCCTTATAGCGCCTTAACGGTTTAACCGATCAATATGAAATTTGAATGGAAAGCAAAAACACATATATACGTTTTTAATTTAGTAAGCATATCCCGGTCACACGTATAAAGTCACGGGTAAAAGTTAATAAGTTATAAACTTTTTAAAAATAGTAGTTTTTTGCTTTCACTAAACATTCGAGTCCTTTGCACAAAGTCTTCTTAGAGTAAAAAAATTACCTTTTTTAATTACAAATTACATTTTTTTATTTATTTTACTTATCTTATTCATTATTATTATCATATCTGCCCTTAACTGTCCACTGCTGAACATAGGCCTCTCCCTTTGGGGGGTTTTACCAGTAGTTGCCACGCTTGGCAGGTGGATAGGCGTCCGCAGTTAGGCATTGGAGATGTTTTAAGAGGGATGCTGCTGTCAATCCTTGCACTCTCCCTTAATTATCATTTAGGACATCCATGTGAAAGGAAGCGGTGGCTTATTCTATGCCGGAACCACACAGCATAGAATAGGTCACCCCTTTATTTAACATATTATTTTTACTAATCTTATTATATACTAGCGGCCTGTCCCGGCGTCGCACGGGTGGACATTTTTACATTTTAAAAAGTGGCCATTAAGGTTGCACACGCGACGGAAGCTTAAAAATGGAGTAACTTCTCCCATTTTCCCAACATTTCCCTTCACTGCTCTGCTCCTATTGATCGTAGCGTTATGAAAAGTATACTATAACCTGACCAAGAGTACGAAGAATAATTGTACCAAGTTTCGTTAAAATCCGTAGAGTAGTTTTTGTTTCTATAACGAACATACAGACAGACAGACAGAAAAATTTTACTAACTGCATTTTTGACATCAATATCGATCACTAATCACCCGCTGATAGTTATTTTGGAAATATATTTGATGTACAGAATTGACCTCTCTACAGATTTATTGTAAGTATAGATTATTAAAACTGTATCTATGCAATATATGTAGTACATAGGAGATATTTAAGAAAAATTAATATGAGGGGTCTTAGTAGGACCAATAGATGTCAAAAATAATAAAATTTAAACATATCGTCTGTATATCCATATATTTGTTCTACTTAAACTAGAAAAACTACACCAAATTGGATTTTTTTTATACAACTTAGAATGGCAAACAAGCAGACAGACCACCTGATGGAGAGTGGTAACCGTCACCTATAAACATAAGCAGTACCATGGACATAACAGAGTATACTGTTTTGCCCATGATACCCCCTATGCGTTGCCATTCCTGAGGACTCAGATCTTATTCCTCTGTACCCTATAAATTTACACCATATCCCACCCTTCAAACCGAAACAGCCATGCAAACACAATTGTTTCATGGTAGAAACACGAATGGGACAGAGGTACCCAAGCAATCGACTTTTGTACAGTCTCCCTCTGGTAAAGAAATGGATGCAGTTTTCCCAATTATATAGTGTATATTTTATCCTGATATGACATCTAGAACTGGTCTAGTTTCCTACCTCTGAAATCCACGCAGACAAAGTAGCAGACAAAAATCTAGTATATTTTTAAATACATAATCAGGGCTTAACGTGATGAAAAAGCTTTTATGGGTAAATAGTATATACATATCTGCTTCTTTATTGACCACATTTCGACCTAGATTGCACTACAGTATGGTCATGACAGGACAGGACATTTCGCCACGTTAAGTCCCAATTGTGTATTTAAAAATATGTGTAAACAATCCCAAATACGCACAACAGCCCCAATGAGAGGCTAAGTGCGGAAAATGGAGTCCTATTTACATTACATTTACAATCGCAAAGGGTAAAATTAACTAAAAATGTACTATAATCGTAAAACAAATTAAAATAAAACTCACCGACAGGGAACGGATCCGACTTTCCATTTCCAGGCAAATCTGCACCCACATAGTGGTAATTATCTGGCAGTAACTCCAACAGTGGGATGAATGTGGCTACACTGTCTGAACGGCCGTGTACCAGCAACACTGGCTCACCATCGGGATTACCCCAGGATATCACTGAGAATGTGAACATGTTATGGTTTTTTATTATTAAAAAATCAAGAACTGATCCTGAAACTAGTCGAGAGTTCTCAATCTGTCAGTTAGATTGCCTGTGGTCTCCCCTGGAAACCATAATGCTGGTGTAAACATCATGATGGGCTAACTGATCTGCCTTTTCCTTACCAATCATCCCTCACTGGTGCCTTGCTAGCGTATACTGATCGCGCAGGCGAGTTTACCATTCTATTAACATCCATTAAAAAAAAAAACACTTTAAATCCGTTTTCTAAATTTGGATTTAGCAACAATATGATACCACTTCGAGTAATAAGAAATAAATATTAATTTATTTACGATGTTTTATGGCCTTCCCTACTTTTCCATTACACAGACATTTCCTTTCAAAGCATCTATAGGTACAATAAGTAAATTTTATAAATTTATAAAAATATAAGATACTCACTTGCTATTTTACCCCATGGTGCATTGATAAACCATTCTTTATTTGGTTCTTTCATAATTGAATTTGGTTTTATTTGCATGTAATTTAAAATTAAGGTTAAATTATTCAATATTATAAATTAATTTTATTTTGGGAAAAAAATCCCTCAAATTATTACAGTAAGTACATATTTATAATTTAAAGTGTAATTTTCAATATTATTTAAATATTTGGAAAGTTTTTAAAGATAAGATAAATAAATAAAAGTATAAAAAAGAAAATTCTAAACAACTATCAAAGACACAGATCTATGTCAGTTCGAATAAAAAATATTTGAATGTGTCTACGCAAACAATAATTTTTATGACTTAAAAAAATTAATGATATAGCTGTTGCTATGATACTCATCAATGCCAATATTTTGGATAAAGAAATATTATATACTAGCGACCCGCTCTGGCTACGCACAGGTGCAATGTAAATAAATAGTGCCGCCGGCGCTGGCGCCGACTCCTATTACATTACGATATTATATTATAGTGATGGGATTCGAGTTGCTTTCCACTCGAGTGACTCGAGTAGTTTTTATATTACATGCACTCGAGTTAAATTTTTGACGACTCGAGTTTCGAGTGACTCGCGTCGACTCGAATTACGAGTGACTCGAGTTGACTCGTACCACTCGAGTGGTTTATACCGAACCGAGTGAGAAATTCAAATTATGACAAGCTTACCCGCGGTAGCAGGAAACTTTTAAGAGAGAAAATTCTTCCTGATGCTTATCATGCCGCACGCACTATAATTGTAGATATTCTACATTTAGTTGAATATACGGCTGCTACAACAGATTTATGGACTTCTGACAATAATAAAGCATACCTAACTATTACAATACTTATAATTCAAAACTTTTTTCGCAAACTGTTACTACTAAAGAGGTTACGGAGAAACATTCTTCTATTATTTTAACAAGTGTGCTGAAGTCGATATTATCGAAGCCGTTTGGTAGGGGAGAAATTGATCAATTTATTTTTTTAAAGTAGTTATTACACCAATTTCAGTTAAATTTGTTATCTCATTAAAGATACATTATTTTTGTTTTTTGTTGAGTTTATTTAAGTTTCATTTAAGTTAATTTTAAAACACGTATATTATTACATAAAATGTGTAAGAACATAATAAAACTGTTCATATTTGGATCTCATGAAAGTTCCTTGTTAGAATAAATTAAATTGGATTAGAACTTATTAGTAGTAGATTATAATATTTTAATTTGACTGATAGTTGATATAAGAGGTTTCTTGATTATGTAGTTTGAAGGAAAATTCTATTTTTTACATTTTGTTTAGATTTTTTTTTAAAAAAATGAATACACATTTTCTATGTAAAATTAAAACTGTTTTATTCGTTTTAAAATTTTGGTCACTCGAGTTTTATATTCCGAGTGACTCGAGTCAATAAAAATCACTCGAGTTTTATCTTCACTCGAGTGGCATTCAAGTGAGTAACTTATCAGTACCGAGTGAATCGAGTGAAAAAAAATCACTCGAGTCCCATCACTATTATATTAGAAACCTTTAAAATTATTAGTATTTCTTTACTATATTATGGATATATTATACATATAAACTTTCTTCTTGAATTACTATATTCAATAAAAAAAAAACCGCACCTAAGTCCGTTGCTTAGTTTTAAAGATCTATGCATAAATTAGGGTAGACAGCGAGAAGCGATTTTGTTTTATACTATGTAGTGATAATTGTATAATACCATAAATACGCTTTTATTTCATTGTATCACTACTTTCAAATAATTGCATAGATTTATTTATATATATATATTATTTTATTTCTCATTTATAAGTTTCGTAAACATATATATAGTGCCGACTCTTAATTAATGGACCAATGTGATATCTTTGATGACAGTGGTGATATGTCATTGTCAAAGTCAAATTCAATCATAAATATATATTATTCCAGACAAATTATCTTTTTGAAGACTAGGCAGCATGGTCTCCGACCTTAGCCTGTTCCAAACGGAACAAACGTACTAAAAAAAAAAAAATCATAAATATATAAAAAAAAGTGTCACTGAATTGCTAGTAAAGCAAATTGTCTATTTTATCAATAAGTATAATAAATAACTAGACAATGTTTGCACTTCGAAAATACTTAAGAGAAATTTATGTAAAGAGTCTAAATAAAAATAATAGAAGCTAAGATAATGTAAAATTTTTGTTTGTCTGTTTCACATGTCTGTTTTACACGAAAACTATTGCACAAAATTGAATATAGTTTTCACCATTATGTTAACTAAAGGTCTAATTTAAAAACATCAGTATGAATTGTTGCAGCCAACAGGTACAAAAAATAGACGAAGTGAAATACGTGTGCACACGCAATGCGTGAGTGACTGTGCAAATAGTTCTCAAGATATGAGAAGTCCATCGCATCTGGGAATTTTTAATCAAATTACGAATGGCGGTCTATGGCGCGATTAGTTTTATCTTTAAAACGCTTATCTCATTAAATTTTTATGTTGTTTTAGCAAAAAGTCAGTGTAAGCAAATTTTTTTTTTTTTTACAACACGGGGCAAACGAGCATGCGGCTCACCTGATGGTAAGTGACTACCGCCGCCCATGATCACCCACAACACCAGCGGCATTGCAGGTGTGCTGCCGGCCTTTTTATTTTTGATTATTTATTGATTTAATTAATTTTTGATTCCGTTGTTGCTTGTTGTTTTTAACTCTACATGGGTGGGGGAAGGGATTGTTGGTAATGGGGAGGTTAGTCCTCATTGCTATCAATATACCGTACCAGGTCGACCTCCACGCGGTTCCCCCTGGAAACCATCGTAACTAATTTATCGATGAATTCGTCACGATGGGCTAACTGACCTACCTATTCATTTTCACCAATCATCTCTCACTGGTGCCCCGCTAGTGTATACCGATAGCACAGGCGGGGTCATCATTCCGTTATCATCCATTAAAAAAAAAAAAACTACATGGGTAAAGGATAAAAACATATTATGTTTTTATCCTCTATCCATGTAGAGTTACAATCATTCAATACGTATAAGCAAAAAAAAATGGGATATACGTGGTGTGGACCACCAATTAAAACATTAAGCTAATTTAAAAACGACTCTTTCTATTTTTGACAAATAATTGATGAGTTGTGCTTGCATGACTGTGTTTCGGTCAGTAAATTTAAATAAGGTACGGAGATATAATAGTTGACACGCTTGGCAGGTGGGTTAGCGTCCGCAGTTAGGCTTTGGTCGATGTATTAAAAGAGACACTGTTGCTCATCCCTCGACTATAAGCTCCCTTAGTTGCCTCTGCCGACACCTACGGGAAAGGAAGAGTGGCATTCTATGCCGGGACCACAGTGCAATTTTACTATACTAGATAACACTAACTAATTATGCATACTCACGAACTCTTACAATGGGTAATATGGGTACGTTTGGTTTTACTTGAAAAACCTTTACTTAAATCTAGACATATTGTAGTATAATTCATATATGTTTTTACTTTAATATTTTAATTCTTAAATGATTAAATAATTTTTTTTTGCATAATTATGTATTACATTCTTCTATCTATGGTCATCGGAACCAGCGGGTCTACCATGAAATGAAATTCCGAATTTTCGGACTCAATTTCGTGTTTTTGTTTATACCAAAATCGGATCAATAAATGGAGTTTAACATTTCTTTCGTCATACATCCTATTATAAAAGTCCAAAGAAACGATATTTTAACATTTTTAATATTTCCAAACAGTATGTATTATGTAATTTTAACATCAAATTTGTGTTTCATTTGGCTCCGAAATTTTGGAAAACATTTTATGGTAGGCCCTCAGGAACTCTTTTAGGCCGAAAGCTCGTGGCATTTTGCTCGCTCTACCATCCTATTGTTACGTCAGTAATTCCAACTTACCACAACTGGCCATCCGCTTACTTGTCAAAAATTACAGAAAAAAAATAACTCTATTCTTTTCACTATGCCCTTTATTTCTAAAATACATCACAATTTTGACTTAACCGTAGTACAATTTAAAAAGTCGGTTATCTGATGCACTACTTCTCGCGGACTAGTGATGTGCACATCATGTTTGCCTTCCACGTAGACGTTTCGGTGTACACTATTTGGTTCCGTATATGTTTTTAACAGTTTATTAGCTATTTCCACCATGACCGGTGTGAGATTGTGTTTCGTGGCGTTCACCACGAGGGTGGGGGGCGGGTTCGATGTGATCACGTGTTCTAACGTGTACTCTGGCAGCCAGGTGCCGTACACACGACGCATGGCTGATTGGAATGTCATTCTGGAATTAAAATATATTATTTATTTATTTATCAAGTTCTAACAAAGACTATCTCATTGGACAGCGTGTACCACCGGTGGCCCGCACTAGACTGCCTTTTCTGGCGGCGCGTACCACCGGTGGTATGTATTCGATGATGAAGCGTAGCATCAATAAGAGCGCCGCCTCGCAGCAAAAAACATTAAAGTCAGCCCCCGCGTGAACGTGTTAAAGGAGAACGTATAGAAGTGAGTATGTAGCGCAAGAATGAATTAATAATATAACAATGAAATGAATAATAATGGAATGGCCGCCCTGCCTGCGCTAACGGTATACACTGGCGGGGCACCAGAGGGATGATAGGTGAGGATGAAAGGGCAGGTCAGTTAGCCTATCGTGATAAATACACCTGGAATCCAACACGACGGTATCCAGAGAGGACCACGTACTACGTCATCTCCTATCTTCCCCCTCCCCCCTATATATTTATTTGCTACTTGTCTAGCAGGCCCAAAGGTTTAGATAAAGAACTCACTTGTACAGTCCATAGTCAGTTGGCACTAAACACCTGGCCAACAAGTGCTCTGTCTGCTCCTTGGTGAGGCTCCGCGCCTTCATCATGGCGGCGACAGCTTGCTCGTATTTGTAGAGTTTTGCATCATTTCTAAGAAATATATTAAATTCATTAACTTAGGTATCTTACACCAAAAAGTCCTTTAAAATATGAGAGTCATAATGTCATACATGTCGAGGTAAAAAAGAACAGACTCAACTTTTTTTTATCTATGGTCTTGTCTCTATGAAAAATGTCTGCTTTATGGTTATTTGTCTTTGATGAGAACTCGGTATTTGCTGTATTAATTTGAATGTCTGAGAATAAAGAAACAATTTATATCATATTAGAAACACGTAAAAAAGAATTAAAAAAGTGTTTTTATTATTAAAAATACACATTATGTTAATACAAGTAAATAAAAATTTCAAATTACGAATGCTGATATCCCAGCTAATGGAGTGTGTTTTTTTTTAATGGAATGGTAAGGAGGGGGGATTGTTAGTAACGCGAACAATACGTCCCATTGCTAGAAATATACCCTGTCATGTCGACCTTCAACCATTAAAAAAATCCCTGCTGCACTAACAGTATATGCTGGTGGGGCACCAGTGAGGAATGATAGGGGCGAATAAAAGCAGGTCAAGTTGGTTGGTCGATGGTTTGATAGTACAGAACCTGACAGGGTATATTACTACCAATGGGACTGGTAGTTCGCATTACTTATCTCTTCCCCCCAATGGAAAATTAATTTAATAAAATAAGTGTGTATGTGTGCGTGAGTGCGTGCGGGCGTGAGTGCATGCGTGAGTGCATGCGGGCGTGCGTGCGTGCGTGCGGGCGGGCGTAAGTGCGTGCGTGCGGGGTCAGGCGGGCGACCGGGCGTGCGTGCGTGCGTGCGTGCGTGCGTGCGTGCGTGGGTGCGTGCGTGCGTGCGTGTGTGTGTGTGTGTGTGTGTGTGTGTGTGTGTGTGTGTGTGTGTGTGTGTGTGTGTGTGTGTGTACGTTTTCCAAAAATAAATAAATAAATAAGATGGAAAATATAATAAAAGTTAAAAGCTTGGAAATTTATATTCGAGATCGGCGTATAAAAAAAAATGGAAAATGATAACCGCTGCATATAGACAGGAACAGCACCATGTATATTATACTCACGTTAGATCTTGGACGGGCGTGTTATGTTAACGTAGACAATCTATACTAGGATCGATCAATATTATATATTGATTGATTTTTTAACATAGTATTATAATTTTGTTATTATTAGTTGAATAAATAGTTGGTGTAATGTTAAGTCACTTACACGTATGTAGATATTAAATGTAATGTATCTTGTACCCAATAATAATTTTGCATGCTTTAGACTATAAGCCGAACATTTGTACTTCACAATGGATAAATGATCTAATCTAATCTAATCTAAGATTATGGTGAAGAGCTTAAGTAATAATAATAATAAATAAATGTAATCTTTATTTCAAAAAGTGGATTACAAAATTGATTAACAACGGTCCCCATATGGGTCGAGCCTGTATCTGGGGAACCTACTAACTATTAACATGGATATATATAATTTTAATATAAATATATATAATAATTTGTGTGTGTATGTGTGTGCGTGTGCGTGTGCGCGTGTGCGTGTGCGTGTGCGTGCGTGTGCGTGTGCGTGTGCGTGCGTGCGTGTGCGTGTGCGTGTGCGTATGCGTGTGCGTGTGCGTGTGAGTGTGAGTGTGCGTGTACGTGTGCGTGTGCGTGTGTGTGTGTGTGTGTTGTGTGCTCGCATTTCAATAAATATTTTAGAGTTGAAGTCTCCTTACTTACTTATTATATATGTCATAATATTCTTGGTAGTTCGACTTGTACCACAGGCCTAAATCGTAAATTACATAATACTGGTTCCCAACGGGCACTGCGGGGTCAATGATGATCATCCGCTCGACTTTACCAGGAAACGCGTGGTGATAGTAAATTCCTGGAAAGATTTAATTAAATAGTATTAATAAATAAATTAATTCTAAAGTTAACTGTTCACCGTTGAACATAGGCCTCCCACTTGGGGTCTTCTGCCAGTAAATCTATACTTATAATAAATCTGTAGAGAGGTCAATTCTGTACATCAAATATATTTCCAAAATAACTATCAGGGGGTGATTAGTGATCGATACTGATGCCAAAAATGCAATCAGTACAATTTTTGTCTTTCTGTCTGTCTGTATGTTCGTTATAGAAACAAAAACTACTCAACGGACTTTAACGAAACTTGGTACAATTATTCTTCATACTCCCGGACAGGTTACAGTATACTTTTCATCACGCTACGATCAATAGGAGCAGAGCAGTGAAGGGAAATGTTGGGGAAACGGGAGAAGTTACTCCATTTTTAAGCTTCCATCGCGTGTGCTGTCTTAATGGCCATTTTTAAAATGTAAAAATGTCCACCCGTGCGACGCCGGGACGGGCCGCCAGTAAACAACTAAATCAAGACAAGTTTAATTCAAGTAATCTAATTTATAAGGTAATGCTTATAAATTTGATTAAAAAAATACGCGCGGATGTTTAAGAGAGACGCTGCTGTCCATCTATCATCTGTCTATGCCGGAACCGACACGCACGCACGCACTTACGCACCACTAATAAATCCCATAGAATGTGACACAAAAATGAACGTCTTCCATCCCATGTGGTCGACTATCCGTCGAATAACCTCCGTCAACAGGGTCTGCGTCACGAGGGGTCCACTTTGTACGTGGTCAGATTTGCCGTGACCTGAAAAACAATGCGTTTCATTCAGTGGCGAAACAAATATAATATAAAAATAGTTAATTTCTAAGTAAATGATATAATTGTCTTTAAACATAGGTAGAACCCTGCTCCCTAAATTGGTAAAATTCTCCCTTATAGGGGAGGTCTATGTTCACCAATGGACAGTTAATATCATAAAATCAACACCATACTCGACTGGGGGGAAAGGGATTGTTAGTAATGGAGACTAAAAATCCCATTGCTAGCAATATACCCAACCAGGTCGACCTCCTCGCGGTTCTCCCTGGAAACTATCATGATTAATTCCTGATGAATTCATCATGATGGGCTAACTGGCCTGTTTTCATTCTCATCTATCACCCTTCACTGGTGCTCCGCCAGCGTATGCCGTTAGCGCAGGCGGGGTTACCATTCCATTTTCATCCAACAAAAAACAAAAAAAACTATACTCGACTATTAATAATAAATATTTATCCGTGATAAGATTTCTAATAAACAATTAAAATATTAAAGAAAAACAATTTTATTTAGCTAATCAGCTATTAATGTCATTAATTTATCACTCGCTATCATTTTTTTATTTATGCTCAAAACAAGGCCGTTAGGTTTAGGCATAAATTAAATTCCTTTCGCATTACGCATTATATTAAAAAAAAAAAAAAAACCGACCACGTGCAAGTCGAACTCCCTCACTGAGGATTCCACACAAATTAGGTGTGGGTAGGGGGGAAAGGGATTGTTAGTAATGGAGACTGAGAATCCCATTGCTAGCAATATACCCAACCAAGTCGCTCTCCTCGCGGTTCCCCCTGGAAACTATCATGGTTAATTCCTGATGAATTCATCACGATGGGCTAACTGGCCTGTTTTCATTCTCATCGATCACCCTTCACTGGTGCACCGCCAGCGTATCCCGTTAGCGCGGGCGGGGTTACCATACCATTTTCATCCAACAATACTAAAGCCATCCCTCGCCCATAAATTCCCTTAGTCGCGTCTTACGATACTCACAGGATAAGAGGTAGCCAATTCTATGCCGGGACCACACAGCGAGACGATTCTGGAGTATAAAATTATATTTTCCCTAGTCATTCCACAAAGAATTATTAGTCATGAAAATCATCATGGTTCGATGCACGATATAATATATCTCTGTGCCAAATTTCATTTAAAACATATTGATAAGAAAATATCATATAAAACTCACGCTTATCTAAATAAACCCAATAGCCTTGTTAACATAATTCTGTAAGATAATCATAAATTTCACTAGTTAATTATCATTTCCGCAATTTTTTGCATTTAGAAGACTCAATTCAATACACTGGATAATAAATCTAATATATAAAATTCTTGTGTCGCGGTGTTTGTTACTAAACTCCTTTGAAACCGCTTTATCGATATTTATGAAATTTTGTGTGCATATCGGGTCGGTCTGAGAATCGGCCAACATCTATTTTTCATACGCCTCAATGATAAGAGTGACCTACCTCATTTTTTTTTTTATATTTTTTTACTTAATTTATTTTTTATTGTACACAAATGTTTTTTTTTTATTTTATTTTATTATGATTAAGCATTGAAAAATACATACATCTTCAAATTTTCATGCTTTTACGATCAGCCCCTGTTTTTTTATCGCGATTTTTATATGCCGCAATAGGATTGCAAGATGGCGATCGAATATAATAATTGTAGTACGATAAATTTTCATGTATAGTTCTCGAAATAATGTATATGGTAAAACAACGTTTACCGAGTCAGCTAGTAAATAAATAAAAAACTATAACCAAAACTAAAAAAAAAAAAACAAACTCTGAATACAAAATTATGGCAATTGACAATGACAGTATCATTATAAAAAAAAAAAATTAAAAAAAAACAACGTGACACGTCAGTTTCGTAGCTGTTTAAATACATGTGTCAAGATTTAATGAAAGTTGGCTTCGGTATAGATGGAATTTATCTGTCTAAATAGTCTAAGACTAGGAATTAAGCCCAATGAAGCAACTCACCAGGGAAGTCGAAGCTGACGTAGTAATACGTGTCGGGCATGTGATCGACTAGACGTGAGAAGGTGGCCGCCGTGTCCAGGTAGCCGTGCACCAGCAGCATCGGCGGCTTGCTGCTCTCGCCCCACGATATCACTGGGTGGACAAAAGAGAAATATTAGTTCATTCAAGTGTAATTTTGAGTGATATTATTTAATATAATGCATATATTGATATACTACCAGAGGGAGAGTTTGTACAAAAGTCGATTGCTTGGGTACCTCTGTCCCATTCGTGTTTCAACCGTGAAGCAGTTGTGTTTGCATGGCTGTGTTTCGGTTTGAAGGGTGGGATATGGCGTGAATTTACTGGGTACAGAGGAATAACACCTGAGTCCTCAGGAATGGCAACGCGTGGGGGGTATCATGGGCGAAACAGAATACTCTGTTATGTCCACGGTACTGCTCGTGTCTATAGGCGACGGTTACCACTCTCCATCAGGTGGGCCGTCAGCTTGTTTGCCATTCTAAGTTGTATAAAAAAAATACATATATTGGGTTTCTCTGGACCTTGATGGCAAATAAATAGTTTTTGGTTATTGGCCATTTCGAATATCTACTTGTACTTGTAATGGCGAATAAATAATTTATCTATCCATTTTTTTTAATAGATAACAATTAAATGGTAACTCCGTCTGCGCCAACGGTATAAATTGGCGGGGCACCAGTAAGGGATGATAGGTGAGGATGAAAGGGCATGTCAGTTAGCCCATCGTGGTGAACGCTACTAGAATTAACCACGATAGTTTTCAAGGGGAACCGCGTGGAGGTCAACCCGATACGGTATATTACTAGCAATGGATCAGTTAGATTCCATTACTAACAATCCCTTTCCCCCTCTATTTATTTCGATCGAGTTCTATCTATGTGTGTACTTAAATTCCGGTGTAGGTATATTTTACCCAAATAGGCTATCTACAAGTAAACGTTTTGTTTTTCTATTACTAGTATCACCTGATGGACAACCGCGTCCCTCTTAAAATATCTCTAAAAGTCTAATTGCGGTTACCACTACTAGCAACGCACCTTTACAAATGACAATAAAAAAAATTGTGTGCCACAAGTAAATGGACCTCAGTTGTACCGAACCAATTTTGACAACATTTCAAAGCAAATACTTTGAGATAAAAAAAAGTTTTTTTTTTTTAATCTGTTTATAACATGCGGCAATAAACATAAAAAAATACGACCAGAGAGAAAGATTCGATTGTTTGTTTGTATTGGATAAATTGTAAAAACTGCTCAATGTATTTTAAAAATTCTTTAGTAAGCTACAGTATCAGTAAATAATTTAGGTTGTATATTATTTTCTGTATATCCATATCATGCCGGGGTGAATCGGTAGTAATTCATAAAGATGTCGCGTTTTTATCGTTTTGCGCATGCGTATGCTGTTGCCTAGCAACGAGCGCGTGTTGCGTTTTAATTTCAAATATTTAATATTGTAAATGGTTTCTTATATAACTCTGTGATTATTTCTATACGTATATATATACACATACATATAAGCATAATTCCATAGCTATACATACGTGAAGAGACAGTGGAGTTTTATAAATGTCTTCTTGTTTGACACCATGATTTTAATTTTGTATTTTGCTAAAAACTACACTGCAAGCATATTCAATTTAATAGTCAGTTGGAATTGGATAGCTAAACCATGCCACTAAAAAAGGTAATTAATTTTTAAATGTGGATTGTGGATTCCACTAGATATTCTCTTAAAAGATTATATTGAATATTAATTCAAGTTATTGCTTGGAGTTTTTTTTATGCAACTTAAAATGGCTGTGTTTCGGTGTGAAGGGTGGGATATGGCAGTGAATTTACAGGGTACAGAGGAATAACACCTGAGTCCTCAGAAATGGCAACGCATGGTGGTATCATGGAATGGATGAAATAGTATACTCTGTTATGTCCATGGTACTGCACATGTCTATAGGCGATGGTTACCATTTTCCATCAGGAGTTCAGTTCAGGAGTCAGGAGTTCTCACTTTAACAGTGCGGTCTTTGGAGTCCAATGCTGCAAAAACCCTTCAAATCATCCCTAAGGGCCAACGAAGTGGTGGAGCAGTGGGCACAACTAATACTACCACCATACCTTCACGTGCATTTTCAGTGACAGATTGCCATTTGTAACGTTTTTGTAAATTTAACAAATAATCCTTGAATCAGGCCCACCAGAAATAAATAATCATAAAAAAAATTGGTAATAAATTTGACGCATAGATTAAGCATTGACAACACTCACTTGCCACTTTCCCCCACGGCATTTCCACGTACCACTCCTTAGTCACTTTATTTGTCATGATTAAAAAAAAACAGTCAAGACAGTTCACTTTAAAAAAAAAAAACAATTTCACCTTCTCACATCAAAAGTAGGTACTTATAATACTTGCACTATGCACCATAGACTTAACTTAAAAAAAAAAAGTATAAAACAACACTGCTGTACGGAAAAAAAAATAAACGTTCTTATTTTGTTTTACATATTTCTGTATAATAAATATAATGTGTATTTTAAAATAAAATAAATTATTATTTAATGTTTTATTTAAATTACTTTTTCTATATTATTGTTATGTGTTTACTTATAAAATAAGTGAACAACGCAGCGTATTATTTGATAATGGCATTGATACTGCTAATTTTGGCTGATTTTAAATTATGATTAATTTTATATCTACGCGTTACATACACGCGAAGATATTATTATTATTGCTTACAAAGTGCGAAGGTCAAGTGTAGGTCGGGTTTATAGTTGTGGAGTTCCGTAGCGTATTTATCTTATACTAGTGACCTTTTCCGGTTTGGCACGGTTTTTTTGTTTAAATAAAATATACCCCGTGTTACTTGATGATAGTGTAGTTTTCTGTAGAAAAAAGAAAGTTTATCTAATACAGGGTATCTCGAAGGTCATGGATCAAATGGAGTCACGCCCTATCGTAAAAAAAAACAAACAAAAATTAAGTAACAGTTACAAAGTATTGGTAATTATAAATATTTAATAACATTGTACATTCCACAGAATAATTTCGCTTTGCTTCTTTTTTAATTTCAGAATTCTTTTTCTTTGGCTTTCCGGTGAAAATACTTATTTAAAATTGGCCTATTTTAAAAAAAAACCTTTTTATAAAAAAATTCAATTCGAATAATTTTTAGTATGAAGTTTGAAGGAAGCCTTTTTAAAAAACATGTACTACACAAGTTTGGTACATTATTATATAAACTTCTACGTTTCACGACGATTCTAAAAATGTACAGGGCCTCCGTGAGTTGGAATGAGTCACCCGGCGTTGCTATCTCATTCTATCTCATGGACTCGCTAGCGATGTCGATTCCATCGACGAATTCGCTTGCCACTTGTCTAGAGGCCCTGAGGGCCTACCATGAAATGTTTTTCGAAATTTCGGAGCCAAACGAAACACAAATTTGATGTTAAAATTACATAATACATGCCGTTTGGAAATATTAAAAATGTTAAAATATTGTTCCTTTTGACTTTTACGATAGGATGTATGACGAACGAAATGTTAAACTCCATTTATTGGTCCGATTTTGGTATAAACAAAAACACAAAATTGAGTCCGAAATTTCGGAATTTCATTTCATGGTAGACCCGCTGTAATGTAATTTAAAATAAATACAAACGTCACTTTTAAATGACATTTCTAAAATAAGAGAAAACATGACGGTAAGTACAATTCAATTTGCCCATGTTTTAATAATGAAACACAAGTGATTAGTATTTAATTTTCGTTTATTTTTTCAAGAAGCGTTGTGATGCGATGTGGCTGCAGCATGATGGAGCTCCTTTTTTTATACCATTGAGGTGGCAAACGAGCGTACGGCCCCCTGATGGTAAGCGGTTACCGTAGCCTATGAACGCCTGCAATACAAGAGATATTACGCGCGCGTTGCCGACCCTGAAGAAACCTGTTTCACCCCCGTTCTGAAGAACACCATGCTGTAGTCTTTTAGGAAAACCTCCTTGTCATTTTTCTCGCATTGTGACGTAAATGAGTAAATAAATAAATTTGATAATTGTCTTGATCATTCCCAATATTGTATATTAATAAATTATACTCGGTCATTCAATAGATTTATTTTATGTTATTTTTTTCTTTCTCAGTAATAAAGTGTTACGGATCCCTAAAATGAAGAAAAGATAATATGTCAGCACAATATAGTTGAGAATCATAACTAAGATAAGATTGTGCCATACTGTATAAGGTTCACGTTATTATTCGCTATATATATTAACATACTTGTAACCTGTGGCCGAAACACCACACAAACATCATCCATTGCTTATCTATGACTAACATTATTATAAATAAACTAGTTGACCCCGTAAACGTTGTTTTACCACTTATTGCGAAATATAAAAATCGCGATTAAAATACAGGGGTTGATCGTGAAACGATGAAAATTTAAAGTTGTGTGTATTTTTCAATGCTAAATCATATAATAATAAAATAAAAATGGAAAAATTTATTAAAAAAGTAAAAAAAAAATTTTTGGGGAAGGTCACCCTTATCATTGAGAGGTATGAAAAATAGATGTTGGCTGATTCTCAGACCTACCCGATGTGCACACGAAATTTCATAAAAATCGGTAAAGCCGTTTCGAAAGAGTTTGGTAACAAACACCGTGACACGAGAATTTTATGTTATATATAAGATATTTTTAGCAAGTTTTTGTTTTTTAAGTTTTTGCTCAAACCATTTTTGTACTTTTATAATAATAAGAAACCTGTTATTAGCCTTAATATTTTAAATATTTGTATGTAAATCTTAACTGTAACGCCGTTGGTTTCTAATAAATAAATTTAAAAAAATCTACTATAGGTAGTAGGTTCATTATTTTAAAATTTACTAGTGGTCGTTCCATGGTCGAAATTCGACCATAACTGTCAAACGATAAATATAATAATTTATTATGTTTATCGTTTGACGTTCAGTGAGACTATAGACAGACATATTTGACATTATTTTACCATATACGATTGCTTTACGCTTCAACATATCTGATGGAGACTATAGACAAATAATATTAACAGACAAACAATATTAATCTATTCTCAATTTGACCATAGACTTTAATAACTTATATATAAAAAAAAAAAAAACCAAGTTTACTTTAATTTGATTGTGTCTGGATAATTTTTTAATGTCCATTGCAGAAAGAAAAAGCATAGCTGTCAAATTTGTTGTTTTAACCATTTTTTCCTTTAATTTTAAACATGAATTATATCACTTTGATTATATGACTTCGATTTAACAAAAAAAAAATGCAAAGAAGTGTTAATTATTGGCAAAGAATTTGTATGAAGATACTTTATCTATTAAACTAAGTTTACAGTACATAATAATTTACTGTGTACTTTAGACATATTTATATATATATAAATATATTCGTTTGAAACTTCGTATGCGTGGACTTTGGAAGTAGGTACTCGCGTCTAGACAGCGTGTTCTAACAATACATACCTTAGCAGGTTAACTCTTGAATCTAATATCAATATAGGTTTCATAGGGGAAAGGGATTGTTAGTAATGGGATCTAATAGTTCCATTGCTAGCAATGTACCCTCATCAGGTCGACCTCCACGCGGTTCCCCATGGAAATTACCGTGGTTAATTCTTACGGAATTCTTCACGATGGGCTAACTGACCTGTTTTCACCCTCATCTATCACTAATCACTGGTGCCCCGCCAGCGTATACCGATAGCGCAGACGGGGTTACCATTCCATTTTCACCCATTAAAAAAAAACAATATAGGGGGGAAGGAAAGGGGTTGTTAGCAATGGAGTTAGACAGTCCCATTGCTACAGCCCTATTAGGTTGGGTTGAAAGGGATTGTTTGTAATGGAGACTGAGAATCCTATTGCTAACAATATACCCAACCAGGTCGACCTCCTCGCGGTTCTCCCTGAAAACTATCATGGTTAATTCCTGATGAATTCATCATGATGGGCTAACTGGCCTGTTTTCATTCTCATCTATCACACTTCACTGGTGCTCCGCCAGCGTATCTCGTTAGCGCAGGCGGGGTTACCATATCATTTTCACTCATCAAAAAAACCCCTAAATTGTGTGAGGCTCTTGTCTTATCCAAATTAAACTATGGTGATGTAGTGTATGGCCCCTGCTTGTTGTCTAGAACTGAACGACTGATCCAGAGAGTGCAAAATGCATGTACCCGGTTTTGCTATCACATTCCTCCGCGCCATCACGTTACTCCTTTCTTAAACAATGCCGGTATCATGAAAATGTTTTCACGTAGGAAGTTGCATCTTGCATGTTTAGTGTTTAATATAATAAATACAGGTAAACCTCAATACCTTTACGATAAATTATCGTGGGCGCAAGAGCATAGTATATATAATTTAAGAGTAGCTTCTATACGTTTAAAGGTACCACGACATAGAACTGCAAGTTTTCAGAGAGGGTTCAAATATGCAGCTTCCAAGATCTGGAATGACCTCCCGCCTCCCATACGAAATTTAAAAACAACTTATACTTTTAAAAATTATGCTAAAAACTATTATTTAAATCTACAAAAAGCATGTAACTCCTTGTGATTGCATAACATTGCTGCTTCGTTGTATAATGTAGTGTTGTTGTATTGTTATTGTATTATTGTTGTACATATCTATATGGGTATATCTTGTCAGTTAAGTGTATGTATGTGTGTATATGTATGTGTATGTGTGTATACATACACACACAGTGTATGTATGTATATGTAGGTATGTATATGTGTATATGTAGGTATATATATGTATATATATATATATATATATATATATATATATATATATATATATATATATATATATATATATATATATATATATATATATATATATATATATATATATATATATATATATATATATATATATATATATATATATGCGTATGTTTGCTGTCGTCGTTCGTAATGTCACGTATGGGCACCACAGAATATCAGCGCTGTAGCAATTAAATTGCTGCAGCACATGCTGAGTGGTGACCATGTTGGCAATAATAAATGTAAAGTTTTTTTTTTTAATTCATAATGTATGTAACTTTTTGTTGTTGTCAATAAATGTTTTCTTTCTTTCTTTCTTTCTAAATATTAAGTCGACCTCCACGTGGTACCGTACGACCTTCCCTGGAAACCATCGTGAACAATTCTTGTTGAATTCGTCACGATGGGCTAACTGACCTGCTTCATCCTCACCTATCATCCTTCACTGGTGCCCCGCCGGTGTATACCGATAGCGCGGGTGGGGTTACCATTCCATTATCATCCATTAAAAAAAAATCAATATCAATCCAGTCTATTGCTAATGACCATTTTGTACTGCATGCATAAAACAACAGTTAGGAATTAGCTTATAATTGGGATCGGTTTACAATAGTTTGCATTGACAAGTTGCATCAATATGCATCTATCAGAACAATATGGATAGTGATAAGATCCAATACTATATCTTAACATAAAATATTTTTATTCTAAAACCATAAAGTAACAATGTAAATTTTGTATATGGAAACACTGATTAATGTAGCATTGTAACACGGCGATCTGTTTCCGTTCGGGCTTCCTCCATCAACTTTCATACGGGTCACTGTGAATTTCTCATTCTTGTAAAATAATTAATTAAAATTTGATAGGGTTATACGGCCGTATAACGTTTTCTGTACACTAGTTTGCTATGAATTTAGAGAAATAGTAACTGATGGTGTATCTTTCGTCTTCTTTTTACTAATTATACTTGCATAAGAAGAAAGGAGACAACCATATGATTTACAGTTTTTATTTTATCATTTCTTCTGTGTAATTTCTTGTTTAAAGGTTAGACAGTCTCTCTAATCTGTCTCTGAAACTGGTCGAACGCGTCACGCGGTCGTAGTTTACAATGAAAAAAAAAAAAAAAACATTAGATTCGAACGTTTCCCGCCATTTTTGTCATATGTCAAATTTGTCATCATAATTTCGATTTGGCCGCAATAGGTCGCTTTAAAAACTCGATTATATGAGATGCTACACCTTGGGGATTGGTGATGTGCACATCGTGTTTACCCTCCGCGTAAACGTTTTGATGTACATTGGATGGTTCCGTATATATTTTCATTAATTTCTTTGCGAATTTCTCCAAATCTGGGGTGAGCATGTGTTTTGTGGCGTTTATGATGATGGCAGGAGGCGGATTCGATTTAATTACGTAGTCCAATGCGTATTCAGGTAACCAAGTGGAGTAGATCGTACGCATAGTGGCCGATTGGAATGTCATCCTGCAATGAAAATATATACACAGATGTTATACATGTAAAATAAAGAGACTACATTGTGTAGTCAAGATTATTTGCCGGAGGTGGAGATAAAGTTTTTTTTTATCTTTTTTATTTAGCGGCTTTTATAAGGATATGTCGGCCTCATCGTGCCCTAATTTTATAAAATACCTCACATACTTAAAACATTGATACATAAATAAATAATACATAATATCTATGTAGTCTATTTTAATAAAGGGAATTATTGATACAAAAATATAGTAATTAAAGATTTCGCCATTCCGGAGTGTGGCTCTGCGTATATATTTGAAAACAAACCAATCTCCCGTCTATTGAGACTATATTTCTGTATCAATACTTGCCTTTGAGTTTCGTATTTCGTACATTCGGATATCATATGCTGAACATCATCCAATGTGATTAAAAGTTGCATATGCACTCTTTGACGTGGCTCAGGGAAGCTTCGCAGCTTTGCTTCATGGGGATGTGCACCAGTCTATTATCTGGTGGGCATGGCCCAGAGCCTCCATAGGTCCCATAGACGTAATTAAGGGGGGGGGGGGCTTAATTACGCCTATGGTGCCTATTGTGCATTGAAAAAACAATGGTTGACTAGATCGTATACCCTTTAAAATAGAATTATCATCAATCAATACATATAATAAAATCGTAACTGGTCGCTGTCTGTAGATCATGGAAGATATATAAGGAAAACTATTATAGGTAATAGACTATATATATACTATTATAGGGGGGCTTTAAGAATGCAATAGAATGCAAATCAATTATTTTTAGAGTTTCTGTCTGTTTGTCTGTTTATTTGTGCATGTTAATCTCAGAAAAGGCTTAACCAATTTGAATGTGGCTTTCATTAACGCCTTGCGGTTTCCCCGCTTAACATTTAGCAATACCAATGTAAAGAATCACATATAAAATGCTATAAAAAATCGGTCAGTTTTAATTGCTTGAAACTTTTTTTTTATTATATGTATTGATTTTCGAAAATTCTGTCTACTCGTGTAAAGCCGTGTCGGATTATTAGTAGTTGCTTTGCTAACCAACATGCCAATTTCATAATTTAATCAAAAGACCAATAAAGTCATACTTGTCTAGCTCGCTCTAACATATGTTTTAATATTTTATCTTTTATTATATTGCCAACTATATACTTATAATCTAACGGTTAAATTCATATTTCTGAGATAAACAACGGGACAAAGACAAAATATGCAAGTTATGAATTAATTCATAATAGTAAATTTTGCTGTATGGACTACACTCTTTGCCTCTCCAATTTAAACTAATTTTAAAACAACAATTGCAATTTTAGTTCCGAAATTGCTCTGCAGAGGCGGCACCAACAAAATATCAAATTAAATTAGACATCAAAGTAGTGCAATATTCGATTACCGCAACTATTTAGCTATTTACTTTTACAGAGCAGTGTTTTTAAATTTTTTTTATGACACGACCTCCCTTAGTATGAAAAAATATTTTTCGAATCCACGACTTATTTTTTTTTTATTTGTATTAACGTATAAATATTTTAATTATTATTATTCTCAATAAATCTATCTTTATAACATTGTTTTACTTTTTTACTGAGGTAATTAGACCTTCAGAAGGTCACAACCTACACGTTGAAAAAGACTGTTCTAGAGAATCACGTCAGCTTAATTCCTTTATAATAAAGTATCATCACACGAACCACATCATACCAGACGGAGACTTTGTACAAAAGTCGTTTGCTTGAGCACCTCTGTCCCATTCATGTTTTAACCGTGAAGCAGTTGTGTTTGCATGGCTGTGTTTCGGTTACAAGGGTGGGATATGGCGTGAATTTACAGGGTACAGAGGAATAACACCTGTGTCCTCAAGAATGGCAACGCATGGGGGGTATCATGGACGAAACAATATACTCTGTTATATCCATGATACTGCTTATGTCTATAGGCGACGGTTGCCACTTTCCATTAGGTGAGCTGTCAGTTTGTTTGCCATATATATTGCATATCTACAATCTGACCTGTATAATCCATTATCAGCCGGCACTAAACATCTGGTCAGCAAGTGTTCTACCTGCTCCCTGGTGAGGCTCCGCGCTTTCATCATGGCGGCGACAGCTTGCTCATATGTGTACAATTTGCTGGCATTCTTCATATTTTTATAGCTAGAAGAGAGAAAATACTTATATTTGAAACTTATATATTTCGTTTTTTTTCGTGTTGTTTTTGCTATTGAGCGTAGATTTTTTTTTTTTACAACACAGGGGGCAATCGAGCATGCGGCTCACCTGATGGTAAGTGACTACCGCCACCCATGATCACCCTCAACACCAGCGGCATTGCAGGTGTGCTGCCGGCCAAGATTTTGTAAATCCTATTAATACTCGTATACTAAATACAAAAGTTTATAACGTTGGATGGATAAATGTTTGTTACTCTTTCACGCAAAAACTACTAAACGGATTTGAATGAAATTTAGTACACAAGTAGATTATATCATATTTTAGCATACAATATATTTTATATACTGATTAACGCTATATGTATATATATATATATATATATATATGATTTAGCTATAGATATATATGGTTGTGTTTTTTTTTGATGGGTGAAAATGGTATGGTAACCCCGTCTGCGCTAACGGGATACGCTGGCGGATCACCAGTGAAGGGTGATAGATGAGAATGAAAACAGGCCAGTTAGTCCATCATGATGAATTCATCAGGAATTAACCATGATAGTTTCCAGGGGGAACCGCGAGGAAAACGACCTGGTTGGGGATATTGCTAGCAATGGGATTCTCAGTCTCCATTACTAACAATCCCTTTCCCCCCTATATAATTGTATTAGTATCTATGTAATGATGCGTCATCTACCCTTTACCTTTTTCTCAATGTCCTCTACCCAAAGGTCGTCTGGAAGAGATTGCTTAGCGATAAGGCCACCTTTTGTATCACTTCTCATTAAAATCAACTGTATTTATTATTTTTATAAATGGTGCAATAAAGTGTAAATAAATAAATAACGCAAATAAAGCCGCGGGATACAGCTAGTACTTACATAATTGTAAGAATACGGGATATCCAACAAAACTCATTAATAATTCACCTCCCTCTTGGGAAGGTTTTGCCAGTAGTTGCCACGCTTGACAGGCGAATTGGCAACCGCAATTGAGCTTTAGAGATGTTTTAAAAGGGACTCTGCTGCCCCTTAGTCGCCTCTTACGACACCCACGGAAAAGAGAAGAGGTGGCCCATACTATACCGGGCACATACGGCCAACTTCAGTGGCGTAACGATGGGGTGGCAGGGCTGGCAAAATGCCACGGGCCCCCGACCCAAAAGGGCCCCGGCTCAAGAGGCCGCGAGCTCAGAAGTATTATTTATTACATCGTATCTGAGTACTTTATTTTACTTGAAAAGTTTTTTTTTTACTGATAGGGCCCCATCAAAAGAATTTGCCGCAGGCCTCAAATGGTATAGTTACGCCACTGGCCAACTTCTTACTAGGCGTAAGTTTAATAAATCTTTTTTTTTATACAACTTAGAATGGCAAACAAGCTGACGGCCCACCTGATGAAAAGTGGTGACCGTCGCCTATCGATATGAGCAGTACCATGGACATAACAGAGTATACTGTTTCGCCCATGATACCCCCCATGCGTTGCCATTCCTGAGGACTCAGGTGTTATTGCTCTGTACCCAGTAAATTCACGGGATATCCCACCCTTTAAACCGAAGCACAGCCATGCAAACACAACTGCTTCACGGTTGAAACACGAATGGGACAGAGGTACCCAAGCAATCGACTTTTGTACAAAGTCTCCCTCTGGTATAATTAATAAAATAAATAAATATTTAACTTACTTCTTGTGATAACTGTCATAGTAATATTGATAGTTAAATTTGAACCACCATTGGAAATTATGAGATACATTGTAATGGGCGCTCAGTGGTATCGTCGGGTCGATAGCAATCATGCGCTCGATTCTTCCGGGAAATGCATTATTGTAGCAGAGACCTGGAAATATAATAAATAAATAAATATATATGTATTCTTTATTGCACTTGTTAGTGCATTTATAAATATTGTGAGCAAGGGTGGACTTATCTCTGACAGAGATCTCTTCCAGTCAACCCAGTACAATAAGAAAGCATATTGTACTATACTTGTATATACTCACGACTTAAAATGTAGCAGCCTTTTATTAGCATTTGTCGACTGTGTTGTGTGCGTTTTTTTTTTTTAATTTTTTTGTGTTGAGGGATATAATGGGCGACACAGTATCTTCAATATGATACTGTTCGTTTCTATAGGCGACGGTTGCCATTTTCCATTGCGTGAGCCGTCAGCTTATTTGACATTTTAAGGTGCATAAAAAAAACTGTCGGCCCACCTGATGGAAAGTGGTAACCGTCATTCTAAACAACGAATTATTATATGAGAAATTGCTTCATATAATTGATTATGGATTAATCTATTGGGTTATTTTATTAATTTGTGATCTATATTAACTATTGATACGATATTTCTAATTAAATAGATAAAAGAGTTTTAAAAATGTTGATATTTGCTGATTAAATTAAACATCTATTTTTTTTTAATAAAAACAAAAAAGAAATACTAGGAATTGAAGACAATGGGGCTGGCGGGGAAGTTTAGTTCTTTTGCCTTCCTTAATAATAGAGAAAATATAACCAGAAATACACCATTTTTTAATGTTGCCAGTACTTAGATTAAACATTTTTCCAGACCAAGTCGATTTTTTAAATGTAAATTGTAAAATATTTTTTTCTGATATTATATAAATACACATAAGTATGTTCGTATTGGTTTCGTTAGTTCGTACAAATTAATATAATGTATGATATTCGAAACGAAAACATCCTCATATCAGCCTTTAAAAGTCCACTGCTGAATATAAACCTTCATCTTGGGGGGTTTTGCCAGTAGTGGTCACGCTTGGCAGACGGATTGGCAACCGCATATAGGTTTTTGGAGATCTTTTAATAGGGACTCTGCTACCCATCCCTCGCACTCTCTTAGTCGCTTCTTACGACACCTACAGGAAAGGAAGGGGTGGCCTATTCTACGCCGGGACCACACGGCAATAGTAATCATTACCACTCACCAATAACGAATGCCATGGAATGCGCCAAGAAAATGAAGCTCTCCCATCCCATGTGGTCCACTATTCGCCTTACGACCTCCACCAGCAAGGTCTGTGTAGATGGAGGTGCTACCGGTAAATATTCAGATTTGCCGTGTCCTGGAAAATATGTATTTCTCAAACATGCTTGGAAATGTGAGCATTATTTAGGCAATCTCCTTCGAGATAGATCAAAATTGCCGTACTGGCCAGATACATGCGGGCAGCGGCCGGCAAAAGTTGTATGAAAATCCTGTCGTGTTTTGCGGCCAGATAAATTACTATATAAACTCATATCTGTCCTGTAATTTAAAACTTCGAAACATGGCTACTAAGGAGGTAACTAATAAAAGGTTTTATTTAAATTTCGAACTGACTTGCAAATAGAAAGCTGTTTATTGAAAAAAAAACATAGGAACATTATGACATACTAACTTTTTACTCCTATATGTGCGACCTTATACATTCCCAAAGAGGGTTGACGTCAGGCAGGCGACCGGTCGTAAAACTATAAGCCAAATCTTTTTGTAATATGGATAGAAAAACATATTACGCCGACCCCATATAATAATTGGCATACGGGTAGGAAGAAAAAGAAGTTGTGTGACCTTTGGTGCTCTGTTTGTGTTTGTGAGGGAACATCTTCAGTAGCGATCCGGCTGGAGGGGTATTATACTCCTCGGTTGAAACCTTGTAAATATTTTTAGTCACACATTTTTAATTCTTTGGCTTTTGGAGATATATGCCATGTTATTGTAGACGTAGACAATCTTTATAATTAAATATATTATGTATGTATATCAAATTATTTATTTATTCATTAGTACAAATATGTGTACATGGCGGACTTAATGCTAAAAGCATTCTCTCCCAGTCAACCGTAGGGAAGTGTCAGAATACTTGAATGCGGTACTAGTAATAATTGATATACATACATACTAAAATTTACATATATAAACAAGTAAAATTATAGAAAATAAAAAAAAAAGAAATTTCTAAATCAGTTTACAACTGTCGGAGTCATGGGGTAACAAACATAAAAAAAATATATTCGTACAATTATAACTTTGAAACGTCTGAACAGATAAAAAATATAAAGTATAGCTAAGAGCCATCTTGATCACGTTAGCTTTTATCATCATCACCATCTTCCTAACAATGTCAGTTTGTCATAATTTTAAAACAGCAATAAAAAAACACTTAAACTTTTTAAAGTCAGTATTAAAAAAAAGGTATATTTGTATTTTTATGTGGCAACATTATTCTGTTTCCCGCCTTTTTTCTCTACGGCGCGCCGTAGAGAAAAAAGAAAAAAAACGACAGACGCCGCGGCGTCTGTCGTTTTTTTTCTTTTTTCTCTACCTATTACTATTTTATAAAGCTTTTAGACATTGCAGTATTGCAGCAGGCGTTGTGACAAAGAGTTACGTAAAGTTTTGTTACGTTAGTTTAAATATATAAGAAGAGAAGTGATTTTTGTGTGCATTGCACATTTTTAATACTCTAAAATTATAATACATTTTTAATGACGTTTCACGAATACGTATTTATCATATAATATTTTTGTTTATAGGCTCTTATCCTACTGCTGGGCACGGATCCCCTCCCCTTTCTCTCCGTCCTTAAGAGGAGAATATTAGTAGTAATAGGTACTTATTTCTGTACCTATTATTTAGCGTGTGTAAGCTGTCAACCTTATATTATAGAGAATTATAGATAGAATGTCTCCATACAAAAGCTTAGAGATAAGCAAATAGTTATGAGTGTTCCCTTTATAACTTCCATATTTATCTTATAATTTTTGCATCTTTTTAATGCGTAAAAACTAATTTTATTTAATTAATAATTACATATAGATACGTCAAGGTACATTTTGTGCGTAAGTATATAGAACATTGCTAAAAAAACGAGTCAGCTAATTTGACAATTAACTGACAAAAAGTTGGCCCGTTTTAGAGGCTTCATGCTCTATCTATGTAATCTATCAACATAGTTAAAATAAGATTAATTGTATTTATTCCTAAGGTGATAAGGGCTGTGTTCTCACCAGGGAAGTCGAAGCTGACGTAGTAGTATGTGTCAGGCATATGTTCCAGCAGACGTGTGAAGGTGGCCGCCGTGTCCATATAGCCGTGCACCATGAGTATTGGCGGCTTGCTGCTCTCGCCCCATGATATCACTGCGGAAACAGGCATAATAATGCTGGTACCATAAAAAAACAAAACAAGTAGTAATAAATCTCCTTTGTAGTAGAGCAAAAGCCGAGGGAAGAACGATTGTTAGTAATGGGGATGTTTATCCCCATTAGTAGCAATATACCCTATCAGGTCTACCTTCACGCGGTTTCCCCTGGAAACCATCGTGATTAATTATTGTCAAATTTATCGAGATTGGCCAATTGACCTGCTTCATCCTCATTTATCATCTCTCACTAGTGGGAACCACTGGAAACCACGATGGTTTCCCGTAAGAACCGCGTGAAGGTCGACCTAATAAGGTGCATTGCTAGCAATGTGGCTGTTAGAACCAATGATTCCTTTCTCCCCAATCGATAGGGTTGTACAAAAGAGAGAGGGAGACTGTACAAAAGTCGATTGCTTGGGTACCTCTGTCCTATTCGTGTTTCTACCGTGATGCAGTTGTGTTTGCATGGCTGTGTTTCGGTTTGAAGGATGAGATATGGTGTGAATTTACAGGGTACAGAGGAATAACACCTGAGTCTTCAGAAATGGCAACGCATGGGGGGTATCATGGGCGAAACAGTATACACTGTGATGTCCATGGTACTGCTCATGTCTATAGGTAACGGTTACCACTTTCCATCAGGTGGGCCGTCAGCTTGCTTGCCATTCTAAGTTGTATAAAAAAAATCAGTAAATCAGTATTAATATGAGACATCTTTTTGGTATAAAAACGGAATGATAAACCTAAGCTTTAGGTTTAGGCCAGCGGAGAACCAGTAACATCTATCACAGGTGAGAATCAAATTAGATAAGTTATTTCATTGTGACGAGGTCAAGAGAAATTTCAAGAGGCACCGTATACCATAAAGTCCAAAGGAAGTCCACCTAATAGTTATATTGCTATTAAAACCCCTACTATTAATAAAACTCCTCCCCTCCTCCTGCTGCGACATCGATCTTTAAAAGCCATAGATTATATAAATAGAGTATGGATTGTCAAAAATCTTAGGCTATATGAATAGAGTGTCTTCGTACAAATGATTAGCCAAAAAAGGCCAACTTTATCTATGTATGCGTGAACAGGGTTACCATAATGTAAATTTTTAGCTTAGTATATGGGAGAATTTATACTGCAAATTGAAAAATAAAAACTATACAAAATTCTTATGAAACTTATTAGAAAGAAAAAAAAAATAAGATAAACAGTGCGTAATTATTTGTTTATCTTTACTGATTACTTTGATTATTTCTTAAAAGAGGCTTAAAATATGTTTTATTTTTCATATCATCCTTTTAATTTATATATGTAATTTGTTTTTTGTATGTATGTAATTGTAATTTGTAAAGCAATACTTGTGTTTTTTTATTATATTAGATAAAATAGTTCCCAATTAAAATTTAAAAAATCTACACGATCTGGTAAATTTTTAAATCCAATTAATTGCAACATTATAAAAAAAAGCGCGCTTGTCAAAATTTATTTAGCCAAACGTCAAATTAGTTAACTTTCTTTTAAAGGAAACAATAAAGAGTATCTATAGATAAAGAGTATCTATAAATTTTGAACCCTTTATGATACTCAATACAATACTGTATCCATGTCATAGACTTAGTATAACGTACTTATATAGGTACTTCATAATCTAAGATCCAAAACACTTATTGAACAAAGCCTATTACACACTAAACGATTACTCGAATGATCGTCTATTATCCACGGGCTCTCTCTTCACTCTTTAGTGGCCATGTATCGTTGGACCGAGTACATACATACATACATACATATCTGTCACGCCTGTCTCCCATTAGAGTAGGCAGAAACAATGGAACGCCAAATGCTTTGATTCAAACAAACCTCTTTCGCTTCTTCCGCATTCATCAATCTTTTCATACACGCTCGCCGGTTACGGGTACTTCTAATTTGGCCCTTCTTCACCTAGTACATTTAAATAAATATATATAATGTTAAAAGAGATTTAAAAGAGTAACTGTTGAGTTTCTTGCGGGCTCTTCTCAACAGATATCAACTTTCCGAATACTGTATTCGTAACAAAAATGATAATTTAAGTGCTTGTAAACAAGTCTGTTTAAATAAAGATGAATCTTATCAGAAACATAAATGTGAAATAAGAGCCAAGTTCAATATCATTAAGTATAATAAAATTATGAATATGCGTTGTTTCGACTCCGCCGGAAAAAGAATTAAGATCTATATGGGTATCAAGTACTTAATAGAAAATCTTAAAATTTATATGCGCATGCAAAACTAGCAAAAAAAAAAAGGCGAAACTCTGTTATATCCATGGTACTGCTCATGTCCGCATCCGAAATCTGAATCCGAAAGGATTATGTGCATTCGTCTATCAGAAGGGCCGTCAGTTTGTTTGCCATTCCAAGTAAAAAATTGCAATATTATAAAATTAATTTATAAACTTTTTTTTTATTTCTTAGTACCATGTTAAGGTTTTCTACAAAGAACTCGGCACTCAAATGGATCTTAATTTTTTTTCCGGCGGAGTCGGAACGAAACATTTATAAAATTAAACTTGACTTTCATTTCACATTGATATTTTTAATGAGATATCATGATTTTTATGTATAGAAATTATTAGTATTCATCATAAATACATTGTTATTTGGAAAATTACTTTATTTTTCTATGTTTACGCTGTACAGTTTTCTTCTTCGTGCTATTTCCCATACTTGTTTTTAACTGTTTAGCCACACCCCCGTTACCCTCTCACGCTGTACAATAGGATTGGCATGAATTCAGCCGGCGTAAAAACTAACCTCTACAGTATTAACTGTATAAGACGGGGGAAAAGGATTGTCAGTAATGCGGATTACCAGTCCCTTTACTAGCAATATACCCTGTCAGGTCGACCTCCATGCGGTCCCTTTGGTAAACATCGTGCTGAATTCCAGGTGTATTCATTACAATAGGCTAAATGGGGGGGGGGAGATTGTTAGTAGTGGGGTCAAATAGCCTCATTACCAGCAATATACTCTCTCAGGTCGACCTCCACGTGGTTCCCCCTGGAAACCATTGTGAACAATTCTTGTTGAATTCGTCACGATGAGCTAACTGACCTACTTCATCCTCACCTATCATCCTTCACTGGTGCCCCGCCGGTATATACCGATAGCGCGGGTGGGGTTACGATTCTATTATCACTTATTAAAAAAAATAGGCTAAATGATCTGCCTATTCATTATCAGCTATCATGCCTCACTGATGCTTTACCAGCGTATAGAGTTAGCTCATGTGAAGACCATCCATTAAAAAATAAAAAAATAAAAAATCTTCCCAATACAACATTGTAACAAAATTTTATTTTTATATTTACCTGCTTTCATACTTAATTACTTAACTTTAATACTTAATATGGATTCTAAGCAAGTTAAGGGTCTTTAATAACTGTGTTGAATTTCCTATATTATTTTAAATAGATTAAATAGGCTTCAAATTGTGAGGCAGTCAAAAGCAGTTTCAAATAGTTCGTGTAATATTACACTTGGCTGCTGCATCGCCAGTTCCTTTTTCTTTGAACTTGGCTGGACACGCTGCCACGTGTCTAGGTTCGAATTTGAACATATAATATAATTCTACTCATTTAAAAAAAAGTTAATAAAAAAAAAATACAACACTTACTGGCCACTTTCCCCCACGGCATTTGCATGAACCATTCCTTGGACACTTTATTCGTCATTATTAATTATAAAACAAAATAAAAAAAAAAAAACAACAATAAAACAAAAATTAACTTTTTAATATAACACTAATTCTCCTTCCTCCATTTGAGTACCTATTTATTATTGTCCGTTATAAATACCTATATATCATACATATCATTATCAGTCGATATGTATTTTTTTTAATTGCAATTAATAACAAAAAGTATGGTACACAAAACGCGGTGATACGCTGAGCAAATAAAAACTTTGCACTGTTACATAAAAAGTTTAAGGTAAATAACAATGTTCCATTTGTTTTACACGTTTCAATTATAAAATAGACATCGTAATAAACCGATTGACACGCGAACTACGCGAACATTTAACAAGTACTACAAATAAATTTGGCCATATTTATCTGCGCGGAAAAAACGTAGGTACCTACGCAGCGCAGTTAGAGACGACATATCAAGGTCAAACGAGCGTCTGACATTTTATTTGAAGTAAAATTTTAACAAGTGTCACAGAATAACTAGATGTGAATTTATTCTCAACTAACTGTGTCTCGCGGCTTCGTTCTTTTATTTTTTTAATACAGGAGCATGCGATTCACCTGATGTTTAGTGACTACCGCCGCCCATGATCATACGCCGCACCAGAGACAGAGAGAGAAGAGGAGAGATACATAAAGTATTCTATGGGTGAAATTAGAATTCATTCAAAAGTTCATTGAAATCTGTTTAATAGTTTTTGCGTGAAAGAGTAACAAACATACATCTGTTGATCGTAACATACTTTCACGTATTGAGGGGGTCAGGATTGTTAGTAATAATAAGTCGATCTCTACGTTGTTTTCCCTGGAATCCATCATGTTGAATTCCAGGTGTATTCACCACGATGGGCTAACCTGCCTTTTCATTCTCACCTATCATCCCTCACTGATGCCCGCCAGCGTATGCCATTAGCGCAGGTGGGGTTCTTTTTAATGAATGATAATGGAATGGTAACGTTGCCTACGCGGGGAGAAAGGGTTTGTTAGCCATTGAGTTTGACAGCCCCATTGCTAGCAATATGCTCTATTAGGTCGACCTCCACGTAGTTCTTTGTCAGCTAATTGTCAAATTAGCTGACCTTGAAAAACTTGACCTCTTTTTGAAACTCGATGCTCTATTTCTCGTTTGCCCTCTGTGTTGTAAAAAATAAAAATAAAAAAAAGTCTATATAATGGAAGGTAATCTACACTAATATTATAAAGAGAAAAGATTTATATTTTTGTGTGTATGTATGTTTGTAATGAATAAACTCAAAAACTACTTTGCTGATTTTAAAAATCCTTTCACCATTAGAAAGCTACATTCACCCTGAGTAACAGAGACTTATATTTATTGCTAGAAAACATTAGGGATCATTACTAAAACTTTAGTAACGTAACTCAAGGTGTAAAAAATGCTATAAAATATCTTTGGTCGCGTGCGCTGCGGAAACTATTGGCGATAGAACAAAAGTATGTTCTACAATATTGAAGAAAATTTCAATAACTACAAAAAACTTCGCAATACTATATGTCCAACTATTATCGTTATGTCACAATAACCACTTTTTAAAATGTTGTAAAAATGTCCACCCGTGTGAAGCCGGGACGGGCCGCTAGTATAATATAAGTGCACTAGATCTAGTATAGTATTATATTATCTGTGACTAGATTTTATATTTGATCTTTACAGAGATAACTGTGTAAATCGAATACATTTTGGTGCAATAGTTTTTACGTGATTTCATAACAAACATGCGTAAAATTTTTTTTTAATAAATATTGTTTTGACTTCTATTGCTCGGAGCATGGCCTCTCTTATCACTTTTTTAAATATCTTCTATGTATAAACAGCGTTTAGTTACAAATTTATCATATCTATTGCTCTTAGCAAGACCTCTTTATATATCTTCAATCGATTTTAGAAAGAAGGTTTTTTTTATACAACTTAGAATGGCAAACAAGCTGACGGCCCACCTGATAGAAAGTGGTAACCGTCGCCTATAGACATGAGCAGTACCACGAACATAACAGATTATACTGTTTCGCCCATGATACCCCCCATGCGTTGCCATTCCTGAGGACTCAGGTGTTATTCTTAATTCGATATCATTTTTTTTATGTTTACATTTGTTATTTTAAAAGGAAATTAATGAACTTACCGTATTTTTGTAGTTTCCGACAATTGTTTCCACTTCATCTGGAAATCTTCTTCAGGGGGCGTTTAGGCAAAAATACAGAGAAGTCATTAAATTCCCGTTATATATATGTATATATACATATATATTTGAACACAGGATCTATGAAACGATGGTATAAGGCAGGGGGAAGCACAAAAGATCCCGATGGGTCAACGTGCAACGGCTTAGCTGACCCCATATGCGAAAATAAGATATATATAGACAGTTTTTTTTAATGGGTGATAATGGAATGGTAACCCGGCCTGCGCTAACGATATACACCGGAGGGGCACCAGTGAAGGGTAATAGGTGAGAATGAAAAGGCAGGTCAGTTAAATTATTTATATTATTATACTAGCATTCGTCCGCGACTTCCTCTGCATGGCCAGAACAGTTACTGACCGTGACAAAAAGTAGCCTCCATCGCATATAGTACGGCTTGTGGTCACCCATCCTAGTTGGAAGCACGGCCGAGGTTGCTTGACTTGCATTTTTGCACTTCTGCATTTTTGCACGATTTTATTATACATATGTATTGATTGAGTGACAATATACATATATATGAATATTGTATGAATATTACATATTGTATATTTCTGTAGGTTGACAACAAATAAATACACAGGTCTCACCGAATTTTCTATATTAACAAAACTATCGTCACAATGTCGACTTAGGAGTATTTTGATTTAAAAATTGGATTATATGCGGCATTAATCCATCCGGATTAGTGATATGTACATTTTGTTGACCCCTCTCCGCCCCTCCATACACAGTATTCTCGATGGTTAAAAAAGTTGTCGCATTATTTTTCTTACTGGATTAAAATTTTTCTTAATATGTTTTTTTTCTCTTTAGAGTCTTAATATATTGCTCTTTTATATTAAGCATTTCACAGATTTTTTAATTTTAATTCTATATAAAAAAACACCAGATTCAATGGTGATATAACCAGTTATTTCGACTTAAAACCAAACTACTGAAACGACTTAAATGAAATTTCTATGAGTTCAATCTGAAAGTATATTCTTTCAAATAATAAAAAAAAAATTCCAAATGGTGACCCATTTAATAAAGCAGACCTAAGGTAACAAACAAAAAAAAATCAATTTGCGAGCCTTCTCCTGTTCCTGAAGTCAGGTGGAAATATTTTTTTTTTATATGTTGGCAGCAAATAAATACACAGTTCCCCAGAATTTTCTACATTGACTAAAAACTATCGTCACAATTTCGATTTGGCTGTTGTGTCTCGATTTAAAAATTCGATTATGTACGGTACTAGTCTATCAGGATTAGTGATGTGCACGTCGTGTTTCCCCTCCACATACACGGTGCGATGTACCTTCGAAGGTTCGGAGAATTTCTTCATAAGGTTTCTAGAGAATTCCACTGTTATTGGATTATTATGTGTGTTTGTGGTTGCGTTTATGTTCAACACAGGGGGCGGGTCGGTCGCGATTGCGCAACTTAGAGTGTACTCAGGTAGGCCAGAGCCCGTGATCCGGCGCATGCACGATTGAAACGTCATCCTAAAAATAAAAAAAATGGAATACAATCTAGTCGGAAAATTACAAACGTTAGGGGGAAAGGCGAATGTTAGTAATGGGGATTTAAAAGCTCCGTTGCTAGCAATATGCCTTATCAGGTCGACCTCCACGTGGTCCGCCCTGGAAACCATCGTGCTGAATTCCAGATGTATTCATCACGATGAGCAAACTGATGGTTTGATGATGGGGGGATTGTTAACAATAAGACTAAGGGCACCATTGCTAGCAATATACCCAACCAGGTCGACGATCACGTGGTCCCCCCTAGAAACCATCGTGCTGAATTCCAAGCGTATTCATCATGATAGGCTAACTGACCTGTCTTTTTATCCTCACCTATCATCATTCACTGGTGCCCCGCCAGAATATACCGATAGCACAGGCGGGGTTACTATTCCATCATCACCAATTAAAAAAAGACCTGCCTTTTCATCATCACCTATCATCCCTCACTGGTGCCCCGCCAGCGTATACCGTTAGCGCAGGTGGGGTTACCATTCCATTATGATACATTAAAAAAATATACAAAGTTTCCCCTCCGTCTACATCAATGAGTAAATACAAAACTGTACCAAATGTTCTCACCTATAGAGTCCATTATTGGCCGGCACTAAACACCTGGCCAGTAACAACTCCGTCTGCTCCCTGGTGAGGCTCCGAGCGTTCATCATGGCGGCGATAGCTTCCTCGTATGTGTACAGTTTGTCATCCATTCTAAGGGAACAAGATAATCATCATCGTTATGATAGATAGATAGATAGATAGATACTCTTTATTGTTTCCTCCAAAAGATTACAATAGTAAACTTATTATAAATATAAACAATTACAAGAAATAATCACAGTGAGACAACAATGGGCGACCTTATCGCTAAGAGCGATCTCTTCCAGGCAACCTTTGGATGGAGAGGAGTAATTATAAACAGTTTGGTGGGAGGCACGATGAAAAATTTTGTTAGTTCTAAATATGGGAGATGTGATACATGATGATATCTTCTTTTTTTTTAAGTAGGTTGAAATATCCACGCGTATTTACAGAATACTGCTAGAGAAACGCTACTTTGAGATCAAACAATAGGAATAATAATATTGCTGCTACTTGTCATTTGCGTAAATATGTATGTGAACGTTAATTAGTAATGAAAAAACGCTAGTCAGCGCCATCTCCAGGCGTCATTTGTACTGCCCGCTTTTTTTATAGGTGATAATGAAATAGTAACCCCACCCGCGCTATCGGTATACACCGGCGGGGCACCAGTGAAGGATGATAGGTGAAGATGAAGCAGGTCAGTTAGCCCATCGTGACGAATTCAACGAGAATTGTTCACGATGGTTTCCAGGGGGAACCACGTGGAGGTCGACCTGATAGAGCATATTGCTAGCAATGGGGCTGTCAAACTCCATTACTAACAATCCCTTCCCCCCTGATATCAGCCGTCCACTGAACATAGGCCTCCCCCATGGACTGCCATAAGGAACGGGGCCATTCCTTATGATGGTTTACCATTGGGGGAATTTGCCAGTAGTTACCACGCTTGGCAGGCTGATTGATCACCAAAGCCTAGCTGCGGTTGTCAACTCGTCTGCTAAACGTGGCAACTACTAGAACTCCCCCCCCCCCCCAATGGGGGAGGCCTATGTTCAGCAGTGGACAGTTAACGGCTGGAATGATGATGAGAATGAAAAATACATATGTACATATAAAATAAATATATAGTCGAATTGAAAACTTAATTTATTTTGAAGTCGGTTAAAAAGATGAAAGTAGGAATTTCAATTGAATTCAAATTCAGTTTTTTTCATTCAATATTTTTTTTTTATTCAACTTAGAATAGCAAACAAGCTGACGGCCCACCTGATGGTAAGTGGTAACCGTCGCCTATAGACATGAGCAGTACCACGGACATAACAGAGTATACTGTTTCGTCCATGATACCCCCCATGCGTTGCCTTTCCTGAGAACTCAGATGTTATTCCTCTGTGCCTAGTAAATTCACGCCATATCTCACCCTTCAAACCGAAACACAGCCATGCGAATACAACTGCTTCACGGTTGAAACACGAATGGGACAGAGGTACCCAAGCAATCAACTTTTGTACAAAGTCTCCCTCTGGTTTTATTCATATTTATTCATTCTTCACAAAACAGTATGAACAAACTGTTCACTTAAGAACACACAGTGTATGTATTGTGAAGACCGATGGCTGTACTAGAAAAACCTGTGCTACAGCCACCAGGCGACCACCTACAGACAACTTGTTAAAATAGAAGTAAATAACATATAAAATAAATAACAAAATAAACTATCTAACGTTAACTATACATTATTTTATAATTCTAATTCTAATGATAAAATGTTATATAATAATAAATGATAAAATCCAAGAACGGGTGTGTGTGTATGCTAGAGAATGTGCGTGTGTGTGTAAAGTGTGTGTGATGTGTGTGTGTGTGCGCATGTGTGTGCGCGTGTGTGATGTGTGTGCGCGCGCGTGTGTGTGTGCGTGTGTGATGTGTGTGTGCGTGCGCGTGTGTGCGCGCGTGTGTGTGCGCGTGGATGATGTGTGTGTGTGCGCGCGTGTGTGTGCGCGTGGATGATGTGTGTGTGCGCGCGTGTGTGTGCGCGTGTGAGTGCGCGCGTGTGTGCGTGTGCGTGTGAGTGTGTGTGTGCGTGTGCATGTGCGTGAGTGTGAGTGTGTGTGTGTGGGATTAAACGCAACGCACGAAATAAACGTACGCACATAAGAATGGTTATATGAGTGTGGTAAACAATTAAAATCTTTATATATGAAATTTTAAGTACTCACTTGTGATAATTGTCATAGTAGCTCTGATGATGGTACATGAACCATGATTCAATATAATCATAGTTCAAATAATATTGGTTGCCGGTGGGCGGCTCGGGGTCCAGGTTTATCATGCGCTTGATCCTCCCGGGGAATGCGTGGTGATAAAAAATACCTGGAAAATATTAAGTACTAGCTTTTATTCATTCATTTATTATACTTTAATATATCTACACAGGCGGGAAAGGGAATGTTAGTAATGTGGACTATCAGTACCATTGCTAACAATATACACTGTCAGGTCGACCTCCACGTGGTCCCCCCTGGAAACCATCGTGCTGAATACCTGGTGTATTCATCACTGCCTTTTCATTTTCACCAATCAACCCTCACTGGTGCCCCGCCAGTTTATACCGTTAGCGCAGGCGGGGTTACCATGTCATTATCACCCATTAAAAAAAAAAGACTCCATATTTTGTTATCTACCAGTCGACTGTAGACAGGAATAGGAATAACAGAAATTAAAAATTAACGGTACAACGTGATGAGCAAATGAACAAAAACAATCTTCTAATTTGAAAATATATCTATTGAGATAAAAAAAAAAAGTTCCAAATCGGTTCGTAACTGACGGAGTTATGAGGTGACAAACATATTTTTTTATATATTTGTCACCTCATAACCCCGTACAATACAACCAAATCGAGAACCTAAATTTTTCGAAGTCGGTTGAAAATCAAATATTTTCTTTTTATTAGTTTAGACAAGCCATTTATGTACTTACCAGCAAAAAAGGCCATAGAATGTCCCATATAAGTGAAGGTTTCCCATCCCATGTGGTCCACAACTCGCCTTACCACCTCCGTCATGAATGTCATCGTCACAAGCGGGCCCCCTGGCGGTAACACGTGGTCGGATTTGCCGTGACCTTGAAATGAAATTTATTTATTTAATAAGTAGTTAAGGATTGTGTTTCACAAAAAAAAAGACTTCAGTTATGAGAAAACCAAATATTTTGAGTAAAAAACTAAACTCTTATTTTTGATTATATTTCTGTTAGACTAATCTGTAAGAATAAATCCTTTCAGATAAAAAAAAGTATTTTTCCAAATCAAAAGACATAAAAAATACAACGAAATTGAGAACCTTCTTCTTTTTAAAGTCGGTTGAAAAATTATAAGACAAATAATTGGTAAAGGGGTAGTCAGAACTATTTGCTGAATGCCGTTCTAATGTATATTGTCATGCCATGCCTACATTTCGCCGAGCATATTAGAAACCAGCGAGTCTATTGCTGGGCGCTTAAAATACCATCAAAAGCCTAGCTGCAGTTGCCAATCCGCCTGCCGTGTGGCAAAATAGATATCTACGAAACATGTCGTTATAGGATATCTAACAAACGTTGTTATAGAGTATCTAACAAACATGTCGTTATAGGGTATCTAACAAACATGCCGTTATAATGTATCTAACAAACATGCCGTTATAATGTGTCTAACAAACATGCGGTTATAATGTATCTAATGAACATGTCGTTATAGGGTATCAACGCAATGTGTTATCATTTATTAGTGCTATTACGATTAAAGTCGATTGTTTCGCGGTATTTTGTTTATATACTTGTAACACTCACCAGGGAAGTCAAAACTAACATAATAATGTGTGTCAGGCAAGAGCTCAAGCAGACGTGAGAAGGTGGCCGCCGTGTCTAGGTAGCCGTGCACCATGAGTATCGGCGGCTTGCTGCTCTCGCCCCATGATATCACTGTAGAAACAAGCATAATGCTGGTACCATAAAAAATGGAAACAAGTAGTAATTAATGTCCTTGGTAGTAGTTATTTTTTTTATTGGGTGGTAATGGTATGGTAACCCCGCCTGACCTATCGGTATACGCTGGCGGGGCACCAGTGAGGGATGATAGGTGAGGATGAAAGCAGGTCAGTTAACCCAACGTGATGGAATAGGACACGATGGTTTCCAGGAGGAACTGCAAGGAGGTTGACGGCGGTCGAACTGGTAGGGGTATATTGCTAGCAATGGGACTGGAAGTCCGCATTACTAACAATGCTCCCCCCTTTGTGGTAGTGTAAAAGTCGACTTTCTTGACATTTGTCAAGAAAGTTCGTTTCACCCCGCAAAATTTGCGGGGTTACCATTTCATTTTCACACATTAAAAAAAACATATACAGAGCACACAATATACAGAGAAAACAAATCTAGACTGATTGTATCCCGTGTCTTCGCCTGTCGTGTCGTGATGATTAAATAGTTTATTATCTTCCTCAAGAAATGAGATATTTATGATATCTCATTTCTGTATAAAGAATTGATTAAATTAATTAAAATAATTTAATCGACTGGTGGTTCTAAAGATTAGCGTAAATACTTCCGCTTTATTCTATTAGTATAGGTACATTGGGGGAAAAGGGATTGTTAGTGATGGAGACTGAGAATCCCATTGCTAGCAATATACCTAACCAGGTCGACCTCCACGCGGTTCTCCCTGGAAACTATCATGATTAATTCCTGATGAATTCATCATGATGAGAATGAAAATAGGTTAACTAGCCTATTTTCATTCTCATCTATCACCCTTCACTGGCGATCCGTCAACGTATCCCGTTAGCGCAGGCGGGGTTACCATACCTATTTCACCCATCAAAAAAAAGTATAGGTACATTGTACATTTGTTTCTGAAAGTTGACAGATTACAATAACAGTATAATAACTGTCACACAATTATACCAATTGCCTAGTCCTCAAGCCAGGATATCCTGTGTAAAGAGGAACCAGGCGGTGAACATCTGGGTATACATCAGCCTAGTACACCCAGACCGGGGGGAAAGGGATTGTTAGTAATGGGATCAAATAGCCCTATTACCAGCAATATACCCTGTCAGGTCGACATCCACGTGGTTCCCCCTGGAAACCATCGTGACTAATTCTAGTTTAATTCGTCATGATGGGCTAACTGACCTACTTCATCTTCACCTATCATCCTTCACTGAATATGAAACCAGATGAATATGAAAGTAGGTCTACTTTCATATTCATCTGTCATCCCTCACTGGTGCCCCGCCGGTGTATACCAATAGCGCAGACGGGGTTACCATACCATTATCACCCATTAAAAAAAAAAGTACGACTAGACCCGATTCAATTTAGAAAATTTTCGTTTCCTAAATTTGTCTAATTAGGAATCGAACCCGTGCCTCATTTATGCACAGCAACGTGCCCATTTCTACGCCACGGAAGTCATCAATAATTGTACGTAAGCTTCAATTAGTTTCGGCACAAATAATGTACTATCAATATGTACAATTTATCTTTTTTTTTTTATACAACTTAGAATGGCAAACAAGCTGACGGCCCACCTGATGGAAAGTGGTAACCGTCGTCTATACACATGAGCAGTACCATGCACATAACAGAGTATACTGTTTCGCCCATGATACCCCCCATGCGTTGCCATTCCTGAGGACTCAGGTGTTATTCCTCTGTACCCAGTAAAATCACGCCATATCCCACCCTTCAAACTGAAACACAGCCATGCAAACACAACTGCTTCACGGTTGAAACACGAATGGGACAGAGGTACCCAAGCAATTATAATGTACTATAATGTATAAAATTAATGTTTTGGTTTCTATTGCTCTTTTTAAGAGCCCCATCCCAAAGGTTGACGGGTAGAGAATGCTACTAGCATTAAATCCACCTTTTGTACCATATTTTCTTTTAATTAATTAAGTTATTATATATATATATATATATATATATATATATATATATATATATATATATATATATATATATATATATATATATATAATTTAAACATAATATACTTACTTGCCACTTTCCCCCATGGCATCTCCACAAACCATTCTTTGATCAATTTATTTGACATGATTTAAAAAAAAAAAACTATCACAGGAATTCACTTTATAATAAATAAAACTATATTAAATGTTCCCTTTAATTATATTATTATACCAATCTACAATATCACAGACTATAAATATGTAAAATATTTTAATTAATCTCTTTACGGTCACAGGGATATATTTTTCATTTTTCTAAAAAAACAATTTTACATCATTTCGTTACATTTGCACTTATTGAAAAAAAAAAAATAAGCACACTCCGTACTCTATGATAACAAATTGGCAACTAGCTATAAACGGATGTATATATCACAATAATACATAATCAAACATGATTTTAGCAATTCATTTGTGAGTATGGCCGCGTCATATTGAATTTTACATACAATTTTATTGATTAGATAAAACATACTCGTGTAGTTGCTCAGATTGTCGGCCATTTCTGTTTTTCGTTCAAGGTAATTTATGATTTAGGATTGACCACATATATAGATAGCTAGATGGAGTGCCGCAATAAAAATACGCTTCGTATAAACACACAAGCTTTTTTATTCGTGTGTTCGTGGATAGTGATACTAGAATGGATAATAAAAAAAAGTACAATGAAAAGAAAATAAAAATATAAAAACAAATCGAAATAATAGCATCTACATTTGAAGTTGGAGTGGACGTGATTCATATTTTTCGTCATTTACTTTTGTGGGCGACAAAGGAAACCAGGAATGGAAATTGGAAATATATGTATTATATGTCAAAGGAACTTAGAAGACTAGGGCCGTTAAGGGAAGCCAAAAGGAAACAATAGATATGCGTGTCAATTTCGAATTTGGTAAATAATAATATATAGCTATAAATAATATATGTGGCCTGTACTCCACAACTTTGTTTGACGTCTGAGAAGAAAAGAGTACGTACATAGTAAAATAGCTTTAAACTTTTAAAACAATCACAAAATATGGGAAATTTTAATCGAATTATTAATAAAAAATTCAGTTCAATCAGAAGTCAAAATTTTACTGTTTAACTGAACGTTTTTAATCCACGATGCTACATCTTTCCGCACATGTGTTCAAAATTTATGAGCTCTAACTGTTCACTTCCTTTGCCCACAATGGACACTGATAAACGAAAATAATTATAATACATAGATAAAGGAGAGTACTTTTGTTATTATCACATTTTTATCTATATGGCGTTCATAGTATGCATATAGCTTAGATTGTATAGATAGAGTGTCTACATAGAAATGCTTTGAGAAAAAACGGGTCAACGTTTTCATACAATTTTGCGTGATAAACAGTTGTGAGTGATTCTTTTATAACATCTATATTTAATTTGTTTTATAATTTCTGCATCTTACGTAAAGATACATTGTATGCGTAAATATATAGAACACTAATAAAAAGAACGAGTCAGCTAATTTGACAATATATAATACATGCATAATGGGGGGAAAGGGATTTGTTAATAATGGAGACTGAGAATCCCATTGCTAGCAATATTCCCAACCAGGTCGACCTCCTTGCGGCTCCCTCTGGAAATTATCATGGTTAATTCCTGATGAATTCATCATGATGGGCTAACTGGCCTGTTTTCATCCTCATCGATCACTAGTGAATACTGGTGCCCCGCCAGCGTATCCCGTTAGTACAGGCGGGGTTACCATTCCATTTTCATCCAATAAAAAAAATACATGCATAATATAGTAGAGGAACACTGATAATTTTAAAGGTTTCTAATGTGATGTGCTGTAATGTGCGCCCGTGCGAAGCCGGGGCGGATCTTTGTATCATATATACGCTTGTCTTGCAAGTAATCTTTTAGTATTTAGGGAGACTTTGTACAAAAGTCGTTTGCTTGGACACCTCTGTCCCATTCGTGTTTCAACCGTGAAACAGTTGTGTTTACATGGCTGTGTTTCGGTTTGAAGGGAGGGATATGGCGTGAATTTACAGGGTACAGAGGAATAACACCTGAGTCCTTAGGAATGGCAACGCATGGGGGGTATCATGGGCGAAACAGTAGGCATACTCAGCAAAATATCGCTCGCTCGGCTGCTCATATCACAGTTACCACTTTCTATCAGGTGGGACGTCAGCTTGTTTGCCATTCTATGTTGCATAAAAAAAAGTATGGAATAGGCCTTATTCATTACATTTTTTAAAGAAACTTAATTTTTTTTATACAACTTAGAATGGTAAACAAGCTGACGGCCCACCTGATGGAAAGTGGTAACCTATAGACATGAGCAGTACCATGGACATAACAGAGTATACTGTTTCGCTCATGATACGCCCCATGCGTTGCCATTCCTGAGGACTCAGGTGTTATTCCTCTGTATCCAGTAAATTCACGCCATATCCCACCCTTCAAACCGAAACACAGCCATGCAAACACAACTGCTTCACGGTAGAAACACGAATGGGACAGAGGTACCCAAGCTATCGACTTTTGTACAAAGTCTCCGTCTGGTTGATTAAATTTAATTTAATGAAAGGCAAATATTTATTAAAAACATTTACACTTGTAAAGACAAATTTGTTTCTTGATCTTTGAACTATATGTGGCAAACTGAGATACGAAACAAAGTACTATGTTGTATATAATTAAGTAATATAAGTGTATTTTTTGCTTATAACTTTATAAATTCGACTTTGTTCCAAATGTGATCTTTGCACCGTTTTTGGTTATTCTCTATCTATTTAGCGATCAGCAACTGAATGGCGTTATCTATTAATAACAATGGCATTATTTCCTCATTAGGTACATTTTGTTGAATTAATAATTATACACAAGGACATTATAAGGTACTGGTTTTTTTTTTTAATTTTAATTACTTGCAACACTAAAAAAAAGCGCGTTTTGTCGAGATTTAAAATAAATATATCATTTTAATTTGTTTTTGATACTCGATGCTCTGTCAATATACCTAATCTATATTTTTATAATGTTAGTATGGCGATTGAAGCGCCTATTTTTTTTTTACTGAGCAAGAAATTGATGTCGGACTGTTACTTGTAAAGTTTTCATCGAAGAATCTTATGTCGAATACGTCTACATTAGACACGATACCGCGTTCTAAATTCAAATAGTTTAAATGTAATGTCAGATAAATACGATAGATTTCGTGTTTCATTAGTATGGGTGTGTTCATGATTGTAGATTTTTGCGGACTAGACCAGAATGTAGAATGTACAGACATAATGTAACTAAGGAGGGGGAAAGGGATTGTTAGCAATGGAGTTTGACAGCCCCATTGCTAGCAATATACCTTATTAGGTCGACCTACACGTATTTCCCCCTGGAAACCATCGTGAACAATTCTTGTTGAATTCGTCACGATGGGCCAACTGACCTGGTTCGTCCTCACCTATTATCCTTAACTGGTGCCCCGCCAGCGTATCCCGTTAGCGCAGGCGGGATTACCATACCATTTTCACCTATCAAAAAAAAAACTAAGGTGAGTGTACCTTTTTGTTTGTAATCTAGTGAATTATTAACTATAATTATGACAGGCGCTTTAAAAGTTGTTATTTTAATTTTATATACAATAATATAGAAATATAAATAATATGTACTAAGTAATAAGATTGTTTTTTTCTGGAGACTTGTCCGGTTCTAGAATAAAAACACACGGATATGCGACACCGGCCTCCCGAGCCATCGCTCTTTCTGACCAGTATCCTCATCACCCTCAACTGCAGTGTTGTAACTTTTATTTTTAATTTTACCTCTTCCCAAATTATTGCTTTTTTTCTTCGATCGAATACCATATAATGGATAACCACACTACCAATAAACGTATTTTCAAAGAGATTTGATTGAGGCGCCGATTGTAAAACCAAAAGCCACAATCTTGGGTAAAATAAAAAACAAATTATGCCGACCACAAAATTTATGTAATTAGGTTAAGGGTAGAAAGATGATGGGGGTGATAAAATATGGATGGACCGTTTGCGCTATCGATATACGGACATATCTCCGCAACTATGTTTAATCTGTGTATTACCCCTAATCTATAATATATACCTCCCTGAGTGCGGACTAAATTGCATAGATTAAAAATAGTACTAGATAATATCTATCTGTGGATCTACAGTATTTTTTTTTAATAATGGCAAAGAGCTATCATATATTAGTATACAATATTAGTATACGTTGAATTATTATTTCGTTATTTAAGACACGACATTATCCTTATATGAAAGAAATGCATCTGTGCAACCACATAGACAGATCATATAAATATCAACACAATAAATTAAAAATGATATACAAATTATTAAAATATTTGTAACATGTCTCTGATAAATATATAAATATCGATAGACATCATAAACTACCTTGCTACTTTATAGTGAAAATTTTCAAAATTAATAAAGAAATTATAAAAAAAATAAAGGTGCATAGAAAATATACAAATATTTTTTATTCGAAGTGACGCATGCCTGTACCTATATACAGAGTAAAATCTCAGGTACATTACTATTTAACTCATATAAAGAAAATACTTTCCTTAATCTATAAATTATCCAATATCTCAGGTAAAATCTTTCTTTTTGCACAGACATAATTATATGTGTTTTTTTAAATTCAGTAAGGGACTAATTGAAGAAAGAGAAATGCTTAATCTTTGGGACTAATGTTACCTATTATGACACTAACAAACACAAAGGGGTTTTAAAAAATAACCATTAATAAAATAAAACAACACACAAAAGCTTAGACCTTTTATATATACAGCTATATTTCATGACATTACCATTCGTCAGCCTAATTACACCATTGTCCAATTCGTATTGGCCAGTATTATTTTTTAAAAACTTTAGTGAATTATGAAATTCATTTAATTTTTTCGTGTCACTTGTTAGAAATATTCCGTCGACTATTGCGTTTTGTAGGTAGAACGTGTTGGGCGAATGCGACCATGGTTCCTTACTCATTTGCTGTAAATGAATTAACCTGTAAACAAGTTAATATAGTCTGATTAGTATTTTAGTGCGGTTTCAAAGAAATTTTCTCCCGTGAACGCTCAGGCCATGGAATGAACTTCCAGCCGAGGTTTTCCCTAGAGACTACAGTATGGGGTTTTTCAAAAAGGGTAATATACCCTTTTATAATCTATACTTATAATAATTCTCTACAGATTTATTATAAGTATAGATTATGCAATAATTAATAAAATATCTATTACAATAGTTTTATTATAAATTTTTTGGTCATCAGGTATGCAGTGTGGAATACTGTCTTAACAATAGGATTTCTTATTATCATTAATCTTTCATGAAATTTTGTTTTACATTTACGTAGTCTATAGGCGACGGTTACTACTTTCCATCAGGTGGGCCATCAGCTTGTTTGCCATTCTAAGTTGTATAAAAAACAAAAAAACATCTCATCTCCATACAAAAATTCTCATCTCCCCTCTTAAGGAGAGTAGATGGCAAGTAACCCCCGGCAGAAGCACAGTCGGCCGGGGTTCAGGGCCCCAGGGAGAGAAACTGGCGTACAATGCGGGCAGAATCTAAGAGCACCGCTTTCTGCATCTTTCCCGGGAGTGAGCCGCCTCGGAATCCCAACCGTCTGAGATGTTGTTCCAGACTGGTTGGGATAAGACCGTTCACCGACATAACGATTGGGATGATTTCGGTGGACGCCACCCCCCACATTTCGGTCACCTCGTGAGCCAGGTCGAGATATTTTCTCTTTTTCTCAGTTTCGACTAAAAATTATTATTATTATTATTTTTATTTTAAATTTACGATATCTCTGCTTAAAACCGGTTTTACAGGTGTACACGGGCCTAAGCCAAGTGCATAACTGTGTGCTATGTTTTTTGTATAAATGTAATTTGTCTGGTAATCTGTTTGTAATATTATGTTAACCTGTAGATGTACCAGGAACGTCTAGTCCAATTTGCAGAAACTTCCTGACAATTCGGCATGTATTTAGGATTACGGCTTTCTGTAATTGATGGTAAATATTGGGTGGTAACTTTAGAGTATTTATCGCGTGATGCAGTTGTTTTGGTATTACACCTGTCGTGGACAGTACTATTATTATTATAAGATTGCTATCTCACCTCGCCACATTTTCGTTGGGACGCAAATTGCTCACCCATCCATCGAAGTCCACATACCATGCCTGCAGTCCACTCGCCGGTGTCGATCCTGAAATACCATATTTTCAAATATTGGATCAAATAACCTGTGCTATGATGAGTGACATATGTAACAGTTAAGTTTTTTTAATGTTTTTTTTTTTTTAAGATGGTTGACCACTAAACAAAATTGGCCACAAAATTCTAGATGGCGCTAGAATATTTTTTTTTTTAATGGATGATAACGGAATATTAGCCCCGCCTGCGCCATCAGGATACGCTGGCGGGGATCACCAGTTAGGGATGATAGGTGAGGATGAAGCAGGTCAGTTGGCCCATCGTGATGAATTCATCGAAAAAACTGATGCTCCGCCAGCGTATCCCGTTAGCGCAGGCGGGGTTACCATACCATTTTCACCCATCAAAAAAAAAACCACAATACTTTCCGGGGGAATTACGTGGAGGTCGACCTGATAAAGTATACTGCTAGAGATAGGACTTTTAAACCCGATTACTAACTATCTCTTTCAAGAAGAACTTATTAGAAATTTTATCATAATCGATTGAATACTTTAGTTGTGAAATTAATTCTTAGATCGTTCCAAAAGTCGATCGTACGTCTGTTTGTTTGTAAATAATGCTAAATAATAAGTAATAATTGCTCTAGAATTCCACTCCACATATTATGGGTCGCTAATTTGATTTCGATCATTTACCACCATTAATCGATGACCGTGTCGTAAGCAAGCGTGGATCCAGCTTTTTTTCTAAATGTTTGATATTGGAATGGTAACCCCGCCTGTGCTATCGGTATACGCTGGCGGAGCACTAGTGAGGGGTGATAAGTGAGAATGAAAAGGCAAGTAAGTTAGCGTATCGTGATGAATTTACATGGAAATGAACACGATGGTTTCAAGGGAGGACCACGTGGAGGTCGGCCTGACAGGGTATATTGCTAGCAATGGGACTGAATAACATAACCGAATGCATCGTGATGAATTTACTTGGAATTGAACACGATGGTTTCCAGGGAGAACCGCGAGGAGGCCGACCCGACAGGGTATATTCTCTCACCTATCATCCCTCACTAGTGCCCCGCCAGCATATATGGTACCGTTAGCGCAGATGTGTTACCATTCCATTATCATTCATTAAAAAAAAATAGACAATTGAATTATAAATCACTGTTTATACTTCATTACATTGATTGTATCATAAACTCGTCTTTAACCGGTTTGAAAACAGGTCGCGTGTGTAAATAAAAAAAAAAATAAACACAAAGGAACAAAGTACAAATATGTTTACTCGAGTGCTCAAAACAGGAGAGTAATTATTTTAAGGTTCTTGTAGATTGATAAATAGATAGATAGATACTCTTTATTGTTTTCTCCAAAAGATTACTGTAGTACATTTTTGAAGAATGGAAGAAAGAAATATATTACACCGACCCCAAATAATAATTGAGGTAATAGTAGTAAGAGAATAATAATGATTACCTACATTTTTGGCGTGTTATATCTATATAACAATTTGTGTCAAATTTTATTTTTTGTTTCTGGCCATTTAACATCTCTAAGCCTTAATTTTTTTTTTCTAAATAAATAATTTAGTCAAAGCATAATAAGCCAGGAGCTCTTTAACGTGTATACTATGCTACTGCGCCACAGAGATCGGTAGAATTATGAACAACAGCAGATAACAGTCCCTTATCTCCCATTAGATAGCTATAAATAATTTTATTAGATAGCATTAATTAATGTTTTAAAACTTACCATTATCATTTCTTTGGCCATCCATTGTCGATAAAAAAAAAACTTTACGCAATTCAATTACAATTACATTCCAAATTCAAATAAATATTGCAATAATTCGTTTATAACTCGTATATTTTGCCAAAAAAGTGTTGTAACTCGTAATACAATTAACCTGTACTAATATTTTTTTGTAAATTATTATTATTATATTTAGAAGACAGTGTTATCACGCCAGCGTCTTTATATTTATGAATGTAAACAAATACTGTATTTCTGTTAGGTGCCTACTTAATACATGTTTACAATGATAGTGAGTCTGTTATTCAGGAATGATAAAGTGTCGATATTTTTAATTCACATATCGATGTTTTGTTCTTAATAAATAAAAAATAAATAAACAAAGCCCAAATTTTATTTTAAAGAAAAAGGGATACCTATCGCAAGCTTTATACTTACATAGAGACAATATGTAAAAATTTGTTTTAGATGTAAATATATAATTGCAAATTTTTTTATACCACGAAGGTGGCAAACAAGCATGCAGCCCGTCTAATGGTAAACGATCACTGTAACCTATGGAGATCTGTAACACTAGGGGTGTCACGTGCGCGTTGCGACTGAAACTGTTTGTAATTAATTGGTACTATATATCATCATCATCATATCAACCGTTAACTGTTCACTGTTGAACATAGGCCTCTCCCTTGGGGAGGTTTGCTGGTAGTTGCCACGTTTGGCAGGCGAGTCGGCAACTGCAGTTCTGCTTTGGTGATTTTTATGCAACTTAGAATTGCAAACGGTCCACCTGATGAAAAGTGGTAACCGTCGTCTATAGACATGAGCAATACAATAACAGAGTATACATTTCATTTTAAAATGAATTTGATATTTTTTTGCAATTTAAAATGGCAAACAATCTGACGGTTTTTTTTTAATTTATTAAAAATTTATTTCCTTATTTTTTACCTTTTGGCGATTTGATGGCTCAAACGATCTATGTAAAATTTGCTTTAGATACCTACATGAGGCAGTATTTGAAATAGAGAATAACACTCTCTTTTCGGTGCAACTAATTCATGCATCTTCCTCCAGCCAGCTCTATCCCAGGCCATATCCTTGACCTCCCTATACGACATGACACCTAGTGTTTTTTTTTATCTGTCTCATAACATAACTGCTAAATTTAATTATAGCTCCAAGACAGTAGACAACAGACAAATAGATTTTCAAGTTAATAATATTCGAAAGGATTACTTAATTCATTTGTCGATATCGAAAAGAGTCATCGACATCCCCGCACTATTCAGAGGTCGCGTTCGGCAACCGGTCGTCATTTCACTTTTCCCTATTAGTTCACGATGCTAACGCTAGTCGAGCAATAGTGTTGCAATGCGATTACAAATATTAAATGACACGGAAACCTTTATTATAGCTAGCTAGTTATAATTATTAGGAAATAAAAAAAAGTATGCTCACGATGGGGTAATCATTATAATGATGATTTTGTAGACAGTTACCGAATCGACTTTCTATCATCGTACGGCTCGCCATCGACAGGGAATTCACCCTCATACCCTACAGCCTAAATGATCGCGCACAACGCGGTTTCAGAGATGTTTTCTCCCACGAACGTTCAGGTTATGGAATGAGCTCCCTGCCGAGGTTTTCCCAAGAGACTACAGCATGGGGTTCTTAAAAAAAGGGGGGTAAAGAGGTTACTTCAGGGTCGGCAACGCGCGCCTAATACCTCTGGTATTGCAGGCATTCATAGGCTACGGTAACCGCTTACCATCAGGTGAGCCGTATGCCTGTTTGCCACCTCAGTGGTATATAAAAATCGACTTCAATTTTTTCATACCACGAAGGTACCACAAGCATACAGCCAGTCTGATGGTAATGGTTACTGCAACCTATGGACGACTGCAACATTAGGGGTGTGTGGGCGGGCGGGGTAGAGCTCGTTATACACCCTATCAGACCGACCTCTACCCGGTTCCCCCTGGAAATCATCGTGGTTAATTCTAGTAAAAATCAAGTCATGAGGAGCTAATTGACCTGCTTTCATCGTCATCTATCATCCATCCCTCAATGATGGGGGTAAGGGATTGTTAGTAATGATGAGGTTAGTCTCCATCGTTGTCAATGTAACTTATCAGGTCGACCTCCACGCGGTTCCCTTGGAAACTATCGTGACTCATTTATCGTTGAATTCGTCACGATGGGCTAACTGATCTGCCTTTTCATCCTCACTAATCATCCTCACTGGTGCCCCGTCGGTGTATACCGATAGCAGAGGTGGGGTTATCATTTCATCATCAAAAAATCCCAAGAATATTTGTATTACAGGTCACCAGGGCCTCACTCCGCAGGATTACTTACTAAGTATTTGTAATACAATAAGTTAATTCAATGTAATAAATATAATTTATAGGAAGAGATAGAGACTGAACTGAGCGTTGATTTTATTATATAAGTAACTACCTAGAAAACAATAAAATACGAGCCACTCGTATAATTTTCCTAACGATTTGAATAGGCTGATGGGGCGAAAGCAGTAGGAAGAGACTTGTCTTTCCCTGGTTTGGGAAAGCCGATGACATTAGCTTCTTTCCAAACAACCGGGATGATGGCATTGGAAATTGCCGCATTGAAAACTAGTAGAATAAACTAGTAAAATAAAAGACGTATAATTTCTTTTAAGATTAACGTCGCACACTTGCTGTAAGGCTGGCTGTATGCATGTTTGCCACGCTGTTGTATAATACACATAAAATATGCGTGTCCACTTTGGAGTTAGTAACTTTTTTTTTTAGTACGTTTGTTCCGTTGTGGAACAGGCTAAGGTCGGAGACCATGCTGCCTAGTCTTTAAAATGATAATTTGTCTGGAATTTTAAGAAGTTAGTAACATTTTTTAAATGTGTGGTTGTCATTCTTTATCTACCCTTGCTGTCAGCTGTCAGTCTTCATTGACATTGACAAAACAGTACAATACAAATGTCAAGGCGGGAAACTCGAATAAGAACAAGCGGGTTTTTTAAATTTTTTTTATTAATTTATTAAAACTATCTCTATCAATTCTTATTATTGAATAAAATATTATATTCTCACTAAATTCAGCGACAGTAATATAATTAGCATTCATGGGGAAGCGCAGTTGTAGAAAAAGGAAAAAAAAAGATGACGATTCAGGTGATGTAGACCATGAACCTTGTAATGACAAGGATATATATTCGGAAGATACTTCTACTGACTCAGAATCTGAAATTGATAAGGCCGATAAGTATAAACCTTACTACGTCACAGATTATATTAGAAGATATCCCGAGGAATCCCCTGGGACAGAATTTGTTGTCTTTGTAGAATCCTCAGATAGTCAGAAAACCATTGGATCCAGAGACTTGCTCTCACTCTCCTCCTGTTTAAAACGATTTAATAAAGGGGTAACTTATCTTAGATCTATAAATAAATTCAAAATCGGAGTATACTTTCAAAAGCCAGACTTAGCCAATGCTTTTTTAAATAATAAAACTTTTTTAAATGACTACCATTTTAAGGCCAGTATTCCTGCTTCTTCAACAGAAGTTACAGGCGTTATTAGAAATGTACCTACAAATATATCAAATAAAAAAATATATACTATGATATCGAGTTCTAAGAAAATTATTGCTATTAAAAGAATTTTAAGAAAAAATACCTTGACTCATGGATATGTGTTACAGCCAACTCTAACCGTGACAATTACTTTTGCTGCATCTGTATTACCTGAATATCTGGATATTGGAGGTTGGCGCCACAATGTCACTCCATATATACCACCAGTTAAACAATGCTACCGGTGCTTGAGGTATGGACATTTAGCTAAATTCTGTAAGAATTCTGAGCGTTGCAGCATCTGCAAAGGTGAGCATAATTATAAAACTTGTACAACTGGAATGGAAAACGCTATTTGTGTACACTGCAATGGAAATCACACAAGTGTATCACCGCAATGCCCTGTTAAACAAAAGAAAATTGCTGAAAATAGATCTAAATTCAGACCTGCTTCTTTTGGAGATATACTTAGCACTGAAATATTTCCTAAACTGGGTAACAAACCTAAAAAAAATGTAGACCTAATTTCAAATCTAAATTCTGATAACAAGAGTTTATCACTTTTAATAGAAAGCATAATCAAACTTATTTCACTACATAACACAAAGAACACATCTATTAACACTAAAAGTGTTTTGAATGTGTTATATGATACTTTTGGTAATTGACCTATTTCACAAAATTCAATCGAGACCAATTAACTATCATACAGTGGAACGCTCAGAGCCTACTGAGCAATCGACATATTTTTACACAATTTTTAAATGAACATCATATTCACATTGCTCTCATCTCAGAAACTTGGCTAAAACCACATTACAAATTAAAAATTAAAGATTATTGTATAGAACGAAATGATTGTGGTAATAACCACAATGGAGTAGCGATTATTATACATAATAGTATTAGATATAAAAAACTTCACTCTTTTTTCGACAATTCTTTGCAAACTATAGCTATTAGTATTGAAGTTAATAATTCTTGGTATTCAGTTGCCAGTATTTACTGTCCTACCAATAGTACACCTAGTTTTACTAAAGCCAAATTTAAGTTCTTTTTGGAGTCTCTTCCTAAACCCACTATCATATCTGGAGATTTAAATGCACATCATACTATGTGGGGTTGTACCTCCACTAATACAAGAGGTAAAGACATTCTTGATTGTTTAGATGAATGTAATTTGGTACTATTAAATGATAAGCAAGTTACTACTGTTGGCTCTCATATTTGGAGACCCAATGGCCTTGATTTAACTATGGTATCCCCATCCATATCATTAAAATGCGAGTGGTCGGTTCATGATGATCCGTTAGGAAGTTATCACCTGCCGACTTTTACTAAAATAAACACAAAGAACTCTTCATCAACTCCGTCAGGTGAACAACATGCTCCTATAGATGAAGTTAATAAACTTTTGTTAAATCGTATAAACCTACGTCTCGTTAATTGGGATCTTTATTCTGAAACTGTTAATCGATTACTTTTGGATTTCGAGTATGATGTCAATGAACCCTTAAACAATTACAATAGATTCTGTAAAATTATTTTGACAGCTGTGGAACGTTCCGTTCCACGTAGGAACTTATCAAATAGCGGTGCAAATACTTCAAAGAGGCACAAACATATTGCAGTACCTTGGTGGAATAACAGGTGTGCGACAGCTGTCAATGATAGTAAAGCGGCTTACCTTAGGTTTAAACAAAATCCAACTCTCGATAATTACATAAATTTTAAAAGAGTTCAAGCTGTTAAAAAGTTAGTAATTAAGCAAGTAAGACAACAGGGGTGGCAGGAATTTTGTTCCAAATTTAATAGATTAACACCAATTTCCACTGTTTGGCAAAATATGAGAAAACTAAATTCAAAACATCGTCAAAATCATTTTAAAGATATATCATGGGTCAATGATTTTTTACGCAAATATACTCCTGATTTTGTACACTCACCTTTTGATGACAAACAGTTTAATTCTGTTAATTCATGCCCAAAATTTCTCACTGACCCATTCTCAATTGATGAAATATCCAGTGCAGTAAAATCTAGAAAAGATACAGCTAGTGGCCTTGATCGCTTAACATACAATATGTTTCGATTGCTGAATAAAATAAACCTTACTAAACTCTTACAAATTTTTAACGATTTATGGAAGGACTGTATTATCCCACCAGAATGGAAAATGGATTGTTTGATTCCAGTAATTAAACCCGGTAAAGATCCTACAAATTTCGACTCCTATAGACCTATAACATTGACGTCCTGTGCAGGCAAATTATTCGAACAATTAATTAAACAGCGTTTAGAGTTCTTTATTGAAAGTAATAGTATATTACCATCGAATCAATTTGGTTTTCGCCGTGGATATTCAGCGCGCGAAAGTTTAGCGAACTTCTATGTCGACCTTAGTACTGCTTTGAATAACGATGAATATGTTCTATCTGTTTTTTTAGATGTCGTAGGAGCTTTTAACAATGTAAATTTAACAGTTCTATCTTCGATTTTATCCTCATTTCTTCCAATGAAACTTATCGAATGGATTTATAATTTTCTTAGTAATAGAGAAGTGTATGTTAAAGTAAATAGTAAATTAATAGGACCTAGGTTAAGCTCTAAAGGAGTATGTCAAGGTGGTATTCTAAGCCCGCTACTATATATTTTATATATCTATAAACTTAATTCAATTTTAGGAAACAGTGTGAACAACTTGCAATTTGCCGATGATTTATTAATTTATATAAAAGGAAAGAATATTATTGATATGCAATTAGTGTTAAATGAGTCATTAAAAAGACTTGAGAAATATTTTTCTCTTCTTTCCCTCGATATTAGTTTAACCAAAAGTAAAGTAGTTGTTTTTCATCAAGTTCATAAATATGTTCCATTAATGAATATTATATATAATAATCAAACTCTTCCAACAGACTGTAGCGTTAAATTTCTGGGGGTAATTTTTCATCAAAATTTAAAATGGGATCTATACGTTGATTGCTTAGTAGATCGTGCTTTAAGAGCCACTAATATAATAAGATCTGTAATTGGTCGTAACTGGGGAGCTGATCCTAAAATTATCCTTTTACTTTACAAATCTCTTGTTAGAAGTAATTTTGATTACGCTTTCTTTTGTTATGCCTCAGAACATAAATTAGTAGAAAAACTCGAAAAAATTCAAAATATGAATTTAAGACTTATTTTAGGTGCTATGTATACTTCTCCAATTATCTCAATGCAAGTAGAATGTAATTTGCCTCCTATCCTTCTTCGTTTCGAATACCTAAAACTCAAATTTCTCTTCAAAGTTTTTTCAGTTTCCAATAACCCACTCATACTCAAATTATTAAATTGCCCCATTTCTATGTTTTTGAATAAAACTATTGTCAATGATTTGAATTTACGAGATGAATATAACATCTATAGTAGTAAGATACTTCCTTGTTATAATGGCCTTTATGAGAGTAAGTTCTGTAAAATCAAAATTGTTATACGTAAAGACATAAAAGAAAAGCACGATATGTATGAGACTTTATCAGAATTTATTGACTACAGGCAGATATATACAGATGGTTCCAAAAATGCACTTAGCACCTCAGTGGCTTTTTACGATTTGTCAAATAGATTTGGTCACGGTTATAAAATTTCAACTTTGGCTAGTATTTACACAGCAGAAGCAAAAGCTATATTTTTAGCATTAGAATACATAGAAAAACAGGTACTATATTAGAAATGGATTATAATTACAGATAGTATGAGTGTTCTTATGGCATTAAAAAATAACACATTCATTTCATCATCAAACTACTTAATTCAAGAAATTCGTAATAAATATTATCATCTCTGTACTATATATGGAAAAGATATTATCTTCATCTGGACCCCTTCACATATTGGAGTGTTTGGGAATGAACAAGTAGACACTTTGGCTAAAATTATTAATTCAAGTGCTGCTCGTGTTCAAGATTTACCCCTTTGTTACTCAGATTGTAGTATTGGAATACATAAAATCGTTACAACTAAATGGGAGGAGCATTGGACTCAAATATTACAGACTAAAGGCAAATGGTACCGCAAAATTAATTGGCGTATTGGAAAACCGTGGTTCTGCAAAGGAAAGGACACAAACAGAAAATTTTACACCAATATTTGTAGATTACGAATCGGCCACGGACATTTCAACGAACACCTGCACCGAATGGGCATGATCGCTTCCCCATCATGCACATGGTGTAACTCAAATACAGCCCAATCTCTACATCACCTTTTTTTTTGATTGCTCTGAATTTGTCATTCAAAGACACATTATGTTTGACGAACTTAGGATTATCTTCAAAAAACCCGAAAATATCCCGCACTCAATCCCGATTCTCTTAAGATTTCCTTCTTGTTTCAAAGCTATTTTCACTTATATTATTACAACATTCAAGGAGCTATAAGAATACTTTTATTGAATTGCAAGACAATGATTTTTTATAATTATTTATTTTTAATTTGATAAATCCACTGGTTTAAGAAAACTCAAGAAAAGATATTTATGAAAATGTACTTAGCGGATTTGACAAATGAAATATTGAAGATTATGACAATAATTGAAGCGACATTAGAAAAATAAAATTCCAGACAAATTATCTTTTTGAAGACTAGGCAGCATGGTCTCCGACCTTAGCCTGTTCCAAACGGAACAAACGTACTAAAAAAAAAAAAACAAATGTCAAAATGTATCAAAAAAAAATACAAATCAGTCTCACATACGATGTCTAATATTTTCCTAGAAAACTAATTTTAGAAACTAAAATTGTTTCTTTCAACAATATTAAGTGTACAATGTTATGAAATTATTTAAAAGTAAGTAAATAGTTATGGACATAATGTAAATATTATATAATATCTAATATTCCAAATCTTCCTGTTCAACCATAACACTGCAATGATCAGCTGATTAATAGACCGGCAATTCGTCATATCATGATGTGAAAGAAGTCTGTTTAAAAACAAATTTTTAGATTTTATCACGAAATCCTGGGCAACATACAATTTTTTTTTATACAAATTTGGGTATCTCTGTCCCATTCATGTTTCAACCGTGAAGCAGTTGTGTTTCGGTTTGAAGGGTGGGATATGGCGTGAATTTACTGGGTACAAAGGAATAACACCTAAGTCCTCAGGAATGGCAACGCATGGGGGGTATCTAGGGCGAAACAGTATACTCTGTTATGTCCATGGTACTACTTATATCTATAGGCGACGGTTACCACTTTCCATCAGGTGGGCCGTCAGCTTGTTTGCCATTCTAAGTTGTAAAAAAAAAATGTTTGTGTTTTTAAACAAAATATATTAACTTATCTCTTTTTTATGAATGGATGCTACTTGTGAGAACTGGTCTTCCTTTACTTGTTTGTTTATGCCACATTGTTTGATTTTTTTCACATAATCTAGAACCCAAGAAAAAACAATATTTTGCAGATATGACAAAACATTCAATGCATTCTCAACATGTCCATGGCTATGCTTTTCAAATTTTCATGCGGACACAAAATTTACAAATTTATTTTCAGCTTGATACTTTCATGCATTCTTAAAAGAAGTTTTGTTAAACAGACTGATAGACAGATAACAGAGTGATTGACAGTTTTTCCTTTTGTTTTTTAATCAGGTAGGCCGTCAGCTTGTTTGCCATTCTAAGTTGTATAAAATAAAAAAATATACTGGCGGGGCCCCAGTGAGGGATGATAGGTGAGCATAAAAGCAGGTCTGTTAGCCCAATGTGACAAATGCAACAAGAGTTAATCACAATGGTTTTCAGAGAGTACCGTATGGAGGTCGTCAGGGCTTGCTAGTAATGGGGCCATTAGGCCCCATTACTGGATAAAAAGTAAAGGGGACTAATGTCCCCTTTACTTTTTATCCAGTCAGTAAACATATCCTGTTCACGCAGACGAAGTCGCAGGTAAAAGCTAGTCATTAATAAATTTTAATTTTTATAAATAATTCCAGATGGCGTTATACATGAAACAGGATTTCAATCCACCAATACTGTCAAGAAAATGGCTGGCCATCAAATGCAGACCAAATATGGTAGTCACTTTTTATAATTCTATATGTAGTCTTGTTTTTGAATGGATTACCTCTATTCTACCATACAAACTTACTGTACTTCCCGTATGGTCCCGGCATAGAATAGGCCACCCCTTCTTTTCCCATGGGTGTCGTAAAAGACGACTAAGGCGAGGGATGGGCAACAGCATCCCTCTTAAACATCTCCAAAACCTAACTGCTGTTGCCATTACGCCTGCCAAGCGTGGCAATTACTGGAAAACCCCCTCACCCTCCACTTTAAGGAAAAGGCTTATGTTCAGCAGTGGATAGTTAAATGCTGTGATGATGATGAAACTGAAAATAAATGCCAATGAAACCTGTATCAAAATTCGTTGCCTGATTTACAAGAAATAAGTGGAGAAACAAACATGCCGATGGGGACTTTATCTACTATATATATATAAAAATGAATGGCTGAATGTCTTGCTAAACGCAAATCTCACGACAACAGCTGAACCGATTTCACTAATTCTTTTTTTAGCATATTCCTTGAAGTATGAGAATGGTTGTTACGAAGAGAAAAAATTGAAATCTGCCCTGTAGACATATTTTAATGTGTATAAAAGTATAAATAAATAATATACAGAAGTGCTCAAAATGTCATCAATGGTGACAATGCATGTGGGGTTTTTTTAATGTATGACAATGGAATGGTAACCTCGTCTGCGCCAACGGTATACGCTGATGGGGCACCAGTGAGTATAGGTGAGGATGAAAGCAGGACTGTTAGCCCCTCCTGTTGAATTCACCTCGAATTTAGCACGATAGTTTCCATGGGAGATGGCTGGAAGATCAACCTGTTAGAGCACTGTTTGACATTCTAATTTTTATAATTTTTTTATACCACTGAGGTGGCAAATAAGCATACGGCCCACCTGATCGTAAGCAGTTACCGTACTCTATGAACGGCTGCAATACCAATGGTATTACACGCGCGTTGCCGACCCTGAAGAAACCTCTTTACCCCCCTTTTGAAGAACCCCATGCTGTAGTCTCTTGGGAAAACCTCGGCAGGGAGCTCATTCCATAACCTGAGCATTAAATAGACACTAGATTAAACTGTACAGTAAAGAATAATAATTGGTAATAAAGACCAGAGGGAGACTTTGTACAAAAGTCGATTGCTTGGGTACCTCTGTCCTATTCGTGTTTCAACCGTGAAGCAGTTGTGTTTGCATGGCTGTGTTTCGGTTTGAAGGGTGGGATATGACGTGAATTTACTGGGTACAGAGGAATAACACCTAAGTCCTCAGGAGTGGCAACGCATGGGGGGTATCATGGGCGAAACAGTATACTCTGTTATGTCCATGGTACTGCTCATGTCTATAGGCGACGGTTACCACTTTCCATCAGGTGGTCTGTCAGCTTGTTTGGCATTCTAAGTTGTATAAAAAAAAGACAAAGGGAAAATTAGCCACACTCAATAAAGAATGAAGGATGAAGGAAAAGTGGATGGAAAGGATATATAAAGGAAAATGCTTGAATAAATAAACGAGGTAAACAAACTGAAATTTAATATCCGGTCAGGGCACATCCTTAAGGGGGAGATTATATAAAAAAAACCTGAGCATTAATAAATAGAAAACATCTCTGAAACCGCGCTGTACACGACCATCTAGCTTTTTTTTATTCAACTTAGAATGGCAAACAAGCTGACGGCCCACCTGATGGAAAGTGGTAACCGTCGCCTATAGACATGAGCAGTACCATGGACATAACAGACTATACTGTTTTGCCCACGATATCCCCCATGCGTTGCCATTCCTGAGATTTCAGGGTATGGGGGTGAACTCCTTGTCGATGGCGAGCTGTACGCTCTTTAATAACTGGATGGGTCTACCATCATTGTCTTCAATTTATTTCAGTTGCTGTACAGTAGACATCATATTATTGCAATTCTGGAGAGCGGCCTTCTATTCCGAGAGGACAGTATAGAGGTAGAACAAGAGGCGCCATCTACCGAGGAGGTATGGCGGGCCGTCGGAGGAGGGAAAGGAGGATGGTTCACCAAAGGGGAGGGGATAGCGGCATTGTTAGCTGTCTCTGCTTGTGTTGCTGCATTCCCTCCAAGAAGGTTAGTATATTTATCCACCTACGCGTTTCCACTCTCGTCCTTGTTTTCGAACCAGAGATGGATTATTCTTTTACGGAATACCAGAGGGAGACTTTGTACAAAAATCGTTTGCTTAGGCACCTTTGTCCTATTCGTGTTTCTACCGTAAAACAGTTGTGTTTGCATGGCTGTGTTTCGATTTGAAGGGTGGGATATGACGTGAATTTACTGGGTACAGAGGAATAACACCTGAGTCCTCATTGATGGCAATGCATGGGGGGGTATCATGGGTGAAACAGTATACTCTGTTATGTCCATGGTACTACTCATGTCTATAGGCGACGGTTACCACTTTCCATCAGATGGGCAGTCAGCTTGTTTGTCATTCTAAGTTGCATAATAATAATCTTAAGGCAAACTTGGAGCGTGATGTTTTTAATGGATGATAATGGAATGGTAACCCCGCCTGCGCTAACGGTATACGCTGGCGGGGCACCAGTGAGGGTGATAGATGAGAATGAGAAGGCAAGATAAACAAAAGCAAGTTATCAAATTCTAAGTATCTAACTGACGTGGCAGGTGGAAAAGGAATTGTTAGTAATGGGGTCTAACTGCCCCATTGCTAGCAATACACCCTACCAGGTCGACATCCACGTGGTTCCACCTGGAAACCATCGTGGTTAATTTTAGTGCAATTCATCACGATGGGCTAACTAACCTGCTTTCATCCTCACCTATCATCCCTCACTGGTACCTCCCCAGTGTATACCGATAGCGCAGGCGGAGTGATCATTTCATTATCACCCATTAAAAAAAACTGACGTGGCAGCCTCCATCGGTGGACGCTGGCGAACTTGGCGGCGTACGTGTGCACGGGGGCGGCGGTGAGGGCGGCGCACCGGGCGCTGTGCCGCGGCTCGCTCGCCGCGCTGCTCGCGAGCATGCGCGACTACCTCGCGCTCGCTCGCCGCGCCGCCGCCTGCCTCAAGGAGTACGCCGCACTGCACGCGCAACTGTGAGTCGCCTTTGTATAAAATTGCTGTATCAAAGGTGATATTTTTTTATACTCCTACCGTGGCAATCCAAATTCAATCCAAATACCCTAAGCGGGTAAAACGGGGGTTGAAAATTTCTATGCAATGTCGTCAGAGTAGAAGTTAGACACGTAAAATTTTAGTTTTTAAATTCTAGGCCTTTAGGCCAAAACAAAATTTAATATGTTTATTGGTTTTTGAAGAATTCATCCCTAAGGGGGAGAAGCTAGCAATGTAGATAGGTAACGTCATCAAATCTACTTATTTCATACCTTAATTAATTGTTCAAAGCAGTTCGCTAACAGTCACTAAGGACGCCGCGTCGACTAATTAAGTCATTTTAGCAGTAGTTTTATATAAATATAGTTAATGTTAGCCCTTTGAACTCGAGGCCATTTTCGCTTGTATTGTAAGCAGATCCTAGTCCAAGAATGTACTTCCGAGAAAATTATCTTATCGCACATTGTAAATAAGGAGATATAGTTACAAAAGACCATAGCGTCGTAGCAGCGTAGTTCGATTTAAAGTTTTAAAACACTCGGACGCCGCAGTAGCGCTGCTCATGTTGCCACTTCGAATCGGTCGGACGCCGTATTGGCGTCGCTCGAGTGCAAAGGGTTTATACAATCCAAGTTTCCTTTCAATAACATTATTACTTCAGTTTCGATTTATACCGAAGATGTTTGGATTATCTCAAACATTGGTCCTTCGAACCGGATCTAAATCAGCGACCTGGCTATATAGACGGTATGCTCCGAATAGAGGATAAAATTTTGTATGGGAGTTATGTTATAATTGAAGTTAGAGGTCCAAAACTTTAGTTTTAGACTTGTGATTAGAAATAAATACTTTTTGAGTGATTTTGAAAATTTCACCCCTCTAAGTCGTTGGCAATAGCCAGTTCTTACTATAGTAAGGACATATATTTAGCAACGCATTTTAGCCTTAATATGCTAGTATAGCTATTCCATTATCATCTGTAAATAAAAAAAAAAGCATGACATCATAACCAAGGTCCTGTTCCTAGTGGGTCCATATCGTGCGCGATCGAGTCGACGCACACGATGCTGCGGCGGCAGCAGAGCGAGCTGTCTGTCCTCATGTCGCGCGCGTCCTCCGCGCTGCTCGGCAACGCGCCCTGGCTTGTCGCCGACGTCGCCTGGGACGCTGTCGTACGCGACGGCGACGACAACTTGACGGTATGTCTGCTCTTTACTTGGGGACCTGGTTGACTGTACCCACCCAGTATTGTCCAGGGAAGGGATTGTTGGCAATGGGGTCTAATTGATTCATTGTTAGCAATACACCAGGTCGATCTCCACACGGTTCACCCTGTAAACCATTGTGGTTAATTCTAGTGGAATTAGAAAAAACAGGTCTAACTGACCCGTCTTTTCATCCTCACCTATCATCCCTCGCTGGTGCTCCGCCAGTGTATACCGATAGCGCAGGAGGCATTACAATTCCATTATCACCCATAAAAAAGGCAGTATTGTCAAGGGGAAAGGGATTGTTAGTTAGTAACTAATTTTAATAAAATGCCTACGGTAAACTGTAAATATATCATATCAGAGACGCAAAGCGGCCCAAATGAGAGGCTAAGTGCGGAAAATGGATTCCTATTTACATCATATCAGATAAAAAAAGAATTTTCCAAATCGGTTTACACAACTGACGGAGTTGTGAGAGTAACAAATATATAAAAGAATGCAACCTACTCGCGAACCCTTTTGAAATCGATTGAAAATACCTAAATATGTTATAAGTTTGTCCAAAAACATTTTTTTTATACCACTGAGGTGGCAAATGAGCATACCATCAGGTAAACTTGATGGTAAGCGGTTACCGTAGCATATGAATGCCTGCAATACCAGGGGTATTACACTCGCGTTGTCGACCTTGAAGAAATTGCTTGGGTACCTCTGTTCCATTCGTGTTTCAACCGTGAAGCAGTTGTGTTTGCATGGCTGTGTTTCGGTTTGAAGGGTGGGATAAGGCGTGAATTTACTGGGTACAGAGGAATAACACCTGAGTCCTCAGGAATGGCAACGCATGGGGGTATCATGGGCGAAACGGTATACTCTGTTATGTCCATGGTACTGCTCATGTCTATAGGCGACGGTTACCACTTTCCATCAAGTGGGCCGTCAGCTTGTTGGCCATTCTAAGTTGTATAAAAAAAAATCTCTTTACCTCCCTTTTGAAGAGCCCCACTATTTCTGCTCTATATATAATATCTGTATTGCTTTATTACAGAAAATTCACCACGCCTTCCTAGTAGTACAATCGACATTGCTCAAACATATCGCCATGGCTCACTACATACCGTCGATACACGCCCAACGTATATACAGAAATCACAACGAACGGATATACTGGCTTCATGCCACTCTCATACCACATTTAACCGATGAATTCCAACAGTGTCACGAAACTCTAAACAGGATGTATAGATTGTTAAAAAACTTCGGTAGCAGTGACATAGACAATAAAAAGCTAGGCACCGCAGTCATAGACAGCTGGATGTACAGTGACATCCATAGTGGCATAGCGCGGACATGTCTAGAGTTGAAATTGTCTATGAATAAATGTAACTCCCTCGACGCTTTTCTAGATTCGTGCGCTTTAAACAATCAAGAATTAGATTTAAATGTATTGAGCAATGATATTGGTGAAATTATCGATAGTGTAACGAAATCATTGACAACGATGCAAAATTCTCAGCTGAGACTGAAGAAAATTAAAAATAAATGTGATAAACCGGACTCTGATGTCCCCGAAGAGGTCGAAGCGGAGATAGAAAGCGCGGGAATTTTGAAAATAGAAGACAAAGAACCAGAGGCGAAAGACGAAGTTTTTTATTTCGTCAGGACTGACGACGACGTTGACTCTATACAGCCGGCGGGGGATTCGTTAACTGGACCCGGCAAGAAAGAAAGGGAGACAACTAAAGTTGTATTGAGCGAGTTGAGAAGAAAGTTGGGGAAGCGAGAGGACGCTATGCGTGAAAGAGAGAGACGAGCGCTGCTTAAAACTATGCCCGAATTGAAGGATAACGTTCCAGAATTCCCTAAACAGATAGGTTTAGAAGAATACGCCGACCAAAAAGGTTTTATAAGGAAAATTAAGAGAAAAAGACGGAAAACAAGGTTGTTTAAAAACTACAAAATAAACCAGAAACGGGTAAAGATAAAAAAATATAAATTAAAAAGAAATAAATATGAAAAGGACAAAGATATCGTGAATCCGTATGAGGCGAATTCTAATTTAATTTTTAAGAGTAAACTTATAACAATTGTATGCAATAATAAAGAATTAATTATAATCAAATGGTGTAAGCATGTACAGCCAACAAAATCAAAGATCGATAAAGAAAAAGTAGGAAACAGTGCTGCCAACAAAGTTAACGGAATCGAAGAAAATAAAGAGAACTCTAGAAACAATTACAAAGTTTCAAAACGCGATCTAGAACTTTCGCCTTCGTCGTCGGAGAGCGATTTTGAGTTTTACGAGAGGCAAGTAGCGTTGCTGAAAGATGCCCGCCGCCATAGAGCGAACAGAAAGAAACAATATCCGGACAAGAGGGCGAGCATAGACAAAGAAGATGAGAGTCTACGACCCATAGAGTACAGTTTTGGCACTGGTATGGCTATGGCGTCTATGTTACAAACGAATAGTAAAGCGAAAATACCTAATATGTGTCAGGAAGAGGTATTTATTGGAGACGGTGAGGTTTCCAATGATAGTGGAAATGATGAAGATGCTTAAAATTGTTCATACTTTAACTTACCGAAGTGTGACAACTAGGCATGGGTAATATCAATATAACTTCAATCAATATATATATATATATATATATTAGTTTTGTAAGAACACTGATAAAGCGACAAAAAGGGCATCATTCATTTCGATATCATCTATACCAACGGGGTGCTTAATTTCGTTATTATACATTGGATGGGGGGTGTCATGGGCGAAACAGTATACTCTGTTATGTCCATGGTACTGCTCAAGTCTATAGGCGACGGTTACCGCTTTCCATGAGGTGGGCCGTCAGCTTGTTTGCCATTCTAAGTTGTATAAAAAAAAATTATATATATTTTTATTGGGCCGATATATAGATATTGTATACATAATGTATAGATATTTAAACATATACGTCCCCTAGTGGCAATGTCACAATTATCTGTCAATTTGCAAAACAATGTAACAATTTTCGATATTCTGATTATTTAAGTAAAAAAACGAACTAAAATTCAGGGATATATACACTAACGAATACCTGTATTAAATAGTATATATATATATATATATATAGGAACTTCTGTCCCACTTCTTACAATGAAACAGCTTTATTTGCAGGGCTGTGTTTCGGTTTGAAATGTAGGACATGGCAACGAAATTACAGAGTAAGCAGGTATAACACCTTAGTTCTCAGGAATAGCAACATACGAGACAAGTTTGCTTATATCAGACAATACATGTATTATATTATTAGAAATCAGAAAATGTAAAATGAGAATGTGATTTTATAGACATAGTGGAAAAAAATATTGTTTATGTCCATATTAGTGGTAGGTAAAATATGGCAATATCTATATATTGTAGTTGCAATATCTGTAATATTGGCACAATAATCATTATTTCTCAAACATGCTTGGAAATGTGAAAATTATTTTGACAATCTTCTTTGAGATAAATCAAATTTGCCGTACTGATCAGATACATGCGGGCAGCCGCCGGCAAAAGTTGTATGAAAATCCATATCTGTCGTGTTTTGTGGCCAGATAAATTACTACGTAAACTCATATCTGTCCTGTAATTTAAAAACGGAATGACCTTCTACTTCGAAACATGGCTACCAAGGAGGTAACAAATAAAAGGTTTTATTTAAATTTCGAACTAGCTTGCAAATAGAAAATTGTTTATTAAAAAAGAAACAAAGGAACATTATGGCGCGTGAAAAATTATTATTGTTCGTTATTCGGTATTGAACTTAAAAGTAAAATTGTGTTTTTTATTTCCGCGCATCGTTTGAGAAATGTACTATACAAGCCTTGGCCACAACTAGGCATTGATGGACTCACGTATATGTGCTTCGGCTGCGCCTCGGCCCACATTTGCACGTTCGTCCATCAATGCCTCAGTTGCTAGCCGCTGCAGTAATGTAATATATTAGATATCGATTATTCAATATATATTATTGAAATAAAGAACAAAATCACAATTAATGTAAATATTCGACTGGTATGACCAATATCGAAACGGGTGATGAACTTTATTTACATCATCAATATTCTACCAATATATAGATACTAAAGCAACACCGATATTGCCCATGCCTAGTACATATACCTATTGCGTTTATTTCTTCCGTTTAATAATACATTACAAATCCATTGCTAATTAATTATTGATCAATGAATATAATTATATACTATTTATTTTATTTTTTTTTCTACAATACAAACATAATTTAATACAATTTAATAATTTATTTGCATTTGTAATTTTTTATGTTAACAATCATCCTTAACAATTTTTTTATAATGGCGACATTCGTAACAAAATGGCCGCTCAATAACGAAACCTGTCAGTTTTTTGTGTAAATTTAAATCTCGAATTATTGTGATGTACATATGTACAGCATATATGTTGGTACTTACATCGCATCGTAACTGTGATTGCTTTATAATTGCTCGCATTTAATAAATTGCTTAATTAATTATTTCTTTTTTTTATTACCTACCAATCTTTTTATTATCTAGGTCCCTTATTTTTTATAGTAGGTAATGGAATTGTACCCTGCCTGTATTGTTCGTGTCATAAAATATATTTTAATAACCGATTTTTAATTATTATTGGACATCATTAGACTCATTAATTTTTTTAATGAATGATAATATATTTTTTTTTATACAACTTAGAACGGCAAACAAGCTGACGGCCCACCTGATGTAAAGTGGTAACCGTCGCCTATAGACACGAGCAGTACCATGGACATAACAGAGTACTTATACTGTTTCGCCCATGATACCCCCCATGCGTTGCCATTCCTGAGGACTCAGGTGTTATTCCTCTGTACCCTGTAAATTCACGCCGTATCCCACCCTTCAAACCGAAACAGAGCCATGCAAACACAACTGCTTCACGGTTAAAACACGAATGGGACAGAGGTACCCAAGCAATCGACTTTCGTACAAAATCTCCCTCTGGTAGCTAGCTTTTACCCGCGACTTCGTCCACTTAACTGAAATGTAAATACCCTATATCTATCTCTATCCAATATAGTAACGTGTATACCAAATTTCATAGCGATTGGTTGAGCCGTTAAGGCGTTATAAGGTTACGAATAATAATAATTACAAAAACAAAAAATACAAATAATAAATACATGTTTTTATGAAAGCAACATAAGGAAAAATCAATAATTTCCTTCGACAATTTAAGGAAAACGAATCAAAGGTAATGAAGAAACCGGTTTCAATGTGGCTGGACAAAATTCGTATGTATGAGATGTAATAATTAAATCTTAATTATATTAATAACTAAATGGAGTCCACAAAAACCCCTGGAGGCAGTGGCGTCACAATAATGAAGCAGGGCTGGCAAAATGCCACGGGCCCGCCACCCAAAAGGGTCCCGGCTCAAGAGGCCGCGAGCCCAGAATTCTTTTTTTGCATTGTATCTGAGTATTTTATTTTACGTGAAATGTTGTTTTTTTATTGATAGGGCCCCATCAAAAGAATTTGGCACAGGCCCCAAATGGTATAGTTACACCATTGCCTGGCGAGACACAAGGTGGCGGATTGATAATAATTTCAAAGCATTTGGCGTTCCATTGTTTCTGCCTACCCTAATGGGAGACAGACGTGACGGATATGTATGTATGTATGTATGTAAATACAGTTAACGAGATATAAAAGGTGGCCTTATCGCTAGTAGTTAGTTGTTGCCACGCTTGGCAAGCGAATTGGCAAGCGCAGTTAGGCTTTAAAGATGTTTTAAGAGGAGCGCTGCTGCCTATCCCTCGCCCTCCCTTAGTCCTCTCTTACGACACTCGCGGGAAAGGAAGGGTGGCCTATTCTACGCCGGGATCACATGGCGATAATGGCGTAAATAAATCTTAGTTTTTGTGATGGGACGAAGTACATAAAACTATATTGTTTTATTCTACTAAACAAAACAATTAATCTGTGCTGGCAACATAACATTAAAAAAAAACACCCACTTACTACCTGATATTACTTTATATTTTTGCATTACATTTGCATCTACCCACTTAATTTTAGTTTCCATAACATTTTTCAATTGATAACACGAAAGTAGGCGTTTGTGAATAATTTTTTGACAATATCTTGAAATGGGAAAGTAGTAGATTGGAACAATTTGTGAAACATTGTGTATTCAAGTGTTTTTTGTGATATTAATTTATATATTTAAATATCAACCAAGTACTAAAAGTCACGTTATCTTTTGTGACCTGTGTTTCTGCTCTGATATAAATAATATAATAAAAAAAAAATACGGGCTTATATTAAAAAAAAGTTATTCCGTAATAAATTCTACAAGGCTTACATTAAAAAAAAAAGTTACTCCTCGATCAAATTCTACAAGAAATATGTGAAAGTTATAAATTTTTAGTAAATTAAATATTTGGATTTTTGTTTTTTCAATCATGCATAAATGGCTAAAAGTAAGTAATGTATTTTTCACAATTCTAATAATATTTTTTGGGGGGAATGGGATTGTTAGTGATGGAGACTAAAAATCCCATTGCTATCAATATACCCAACCAGGTCGACCTCCTCGCGGTTCTCCCTGGAAACTATCATGGTTTATTCTTGATGAATTCATCATGATGGGCTAACTGGTCTGTTTTCATTCTCATCTATCACCCTTCACTGGTGCTCCGCCAGCGTATCCCGTTAGCACAGGCGGGGTTACCATACCATTTTCACTCATTAAAAAAAAAAATTATATATAAATATGGTGGCAAACAAGTATACGGTAAACAGGGTTACTGTAGCCTGCGGATGCATGTAACATCAGAGATGTCTCGAGCGCGTTGCGAACCCTTAAGAAACTTTAATACGTCCTTTTTAAAGAACCGCTCGCTGTAGCTAGTAGGAAAATCCTCGGTAGGAAGATTATTTCACAACCTGATTTTTTTTATACAAAAATAAAACCCAATTAATATACATGTATGTTTATTTATAAAGTTGTTATAAATAAACATACAAGTTTATAGGCCTCTATAGGCTACAGTCTACTTACTATCAAACTTTTTTTATACAACTTAGAATGGCAAACAAGCTGACGGTACACTTGATGGAAAGTGGCAACCGTCGCCTATAGACACGAACAGTGTCATGGATATAATAGAGTGTACTGTTTCGCCCATGATACCTCCCATGCGTTCCCATTCCTGAGGACTCAGGTGTTATTCCTCTGTACCCAGTAAATTCACTGCCATATCCCACCCTTCAAACCGAAACACAGCCATGCGAATACCGTTTGATCGTGTCTGGATACCTTTTTAATGTCCATTGCAGAAAAAAAAACATAGCTAATTTATTTTTTAAACATTTTTCCTTTAATTTTGAATATGAGTTATATCACCTTGATTTATTTCACCAATAAACAAAAACGTGCTAAGAAGGGTTTTTTTTTATGGGTGAAAATGGTACGGTAACCCCGCCTGCGCTAACGGGATACGCTGGCGGAGCACCAGTGAAGGGTGATAGATGAGAATGAAAACAGGCCAGTTAGCCTATCATGATGAATTCATCAGGAATTAACCATGATAGTTTCCAGGGGGAACCACGAGGAGGTCGACCTAGTTGGGTATATTGCTAGCAATGGGATTTTAGTCTCCATTACTAAAAATCCCTTTCCCCCTGCTAATAAGGGTTAACTGTTACCATTTAAAAAAAAAGCGGCCTTGATTAAACCTCATTACTAACAATCCCCTCCCCTACTCCTCTTTTTACTACGTCATCTATCTACATTAAATATTAACGGAGTTAAAATATACACTACAAGGTTATCATGCGATGATATTTTAATTGTAAATATAATTAAATAGAAATTGTTTCTGTCATTAGATGCAATGGGACGACTCATTTGTTATTTATAACTTTATCTCCTTTCACATACAGATAAAAATTGAATGGCTGGATGACAATCTAATATTGAATGATACATAAGAATCTATTTACAGTAACGTAGTCGATTGATATGCAGTGGACGCTCCATATTTCCTCAAGATGGGTGCTGTAACAAAAGTATTGTAAGTAAATAGGATTCATTGTAATAATTATAAATGTTTTTAAACCAGCTATCTTTCCTGAATGGCGCGCATTTTTTTTTTATTTCATCTATAGGTGAAAGAATTTTTTAAATCGGTTAAGGATATCTTGAGATTTTTTTTTTTAAGTAACTTAAAACGGCAAACAAACTGACCTGATGGAAAGCGTCAACCGTCGCCTATAAACATGTCGCCCATAGACATAACAGAGTATACTGTTTCGTATATACCCTCCATGCGTTGCCATTCCTGAGGACTCGGGTATTATTCCTCTGTACCCTGTAAATGTACTGCCATATCCTACCCTTCAAACCGAAAATACCTTTTTGTAGTATTTTCATTAAAAATAAAAAAAAATAAAAACAGATTCTTTAACTTACCTCTTTATAAAATTATTTTAGATAGATGAAAAAGGGTGCGTATAAGTTCTAGAGTGACGTGGTAATCTACATTTATTATAACTTTGTATGTAAACACTAGGATTTGGTTTTTATTGTCACAATGTTATAATTATTTAAGTAAATAGCTTTCTCCCACGAACACTCAGGTTATGGAATGAGCTCCCTGCCGAGGTTTTCCCGAGAGACTACAGCATGGGGTTCTTCAAAAGGGGGTAAAGAGGTTTCTTCAGGGTCGGCAACGCGCGCGTAATACCTCTGGTATTGCAGGCGTTCATAGGCTACGGTAACCGCTTACCATCAGGTGGGCCGTATGCATGTTTGCCACCTCAGTGGTATAAAAAAAAATTTAAGTAAATAAATAAATATAAAAATGTCGTGTCATAGTGTTTATGGTCAAACTTTTCGGAAATGGCTCGATTAATTTTTACTTTTTTTTTATATTAAATATCTTCTCTACCTAGTGTAGAGAGACCAATACTTAATAGTAGTATATGGGAGGAAATGGATTGTAAGTAATGCGGACTACCAATCCTGTTCCAAGCAATATACCCAGTCAGGCAGCCTGCGCTATCGGAATACGGGATGATAGGTGAAGATGAAACAGGTCAGTTGGCCCACCGTGATGAATTCGTCAAAAGCGCAGGCGGGGTTACCATTCAATTATCAATCATTAATAAAAAAGCAGTGGAAGATTAATTAATGGGTTATTATTCTGTGTTTCAGATTTGTTATAATGCTGGCTCTAATGTTGGATTCCAACAAGACAGTATGTGGCCAAACTACGGACACAGAAGCCAATGATTCCATGGAGACGACGGATCAGCTTGTTACATCAACTGGTTAGTTGTTATTGTTGAAAGGGCTTTTTCACGCAGAAAAACCTGTGACACTGCGACCTTTGCATGATCTTGTTGTAAAGAATATCAAAATGTAAGAATAGCGACATCTATTGGTGAATATTTGTATCAATGTATATAGTCTATAATTCTATATTGTCTATGTGTGAGACCATGCTTGTCTGTGGTTATAAATTATAAAAAAAAATCCTTGTTCGTGACCATTCAACCAATTTGTTTTATTATAGATCTTTTATGCTCGTCCTTTTTTAGGTGCCTCGCCAGCGTATACCAATAACGCATGCGGGGTTACCATTCCATTTTCAACCATTAAAAATATATATATATATATATATATTATATACCGTCATAATGTTATTCCCAGAACGTTACTCCACGTCTTGTAAGACAGGCAAGGGCCTCGGCGGCGAGTGTGTGGAGCGAAGAAGGTGCGACTTCAGCACTTCCAACATCGACTTCACGCTGTATTGGCACTACAGGGAACCGAGGTATAGTTCTAGAACGTATTTTTCGACGTAGGCCATAACGTCCTTTGTGGGCATTTAAAACTTTCGGGGGGGGGGGCATATAGAAACAAAAGATGAGGTCATTCGTCATTAAAATAGCTCAGACAGAGCTGGGACAGAGGTACCCAAGATACGACTTTTTTGATTTATAGAAAATTTCCGATTAACTAGATTTTACATAGCTCGAACAACCAACAACTGATGGGGAAGAAGGGTTCTTGAGTGGCGACTCCATACAGGCAAACGCAGTGTAGAACGAGCCCCCCTCCCCACTAGATGGATTGGCAATCTCAAATTCATTGCAGGGAGTCAGTGGATGCAGGTGGTTCAGGACCGTTCCTTGTGGCAGTCTATGGGGAAGGCCTATGTCCAGCAGTGGACGGATAATGGCTGAAATATTAATGAGTTTTATCATATACCTGTGTATATATTAAATATGGGACTGATCGAAATACATATTTTTTTAAAGGGTACAAATGGCATGGTAACCCCGCCTGCGGTCTCGGTATACACTAACAGGGTACGAGTGAGAGACGATAGGCGAGGATGAAAACGCAGTCAATTTTTTTTTTTTGATGGGTGAAAATGGTATGGTAACCCCGCCTGCGCTAACGGGATACGCTGGCGGAGCACCAGTGAAGGGTGATAGATGAGAATGAAAACAGGCCAGTTAGCCCATTATGATGAATTCATCAGGAAGTAACCATGATAGTTTCCAGGGAGAATCGCGAGGAGGTCGACCTGGTTGGGTATATTGCTAGCAATTGGATTCTCAGTCTCCATTACTAACAATCCCTTTCACCCCACCGCAGTCAGTTAGCCCATCGTGATGATATCAACGATAAATTAGTCACGATGGTTTCCAGGTGGAACCGCGTGGAGTGGAATCGCGTACTAACAAATACATAATTTATTTATTTATTTACACATACACTAAATAAACTTTTCATTTAAATAATATCATTAATTAAATACAATCGCTCTTTAAGAGAAATAATATAAATTATACATGTTACATATAACAAAGCAATATAATTATGAAGATTACACTATTATATAATAAAATTACTATTTTACTTTTTATTTAGAATAAAAAGAAAAACATATAAATGTTATTTGTCTTGAATAAATCTTTAAAATCACATACGAAATACTTTATTACAGTAACACACAAAAAAAAAAAACGAACAACAGATTTTAAATTACAAAATGTCTTTTTAGATAAAAAATGCACAGAGTAGTGCATAACAAAAACACAGATAAATAAGATAAAACTATCTGCCATTGTACAGATACCATAGATTAAAAATGAATGACTCAATAAACAATATACAACAATAAAAAACAAAATGAATGTAGCAGTGTACAAACACTGCAAAGGACCTAACTCAGCATATGTCGCAGTTTCAAACCTGAAGCTACGACATTGATTTTCAGTAGGCCCTAAATACGTAACTCACGGACACATGTGTGCAAGATGAAATGTATATTTGTAATAGAATTTTTTTTATTGTGTGCTCAGGATGTGCGCTCCAAACGAAGTGTGCTGCCCATTAGAGTTTGTGCTGCCGCCGGAGCCTCCCGCCAAGGAAGAGGATACGATACAATTCGACAAAGATGATTAAATTTTTGTAAACATTATTATTATTATTTCAACCATTAACTGTCCACTGCTGGACATAAGCCTACCCCATAAGAATAGAATAGAATATAAAATATAAATAACTTACCTTTGTACAGAAGTCGATTGCTTGGGTACCTCTGTTCCATTCGTGTTTCTACCGTGAAGCAGTTGTGTTTGCATGTTTGTGTTTCGGTTTGAAGGGGGGGATATGGCGTGAATTTACTGGGTACAAAGGAATAACACCAGAGTCCTCAGGAATGGCAACGCATGGGGGATATCATGGGTGAAACAGTATACTCTGTTATGTCCATGCTACTGCTCATGTCTATAGGCGATGGTTACCACTTTCCATCAGGTGGACCGTCAGCTTGTTTGCCATTATAAAAAAATATATATATACAAAAAGTGTCCCAAACTAGGCAAAAGGAACCAGCTCAGCTGATGCTGTGAGTGTCCCAGCGCAATGTGAACAGCTGCACAGCGCTAGTTTTCAGCCAGTCCCTCTCTTAACAAGCAAGAATGAATAATAAGGAGTTTTGCCAGTAGCTGCCACGATTGGCAGTAGAGAAGGTATACTTTTAACCAAGTCACTTAGTTAAATGATTAAATAATAATAAAAAAATGGCTGTGGAATAAACTCCCTGCCGAGATTCTCTATAGAGATTTTTTTTAATGGATGATAATGGAATGGTGACCCCGCCTGCGCTAACGGGATACGCTGACGGGGCACCAGTGAAGGGTGATAGATAAGAATGAAAACAGGCCAGTTAGCCCATCATGATAAATTCATCAGGAATTAACCATGATAGTTTCCAGGTGGAACCGCGAGGAGGTCGACCTAGTTGGGTATATTGCTAGCAATGGGATTCTCAGTCTCCATTACTAACAATCCCTTTCTCCCCGGGAAGGTCAGTTAGCCCTTCGTGCATATACATATTTAAAAGGCCGGCAGCACACCTGCAATGCCGCTGGTGTTGTGGGTGATCATGGGCGGCGGTAGTCACTTACCATCAGGTGAGCCGCATGCTCGTTTGCCCCGTGTTGTAAAAAAAAAAACAATTGGAATGCAGTATGATGGTTTCCAGGGGGGAGCACGCGGAGATTGATCTGGTAGGCTAGGGTCTTGTTATTTACTAGTGCATGTAGCAGAGTTTGAAGAAACATTAATATAGTATTTTTATACTGTAATCTTTAGGAATGGGGGGGGGGGGGCAGGGATTGTTAGTAATGCGGATTACCAGTCCCATTGCTAACAATATACTCTAACAGGTCGACTTCCATGTGGTCCCCCCTGGAAACTATCGAGCTGATTTTCAGGTGTATTTGTCACGGTGGGCTGACTGACCTGTTCTTTCATTTTCACTTATCATCCCTCACTGGTGCCCCGCCGGTGTATACCGATAGCGCAGGGGGGTTACCATTCCATTATCATCCATTAAAAAAAAGCCCATAAATTCCGATGATTTAAATTCCAGCTTTTATATAAAAAAAAAAATAGAATAAAAAGACAACACTGCAATAGCTTAAACAGTTTTATTACATGTTTAAAGTTTTATACATAAGGGGGATTAAATCCCATTTCATTTCTTACTTGAGTTGACAAGTACTAATACCATAAATGCAAATTTGTGAAGATATGTTTGTCACTTTTGGATGAATTTGAATGAAATTTGGCACACGGGTAGATTATATCCCAACTTAACACATAGTATAGATCGAAGCACGCAGGCAAAGTCGTGGAGAACAGCTAGTATCTAGTGGAATACAGTTAACACTGATGCTCCCATCTACGTTCAGTTAAATTTATCATAGAGAATACGGATTTACAATTTGTACACTGCCAATCAGGTTCGTCAAAGTGATATTCCAGAATATGTTGTTTCAATTTCTCCGTCATGTCCAACCCTGAAAATGTCTTATTACACAAAATACATTCACATTTCACCCACTGGGAGTATAAAAACATCTTATTTCTCATCTCTGATCTAGCAAACTTGCCAATCTCATAATACACAATGGGATACACAGTCTCCTGTAACTGCAAATCATATTTATTAACGGTACTACTAACACCTGGCACTTCGGCGTACAAATATCTAACATACGGATACTTGTTCAAATATTTCCTATAGTACGTCAAATATAGACCGACAGACGGGTGATTTTTCTGCAAATCCGTTTGTATTTGATTAATTAAAGCTACTATTAACTCTCTATTCATATAATCTTGTGGCATATTACTTAATATCCCATCTAATACATATAAAACATCGTCCAATTTGACAAACGATGAGTTCTTCCTGTTCGCACTCCTCTGCAACTGCAGACTTAGTTCCTTCTCATTTTCAAGTGTGATGTTCAACTTTTTATTAACTAAAATATGTTTTAATATGTGTGTCATACCGGAGCGATATGTGAAAAACGGTAAATTTATATCCACTTTCACATGGAACCAGTTTAGCATTGCCTGTACTGATATACTATTCAGTAATATCTTCGATGGCCCTTCCACAATGTTGAATATTGTATTCTTGTAAGCGGTGTTGGGCCGCCTAAAGAACAGCCTATTCAGCTGCGACCGTGTACAGTTCACTTCCATCACCACATTCATTGGTTTATCATCATCATTATTGATCGGCGTTAGCCTTTTTAGGGCGTCCTTGACGAGCGGTTTCGCTATATCCAATTTGGTTTTTAAATAATCCTTAAAATTATTATACTTCACGTCTAGAAGTTTCTTAGTAGCTTCTATATCGCCTTTCGACATTAACAAGTTCACGGATTTGTCGAACTCATCCCACTGCGGCCAATCTTTGAGGAATTTCTTTATAACGTTCAGGTAGATCTCAATTTCCAAGTCGTGTGTGTACATAACTTCTGTATTCAAATCTTTGTGCAGGATATCTAAGATTTGCGCGTTTGTCAGTACTGTGTTTTGTTTGCTGTCATTCCCTATCAGCCTTCTGAAGAGTTGCATTAGGGGCTTGTCTGGGAAAAGAAAATGAAACGTCATATTTTTTTTTATACCACTGTGGTGGCATACAAGCATACAGCTCACCTGATTACAAGTGGTTAACCGTAGCCTATGAACACCTGCAGTACCAGAGGTATTACGCGTGCGTTGCCGACCCTGATGAAACCTCTTTACCCCCCTTTTGAAGATACTATACTATACTAATTTGATTGGGTGAAAGATGAAGGAATGAGGATTTAAATGAAGTTAGCCACTACAATGGTTTTTAAAAAGGATCAGTGTGGATGTTAACCTGACAGGGTGAGGCAAAGGACTTGGTAGTAATTGGAGATGTGAATGAATGAAGGCGATATGTCGCACTTTCGGATTGTCACTATTCTATGCATGGATGGAAACCATATGTGAATTATGGAATGGAATATGGACATAACAGAGTATACTGTTTCACCTATGATACCCCCCATGCGTTACCATTCCTGAGGACTCAAGTGTTATTCCTCTGTACCCTGTAAATTCACTGCCATACCTTGCCATACCTGTCTACCCTTCAAAGCAAAGTAATTTCAATGCAAGAGATAGGGGAGCTTGATTAGTCAACTCTATTTTTCTTAATGGAACATCAAATAAATAATACAGTGCAAAGTATTAAAAATTTGCCTATAAAAGCTAATATATAATACTAATTTTGGGGGAAAAGGAGAAAGCAATATACCTTATCAAGTCAATTACCATGCGGGTAATTCATCACAATGGGCTAACTGACCTGGTTTCATCGTCATTTCCAGGGAACACCACGAGGAGGTCAACCTGGTTGGGTATATTACTAGCAATGGGATTCTCAGTCTCCATTACTAACAATCCCTTTCCCCCCACAAATTTTATGTTAGCAATATTTGACAGGGTATGTCAGGTCGACATCCACATGGTCCCCTCTGGAAACCACAATGTCGAATTCCAGGTGTATAATCCGGTGGGCTAACTGACCTGTCTTTTCATTCCCATTCATCTCTCATTGGTGCCTCGCCAGTGTATACAGTTAACGCAGGCGGTGTTACTATTCCATTATCTATCATCCATAAAAAAAAGGAAAAAATACTAATATATCTTTTTGTTTATTTACCTGTGCAAACCTGGGATAAATTGTTAATACAAACTATACACATATGTGTAAGTAATTACAAGTATGTCACATTAAAACATGTTAAAAATAGATAGATAGATATCATAGAATAAAGTGTTTTTATTTGAGCCATTTATGACACACGTAAATTAACAAATGAATTTATACAATCAGATTATTTATATTATTTTTAAATATATAATAAAAGATGAAATATGGAAATATGTCTTCATCAAGTGTGTCACAGTGACCCAAATAGGCTACAGCTCTGTGATAGTTTTGCTTAAAAGCAAAGTAATTATTTTCAGCTACAGCCTGAAGTTAGTTAGACGGACGTGTATAACAGACCCAGAGTATAACCTGTGTAGCCAATTTAACAGCCAAAGGTAAAATTGTATTATATAGATACATACTTACATAAATGATGCATAAATATTTCATTAATTAATTAAACATACAATATAAATAATAATTCACCACAACAATTATTATGTTAAAAGCAGTCACTACCAGGCGACCAATCCAAGTTTTTTAATATTATTAAATAAATTCTTCTTCAATAAATGCTGCTTTAATAACTTTTTAAAAATAGATTTATTTTTACATGACTATAAACTATAGGCCAGTCATAATATGAAAATATATGGTTTTTAAAAATGAATAGATTAATCATTGTTCTCTCTATTTGTTCTTATTTTAAATTTTATCATGCTTTGTTTTTAATTTTCAAAGGCCTTTTATCTTCTACAGGTATCTTTTTTTTAAAGGGTGATAGATAGATAGATAGCTAAATAATTTATTTACATTACTTACAGCACACAAATTACAATAAAAAAAAAACATACACATAATACACAGCAAAAGAGACAAAAGAATAAAAATAAAAAAGCACAAATAATAAAAATACAAAAACAAAATATATAAACTAACAATCTCCTTTCTTACCCTTCCTTCATGCGTGTGCCATAGTATATGATCATGATAATGATATGGTAACCTCACCTGCGCTATCGATATATGCTGGTGGGGTACCAGTGAGGGTTGATAAGTGACGATGAAAGATGTCAGCCCATTGTGATAAATTCTAGAGGGAACCATGTGGAGGTCAACCTGATGGGGTGTATCACTAGTAATTGGTCAGATTTTTTTTGATGGGTTAAAATGGAATTGTAACCCCGCCTGCGCTAACGAGATACACTGGCGGAGCACCAGTGAAGGGTGATTGATGAGAATGAAAACAGGCCAGTTAACCCATCATGACAAATTCACAAGTAATTAACCATGATAGTTTCTAAGGAAAACCATAAGGAGGTTGACCTGGCCTGGAAAATGGGATTCTCAGTCTTCATTACTAAAAATCCCTTAGCCCCCAATTGGTCAGTTTAGGTATATATAGCTTCAGGTATATCAGCCCTATCATTACTGGAACTGATTTCTCAGATAAGATTTGTACCAATAATGTGTACCAATTATGTACCAAGATGTTAAAAAAAATCTAATTTAGATTGAATAAAACCAATAATAAATTTATTTAGATGAAAATGATATCTCAAAATTTCGAAGCTGAATACAAACAAAAACATCCTATTAATATAAGAAATTAAGTAACAATACATGAGTGGATGAATGTTTATTACTCTTTCACGCAAAAACCACAATGTATTTAATTGAAATTTGGTACACAGGGAGGTTATTTCGTAACTTAGCACACAGGATACTTTATGTACTGATTCACATGGGCGAAGCCGGAAAATACAGCTAGTACAACATACTTAAATGTAGTTAACATGTTCATAAGTAAATGAATTAAAAAATTTGAAAAATATGTATATTTAGATAGATTGAATTAAAGTTATATTATGGAATAAGTAAAAAAAAAAATGAAAATTAAAAATAAACGTACCGTCCGGTATATAAATCATGTTCTTTATGTTGGTGATCTCTGTTATGGTAATGTCGTTGTCATCCTCCATATTTTTACTTCTTATAAATAGATATTTAATTAAAAAAGAAAATAAATATAAACAATTTATAATTACATACAAAGAGGTTAACAGCAAAACAAAAATAATATTAAGGCAGTCAATTTGACACTGACATAACATTTTTTTTTATTCCAAATTAGTGTCGCTATTAAATATTATTAAAATTCCCAAATAATGAATTGTTAAACTTCGAACTGGCTATTTGTAAACTATTAGAATGTAGATAATTTATATAAATTTCAAATAATAATATTAAATAATAATTTAAAATATAGAGTTGTCATTGGAAAGCTTAAAGAGATGGTGTTTTATTTTCTGTATGGATTGGGATTATAAATAATATATGCGCCCTTCGAACCCTCAATACCAATATTTTAAAGAATAGCCATAGAAAAAGAAAATCCTAATAACATAATAAATATTAATCTGTAACTAGAGGAGGATAATAAATTATATAGCAATATTGTAATTATAAATTATAGATATTGGTCCAATTACAAATATACAGGCCTATTTATAACAATGGATGGAAGATGCATGGTTTATTTATCGTTCATCCAAAAAACATTGAATGGATTTAAATGAAAATTAGTACACGGATAGATTATATCCTAACTTAGCACTTATACTTTATAGATTTACTGATTTACGCAGGCAAATTCGCTGTTACACAATACTGCTAGGGTTACCGTTCAATTATCATCCATAATAAGAAGCAGCCATATACCACACAACGAAATTTCAATATATTAAGTTGTTTGATATAATAATACATACATATCAAAAAATAATATGTTTATTTATTGCAACACCAATAAATAAAAAAAAATATTCATAAATAACATGACATCTAGTTCCTTTGCCTGCTATCGAATAGAAAAACTCTTTTGACATTTGACAGTTCTTTTATTAAATTTTGCCGCCTTTTGTGCCATATTCTGTAACCTTAATTTTCATCGTCAAAATTGCAGAGGCTACAGTCAGGGCATCGTCGATGCGGCTTCCGTCCTCGGCGGCCATGTTTCTCTTCTAATTTGTAGTCTCGGTAGCTACCGGACCTCGTCCTTGACTTCGAACATGACCTATATTCGAATATTTTCTAAGTACATTTAAATATAATAATAAAAAACTGGTCAGATGTGTGTTGAAGACAAAGCGACTTTTTAAATATACTATCAGGACTTAATGCTATGAAATCATTTTTTGCAGGTAAATAGAACTTACATACTTGCTTTTTATGCCGGCGTTTCGCCGTGGATTGCAGGTGATGCAATAATAAAATAAAAATTAAATATCGCTAGCATTAGTAATTCCTGAGATATAATACAACACACAACAACACATACAGACGGATGAATGGGTAAAATCGCACGATAAGGATAATACTTCTGTCTATTCAAAGGTGGCCTGCAAGAGATCGCTCTTAGCGATAAGGTCGCTCATTGTTTTCTCATTGTGATTATTTCTTGTAATTATTTATATTTATAATAAGTTTACTATTGTAATCTTTTGGAGGAAACAATAAAGAGTATCTATCTAACATAAGGGTTTCTTTGTACCTTTTTCGTAAGGAACCCTAAAAACCGATTTATTGGTATCCATCAACTATAAAATAATAGGCATATACTATTTGGTCGTGTTGATTCGCTATTGAATAGCCCACACCTTCCTTTCCTGTGGGTGTCATAAGAAGCGACTAAGGGAGGGCGAGGGATGGAACTCCCCCCCCCCCCTCGCCACCCAGGGGCAGTTGATATGATGATGATGAAGTAAGGATATACGATAGTCAAAAAATATATATACAAAAACATCTGTCAGTTTTCAAAAACAATTTGCCCCTTTGCCTTTTTCTCAATGTCCTCTACCCAAAGGTTGTCTGCAAGAGATTGCTTAGCGATAAGGCCGCCTTTTGTATCTCTTCTCATTAAAATCAACTGTATTTATTATTTTTATAAATGGTAAATAAACTACCAGACGTATTCAAAAAATACTAATGAATTGAGAACCTACCAGAGGGAGACTTTGTACAAAAGTCGATTGCTTGGGTACCTCTGTCCCATTCGTGTTTCAACCGTGAAGCAGTGAGATATGGCGTGAATTTACTGGGTACAGAGGAATAACACCTGTGTCCACAGGAATGGCAACGCATGGGGTGTATCATGGGCGAATATTCTGTTATGTGCATGGTACTGCTTATGTCTATAGACGACGGTTACCACTTTCCATCAGGTGGGCCGTTAGCTTGTTTGGCATTCTAAGTTGTATAAAAAAGAAACCTACTTCTTTTAAGTCGGTTAATGATCACCTATTTACCTGGAGCGTGAACGAGACCGCGTAGAGTGGCGGCAGTCAAGGTCGTTCTCGGCTTGCCCCATGAAGAGCAGATTCCAGTACTGGTACACCAAGTATGCAAACGTCAGTACTCCCACCACCTGGAACAAATCTTACTAACATAAAAAAATTGGGGGGAAAAGGATTGTTAGTGATGGAGACTGAGAATCCCATTGCTAGCAATATATCCAACCAGGTCGACCTCCTCGCGGTTCCCCCTGGAAACTATCATGGTTAATTCCTGATGAATTCATCATGATGGGCTAACTGGCCTGTTTTCATTCTCATCTATCGCTCTTCACTGGTGCTCCGCCAGCGTATCCCGTTAGCGCAGGCGGGGTTACCATACCATTTTCACAGATCAAAAAAAAAAAAACATAAAAAATATGTAACCGAACAATGTCTGTACATGGAAGAGAGAAAGGAGTGAACATCGTCATATCAGCTGTAAACTGTCCACTGCTGAAAAAGAGCCTCTCGCAAAAAGGAAGGTTTTGCCAGTAGTTGCCACGTTTGGCAAAAGCGGGCTGTTCGCTGTTAGGCTTTGGTGATGTTTTAAAAGGGACGCTGCTGCCCATCCATCGACTATTAAGTTCCTATACTCGCCTCTTACGACACCTATGGGAAAGGAAGGAGTGGCTTATGCTATGCCAAGATTACAAGGTAAAGAGTGATAGAAGACAAAACAATATTTTTTAGAACTAGTCTGTTTGTGTGTTAGTTATTTTGTATGCAACTCAGAATGACAAACAAGTTTTTTTTTATACCACTGAGGTGGCAAACAAGCATACGGCCCACCTGATGGTAAGCGGTTACCGTAGCCTATGAACACCTGCAATAACAGAGGTATTACGCGTGCGTTGCCGACCCTGAAGAAACCTAAGTCCTTCCGCTTTTCATTTTTTCAATAACTCAATAATTATTACTGGAATACAATTTTTTATATTTTAATAAAATTTCTTTTTAAACAGATTAATTCCTACGGCATTATAAGGCAAAATAATAAAAAGCACATAATGACCAAAAACGCAAGAATCTATTGTTATAAAAAAAAAAAAAACATTAACAATAATTAGTTTGTACAAGCAGGGATCATAGATTAGTTGGGTAATGTATCTATATTCGGCTAAAATTACTTAATTGGTCAAATTATTTAATTTCGTTGACAAATCCCGACATTTACGAATACAATACTGATCTTATCTGGTAAATAAATCAATATTTACTTACTTCCAAATAAATGCGTGTTTTATTTAAACCATTCCCATGGTGAATTTTAACGCTAAATAGAGGTCCAGTGAAGAACTGTTAAAGTACTAGGTATAAGAGTGATCTTAATTTTTTTTTTAATAATGGCGATAAAAGTACATAAGAGGCAAAGGAATCAAAAGAAACATACTGCTATATTCAGCTGTCTCTCACGGACGAAAGCTGCAATTGAGTCCACCAAGGCCTCCATAACTCCCGCATACAATATCTATGCGGCCTTCTGTCGAGAGACCAGTCTACATGGACTCAGGCATACTGTGGAGGGTTCTGTACATTGGTTCGAAAGGTAATTTAATTTAACACTTTAAATTTTATTAAAAAAATTTCAGAAGACTTAAAATTCACACCATATTTTGACAGATGACAATGTTAGCAGTTCTTTTTGAAAATTCTTTTTTTTTCATTCCCATGTGGCCAGTACTTACTTGGTAATTTCATATTATAAGCAGGTCCGTTAGTTTATTCATCATCACCATCTTCCTACCCTTATCCCAATTATTATTTGCGGTCGGCGTGATATGTTTTTAGTGTTTTTTTAATGGGTTATAATGGAATGGTAACCCCGCCTGCGCTAACGATATACGTTGGCGGGGCACCAGTGAGGGATGTTAGGTGACAAGAGATGTGGGGTATCATGGGCGAAACAGTTTACTCTGTTATGTCCATGGTACTGCCCATGTCTATAGGCGACGGTTACCACTTTCCATCAGGTGGGCCGTTAGCTTGTTTGCCATTCTAAGTTGTATAAAAAAAAATCAATTGATTGTTCATATATTAATGATGGTAGAGTAATAAGAATCCTTGTCTTTTCCAGAATAGTATGGTTTGTATTAACACTTTGCGCGTTTGCTGGCGCTGTTTATTGCGCATTGAGTCAGCTCACGAGGTACAACTTGGAACCAGTGGTGGTGTCATTCCAGAGGGATTATAGAAGCTTCTGGACCACTTTCCCGGCGGTGACCGCGTGTTTCATAGAGCGGATGGACCCGATCAAAGCGAAGAGTGCTATTGAATTGTGCGTCTGCTTTGATGATTTCATCATTATAACAACCATGTTTTCAATATTGAACGTATACAGGGTGTCAGGGACATGTTGGCAAATCTGAAACAGTGATTTCAAACCATTATTCTGAACTGAAACAATCCGCCATAAATTAAAATTTCATCTCAACCATCTGGACGAGTGGCGGTCTTCCACCACTTTTGGCACTTCCAGAGGGATCTGGTTAACAAGACAACTCATCCTTTATAGATGATATCTTCCGTTACAAATTTGACCTTTATCTTACTATGTCACTTCTCACGCTATTCTATTCCTATTACTAGGTTCTGGAACGTGACAGAAGAGTCAGACCCTGATAGGTACCAGTACTACTACGAATTCATTGAACTGCTCTCCGACGTGTCCTTCCGGACTAATTTGCAAAACTTCTGGAAGTACCAGGACGACGAAACTCTGAATGACATCGATCTGTTGCAGTTAGCTATACACGTGCACCCGACCCTGCTCCTGAAGATTATCACCTCAGATGTTAATACTGCGGTTGGTATCGAACCTGTCATATCTAATTTTTTAAAGTTTCAGTGGTCATGTAGTATTTTTTTTTAATGGATGATAATGGAATGGTAACCCCGTCTGCGCTATTGATATACACTGGCGAGGCACCAATAAGGGGTGATATATGAAGTTTTTTTTTATACAACTTAGAATGGCAAACAAGCTGATGGCCCACCTAATGGAAAGTGGTAACCGTCGCCTATAGACATGAGCAGTACCATGGACATAACAGAGTATACTGTTTCGCCCATGATACCCCCCATGCGTTGCCATTACTGAGGACTCAGGTGTTATTCCTCTGTACCCTGTAAATTCACGCCATATCCCACCCTTCAAACCGAAACACAGCCATGCAAACACAACTGCTTCACGATGGTTTCCAGGGAAAACCGCGAGGAGGTTGATCTGATAGGGTATATTGCTAGTAATAGGGTTGCTAATCCCCATTACTAACAATCCCCTTCCCCCCAGACATGTAGTATTTTAAGGACGAACAAACAAAATCATGAATTTTGTATTTCTCTATCTCACCCATATTTCTACTAGCCTATTTAAAACCGCAGTTAGACTTTGGTTATATTTTAAAAGAGGCGTTGCTGTCCCTCCTTCGACCGTTAAGTTCTCTTAGTCGTCTCTTACGACATCCACAGAAAAGGAAGGGATGACTCACTCTGTGCCGAGATCACACGAATAACAAAGTACCAATATATCATAATGTCATAGTGCTATTCGTGTCTGTCTCGTCGCGGACAAAATGGAGTTTATTTTAGAATTAACTCTGATAATAGTTGATAAGTGCGTTTAATTTAATATAAATATTAACAGTAATGTTCTAAAAGAGGGTTGACGTCAGGCAGGTGGCCGGTCGTAAAACTAAAAACCAAATCTTTTTGTAATATGGATAAAATCATATTACGCCGACCCCAAATGATTGGGATAAGGGTAGGAAGATGATGATGATTAACAGTAATGTTCTAGCTGGCGTTACAATTGTCCAAGTAACAACAAGATGGCACAGTACTAGAAACACAAAAGTGGACGGTAGAATAATAATAAAAAAAAAGAAACGCCTGCTCGAACAGGCCGAACACGTAATTAGAAAGTTGTTATTAACAGTGTCAATAAAAATAGACCGATAGATTGTCAACCCAGTCAAAATCCTTTAGCATTCTATAAATGAACACAGATCTCTCCCAATAAGACCCTGTATCAATCTGGCTACTCCTATAACTCCAAATGGGGGAGAGGGGGAAAGGGATTGTTAGTAATGGAGACTGAGAATCCTATTGCTAGCAATATACCCAACCAGGTCGACCTACTCGCGGTTCTCCCTGATTAATTCCTATATCATGGTTAATTCCTGATGAATTCATTATGATGGGCTAACTGGCCTGTTTTCATTCTCATCTATCACCCTTCACTGGTGCTCCGCGAGCGTATCCCGTTAGCGCAGGCGGGGTTACCATACCATTTTCATCCATAAAAAAAAAACTCCAAATGGGGCTTCACCCAATTTAAATTAATGAATTAATTCCTAAATTATCTTCACCAGGTCCACTGGACTCCAGTAATAACTGAAGTGGGGCTATGTATGACATTCAACTCGAAGTATTCGGAGTACCAGTTCTCGCTGCAAGACGTAGAATGGATAGGGCATGATTTGCTCAAATGTCATTACCACAGCGGACAGTGCTTTGTAAGGATCGACGCTATGAGCAAGACAGTAAGGGTCAGTATTTTTTTTTTTAATTTGTACTCATTTGCTTGGTCTTTATCAGATAACCCAGTGAAAAATGTTTAATTTTTAGAACATTATTTAAAAATTGAAGTTCATTAATCGTAAAGATTGACTTGCCACAGAGTATACTACAATATCTGCGGTGCTGTTCATGTCTATAGAAGATTGTTACCATTTCTAAGTAACATAAAAACTCACTAAGTAACTAAGTAACATAAAAAAAGCGTAAGAGGCTAGACTTTACTAAATTCTGATAGTGATTTCGCTAATTATTGCTTAGTAAGATTACTTCTTAGTCAGGGAGCATATTCAAAGGAAGAGAGAGGGGAGAAATGAAATTTTTATACAATTAGCTTGAAGAAGGATTTGTTTTTTGAGTGCATTTTAATTGTAAAAGACATCATTATCATCATGTAAGTCGTTAACTGTACATTACTGAATATAACCCTTCCTCGTAGATTGTCATTAAGACTGGTCCTGGGCCAATTTGCATCCACCGACTTCCTGTAAATACATTTGAGGTCGTCGATCTTCACTAGATGGAGCGACAACCTAAAATTGTAATAAATAATAATAAATAAATCTCTTTATTTTCGACTAAATTCCCAGAAACCGAAGTTACTGCCCCCGCTTCCCTTGCACCGCTCACGCGCGCCGTTTTCGTTTAATTCAAATTTTACTTTTCTAAGGACTTTTGGGCCACTCTGTATATACCCACAGTTTACAGTTACATTATTAATTATACAAATTATTATTATTATTTTTAAAGTACACATCAATTACAAAATACAAATTTAAATTATTTCATTATAAAATCTCTTGTCGTCAGGTATGCAGTGAGGAATACAGTCTTTACAATAGGATTACTTATTGACATTAATCTTTGATGAAATTTTATAATAATATAAAGGACAAATTGCCTGATGTTTTAATTTTCGTAACGTTTTCTTTCAGTTTTTTATTCATTCACCATTTGAAATATCGACAGCTATCTCGAACCCCACTGGAGAGGTTTCGTCTGGTGAAGAGCTGATCATTGATTTTAAGGTAAAACATGTTACACGCCAGAGAAATCATCATCTTCCTACCCTTATCCCAATCATTTGGGGTCGGCGTAATATGATTTTATCCATATTACAAAAAGATTTGGTTTTTTAGTTTTACGAACGGCCACCTGCCTGACGTCAACCCTCTCTTTACACGCCAGAGAAATAATTAATAATAATATAAAAAAATTAATAAAAAGAATAGAACATCCCTTCCTTCTTTGTGGATGTCGTAAGAGATGACTAAGGGAATTTGATGGTTGAGGAATGGACAGTCTCTTAAACATCTCCGAAATCTAACTTCGGTTGCCAAGTGTGACAAAATCGCCTCAACAGACCGAGACCTATGTTCACCAGTGAATTGTTAACGCCTGATAAGATGATGATGAAGACTGTATATTGGTACAGCATATTCCTTTTAATAAGACGAAAATGGAATGCTACATTACTGGCTAGTAACATGGGCTATATTTTGTTTAAAAAAAGTATACGAAGCCGTGGCCGATCTATATCTTTATTTTGCAAGTTTACGGTGTTATCTAAGCATGTTTTTTATTCAGGCAGTGGAAATTCAGGCGGCGCCCAGTGTGAGGCACCTGACGCCGGAACAACGCCGATGTAGATATCCGGACGAATGGATCAGCAATTCTATAAGGGTATACATATTAGCTCCACTTACATACAGCCCATATAATTTTTAAATTACTCGGCAGGTCCTGAATTGACCCATATAAATGCAGGATAAATCCTCCGGAGGGGAAGGCATTATTAATAAAGCGGATTACCAGTTCCATTGCTAGCAATAGCAGCTCGACTTTTACGTAATCCCCCCTGGAAACCATCGTGCTGAATTCCAAGTGTATCGTCACGATGTGCTAACTGACCCGCCTTTTCATTCTCGCCTATTATCCCTCACTGTTGCCCCGTCAGTGTTGTACCGTTAGTACAGGTAGGGTTACCATTCCTTTATCATTCATTAATAAATGCCTTTCTACAAGTAAAATTTCGTGACGATTTATTAAACATTATAATTAGTTATCGATCCGATATCTATATATTTTTGCTTATTATCTATAGTTTTGCTGAAGCTTGAACGGGCTCAAAGAGCTGTTTTGAAAGTAATGGCTAAAAAACCAATTTTATTTCCCACTATTGAACTGTATGTGCTCTGTCGGGTTTTAACTGTTCGCCAATTATTTATTTTAAATACTATGCTACGTAAGCATTCTGAACAACCGTATGAACTAAATCTGATAAAATCGAAGCGTAATTCTTATAAAATTTGTAAAGTTGAACCTCGACGCACTGCTATAGCGAGCCGTCATTATCAGCATATTAGTTCCTCTCTATATAATAGCTTAAACAAAGAATTAAAGATATATCCTTTACCTTACCATTTATGCAAAGATAAATGTTTAAAATTTCTCCAATCCTTATCTTATAATGAAACAGAAGATCTTATAAAATTTTCCGAATAAATTTATAACTTTTCTCACACCTGCATACACACACACACACAAACACACACACACACACACACAGACACACACACACACACACACACACACACACACACACACACACACACACACAAACAAACACACACACACACATATACACACACACACATATACACACACACGTACATGCACACGCTCACGCACACGCACACGTATACACACACATTATTATTATTTATTTTTTAAGTTAACATGTAGGCTACTGTTTTTTTAAATTTTTACTTTTTTATTTTATTTATTGTAGTTTATAGTTATTATTTAGTATTGTGGTTGGTTAGTTGCTAGATACAAACAATTATCTTCGTTGATGTAATAACTACTATACGTTTTGTCTATTTTGGAATCCTGCTATAAGGAGGAGGGCGTTGATATTCGCGACACAGTTTTATACTTCTGCGGATATCATCGTTTTTCAATAATATTGTAACCAATGTTTTTGTTCCAAATAAATTATTATTATTTTTTAAATTTCACTAAAATTCTCATCTCCCCTCTTAAGGAGAGGAGATGGCAACTAACCCCCGGCAGAAGCACAGTCGGCTGGGGTTCAGGGCCCCAGGGAGAGAAACCGGCGTACAATGCGGGCAGAATCTAAGAGCACCGCTTTCTGCATCTTTCCCGGAAGTGAACCGCCTCTGAATCCCAACCGTCTGAGATGTTGTTCGAGACTGGTTGGGATAAGACCGTTCACCGACATAACGATTGGGATGATTTCGGTAGATGTCACCCCCCACATTTCGGTCACCTCGTGAGCCAGGTCGAGATATTTTCTCTTCTTCTCGGTTTCGGCTTTCACGAGGTTCTCGTCATGCGGTATGGTGACATCCACCAAAAACACCCTCGAGAGTGCCCGATCCATCACCACGATATCAGGTTTGTTCGCAAGAACGGTTATTATATTGGATTCATCTAAACATGAAGATGTTAAGATTTCGCGTCATTCTTCGCCAATTCTAAATAGAATTTTATAATAAGTTAATCTTATTTTGACTACACATGACAGAAGTTTTTTTTTTGTAGTAATCCTAAGGTGTTTGTGAAGGGTTCGTTGGATAAAACAATAAAAATATAAGATACTGAATAAAGATATATAATATTGTTCCCTAGTACAAAAATAGATGTTTTAAAAAGGTAATGACGTTTCCCTAATAAACAAAATACTCAATTGACATAACAAGAAAAATAAATAAATTCTATCTTTAAAAATAACTTAAATAAAACCTCAACAGTGTTGACAGGTATTTTTATCATGTATTTTTAATATCTAAGTTATTATATCTAATATTTATATATCTATATATTTATAATATCTAATATCTAAGCTCTTATGACTATTTTTATTTTTTCAGGCATACAGTTTCGGTTTATGTCAAATGCACTGTCGAAATCGCATGGCGATGATGTTCTGTGGTTGTAGACCTTACTTCCATGTTAAAGGAGGTTGGTATAACAAATAAAAATAAAACTGGCACACAATAATAAAAATAATACATTACTTGACTTTATAAAATCCAAAACTCACAAAGTGACAGATAGTTCTTTTCTAAGACAAAATTTTCAATTATCAGATAATTATTGTGTTGAAATAATTTGAATTTAAAAGTTAATACTATTTTCCCGCCATTTTGTTGGGAAATTAAGATGGCGAGATGTGCGACGCCCAAGGTATGGCGTGCATCGGTCGGAACGTCGAGATACTTATCAATTTACCGAAGAATCTCGCCAAATGTTCCTGTCTACCACAGTGCACCGAGATTAATTACTACTCACATACAAAGAAGATCCTTGTTCGGTTAGTAATTTGCTATAGATAATATTAGTTCTAACTTGTAGTTTTAAAAAACTAAGGTTAAAAAATCTAGGACATTACACAGCGCCATCTAGTTCTAAACTAAGCAGATTGTAATGACATCCTTTGTGTATAATTTTTTTTATTGCATCAGTCTAGTGATGGGACTCGAGTGATTTTTTTTCACTCGAGTCACTCGGTACTGATAAGTTACTTACTCGAATGCCACTCGAGTGAAGATAAAACTCAAGTGATTTTTATTGACTCGAGTCACGCGGAATATAAAACTCGAGTGACCAAAATTTTAAAACGAATAAAACAGTATTAATTTTACACAGAAAATGCGTATTCATTTTCTCCAAAAAAAAATCTAAACAAAATGTAAAAAATAGATTTTTCCTTCAAACTAAACCTGTCATACATAATCAAGAAACCTCTTGTATCAACTATCAGTCAAATTAAAATATTATAATCACCTACTAATAAGTTCTAATCCAATTTAATTTATTCTAACAAGGAACTTTCATGAGATCCAAATATGAACAGTTTTATTATGTTCTTACACAATTTATGTAATAATATACATGCTTTAAAATTAACTTAAATGAAACATAAATAAACTCAACGAAAAAACAGAAATAATGTATTTTTAATGAGATAACAAATTTAACTGAGATTGGTGTAATAACTACTTTAAAAAAATGGATTGATCAATTTTTCCCCTACCAAACGGCTTCGATAATATCGACTTCAGCACACTTGCTAAAATAATAGAAGAATGTTTCTTCGTAAGCTCTCTAGTAGTAATAGTTTGCGAAAAAAGTTTTGAATTATAAGTGTGAAGGGTTCGTTGGATAAAACAATAAAAATATAAGATACTGAATAAAGATATATTATATTGTTCCCTAGTACAATAATAGATGTTTTTAAAAATAATGACGTTTCTCTAATAAACAAAATACTCATTGACATAACAAGAAAATAAATAAGTTCTATTTTTAAAAGTAACATAAATAAAACCTCAACAATAAGTATTGTAATAGTTAGGTATGCTTTATTATTGTCAGAAGTCCATAAATCTGTTGTAGCAGCCGTATATTCAACTAAATGTAGAATATCTACAATTATACAATATAGGAAATAAGCAAGAGAGATTTACAAACACAACGATACAATTGTATAAGTACAGTAAGGCGGTCTTATTGCTGAGAGCAATCTCTTACAGACAACCTGCCATAAAGAATGGATAAATACAGAAAGAAAGGTAGATGGCGCAACTCAGACACAGTAAATACATAAAAGGAATTAAAATGCAAAATATTCTAAATATATGTCATTTATAGCCATATACTTGTAAGTAGGTGACGGTAAATACTTTCCATCAGATGGGCCGTAAAAATAAGGTTATTTTATATTTTAATTTGCACAAAAATAAATTATTTTAATAATTGTTATATTCCAACAACATGAATGGCACGGATGAGGAATCCAACGGGACAGTCTCGGCATTGCGCATCAACATGATGCCGCCAAAATTTCGGCTCCACAGAGACGTTATATTTACTCTGGAGGATCTTTTCGGTGGGTTATCTGTGTTGGTGTTTTGTGTTTCATGCTTATTTTTTTTTCTATTAATCTGTTTTTACTTTTTTTTATATTTATTTTTTTATACCTATATATCAGAAAACAGAGACGTCATATTTACTCTGAAATATCTGTTCGATGGATTATCTCTTTCCATGTTTCGTGTGTGTGTTTTACTAGATATCGGTGTTTATTTTTTTTTTATTATTTTATTATCTATCCTGGATACCTGCACAGTTTTAAAACACATGTCGGTAGATAATATACAAATTGTTTAGACATACATTTATTTTTAACACAAAAGCATGCAAATTTTTAACAAATGTCAATTATTAATATGTATTAATGGAACGAAATTATCTTTCGTTCCATTAATACATATTAATAATTTCAATTGTTTAATTAAATTTAATGCACATAATATTTTTAATAGAAAGATAGAGTTCTCTTCTAATACAAATATGCTACTTTTATATTTGTATTATTTTCGAGTACGTGCATTATCAAATTTCTTTACATAAATATTGGTAAGTATTAACGTAATTTTTGTTTTTACTAAATAATTTTCTAGTAAAATGTCATAGTCAAGAAACTCACGCAGAGAAAGCCACGGGGAAGAGCGAGTATATAAAAGTAGAGTAGAATCTTAATTCAAATCAATTTGTTTTTTTTTTAATCTACTGCAGGGTTCAGACAGTTGTTATCTGTTAAGAGCCCGCAAAAAACTAAACAGTTGTTTTTTTTAATATCTGTTAACATTATGTGTATTTATTTAAATGTACTATGTTAATTCCTAGGCTTTTTTTTTGGTAGGTTAAAATGGTATGGTAACCCCGCCTGCGCTAACAGGATACGCTGGCGGAGCACCAGTGAAGGGTAATAGATGAGAATGAAAACAGGCCAGTTAGCCCATCATGATGAATTCATCAGGTATGAACCATGATAGTTTCCAGGGGGAATCGCGAGGAGGTCGACCTGGTTGGGTATATTGCTAGCAATGGGATTCTCAGTCTCCATTACTAACAATCCCTTTCCCCCCAATTCCTAGGGTTATGCTATTATTAATCATATTTTGCAGCATCGTTCGGCGGTACCACAGCCCTATTTGTCGGAGCCAGTGTGTTCACAGTGGTGGAGACGGTTCTATTCATCATACGACATACAGTCGACTTCGTAGTCTTCAAGTGGACCACCAGGTCGATTAGGATTTTAAACTGAAATAGGAATTCATTTTTAACACAACGGCTAAAAAACTTAACAGGAAAAAACTTAAAAAAAAAGATAAAATAAACGTCGAACATAACCGAACTCCGTGCTAAGAACAAGGAATTACATAGAAGGAATGATAAAATAAAAACTGTAAATCATATGGTTGCCTCATTTCTTGATATGCAAATATAATTAGTAAAAAGAGGACGAAAGATACACCATCAGTTGTTATTTTTCTCAATTCATAGCAGGATTGATACTACACGACATCAACTTTTTTTTTAATCTGCCTGTTGTAACTATGCCTTGGTCTCTTCTTTCCCCACCTTCCTTCTATCTTACCTTCTATTATAATGTTTATAAGTTTGTCATGTCGTATCATGTGTCCCAAAATTCTCACTCGTGTTATCTCAAATAAGTATCAATCTAGTTATAATGTTATTAAATAGATGTATAGTAAGCAGAGTCGTGGGTTGTGAATTGAAAGACCCCGATTGTCGAAACAAGTTTAATACGAGCAACAAGTAATACACAGTTGTTAGCAATGGCGGGAGCGCGCTCTAGGTCTAAGTACATATAGGAACGTATTGGCGGCCGGCGTAAGACTACTATAGAGGGCGCCAATGTCTATTACTTATAACGAGCGGGTGGATGCCCACGAGTTGCCCGGATTGGTCGTTCTATTATGTTGGTAATAGTGACGGTAGATTGTACAATAGATGTCAATAAATAAGCAAGAATAAAGATATTGACGTAAATACTATGTTAAATAATTATCATTAACATTGGGGTCGATTCCGAGATGTCATTTCATAAAACTTCCTTTTTACTTAATATTTAAATTTTATAATTGTGCAAAATAATCATTTTATGAACAATTTTAAATTAAATTAAATAATAAACTATATAATTATTGTATATCTATACGTGTAAGTGGCTTAAACATATTAGAATTTTTGTTCATATTGTTCCTTAGAATAAAAAAATCGTTGTGGCGCCTCAGAGTCGACCCTATTGTATTTTCTATTGTAAACTAGGTATGCACAAATAACATTTTGCAATAACAGTAAAATTGTAGATATTTATAATAAAATATAAATGGATAACAGAAGATAGTTTTATTTCCTTCATCAATCAAATAATATAAAACTATTAAAAAAAAAAAAAAAAAACTATAATGAACCATTGTCATATATTGGTATCTACTACTCAAGAAAAAATAAATAGTAATTAGAGTATTGCAAAATATTTTCCATTATTTCTATTTTTTAGTTCCATATAATATTTATTTTTAAAACACTTAATATTTCTTCAAAACAATAATAAATAGCAAAAAGAAATTTATATAAAACATAACACCACAAACTATTATGGAAACAACTCTAAAGAGTTGAGTTAGCTAAAACTAAATATCTAATGAAAAAAAGCTAGTTACCCAAATGTTGGCAAATATTATAATACATACAATACTAAAATTTAGTTTGTTTTGCCGCCGTACAAGAATCTTGGCGATAAATGCGCACTATCTTTTATTTTATTATAATTTAATTAATTTTAATTGATCTAGGTCCCCCAAACGAATGAATTTTCTACAATATATTATTTTAGGTATTTTTTAATCAGTAATGATTAAATGTTAATTTAATTATTTTAGATGAAAGCGCTGTATAAAAGTTAACTGTAGCTACCTCATTATAATTTTTAGTTTAATAATCCGAATTAATATTTCTTGGATTTCACAAATTATTCTTTATATATCAAAAGTGACTGTATAAGATTAAAATACACGATTTGTTTTAATTTTACTTAGTTTCGAAATATTGAACAAAATACAACCACTGTGATTAAATTATGTGAAGTCTTGAATAACAAAACGCAACTGTCAATGGGCCCCTCCCACTATTTGTTTTGTAAATTCTAACCTAACTAAATTAACAAGTAAATAACAAACCGAACGAACGATTATATCGAAAAAATGTTTATAACGACCCTGTCCTTCCTGATAAGTGGTTTTTATTATATAATATCCGTGTTTTATGTTATAATGTCTCTATTACATACAGTACTCCCGTTTGGTATCGATGTGGGCATACTGGGCATTGCTGCTTATTATCTGACGAGATTGAAGAAACCGAGTCAAAATAATATTACCAGTATATTCGGACCGGAGCCCGGGAGTAAAGAGAGTGAAGAAAGCCCTGACAAAGTGGTCCGTTGTATAGCCCACAGGGGCGCGGGATTTGACGCGCCGGAGAACACTTTAGAAGCTTTCAAATATGTAAGTTCTAAATTTAAAAAATAAAAATGCATAAGGTCACAGTTTTCATAGGTTTTTTTTAAAGAAAAAGTATTTAACACAAGAAGGTTACTCTAAAAATGTGATGTTTGTAAATATATAACTCTGGTTAATTATTAAATCACTAAGTTACACAATTATATCAAATATTAAGTAAGTATTTAGTGAATTTCATCCCATACAATTTTATAAATTGTATGGGTGAAGTTAATTAATTAATTTAAACTTTATTGACTAATAGAGTGTAGTACAAAAGGTGGACTTAAGGCTGTAGGCATTCTCAGCCAGTCAACCTTTAAAGTTTGCTAGATAACCATCATTAATTAATAATTATTAAAGTTTATATGTTTCTTTTTGTTGCAAATTTTAAACATTTTTGAGTATGTATTTATAATAAAATTCATACATATACACTTGTATAAATTACAGAAAGTAACTGCTGTCAAATTTTGAGCTCCAGTAATTATATCAACAATTTATTTATTTGTAGTATATTAACTAATATTCTTAAATTATATAGATAGAGCATTGTCTTAAAAACGGGTCAACTTTTTGTCTGTGAATTGTCAAATTAGTCGACTTATTTTTTTATCAGTGTTCTATATACTTATATATATAATGTATCTTGATGTATCTATATTAAATATATGATACGTTAAAACATATACATCCTCAGGAGTGGCAACACATGGGGGTATCATGGATGAAACAGTATACTCTATTATGTCCATGGTACTGCTCATGTCTATAGGCGATGATTACCACCTTCCATCAGATGGGCCATCAGCTTGTTTGCAATTCTAAGTTATTATATTGCCAAGTTACAATTTTTTTTTGTTATTATTATTATTAAAAGATGGGCTTTTTCAGGCAGAATAACCTGTAACATGATTTTCCATGATTTTTTTAATACAACTTAGAATGGCAAACAAGCTGACGGCCCACTTGATGGAAAGTGGTAACCATCGTCTATAGACATGAGCAGTATCATGGACATAACAGAGTATACTATTTCGCCCATGATACCCCCCATGCATAGCCATTTCTGAGGACTCGGGTGTTATTCCTCCGTACCCAGTAAATTCACGCCATATCCACCCTTCAAACCGAAACACAGCCATGCAAACACAACTGCTTTACAGTTGAAATACGAATGGGTCAGAGGTACACAAACAATCGACTTTTGTACAAAGTCTCACACTTTTTTTTTAAAGTTTACTGCTAAATCTTATCAATGTTAGAAATTTTAAGATGTTTTTGTAGCAATGTTTTTTATCTTCTCAAGATATAAAGTGTGTTTTCCAGAGGAGATATATTTTTTATGTATGTGTGGGTGGCAGCCACACATGAAGTACTGCAGTGTTTCTTCCTCACTGTGTCAAAATCTGCAAACACTTTTTGGTCATAAGCCTAGTTGAACCATATGCTTGTTTAGTTTGCAGTGTCGAAAAATTTTTTTTTATGTTATAATCTTACTAACAATAAAAAATCATTATTTGAATTATTTGCAGTGTGTAGAACATGGGTGCAACTTTGTCGAGCTAGACGTGAGATCATCAAAGGACGGTAAATTAATACTGCTGCACGATCCAGGGCTGGAAAGATTAGCAGGCTCCAATATATCTAATGTGCGTGCTTTGGACTGGGAGAAGATTAAAAGCATCAATGTCGGGGCCAGGCATCCTAACAGGTACATACAACATTAACACAATTCCTCAGGAATGGCAATGCATGAGGGGTATCATAAGCGACAGAGTATACTCTGTTATGTCCTTGTTACTGTTCATACCTGTAGGCGACGGTTACCACTTTCCACCAGGTGGGCTGTCAGCTTGATTGCCATTTTAAGTTGCATAAAATGGTACTTTTTTTATTAAAGGTATGATTATGGAATGGTAACCCCGTCTATGCTAAGGGTATACACTGGCAGGGCACTAGTGAGGGATGACAGGTGAGGATGAAGCAGGTCAGTTGGCATATCGTGATGAATTCAACCATAAATCAATTACGATGGTTTCCAGAGGGAATTGCGAAGAAGTTTACCTAATAGGGTATATTGTTAGCAATGGGGTTACTAATCCACATTATTAACAATTCTTTTTCCCATTGATGAAGCCATTAAGGTGTTATAAGGAAACAAACATACATATACATTTATAATATTAGGATTATTATTAGAATTACCCAATTTTAATTTAAATCAGATAAATGTTATTGCAGAAAACATTTCAAGGAAGTCCACCTCTGTCTACTGGATGAGGCGCTGGACTATTTGTTGGCCAATAAAGTGAGAGTCATTATTGATGTCAAAGGAGAGGACAAGCAGGTGAAAATTTTACTCATCATCGTCATTATATCAGCTGTTAACTGTCCATTGCTGAACATAGGCTTTCCCCTTTTTTTTTTGATGGGTGAAAATGGTATTGTAACCCGCCTGCGCTAACGGGATAGGCTGGCGGAGCACCAGTGAAGGGTGATAGATGAGAATGAAAACAGGCCAGTTAGCCCATCATGATAAATTCATCAGGAAATAACCATGACAGTTTCCAGGGAGAACCGCGAGGAGGTCGACCTGGTTGGGTATATTGCTAGCAATGGGATTCTCAGTCTCCATTACTAACAATCCCTTTCCCCCCTAGGCTTTTCCTTTAAGTGGTTGTGCTAGTAGTGGCCACAATTGACAGGCAGGTTGGCAACCGCAGTTAGGTTTTGGTGACGTTTTAAGAGGGACGCTGCAGCCCATCTCTCGACGATTAAGTTCTCTTAGTCGCCTTTTACGACATCCACGGGATAGGAAAGGATAGCCTATTCTCTGCCGAGACCACACGGCAAGCAATGAGCTAATGTTTGTGTTATGATTATTATTGTTATTACACGTCAAATAAATATGTTATTACAAGTCAACTAAATGGATTATTAACGATGGAGAAGAGAAATAAAAAAACAACCTTTTTCAGTTCTGTCATTGACACACAAGAAGTTTTTTTTTTTTTTTTTTTTTATAATACCATAAACAAAGTTAGGGTTGCTATATAAAGTTCACAATAAACTATACTTCAACACTACCCCTCAAACCAAACTTTGTTTCAAACATAAAAAAAAAATACCATAAGCACAAACAGCACAATACAAAAAATAAACTTATAATTTCTGATACAGTGAAATATCTTTCATAAAATTACTTATTTTTACAGAACTCAGAGGCTTGGTGAACATATCAGCCACCATACACTGAGTAGACAAATACTTAATCTCTATTTTGTTACTCTCAACTGCTTCTCTAATAAAATGAAATTTAATGTCTATGTGCTTAGTCCTATTACTATTTACCTTGTTAGCAGCTATCTTATGACATGACTGGTTGTCATTATACAAAATAATAGGTTTATCTATCATCTCTACATATAGTTCTTTAATAATATTCTTTAAGAAAATAGCCTCCTTGGCACCCTGAGCCAGGGCAACATATTCCGCTTCAGTTGATGATAATGAAACACAAGTTTGCTTTTTACTTTCAAAGGCAATAAGATTATCACCAAGTTTAAACACTAATCCGGAATATGATCTCCTGTCTTCTGAATTTGCCCAATCGGCATCAACATATCCATATAAACTGAAGTTCTTTGACTTCTTATATACTAAACAATAATTAATTGTACCTTTCAGATACCTTACAATCCTTTTTACCTGTACAAAATGTTCTTTTGTATAACAATTATTATATTGAGATAATACACAAACTGCATGTAATATGTCTGGTCTGGTATTTAGAGCAATATACATCAAGCTTCCAATTAAATTTTGATATGGAATTTTTGGATCAACGGTGTCACTTTTACTCATCCTCAAACCTGGTAGAATTGGTGAATTTACAGGTTTGCAATCTTGCATTCCATACACACTTAATATATTTTCTATATACCTTTTCTGATCAACAATTAATTCTGAACCTACTCTTCTTATTCTCAAACTTAGGGCATGTTCTATGGGACCTAAATTCTTTAATTTAAATTTACTATCTAGTAGAGAAAATATATCATGCTTTTTCTTTTGATTATTACCAAATGCAAAAATGTCATCCACATAAATTGCTAAAATTAAATAAAGGTTATCTTGTTTGAGAATATAAATACATGGTTCATGAACAGACTGCTTAAAACCAATATTAATCAAAGCATTATGCAACTCTTTATTCCAACTTGAGGCTGCCTGCTTCAGTCCATACATAGCTTTGTTTAGTTTGCATACCTTAGGCACATTATCATTTTTACCTTTATCAATTAACAAGCCCTTTGGCATATACATAAAAACATCTTCATTTAATGTTCCATGAAGAAAAGCAGTAACAACATCCCAATGGTCTATAAACCAATCAAACTGAATTGCCAAAGAAAAAAGAATTCTAAGTGCACTAGAACGAACAACTGGTGAATATGTATCATGATAATCAATACCAAATCTTTGATTATACCCACGTGCAACTAACCTAGCCTTATATTTGACAATATTGTTGTCACTGTCTTTCTTTATTTTAAATACCCATTTGCTATCTATAGGGGTTACACCCTTTGGTAAATCTACAATAGACCAAGTATTATTAATATCCAATGATGAAAGTTCAGCATTAATAGCATCTTTCCAACAAGCTGGTAAATTATCAAAATCATCAAAATGTAAACATTCATCATCAGATTCCATGCACATATACACATGATAGTCTGGAAACTCCTTTATCTTTCTATTACGCAATGGATATCGTTGAGAATTTTCACTTTCGACATTTCCATTACTGTTACCACTACACAATGGATCCACATTTATCACTGACTCACTTTCACTTTCTGATAAATTATCACAGTCTAAGAACACAGGATCACTATCACATGAATTATGTATAAAATCTTTACCTGAACTTGGAACCTGGTCACATGCTTGAGCTGGATCAGCGGTGACAGCCCTTGGGGCCATAGACGATGATGCATGTCCTCTTGTCACTTTCTGAACTTTGCTGCTGTTGACTTCATCAGCATCAGGAATTAAGGATATCACAAAATCATGATTTTTCGAAGATTCCTTCTGATGTTTAGACTGCTGCTCTGTTAAATCCTGTTTAAAAATATCAACACATACTTGTTCTGGTAGGAATTTAACATCTCTAGATAAAACTATCTTTCTGTCCTCTGTCCATATTCTATACCCATCTTTGTCTCCACAATATCCAACTAAGTTTCCCTTTATTGCCTTTTTATCTAGCTTTCTGCGCTTTTGGTCAGGTACATGAATAAAACATTTTGTGCCAAATATCTTCAGATGACTTATATCAGCTTTTTTGCCAAACCATAAACTGTATGGTGTAGATGAGTCATCAACACCTGTTGGACCAGTCCTATTCAGAAAATATGCAGCAGTGTTAACAGCTTCTGCCCATAGCTGCTTATCAAAATTATTTGCATGTAGCATACTCCGAGCTGCTTCCATTAATATTCTGTTTTCACGCTCCGCAGCTCCATTCTGCTGTGGGCTATATGGAATGGTCATGCGATGATTAATTCCAAATGATGACAATATGGCTTGCATTTCCTTGTTTATAAATTCTTTACCTCCATCAGTTATTAATTCTTTTATTGTATGACCTATTGTCTTAGCTTCCAAAATAAAGTTCTTTGTTACTTCTGAAACTGCTGTCTTTTCTTTTATAAAATATACTTTTCTGTATTTGGAGTAATCGTCTTTGAATGCAATACAATATCTACTACCTCCAACAGATACTTCAGCAATGGGGCCACAGACATCAGCATGAATAATTTGTCCTGGTACCTGTGCTCTGATATTTCTTGTATGAAAAGGCAAGCGAGACATTTTACCAAACATGCACCCATCGCAAACAATTTTTTCTGCTGGCTGGAATGGAATATTATTCAGTTTTAAGAATTTTTCAACATGTCTAATATTCTGGTGACATAGGCGTTCATGCCAGATATTTAAGTCTGCCGTATGACTACTAAGCATACAATAATTTTCAGGTAATATCACCCTCATCTCCAATCTGTACATATTTCCCTTATTTCTTATTGCAACTGCTTTTATGTTATTGCCATTTTTAAATATTCTTTTATTTTTATCACCTATTTCAATTAAATTATTTTTTAAAGCTGACCCTGAAGAGAATAAATTCTGTTTACAGGTAGGAACAAACCAAGCATCTTTTAAATGACCTTTCTCCCATTTTCCATTAACCAACATTTTTATGTCTATGATGCCAAATCCTACAGCCATCATTTGACTACCATCTCCGAGATAAACTGGAATTGGGTTATCAAATTGTTCATATGAAGCAAAATACTCTCTATGTGAAGTAATATGGTGTGACGCACCAGAATCTATTATCCAGTCCTCTTTAGTTATCACGGTACTATGTGCAACAAAAGCATGTCCATTTGTAGAATCAGATTTTTGTTTATTTTTAAATTTAAAACAATGTTTTTTGATATGTCCTTTTCTTTTACAATAATTACAAACTGGACCTTTATTATATATACGCTTTTCAGTCTTTGCAACTAGAGCGACTTCACTTTCAGGTTTGCTTTCATTCAATCTTTGCTCATGTAAGCGAAGACGTTCCATTAATGTGGTTACATTTCTATCCGATGCAGGGACAGATTCCCATGCATTTTTGAACTCAAGATAGTTAACAGGCAATGTATTCAGTATTCTGTTTAAAAGTAAGGACTGAGGCAAAGTACTGCCTTCATTTTTCAATTCTAAGTTTAATTGAGTATACAGTCTTTGTAACTTAGAGACATGCGTAGCTATACTGTCCTCTGGTAACTTTTTATACGTAAATAGCTCGCAGTACAAAAGATCCAGTCTTCTTTCATTTTTCTGTTCATACACAGCATGAAGAGTATCCCACATTTCTTTCGCACTTTTGCAGGTTAAAATGTGCTGTTTCGGCTCTCTGCCTACTGTTGAACCTATTAAATACCTTGCAATTGATTCCTTTTCATGGTATAATTTGAAAGACTTTGGTTCTTCTCCATCTTTTGGTTGTTGCGCTACACCGGTCACATGGTCCTCAACTCCATGTAGGGTTATTTGTAAGTTGATATCGAATTTCCATGAAATCCAATTACCTTCACCCTCCAACTTGTCCACTGTGATTTTATCTAATCGCACAGACATTATTGACAAGTACCTCAAGAAGTTCTGAACAAAAAACTTTCAACCGGAAAAAAAAAATGGCGGCTGTGACTTGTGGAAATTGTTCTAGTTTTGTACGAATAATTACAATACCATATAAATGGAAAATCAGGCTGGGCCCATAACCTGTTATGATTATTATTGTTATTACACGTCAAATAAATATGTTATTACAAGTCAACTAAATGGATTATTAACGATGGAGAAGAGAAATAAAAAACAACCTTTTTCAGTTCTGTCATTGACACACAAGAAGTTTTTTTTTTTTTTTTTATTTTATAATACCATAAACAAAGTTAGGGTTGCTATATAAAGTTCACAATAAACTATACTTCAACAGTTTGGACACTTTTAAAACAGAAATTTCTTAATTTAGATACAAATTTCTCAAAAACAAACCCCCTTCTGGGAGTGGTTTAAAAAAAAAAAGCCCGTCAAGTGTGGGTCGGACTCGCGCAACGAGGGTTCCGTACAAAATCATCAAGTAGAATTTTATTTTGTGAAATAACTACAAATTTACGATTTTTCCTTTACTTGTACTACATGACATTGCTTCTTGCCAAATTTCATGATTCTAAGTCAACGGGAAATACCTTATAGGTTTTGATTTCCTTTGCGAATGTCAAAATATGCGATATACATAAGTAGATAATATAAACGGTCGTATCTTTTGATTGTGTCGATTTAGAAGCTTGATTTTTTCATCGCTTTAAGAGATTGCAGACCTGAGTATATGATATTAATTTCAACTTGATACCTCCACGTGCTCCTAAGGAAAAGGGTCTTGATAGACAGACGGATGAACAGACAACGAAGTGAGGGTATAAGGGTTTCATTTTCTCTTTTATATATTATATAGGTACGGAACCCTAAAAATATAACAGCTGTAAATTTTGCAGGTAATAAACGGTATATTGAAGACATTTTTGGATCGGCCATCGCTCTACGAGCACGCAGCAGTCACCAGCATGAATCCTTATGTCCTTTATCAGGTGAGTGCAGCATCATAAGGGTAGACGCACTAGGTGGAAGTCGTAGTAAGTTTTCTCCCATTGTTAGGAATAATACAGTTAGACCATTTTGATAATTTATTTTTAAAATTGGTCCTCTTGACTCGGATCAAAAACGGGCTTTTTTATGCAACTTAGAATGGCAAACAAACTGACGGCCCACCTGATGGAAAGTGGTAACCGTCGCCTATAGACATGAGCAGTACCGTGGACATAACAGAGTATACTGTTTCGCCCATGATACCCCCCATGCGTTGCCATTCCTGAGGACTTAGGTATTATTACTCTGTACCCTGTAAATTCACTGCCATATCCCATCCTTCAAACCGAACTACAGCCATGCAAATACAACTGTTTCACGGTTGAAACACGAATTGGATAGACGTGCCCAATCAAACGACTTTTGTACAAAGTCTCCCTAAATACAAAAAGATTACTTGCAAGATAAGCGTATATATGATACAAAGACCCGCCCCGGCTTCGCACGGGCGCACATTACATCACATCACATTAGAAACCTTTATCAGTTTTTCTCTACTATATCACAGTAGTATAAAAAAAGATTTTTTTATTTATTTATTATTTATTTAACACTTTATTGCACCAACATAACATGTTTTGTTAAAACAATTTTCAATACGTATAGTGAAGTACAAAAGGCGGTCTTATTGCTAAGCAATCTCTTCCAGACAACCTTTGGGTAGAAAGGATTAAAGCATAAGTAGGTAGGTGGCGCGGTAAAAAAGATAGATTTGTAAAAAATAATATCTGTGACAGCGTAGTCATATACATACATAAATAAACACATACAACCAAACATATACATATTATTTAATTGAATATCTTATGTTTTTAGATTCGCAAGAAAGATCCGCAAATAGTGGGCGCCATGAGTTACCGGCCGTACTGCTTCAGCGCTCACGACTACGACGCGGAGAGCGGTCCCAATAATCCTAGGTGAGTGATTTCTGTAACCCTCGACTGGGCCGTATTTGGGTGTTTTGCCGCTGCCGGCAAAAATGGATGTTCAAAATTAACCTTTTTATATATTGACAATTGTAGTTTTTTTATAAAAAAGAATATTTATAAACAATTGAAAAAGAACAAAAAATACACAATATACTTGAAGTCAACAGACGGCAATTTTATTTTACAACTAATATAATTAATAAATAATATATACAAAACAAGAACCAGCACATTTTACAAACATAAAAAGTGGTCCTTCGAGCCGGAATATTTGGCCGCCGTTTGTAATGTATAGGAACATTTTGACTCGTTGTGAACTCATTCTGTCGCAATGAATTTAGAGTTTATAGAGACGCAAACAGTGTCTTTTTTTATACCACTGAGGTGGCAAACAAGCGTACGGCCCACTTGATAGTAAGCGGTTACCGTAGCCTATGAACGCCTGCAATATCAGAGGTATTACGCATATATTAGTGGGAGAAAACATCTCTGAAACCGCATTGTACGCGACCATTTAGGCTATAGGGCAGCCTTTCCTAAAGTGGGCGATAACGCCCCCTTGTGTGCGCTGCAGGCCTAAAGGGGGGGCGGTAAGAGACCCAGACAAAAAAATGGGGGCATTGTGTAGAGGCTTGGGGGATGATTTATAATTTGAAGTTATAGTGGTTTTTAATTAGGTAAAAATGGGGGCGCTAAAAAATAATTTATTCTCAAAGTGGGCAGTATACAAAATAAGTTTGGGAACCCCTGCTATAGGGTATGAGGGTGAACTCCCTGTCGATGGCGAGCCGTACGATGGTAGAAAGCATATGAAGTAGATGTATGAACGCAAGCACACGTGGTTTTGATGGCTTGGTAAAGAAAACTGAAAATACTGAATTCACTTCTTGATTTATTTCTATTGTTTTTTTTTTTAGTTTCAACCGTGAAGCAGTTGTGTTTGCATGGCTGTGTTTCGGTTTGAAGGGTGGGATATGGCGTGAATTTACTGGGTACAGAGGAATAACACCTAAGTCCTCAGGAATGGCAACGCACGGGGGGTATCATGGGCGAAACGGTATACTCTGTTATGTCCATGGTACTGCTCATGTCTACAGGCGACGGTTACCACTTTCCATCAGGTGGGCCGTCAGCTTGTTTGCCATTCTAAGTTGTATAAAAAAAAAATCTAGACATTATGGATAAATGGATTCATTACCAACATAAGTTAATGGCCTGCATACATTTTATGAAAACGACTCTGCAAATTCGAGTTATGCAAAGACGCTGTTGCATTGGCGCCCGGTACCACATTTTTGTTCGGTACAGCGTATGATGCATAAACGCCCGAGGGGTTAATAAAGATTTATTTCTCAAACATGCTTGGAAATATGAACATTATTTTGACAATCTTCTTAGAGATAAATCAAAATTGCCGTACTGGCCAGATACATGCGGGCAGCGGCCGGCAAAAGTTGTATGAAAGTCCGTATCTGTCGTGTTTTGCGGCCAGATAAATTACTATGTAAACTCATATCTGTCCTGTAATTTAAAAATGGAATGACCTTTTACTTCGAAACATGGCTACCTAGGAGGTAACTAATAAAAGGTTTTATTTAAATTTCGAACTGGCTTGCAAATAGAAAGCTGTTTATTGAAAAAAACTGTTTATTGTAAAATTGTGTTCTTGATTTCCGCGCATTGTTTGAGAAAAGTATTATACAAGCCTTGGCCACAACTAGGCATTGATGGACGAACGTGCAAATGTGGGCCGAGGCGTAGCCGAGGCACACATACCTGAGTCCTCAGTTGCTGGCCGCTGCATTAATGTACTATTACTAAAGAAATTGATCTTTGTGCGTAGATATGGTGACAATCTGCCGGTGCAAGCAGTGCTGCGCGCCGCGGATGCGCTGCACGCGCTGTCGTGGCGCTGGGCGGCTCGCTGGTGCGGCGTCAGCGCTGTGTTACTGCACAAGGACATCGTCAGCCCGTACGTACACTCACATTCATGGGTTAACACGTAGTCTAGTATGAAGTCAGCGCTCTCTTAGAACACAAGGACATTGTCAGTCCGTACATAAACCTAAGAACAAGGAATTATATAGAAGGAGAGATAAAATTGTCAATTCATAGCTGGTTAGTGTACAGAAAATGTTGTACGGCTGTATAACCCTACAAATTCAGTTATGTAGAGTTATGTAAAATTTGTCATTGACAAATAATTGACATATCATGAATTTACTGGGTACAGAGGAATAAAACCTAAGTCCTCAGGGATGGCAACGCATGGAGGGTATCATGGGCGAAACAGTATACTCTGTTATGTTCATGGCACTGCTCATGTCTATAGGCGACGGTTACCACTTTCCATCAGGTGGGCCGTCAGCTTGTTTACCATTCTAAGTTGTATAAAAAAAAGAACATTTCCTATACACTAGCTTGTTATGAATTGAGAAAAATTACATCTGATGGTGTATCTTTCGTCCTCTTTTTACTAATTATATTTGCATAAGAGGAAAGGAGGCAACCATATGATTTACAGTTTTAATTTTATCATTCCTTCTATGTAATTTTTTGTTGTTAGGTCCATACATAAACCCGCAATCAGGAAATTTGTCAATAACGTTTTAAATATTTATCTCTCTAAATGCAATATTATAGAACTATTAGAAATGGGGGGAATGGATTGTTAGTAATGGGATCTAATAGCCCCATTGATAGCAATATACCCTCTCAGGTCGACCTCCACACGGTTTCCCCTGGAAACCATCATGTTTAATTCTTGTTGAATTCATCATGGTGGGCCAACTGACCTGCATTCATGCTCACCTATCATCTTCCACTGGTGCCTCGTCGGAGTATACCGATAGCGCCGGCGGGATTACCATTCCATTTTCACTCATTAAAAAAAAACCATTAGAAATGTGGATAGATAGATACTCTTTATTGTTTCCTCCAAAAGATTACAATAGTAAAACTATTATAGATACAAACAATTACAAGAAATGATATTATTCAATAATATATTATTATAATTAAATATTTTTTATAAGAACGTAGTCCAAATAAAGTAATCCAAAAAAAAAAAAATTATATTTTGCTATTTTACAACTTCAGTTCCATGTAATGTTTGAACTGTCACATTGTACACATTCACAAAACACGCACACTAGTGTAACTAATTCTTGTCTTGTTTTGTGATGGCGTTGCCAGTGTGTCAGTATGTGAGTATGTTATATTTTGTCTATGGACACAGGTACTATCCTTAATCTATGTCTATGGGAAATACACACATTTTTTTTTTGTTCTAAATTCGTTTTACATCCGGCTTTAAAAAGAAAGAGGGTCTCAATTCAGTTCTTTTTTTTTTTAACGTTTGTTACTTGAAGAGTTCTTAGAACACAAACCGGCGTTATACAGACGGTAGAAGATGCAAAGAGAAGCAATGTCTCGCCTGAAAAAACATTTTTATTCAAGTAAAGTTATACTTAAGCATTTTTGAATAGTCATTTTTTTCAACCGCCCATTCGGAACGCAATTTCAGCCAAGAAGAACAGGCAACTCGGCTGTTGCTCTTTTCAAAAAGTTCCAACTATATAAATAATGAATTTGTGTGAATACAAACTGCTAAGCGGTATCAGATCATAATTAAGATCATTGCCCTATTGTTACCAGGAGCGAAGTGTCGTATTGGCGGTCGCTGGGAGTGAGGTGCGCGGGCTGGTGCGTCAACCGGCCGCTGGAGAAACTCTACTGGAGGGGGGTGCTCCGGGCCCCGTACCTGGCCGACACGCTGCTCGGGGAGCCTGACGTGAGTAGCCTTTGTTTTTTAACCGACTTCAAAAATAAGTAGATTCTCAAATCGATCGTATTTTTTTTGTGATTTCTGACTACCCTTCTCCTAATGGTATTTGTTATTTTTTATTTACTTAATAATAAACCATATATATATATATATATATATATATATATATATATATATATATATATATATATATATATATATATATATATATATATATATATATATATATATTATTTTTTCTAAGGTATTTCGTGGCTAACTTTTGGCTTTTGGCCACAACAGAATATCGGTGTTTTGCTCTTTTGAGGACAAAACAACAAACTGAGTTGTGACCTTACATTTTGTGTTACTGTGACACACGCATGAAGGGAGAAATTGTTGCTTCTTTTATGCATTTTCTTTTTTTTTTTATTAATTTAACATTTTCTTTTATTAATGTTGTTATTTGTGCGCTGTTAGTAATGCAAATAATTTATTTATCTATCTGTCTATCTATGTTTGTTTCTTCATAACTCTGTCAGTTACTTTTTTTTTATCTCAAAAGGATACACTTGCAGATTAGCTCTATATATATTTTATCAAAATTGTCTCAAAATAATTGGTTTTTCCACAATTGAAGTCGGTTTTTTTTTTGGTGAAATACAATCTTTTTAATCTTTAATTAGATGAACTTCGTATCACGTACAGCGCCATCTATTAAAAGGAAGGGTAGTAGAAGAAGGATTGTTAATAAAGTGGTCAAATAGCCCCGTTACTAGTATGTACCCTATCAGTTTTTTTTTAATGTTTGATAATGGAGTGGTAACCCCACCTGCGCTATTGGTGTAGGCTGGCGGGGCACCAGTGAGAGAGGATAGGTGAGGATGAAGCAGGTCAATTAGCCCATCGTGAAAAATTCAACAAAAATTGTTCACGATGATTTCCAGGTTGGAACCACGTGGAGGTCGACCTAATAGGGTATATTGCTAACAATGGGGCTGCCAAACTCCATTGCTAACAATCCCTTTCCCCCACCCTATCAGGTTGACTTCCTCGCGGTTCCCCCTGAAAATCATTCCATTATTATTGTTGTTATGTGACACCCCTAGTTTTGCAGGCGTTTATAGGGTACAGTAACTGTTTACCATCGGCCGGGCTTGTTTGTCACCTTAACGGTATAAAAAAACTTGTTTAAAAAAAATGTTTATGTGTAAATTTAAATTCATATACTATCAAGAAGTGGGTGTCTACTTCCAAACTACTTTTATAGGCAAAAACTATTTACAGGATAAATTTCAAAGTTAACAAGATGCGTTTATTCTGAATAAATTTCAGGTAGAAAAGAAAGATCAAGACAAGGAGCGAGAAAGAGACACTTGCGTACGAGCCGGACCTATCATAGACAAGATACTAGAGTCTGAACGTCGAATGTCGTCGGGGCAGAATTAAAAAAAAAAAACAAATTCATGAGTTAAATTATCTGTGACACATATTGAAATGTCAAATTTTGGAGGGAATTAGTGTTGTAAATATTACAAGACAAAATACTGGAGTTTGAACGTCATGAATGGGGCAGAATAAAAAAAAAGTTTACGAGCTAAATTATCTATGAAATATTGAAATGTCAAATTTTGGAGGGATTTTTTTTTGTAATGTCTTTTAATACAATTCACTACTTTTGGTGAAATCTTGATGTGCGACAGTTGTCCAGCCGTAAGGTTATAAGATAGGTGCTTTAAACAAATTGCGTTGTCTATGCTTTATTGAAAGCCTTAATCTAATTGAAAAGTAATTTTTTCTTTGTAGATGGATGACCAAAAGCCCAATATCGAAAAGCCAAGAATGAAAGAGATGGATTAGTGCATAGTCGAAGCATAGAGTAGAGGTTAGTTTTTTATACCACAGATTACAGAAAGGCGGGAAGATTTGTCTATGGTGCCGATGTGTAAAATGTAACGTTCCCAAAACTTAGACAGTATTTTTTTTTTCTATATGTTTCAAATTATTTTTTTACAATTATAATATTTTTGGAAACTAGTTAATATTAAAGATATTGTTTATATTTATAGGGTAACTTTGATCTAAATAAAAAAAAAAAACATCGTTTCTCCTATATAATGTTGTGAAAACAATTAAAATTAGGTACTACAACACTAAATATCTTCTCTTAATTTTTTTTTTAAATGGATAATGGAATGGTAACCCCACCCGCGCTATCGGTATACACCGGCGGGGCACCAGTGAAGGATGATAGGTGAGGATGAAGTAGGTCAGTTAGCCCATCGTGACGAATTCAACAAGAATTGTTCACGATGGTTTCCAGGGGGAACCACGTGGAAGTCGACCTAATAAGGTATATTGCTAGCAATGGGGCTGTCAAACTCCATTGCTAACAATCCTTTTCCCCCATCTTCTCTTAGTTTAGTGGGGTAAGTCTTAAAATAAATTTCAATTATTCGATATTGGAATCGAGACGTTTTGCATTCTCGAAACGCAACACTAGCGATATAATGGTTCCATATTGTTCTGATAGATGCACATTAGTGTAACTTATCAATCCAAACTTATCTTTACTTTACCAGAGGAAGACTGTACAAAAGGGTGGGATATAGCATGAATTTACAGGGTACAGAGGAATAACACCCGAGTCCTCAGAATGGCAACGCATGGGGGGTATTATGGGCGAAACAGTATACTCTGTTATGTGCATGGTACTGCTCATGTCTATAGGTGACGGTTACCACTTTCTATTAGGCGGGCAGTCAGCTTGTTTGCCATTCTAAGTTGCGTCCCACCACCCTTCAAACCGAAACACAGCCATGCAAACACAACTGCTTCACGGTAGAACCACGAATGGGACAGAGTTTCAATTGCATTGTATTTTTTTGTTCATTTTTCTTCAATCACATCTCTTTTATTTCTAAACCGATTTGAATTTTTTTTTTTTTTATTTGAAAGGATATGCTTTAAGATTGGTTCCAGAGACAGTTAATCAAGTATACTTAAGTAGTTTAGTTTTAAATTCAAAATATTTAGTTTTGCAATGATAGAAGTCAGTCTTTTCTTGTAGAACAAAGTCTTAAACTGTTTTAATTATGATCAGAGTTACCCACCTTTTTTTTTTTTGCATTTTTACCACCATAGAGGCTGAATAGTTTTATTTAATTTTATTAAATATTAAAATTATTATTATTAATATGAAAAATAAAATATACTATGTTTAAATGTTAAATTTACATTGATAATTTTATATAATTTCAAATTAAATTGTACCTTTTTATTTACAAAATTAAAAAAAAATATATAAAATAGATGCAATTGCATCGTTGCAGTTAGAAAAGGATAGCGTAATAATGTTTTACAATGACAATTTGAGCAATAATATGTCTTACATATCAAAATATAAGGTTAAATTTTGCCAAAACGAATATATTTGTACTACTTCCGCGTAGAAGGTTTATATTATCCATAGACATAGTTATGTATAATTCTATATTATTTATATTATATAGTTCTTAAAAATAACAATGTTACCAATCCATCCTCTGAAAATACCTGAATCATTGCAACATTCCTATCTTTAGTTAGCACTTGAAACTCGAACATAACTACTAGATATTTATAGTCTTAGAACACACGTGTTATAGCATAATTGCAGCATGACAGGTCATGTCAAGTTATGACAGCTGACAGGTCACTAAAGCCAAAGACAAAATACGTAACTAACCGATTCAACAAAACAATCTATCGTATTTTTATAATAACTAAGTAATCCGTCGGCAAAATACCCTAATATCGGGGTGAATGCCACAAAAGAAAAAAAAAGTAATCTGTCAAAATGACAGCTGTCACCTGCTATATAATGCTGTACCGTGCGATTGTATTCCATAATTTTTATTTAATTTTTAACCGTCAGGTGGGTCGATTGTTAAACTTTATGCTCTTAATATAGCAACATTCCTATCAACTTGAGCCAGTGCCCAATCTAGCAACTTTGCCACTACAAGCGAAAATGATATTTGCCACCCTACGTAATCGTCAATCGCCCTTAATTTGGCCGCTTCTGGTTCTTATCAGATATTATTTATTTATTTATTTATTGTTTATTGCACAATAAAACTTTGTACAAGTGGCGAGCTTAATGCCATATGGCATTCTCTACCAGCTAACCATTAGGTAAAAACAGAAAGCGTATTAAGGGCAGATGTGGTGAAAAATATGTAACATAATTATAGCAACATACTGAAATAATTATACATAATAATACATAAGAAATATTTTTTACTACCTTAATTTTTATCTGAACTCATTTTTACCGCCTTTAATTTTTGCCAAAACTCATTTTGGCTGTAAATTTTTGTTAGCACTAATTTTAGCCGCATGCCATTTTTGCCAAGGCTCATTTTTGTCTTTCTGGATTTGCTAATTTTCCCCCTAAGATTAGACATTGCCCTAGTTGTCTATATACCTCTAGTAATCACATTTTTCCCTCCCCATCCAACTCCCCCCGTTACCGTACAACATTTACCCAACTTGCCCCTAGGGGCCCCTGCTTGCTCCTGTCTTAATTACCTATATACCTCCATTTAACACATTACTCCCGTCCCATATTCACATCATTCCATGAAAAAAAAAACATTGCGTTTAAATCAGCTTACATATTTTTTCTGAAACCAAATTACACTTAAAAAAATTTATGGTTCTGTCGATTGACATTTTTTTTATCAATGCTAATCCATAGAGTATATAATCTATAAAAACTATTAAAAAAAAGAATAGACAATTGTTTCTCGACTGTTTCTAGAAAGTGGTGATAATGGTACACATAAATAGATAATTTGTATAAGCATGTGTGTGTAGTATATATTTACATACTAGGTATTTTAATGGCATTATAGTTCGAATACGTTTTGCCAATATTGGCATGCAAATTTTTTTATTTGACGAACTGTACTTTTACAAAAAGAAATATTGTAAATTATGTAATGTCAGTAACAGTACAATGAAAACAAATAATAAGAATTCAAAAATATATATCAAAAAATTAAATAATATTTAAATAGAGGGTACTTAATATCTATATAAATAGATATTTCATATTTTCACGAATAGATTTTTTTTAATATATTTTTTTTTTATGGGTGCAAATGGTATGGCAACCCCGCCTGCGCTAAAGTGATACACTGGCGGAGCACCAGTGAAGGGTGATAGATGAGAATGAAAACAGGCCAGTTAGCCCATCATGATGAATTCATCAGGAATTAACCATGATAGTTTCCAGGGAGAACCGCGTGGAGGCCGACCTAGTTGGGTATATTGCTAGCAATGGGATTCTCAGTCTCCATTACTAACAATCCCTCCCCCCCTCCCTATTTTAATATATTAGAATTATGAAATTAATCTTGTTAGTGTACTTTCTTTCAATAGACTTTAAAAAGAAAAAGGTGCTCAATTCGGTTGCATTTAAATTCTGTATTTATTACTGCATAACATAGTGGAGAGCTACACAGCCAATAATTAACGCATGGGGGGTATCATGGGCGAAACAGTATACTCTGTTATGTCCATGGTACTGCTCATGTCTATAGGCGACGGTTACCACTTTCCATCAGGTGGACCGTCAGCTTGTTTGCCATTCTATTTGTGAACCGATTTGGAAGTTTCTTTTTTTATCTGAAAGGTTATAGTAACAGATTGGTCTCATAGGAATTTTTACAAAATGGATTCAATAGTTTTGTTTTTAAATTAAGATAACTGGTTTTGTCACAATTGAAGTCGGTTCTTCTTTGTGGGATACAATTTTGAATTATATAAGATACAAACCGTATTAAAATTTATTATTCACGCCATCTGTTGGCGGTGTTTAGATCGTCTACGTGAACCTGGTACGCTCCGCCAACCATTTGTGGCAGAAATGCTGTCATTTTGCAAAATTTCACTCCGAAATTTTGTCTGTGGCACATCATGTTGATGATTTACAAAAGTGGCAGATTTAAGGGATTCCAAGAAAATTGATTTTTTTTTTATTTTCAATAAAGCCATCTTTTTTTTATTAAGTAAAAATGGCAGGATTTTTTTTATACAATTTAGAATGGCAGACAAGCTGACGGCCCACCTGACGGAAAGTGGTAACCGTCGCCTATAGACACGAGCAGTACCATGGACATAATAGCGTATACTGTTTCGCCCATGATACCCCCCATGCGTTGCCATTCCTGAGGACTCAGGTGTTATTCCTCTGTACCCTGTAAATTGCATGGGTACCTCTGTCCCATCCGTGTTTCAACCATGAAGCAGTTGTGTTTGCATGGCTGTGTTTCTGTTTGAAGGGTGGGATATGGCGTGAATTTACAGGGTACGTGATGCTCGTGGTGATGTGGTTATACTCCTTGGTTGGAACCTTGTAAATATTTTTACTCATTTTTAATTCTTTGAATTTTCGAGAGGCGTGCCATGTTATCGTAGACAGTTTATATTTTGCTTTGTTTTTCGGTATCAGAAAAAATATGTACTCTAATGCCTTACCAAAGACCTCTTATGCAATAAAATAGTTGTTTTAAATGCTGATTAAATTTTGTTTATATATACGTAGTTAAATTGAAGGTATTATAAGTAAGTAGTGTATTTATTAATTCATTTTAGATTTAATATAAGTGCAAAACGTTTGCCTGTTTTTAGCGGCTAAAGTTCGCTGTCCATTGAACGTTAAGTTTTAATTTTTTTTTTTCTAAATTTGTTCAAAAAAATATCTTGTTGCGGTTATATATTATTATTAATTTAATAAAATTCACGTCTTAATTTATTATTAACTCTCACTGTCAGAAGGCCAATAGTGTGAGAGTTGAACAAAGATTTAACAATGCGTTCACTTTTTGTAAGGTAATTAAGTTTCCGCAATTATCCGCTAGAGGCGCTGCTAAAATTTGTTGTATCTCAGGTTTTTTTAATGCATGATAATGGAATAGTAATCCCGTCTGTGCTAACGGTATACGCTGACGAGACACCTGTGAGGGGTGATAGATGATGACGAAAGCAGGCCCGTTAGCCCATTGTGACGAATTCCACTAGAATTAATCACAATATTTCCAGGGGGAACCGCGTGGAGGTCGACCTGGTTAGGTATATTGCTAGCAATAGGATTTTTAGTCTCCATTACTAACAATCCCTTTCCCCCCTATATGTATGTATGTATATATGTATGTATGTATATATATATATATGTATGTATGTATTTATATGTATGTACCCATATTCGTGCAATAAATGATTTGAATTTAAATTTAATCTACATATTTTTCTCTCCAAAGAGTGAGAGAGAGTTTTCAATGGACAGTGAAATTTATTCGATACTATAATAACTTAATATTGTTTTTTTTTTCCCATTCAAGTATTATTATTGCCAAATAATATTGATTGTAAAATGTCGCACAAATTATTGTAAAAGATATTTATTTTTATTAAATTTTATTGTAATTTAGTGTTTTGTTTTTTTTTTCTTTTATGCAACTTTGAATGGCAAACAAGCTTTTTTTTTTACAACACAGGGGGCAAACGAGAATGCGGCTCACCTGATGGTAAGTGACTACCGCCGCCCATGATCACCCACAACACTAACGCCATTGCAGGTGTCCTGCCGGCCTTCTTGAGAACTCTGGTGTTATGCCTCTTAAAATAATGTATTCTCATATTAGTGCCTTATTATGTAGAGGCTAAAGGAGCGGCTACCATCATATGAGTCGTTTACTGTCCACTGCTAAATATAGGCCTCCCCCCCATAAGGGGGAATTTGCCAGTAGTTACCACGTTTGGCAAGCGGGCTGGCAACCGCAATTAGGCTTTTGGTGATGTAATAAGCTGACATATGATGACGATATCAGCCATTACTGTCCACTATTGGACATAGGCTTATAACATAGGCATTTTGATGGGTGAAAATGGTATGGTAACCCCGCCTGCGCTAACGGGATACGCTGGCGGAGCACCAGTGAAGGGTGATAGATGAGAATGAAAACAGGCCAGTTAGCCCATCATGATGAATTCATCAGGAATTAACCATTATAGTTTCTAGGGAGAACCGCGAGAAGGTCGACCTGGTTGGGTATATTACTAGCAATGGGATTCTCAGTCTCCATTACTAACAATCCCTTTCCCCCCTCCATGAGGGTGGTTAGGCCAGTAGTTTTTTTTTTTAATGGATGATAATGAAATGGTAATCTCGCCTGTGCTATCGGTATACACTGGCTAGGCATCAGTGAGGGATGATAGGTGAGGATGAAAAGAGAGATCAGTTAGCCCATCGTGACGAATTTAACGATAAATTAGTCACGATGGTTTCCAGGGGAAACCGCGTGGAGGTCGACCTGATGGGGTATATTGATAGCAATAGGGACTAACCCGGATGGATTACCATCAGGCGGGCCATCAGCCTGTTCCTTTTCAACCGACTTAAAAAAATAGGTGTTGTTTTTTATGTTTTATTATAAACCGATTTGGAAAATTCATTTTTTATCTAAGAGGATACACTTACAGATTAATTCCATAGAAATTTTATCAAAATCAGTACTTTGAAATCGAAATAAATGGTTTTGCCACAATAAAAGTAGTTTTTAATTGGAACACAATTTAATTATTATGCTAACAAGCTTCAGCGCGCAGTTTCACGAATTCTATGAAACATTTCTATTACATTATTTTTTGTAACATTTTTTCACATATGTTTTACGACATCTAGTGTCCAGTAGAGAAAACAATGAAAAGTTCAATGAAATGTTTTCTATACATATTTAGTTTAATATGCTGTGAATATTTCGGCACAATTAGTGAAACATTAACACATAAATAGAGAACGTATTTAAAAAAAAATAAAAATCATTGTAAAGCAATCGTGTTCAGTCCGATTGCTTTCACGTTTTCGTCGAAAAATTTCTATGCCAATCTGAGTTTCCGAAAGTAACCGCGAGAGGCGCTGTTAAGTTTTATACGATTCATACTAGAATGCGTCGCTGCTTTTAACATCGGGGATGTCACACGTGTATTGCAGACACTACGTTATGTTATGTTTGATGTGTCTTTTTTATTATATTCATCATCATATCCGCTTTTAATTGTCCACTGCTGAATATAAGCCTCTTCCTTGAGAGGTTTTGCCAGTAATTGTCATGTTTGGCAGGCGGATTGGCAACCGCAGTTAGGCTTTAAAGATATTCTAAGAAGAACGCTGCTGCTCATCCCTCGTACTTCTTTAGTTGTTGTTGTTGCTTCTTCGACACTCACGGGAAAGGAAGGGGCGATTTTATTATTTACTAGCTGACTCAGCAAACATTGTTTTACCATATACATTATTTCGAGAACTATACATGAAAATTTATCATACTACAATTATTATATTCGATTGCCGTCATGCAACCGTAATGCGGAATATAAAAATCGCGATTAAAAAACAGGGGTTGATAAGAAAAGCATGAAAATTTAAAGTTGTATGTATTTTTCAATGCTAAATCTTATTAAAATAAAAATAAAAAGAATTGTAAAAAAATAAAAAAAAAATTTAGGGGTGGGTCACCCTTATCATTGAGGGGTATTAAAAATAGATGTTGGCCGATTCTCAGTCCTACCCGATATGCACACAAAATTTCATAAAAATCGGTAAAGCCGTTTCGGAGGAGTTTGGTAACAAACACCGCGACACGAGAATTTTATATATAAGATATATTCTTTATTGCACTTGTAAATTACAGTGTTATTGCATTTATAAATATTGTGAGCAAGGGTGGACTTATCTCTGACAGAGATCTCTTCCAGTCAACCAAATGCAGTTAGAAAACATGTTGTTAGCGGGCAGCTGAAGTGCTACAACTATTAATATTTAGAATACATAAACAAATATACAGTTAAATAAAATATATAATAACATATTACATAAATACATGTTCAATAAATAAATATAATACCTACCTACTTATGTAATAAATGTTAATGAAGAATTAAAATAAAAACTAAAATACTACCTGCATTTTTTTTAATGGACTATAATAGAATGGCAACACCGCCTGCGCTATTGGTATACATCGGCGGGGCACCAGTGAGGGATGATAAGTGAAAATGAAAGAACAGGTCAATTAGCCCATCGTGATAAATACACCTGGAATTCAGAACGATAGTTTTCAAGAGGGACCACGTGGAGGTCGACCCGACGGGGTATATTGCTAACAATGGGACTGGTAGTCTGCATTACTAACAATCTCTCACCCCCCCATACTACCTACATTAGAAATTTAACTAAATGATTTTAAGGTTTGACAGTTCAATGAGAAAAATGAAAAATTAAGATTATGACTCAAACGAAAAAAAATGTAACTTCAACCTTTTCTTGAAAGAGGTAATAGAATGACTTTCTTGTATGTGGGAAGGGAGTTTGTTCCATAACTGGACAGCTCGATACGAGAAAGAGTTGCCCATAAAGTGTGTCCTACACACAGGAAGTTCAAGCATCCTGGACTGAGCTTGACAGGAGCGTTTAGGACGGACTGGTGGTGGTAATAATTTAAACCGGGAGCGGAGGTACGATGGAGAATTGGGGTTATTGAGTATGTTATAAAGGAAAGAAAGGATGTGCATATCACGTCGAAATCGGATAGGGAGCCATTTTAACTGGTTGCGAAAGGCAGAGACATGATCTTGTTTACGAAGAACAGAATTGAACCTAACAGCTACATTTTGTAAACGTTCCAGTTTGTTTAAAAGCTCCTCAGTCACATCCAAAAAACAGACGTCGGCATAGTCAAATATAGGGAGTTGGAGAGATTGTGAGAGTAGAAGAAGGAAAGTAGGGAGAAAGTATTGGAGTCGCTTGATAGAGTGAAATGAAAAGTGCATGCATTTACTAAGTTCATTATATGATAGAGCCAAGCCAAGATAGAGCACCGTCCATTATGAGACCAAGATTCTCGGTATATACTATTGAAACTCCATTGTAGTGAAGTGGCGGTATCTCGGTCCAATTCAACCTGCATCGCATCCTGCTGCTGCCAATAATGATGACTTGTGATTTAACAGGATTTACGAGAAGGCCAAATGTGTTAGTCCACGATTGTATTGCAGATAAATCAGTATTTAAGGCAGCAATGGCATCAGACAATTCGGACAGTGCAAAGTGTCTGTAAAGTTGTAGATCATCCGCATACAGATGGTAGGGAGAAATAATGATACGAGAAATATTGTTTATAAAAATTGAAAAGTAAAGGAGAAAGCATCCCAACTTACGGTAGACCGGCAGTGAGCGGAGACCAAACCGATGAAGCATCATTGGCTCTTACACACTGCTGGCGACCGAAAAATTGGAAGAAAACCATTCAATAGCAGGAGAGGATACGTTTACTGCTCGGAACACGGCAAGCAAAATGTCAAAATCTACTAAGTTAAAGGCGTTAAAGACTAAAGTTAAGAAAAACAATAGATCTAAGATGGGTGCCATCCATGGCTCGCCGAATGTCCTCAGTAATATTAAGTAGTGCTCCAGTAGTGCTATGGGAAGGACGGAACCCTGATTGGAAAGGGCATAACAGGTGATTGACAGTGAGATATTGATGTAATCGATCGTGAACTACTGATTCAAGGACCTTAGAGAGAATGGGGAGATGGATCTGTGGCGGAATTGGTAGAAGCTGATCAGATTCGGCGTTTTGCAAAGTAGAATAATAAAAGCCTTTTTCCACTGTATCGGGAACATATTACACTTCAGTGAGTAATTTATGTGTGTGATTACTGGCAATATCTCAATATCTTATATTGGTGTAGTAAATTATAACAACGCCTATTTTTTTAAATCGCTGAAAATGAAATAGTAGCGCGCTACTAGCATTCACTGGCGGGGCACCAGCGAGGGATAATAAGGTGAGGATGAGAGAAGGCCAGTTGGCCCCTCGTGATGAAGTCATCAGTAATTAACTACGATGGTTTCCAGAAAGAACCGCGTAGAGGTCGATTAGGATATATTGTTAGTAAGGGGGGCTGCTAAATCCATTGCCAACAATCCCTTTCTCCCTTTTTGCTGCGATAATAGCACAGGATTATAGGAGATCTGTGACACGAAATTTATATTGAACCTTATTGTACACAACTATTCAACGTGTCGCTTGGTATCGCTACTGGAGTCGCAAGTGTTGTTCTCTATTATAATCAAGCAAATAAATAATTCACTGTCTTTGGAATGGCCACATGACTGATTTTGATCTAATTTAAAATAACTAAACGCAATGATGCTAATTTCTAAAACGGAGAATGTTATAAAAATATTAAACAAATTTAAATAAAAGAAATATTATCTATTTAATATTTTAACTATATCTTTATTTATATAAAAGTTATTACTAATGAATACAATATTATGCACGACTTTACAATTTCGTCTTTAACTTAGCAGAATCAAAACGCAATTGCATAATTTTTGACAGATGCCTTGCCATCAATACTCGGGCGAAGGGAAGGCAAATTGAAATAAATGTAGGTCTTTGGGCCACACCACCTGTAAAAAAGTTGTAAAGCAGCGTCAAAATAAAGTGAAGTATCAGTTCTGTTTATTATAAGCACGTTATACTGCAACGATGCATTGAGTAACGCTTCAGAAAAAAGGTTTTACTAACATTGGTCGCGATCGAAACTGTCATGTGGTCGACACTTATGTAACATTTTTGTCTGTGAATTATAATTAATCATTCACTGATAGCGTTTGTTTATCTACTCCAGAAGGTAAGGATTGTGGATTTGTTGTTATTAACATAGATTTTATAAATATAGTTTTATATAGAAATAACCTTGAAAATTCCTCCCATGTAGGCGTACGCCGGCCGTTCCCAGCCACTATCGGGCTTAAAAGTAGTCTCTTTTTATGTAATTTATTACTAATTGTGCCTTATATTAATAAACAAATATTATTTTCCGTTTTTTCGAAGTAACTTTCACTCTGATCAAAATGCTGTCAATCTTGATAGAGTGTCAATTATTCTAATTTCAAATGTGTTACAAGGCTTTCACAATATCATTTAGTAATTGCCAGCCAGTACTTATTGTTTTATTAATTTTTTTTTAATTTTTTCTTAAATTCTATTGAATATGTTTTCTTTTTATATAACTTACATACTCTTATAAATGCAGCTAATAACCGATTTTAATGATATTTTTGTAATGATTTTTACACATTATTATTTGAAATTATATATTAAAAATGTCATCCAATTTATATTATATTTATAGCTTTATTTATCAATATCCAAACAAGATAAACTGTAATCAGTGTTTAATGCAAACACTACATACAGTCCTAGATCCTTTTCTGTAAATAGAGTTACATTTAATAATTTACTTTACTTATTAGAAAGTTGTTTTCATTTTGTTCTATTATCCAATAGTTTTAAAGACTGATCTTATAGTGTTGTTATGTTCTCTTTTTAAAAACGAGCTTAGAATTAAAAATGAGTAAATATATTTAAATCTGATGATAAGTTTTTTAAATTAATTTTAAATTGCATGTTACGGGAAACACCCTCTTCTTAATACAAAAAGTAATAAACAGAGTTAACTTAAATGATATTTAAGTCCCTATTTGTAAGATTCGACAAATGCACTATATTAGTATTTATTTAGTAGTAGTATTAATTTTTTTTAATAATTTTCCAGATTTTGTGTTCTTGAGAAAAATGGTCAAATTTACTCGTAGAAAGCTCAATTGAAAAGATTTTGAAAATTTTGTTATTATGTAGAATAAAAAAAACAATAAACCTTATTAATATTATAAATATGAGAGTGAGTTTGTTTGTTATTATATAGCACCTTAATGGTATAACCAATTACTATAAAATTTGGTATATACATACTATATGGGATGGAGAAGTTTATAGGTTATTTTTTATCTTGGTCAATAAACATATTGCGGTCACACGGACAAAGTTAACAAATAAATTACAAATTATTTTATCATTATTAGTTTATCATATTGTCATAGTGGTAGAATACTGACGGATCTTTATATGTAATATTTGTCAGATCCGTCAGTATTCTACGACTATGACGATATTAGTTTTTTTTTTATTGATTAATTATGTATTTTGCTAAAAAACTAAAATATATAGTAAGCTAAATGTAGTGTGTAGTGGTATTATGTGGTATGTAAGGAGTTTTTATTTAGAGATATATATATATATATATATATATATATATATATATATATATATATATATATATATATATATATATATATCTTTTTATTTGCTTTATATTTCTGCTTTTTTTTTAATATTTAGATTTAGAACTAACATTTGGTACAATTTTTTTTTTTATTCTACATTATTATTGTGTCAAGTTTTTTTTAAATAATATTAACCTATATCTCACTACTTTGTACAAAGGTAGGTATAAAAGATTTTCATTTCATTTCATGATTCCACAAAATTAGATTTTTTTTTATACAACTTAGAATGGCAAACAAGCTGACGGCCCACCTGATGGAAAGTGTTAACCATCGCCTATAAACATGAGCAGTACCATGGACATAACAGAGTATACCGTTTCGCCCATGATACCCCCCATGCGTTCCCATTCCTGAGGACTCAGGTGTTATTCCTCTGGACCCAGTAAATTCACATCATATCCCACCCTTCAAACCAAAACACAGCCATGCAAACACAACTGCTTCATGGTTGAAACACGAAAGGAACAAAGGTACCCAAGCAATCAACTTTCGTACAAAAGAGGAGATCAGGTCAGTTGGCCCATCATGACAAATTCCACATCACAATAGATTCCAGTAGGTACCTCACAAAGGTCGACCTGATAGGCTATATTGTTAATTTCCCTTTCTCCTTAAAAGACGAGTGGTTTCAACATAGAAGGGGCCAGTCCTTTGCTGCGGGTGTTGTAAGAGACGATTAAAAGAATTCGATGTACAAGGGATGAGCAGGAGCGTCTCTTTAAAAAAATCACCAAAGCCTAATTGCGGTTGTATATTAACCTGCCAAGCGTGGCAACTACTGGCAAAACCCTCCTTATGTGGGAACCCTATGTTCAGCAGTGGACAGTTAATATAATAGCTGGTATTATTATTATTATTATTAAAGGAGTAATATAAGCCGATAAATTTTTACCGCATATCAATTTTTCTTAAATATTTCCCGCGTACAGATAAAACAAAATTAAATGCGGTTTCCTCAATTATTTACCTATTAAATTGAAATCTAGCGAATGTTTTATCTATTAATAATTAATATATACGAATAGTGACCTAAGTTTGAGTATTTACACATAAAACGTGAAGCTGTGTTTTCTCTATTATTTATATTACATCCAGGTCTCTCTCTTCGTCTTCTTCATTACTGAAGGTCGTGTCCTTGAAAGGTGTCTGTTGCCTCTCTTATGATGTTATTCCATTTTGCACGGTCTTCAGCTTCTCGCGGGGCAGCTGCAATTGATAGTCCCGTAACGGCGGTAACTTGGTCCGACCATCGATTAGGTAATAGTTCGCGTGTTTTTTCCCTTCTATCTTGCTTACAATGATTAGCTTGTTCAGATTGTTGGAACTTACATACAAGTACAATACAGTACAGTAGGCACACTTAATTCTAACCAAATTACATTCACTTAAAACTAATTCTACTACAATACGTAAAAATATTTCGAAATTATTTCGTTCATATTTCCCGCAAAATCAGCTTCGAGCATATATTGTTCAAATTATTGTCCTATCTGTCTATCTCGCTTTAACGTATAGATAATTATATTTTCTCTCTTTTACATTGCCAACCTATGCACTTTATAATCTTGTTTCGCCGTTTTATGTTTGTAACGTGTATTCTAAATTCAAAATCTATTAACATTCTAAATAAATAAATAATAAAAAAAAAATCAATACGCCATCTCTGTTCAGAATTGGCCTATGTAACCAAGTAAACCAATGTTACTTATTTTTATAAATAATTAAAGTGTGTTCAACATAAAATAAAAAACGATTTCCATACCATATCATATAAGCCATTAATTGTCTACTGTTAAACATAGGCCTCCCCCATAAGGGGTGTTTTGTCAGTAGTTACCACGCTTGGCTGGTGTATTGGCAATGCAATTAGACTTTGGTGATATTTTAAGGGAAATGCTGCTGCTCATCCCTCGATCATTAAGTTCCCTTAGTCGCCTCTTACGACACCCACTAGAAAAGAAGAGATGGCCCATTGCATCCCGGGATCACATGGCTTGATTTAAAAACCTACTGGACCGATTTTGATAAAACTTCTATGGGACTTGTCTGTGGGTAATTTATCATGGGCGGCGGTAGTCACCATTAGGTGAGCCGCATGCTCGTTTGCCCCGTGTTGTAAAAAAAAATATCCTTCCAGATAAAAAAAAAATAATTTTCCAAATCGGTTTAGAACTGACGGAGTTATGAGGTGACTAACATCGAAAAAAAAATACAACCGAAACGGGAACCTTCTTTTTTTTAAGTAGGTTGAAATATCCACGCGTATTTACAGAATACTACTAGATAAACGCTACTTTGAGATCAAACAATAGGAATAATAATATTGCTGCTACTTGTCATTTGCGTAAATATGTATGTGAACGTTAATTAGTAATGAAAAAACGCTAATCAGCGCCATCTCCAGGCGTCATTTGTACTGCCCGCTTTTTTTATAGGTGATAATGAAATAGTAACCCCACCCGCGCTATCGGTATACACCGGCGGGGCACCAGTGAAGGATGATAGGTGAAGATGAAGCAGGTCAGTTAGCCCATCGTGACGAATTCCACTAGAATTAACCATGATAGTTTCCAGGTGGAACCGCGTAGAGGTCGACCAGATAGGGCGTATTGCTAGCAATGGAACTGTCAAATTCCATTACTAACAATCCCTTCCCCCCTGTACAGCCCGATTGTAGCGTATTTATTCTCTTTTAACAAATTAAGAACTAGAAAGAAAGAAGAAAGAAAACATTTATATTATATTTATATTTTTATACTATATTTATATTTAACTAGGATTTCAATTCGGTTGTATTTTTTTTTATGTGTTCGTTATCTCATAACTGACCGACGGTTGTAAACCGATTTGTTTGTTTTTTATCGAAATTTTATCAAAATCGATTTAGCACTTAAGTTTTTAGAACAAAATAAGTGATTTTGTGACGTTTGAAGTCCGTTATTTTGATGGGACATTCTTTTATTATCTGTAAAGTAATATTATGAAGAGAAAAGATCTGTTTGTGAACAGTGGAATTCGTCACGATGGGTCACTGACCTGTCTTTTCATCACCTCTCACTGGTGCCCCGCCAGTGTATACCGATAGCGCAGGCAGGGTTATAATTCCATTATCACCCATTAAAAAAAAACTTACTCCCTGTCTATGTGTAGGTTTTGTTACGCAACTAGCAGTGTTTTGTTTCGTTAAAAAAATCTATTTTAGCTTCAATTACCGCAAAAAATAACATGGGATCATTGGAAGAGCAAAAAGAATTATAAATAATTGATATAATCGTTCACAAAAAAAAAAAAATAGATGAATGTGTTTATTGTCTTTTGCGTTCTAAATTTAAAAAAGTTCCTTTATTTTTTTTTTGTAATTTAAATTCTACCAGTTGCTTTCGAAAGCAGCATAAAAAAATATTGAATTAAAAATGGCGCCTTTGACCTTTGATATTTTCATGATAAATTGTGATTCTTTACCTCGATAATCGCCTTATCTAAAACAGCGTATGTAAAGCAGTGTGTAGGTAGATATTTTGCATAATAACATACAATGCAATGTAGTTCCAGAATTTACCTGCGTAATGTAGCATTTAAAATTTATTCTACAAGGTTTAGCAAAAATTTTCTATAAAAATTGTTTGCATGCATACATCTATCTCACTTCCGTTTTTTGCCATGAAGCTGTTGTGGTTGCATGAAATGTTTTTCGGTTTGAACAATGGGTTATGGCAATGCAATTACGAGTTATGGGGGTATAACATCTTAAGCCTCAGAAATGACAACGCATTAGTAGAACCATGGTCGTCACATTTACTCTGTGATCACCATGGTGCTGTCGTCGGTGAAATTCCTCCGATTCCTCCATGTCATAGATAAAGGATAGTTCTTATGACATTCTCTTTCTACGGATCATATCTTACGTGTATGAATACGTGAGTAGATTGATAAATCGATAAGATTATTGCTATTGATCGAAAGAGATAACTATACTTCATGTAGGTGGCATTTTAGATTTCAAGTCTCTATAATCTATAATTAATAAATATTGCGCAATGTTTTTTTTTAAGAAGGTAGGTACATTGTATGCTTTGAAAACAACTGGGAAAAAAATGTTCCAAAGAGCGATAGCGCATAAAGTCATTTATTTTATTTATATGTTAATTTCACAAGATACGTTAAATAATTTGAAAAGGATGGACGGAGTGAGTAAAATGGTAGGAATAAATAAGATGGCCGGTGTTTGTCACTTGCGCGGAAGTGTTTGCAAGTGTTGTAGTGGTTCTAAATAGTATCGTTTCCGGAGGGCCTACCATGAAACATTTTTCGAAATTTTCTAAACCTAAATTTGATGTTAAAATTACATAATGTAATAATAGTAAGTACTAGTAATATACTGTTTCCTCTTCTTATTGTACGCACACTGCCCGCTGGTAATTAATGCTCCTTACCAATCAAGGTTTGTTGGAAAAGAACTCTTAAAGATTTAAGCTTGCCTGTTGTACATCTTCATTTAATATAAATTATAACAATGTAATTTTTATGTACAATAAAGTATAAATAAATAAATAAATAAGAAATAATGTTAAAAAATATTAAAAAATGTTACATTTTTTTTACTAATATTAAATTTATGACGAATAAAATGTTATGCTCCACATACTCGGCCAATTTCGCTATGAACGATAACACGAAATTGAGTCCGTAAATTTGGAATTTCATTTCGTGGTAGACCCCAGGTTGTTTTCGGCGCGTTTTTAACCTTCTTTAATTTATTGTTATATAACAGTGTTTTACGCCATATGATCGTAAAACATAGTGGTTCATATATGTGTAAATTTTTTTACCACATCTAATTAGATACAGGTTGTGGCATTATGTGATTGACAGGCAGATTGGCGATCGCAGTTAGGCTTTACAGATTTTTTAAGAGGGACGCTGCTGCCCATCCTTCGCCCTCTCTTAGTCGCCTCTTACGACACCCACGGGAAAGAGATGGCCCATTCTATGCTAGAACCACACGTTTATTTTCAAACCTAATTAACAGCATCAATATTTCAGCTGTTTCCATATCACGTTGTATATTGGACCTTGATAGTGTACGTATTGTGTCATCTATTGAAAATTTTATTGATCGTTAAATTTATCACTTATGTAATGTATTTTGATCGTATATCTAAAACTCTAGATGGCGCGTCGAGTGTTAAAAACGTTTTGATTTTTAGAGACTTCCTAATGGAGATGGACAGTTTGTCTGAATTCGTTTTTTTTGACTGTGCATACGAATCATGTACAGATGGCTAGTGGAGAGTAGTCAGTGATTATTCCATTAAAGTTAATTCTGGATTGAACAATAACTATTGTAGTTGGCGAGTAAGTAAACAGTACAAGAACTATTGCAGGTTGAACGTATGGGGTTGCCATATACAAATTAAAATGTATAGTAAGCAGAGTCGAGGGTTGTGAATTGAAAGACCTTGATTGTCAAAACAAGTTTAATACGAGCAACAAGTAATACACAGTTGTTAGCAATGGCGGGAGCGCGCTCTAGGTACATGTAAGACATATGCGACGTATTGGCGGCCGGCGTAAGACTACTGTAGAGGGCGCCAATGTCTATTACTTATAACGAGCGGGTGCCCGCGAGTTGCTCGGATTGGTCGTTCTATTATGTTGGTAGTAGTGACGGTGGGTTGTACCATAAATGTTTTTTTTTATTGGATGAAAATGGTATGGCAACCCCGCCTGCGCTAACGGGATACGCTGGCGGAGCACCAGTGAAGGGTGATAGATGAGAATGAAAACAGGCCAGTTAGCCCATCATGATGAATTCATCAGGAATTAACCATGATAGTTTTCAGGGGGAACCGCGAGGAGGTCGACCTGATTGGGTATATTGCTAGCAATGGGATTCTTAATCTCCATTACTAACAATCCCTTTCCCCCGTACCATAAATGTTATTTTATACGTTTCTAATTGTCAGATGCAAAAAAAATATGTTAGTTTCTAACACTACGTGTTCGCGATTACGTCGCCAATTCCGAACCGAATCTCACAATTCTTTTTGTAGTCGTTTAGGTTTACGTCCGTGTTGGTCCAATTTTAATTTTGTGACCATTGCAACTGCCGTTTCTCTTTTCGGAGCAAAACATAGCTTTTAATCATTTGTTTACATTGCTTGTCACGAAGTACAATCAATGTAAACAAATGATTGTGCGTTCCAAATTCAAATATCTTTAATGTAAAAGTCTGCGTTGACGTCGGATTTATGTCCGTGGGCAATATTTCCTTCGTGTAAGTCGTTGGCGTAGTATTATGTACATTAGGGGTTTTATTATGGCCGGACTTAAATTTATGGTAAGGATTGTCTCTCGATGACTAAAAAACTTGAGAAGACGAGACAAACACAAAAAGAAATTTTCTCCATGAACTATATATCGTCATAGTCGTAGAATACTGACGGATCTGACGATATTACAGATATGGATCCGTCAGTATTCTACGACTATGACCATATATGCCTCTTATACATATATGTTTCGTATGAAATTTGAATTCAACGACAAAGCATCCATAGATTTCTTTTTGGCTTATATTTAAAAAATCCCATTATTCAAACATCAAATTACTTTAATACTCAAATCAGTTTGTTCTTCTTTCCAGGATAATTCGAAGTCTCCACTAAACACTTACAATGTTAAGACGCTGCTCGAAGCACTTACAGACGTTATACCGGAGGCAGGGGCAGGGCCTCCGTTTCCGTTCTACTGAGGTGCCCAAAGTCCTCGGTACCCTACCTCGAGCCAGGCTCGCTCAGCCCAAGGTCCTGACTGCCCACAACCAAATAGCCTCAATTCACTTCACTAGTCCTCTTTTTGAAGAACAGGATGTCAATACTCCAGGCTTCCCTGATTCCGTCTCCGAAGGAGATGTGAAGCTCGACAAGAAAGTCGGCGACGCTGTAGCAGCCGACGAAGTGGTCCTCGAAATTGAGACAGACAAAACAGCAATCCCAGTCATGGCGCCCGGACACGGTATCATTAAGGAGTTATACGTAAAAGATGGTGATACAGTGAAAGCTGGACAGAAGTTATTCAGGATAGAAATTACAGGAGAAGCGCCGAAGAAGGCGGCGGCAGCTGCTCCCGAGCCGCCTAAGGCCGAGGCTCCTCCTCCGCCGCCGCCGCCGCCTCAACCGTCCGCGGCAGCACCCCCACCACCTCCGCCACAGGCAGCTGCCCCACCACCACCTCCTCCCCCTAAACCCTCAACGCCTCCCCCAGCGGCGCCGGCCTCATCCATCCCCGTCGCCGCGATCCGACACGCGCAATCCATAGAGACGGCCACTGTTAAGGTACCGCCATCGGATTACAGCAAAGAAATAGCTGGTACCCGAACGGAGCAGCGCGTCAAAATGAACCGCATGCGCCAGCGCATCGCACAGCGTTTGAAGGACGCGCAAAACACGAATGCGATGTTGACAACCTTCAACGAAATCGACATGTCAAACATTATGGCGTTCCGGAAGAAGTACCTCGACTCGTTCACCAAGAAGCACAGCGTGAAACTAGGTCTCATGTCGCCATTCGTTAAGGCGGCCGCCAATGCTCTTCTCGACCAGCCAGTGGTGAATGCTGTTATAGAGGAGAACGAGATCATATACCGCGACTACGTCGATATTTCTGTGGCAGTCGCGACCCCAAAAGGTTTAGTGGTGCCGGTCATTAGGAATGTGCAGAATATGACATACGCTGACATCGAGTTGACGGTTGCTGGCTTGGCAGAGAAAGCCAAGGCCGGCAAGTTAACTGTAGAGGAGATGGACGGAGGTACCTTTACAATTAGCAATGGTGGAGTCTTCGGTTCTTTGATGGGCACGCCCATTATCAATCCGCCACAGTCCGCCATCTTGGGTATGCATGGCATATTCGAGCGGCCCATTGCTCTAAACGGCCAGGTGGTTATCCGACCAATGATGTACATTGCGTTGACATACGACCACAGGCTGATCGATGGCCGCGAAGCCGTCTTGTTCCTTAGAAAAATCAAGGAGGGAGTAGAAGATCCGGCCACCATCATTGCTGGGCTGTAATTAGATAAAAATATACGGCGCTTCCGGCGCGCATCTACAGTATATAGAACAAGTTACCACGTAAAACAATTCCATTTTTAAGTGACAATGATTTTTATGATTAAAGTAATTTCCACGGTGCTGATTTGATGATCTTACAACCCCACCCATACAGGCTGTATGGTCGAGTGGCTTTTGCCTATCTGCAAGCAGTGTGTTAAAAAAAAACCAACAATTTGTTACATTCGATATTCAAAACGTGTAATGGCGGCCGAAAGTGCCGTATCTTCCGGTGCCGGTTCCGAAAGAACAATCGAATCATTGTAAATTATTTCACTCTTTACTTTTAATAGCGAACTAGATATTATCTGATCTATTTTTTTTTTTTATTTATTGAAACGTTTGTTTTGTTATTGCGTATTATTTTTCGTTTGTAAGTGTTAATTAAAAATATATGAATATATGAAACGAGCACGCCTCCCCATTCACTTGCAACTTGTTTCATTTTAATTTTATTTTTTTTCTCTCTCTCGCAATATTCACACATTCGTTACATAGATAACTTGACGTTAATTTATGATTCGCTTCGAATAGTTTATAAAATAAATATTAAATTAAAGTACATGTTTTGATTTTTACTTCAAACTTTCAATATTATCTCACATTTTACGTCATATCCTTTTGACTCGATCGAAGACGGGCCATGAGAGTTCTTCACTATCCCAAACGTAAAGGCGGTATCGAGCCTTTAACTCTAATCTGAGACTTTGCCTCCCTTTGTGTAATTTACCGCTTGTGTAGCGGATTGTGTTCTGAGGAATTGTTTGAAATGCCCACAGCCACCTTTTATCATCGCACCGCTCGCCATCGACAGGGAATTCATCCTCACACGCTTGAACCTAAATGGTCACGTACAGTGCGGTTTCAGAGAAATTTTCTCTCACAAGCTGTGGAAGGAGGTTTCCCCTAGAGACTACAGTATGGGGTATATTAAAAAATAAAGAGTATATTAAAGTTTCTTCAGGGTCGGCAACGCGCACGTGACTCCTAGTATTGCAGGCGTCCGTAGGCTACAGTGATCGTTTACCATCAGACGAGCTGTATAATTACCAGAGGGAGACTTTGTACAAAAGTCGATTGCTTGGGTACCTCTGTCCCATTCGTGTTTCAACCGTGAAGCAGTTGTGTTTGCATGGCTGTGTTTCGGTTTGAAGGGTGGGATATGGCGTGAATTTACAGTGTACAGAGGAATAACACCTAAGTCCTCAGGAATGGCAACGCATGGAGGGTATCATGGGCGAAACAGTATACTCTGTTATGTCCATGGTACTGCTCATGTGTATAGGTGACGGTTACCACTTTCCATCAGGTGGGCCGTCAGCTTGTTTGCCATTCTAAGTTGTATAAAAAAAAAATATCACTTTGGTGGTATAAAAAAAAGTCATAGTGCCTAGAAATGTAGAGACAATGTTTTGATGTAAAAACCAAATTTTGGTACTACAAATACTATTTTTGATGAAATTTCTATAGGACTAACCTAAAAATACTAACCTTTCAAATAAAAGGAAAAATTTTCCAAATCGGTTTATAAAGGACAGTTCTTTTTTTTAATGGACAATAATGGAATGGTAACTCCGCCTGCGCTAACGGTATACGCTGGTGAGGCACCAGTGAGAGATGACAGGTGAGGATGAAGCAGGTTAGTTAGCCCACCGTGACGAATCCGACGGGAACCACGAGGACGTCGACTTGATATATTGCTACCAATGGGGCTACTTATCTTAGGACTCAGGTGTTATTTCTCTGTACTCTGTAATTTCACTGCCATATCCCACCCTTCAAACCGAAACACAGCCATGCAAACACAACTGCTTCACGGTTGAAACACGAATGGGACAGAGGTGGCCAAGCAAACGACTTTTGTACAAAGTCTCCCTCTGGTGACCAATAATACAATGAAAACAGAATTCTTCCTTTTTAGTTTTAATTCTTTTTAAAAAAAAAAAATATATATATATATATATATATATATAAAGTAAGTAGTTATTAAAAATAAATATTAAATGCATAAACGATAATTTGTATATGTCCGTACGAAGTTCAAGGTCGATTCGGTAGGTAACAGTATTTTATTACGGATTTGTTTTCGTTGAATTTTTTGTTCAGTACAGTTAATGAGTTGGCAGACATGTTGTTTTGCTAAAAGAAGGTTTTAGGTTCTATTTATGACCACGTTTAAAAAATAATCATTGTTAAAATTTAGTCAACATAAAAAATTAAAGGATTTGTGTACTCATATAGTACAAATCCAGTAGTTTTTAGACAAACCGGAAACCAAACAGAATATTAAAGAGATGCTAAGGATTTTGGTATTAATGAATTACCAAAAAAGAAAACATAATAATAATACCTTCAGATTGAAAATGTTCCATTCATCTTTGTTGGTTTTTCATTTTAGACAACTACGTTCAACGCCATCTATTGAACAATAGCTAGAATTAATGATAACAGTTTTGTTAACATTATGTAATAAAAAATCTATTCTTTTGTCTGTATACCAAATATATATATCAATAACAAGAATTTCGTACATAAACAGATAGAATATAATATAGTAAGTAACAAACAAAGTTAGAATCTTGACATTAAAGTCATAACTATAATATGTTTTTCAGTTTTGGTAGTTTTCTTTTAAAATTCTTTAGCGGAATAAAAATCGATTTTATAGTATAATTATTTCTTTCAGAACAACAATTTTTTTTAGAACACCTTACCTTTTATTTATGTAAATGCAAGAAAATTTTAATCTAGAGAAAGTAAACTTGAACAAGTTCAATCCGATAGAACTAGATGGCACCACAAGAGTTCTAAAGCGAATTCAATTCATGCAAAAACCATGCGTGGAAAGTTTGAAATTTCGTTACCATAGAAACGTAATGCTTCAAAGTCAACGCACAAAGAATGTTAGACGAGTTGTCGTGTACCAAACATTTATTTTATCAATAATTAATTTAAGCAATAAATAAGAGAATTGTTCATTTCGAATATTAAACAGCGAATTTAATGAGAACAGTTGGTATTTATTTATGTGCGAGTAATTCTGTTGTGTATATTATATTTTGACCTATATTCTGAAGTATGTCAAGGTAAGTGATTAGTTTTGAATAATTAATTTTATTGCACTCTTTAAGGCGAAGTGATAGCTCAGTAAGGCAACGCTAGACTGATCCTTTTAAAAATACATATTATCCATATATTTTTACATGTTTTTATGCAAAAAATGTCTGCTCTCTAATTCTGGGGTGGGCACAAGACGATTGTGGGGTGGGCATAACCCACCCGGCTCCCTCCACTTAAATACATGTGGCTAAACTGCGATCTTGAAGTTCCAATATCGAATATTAGGCTAAACTTTTGAGTTTCCAAATTAACATCTGGATCATTTATAAACAATTGTCACTAGCTTCGTTTTTTGGAGGGCACGGAAATCGTCATTGGAAACGCCTCTAAAAGTTCTTTTTTATGAGTGAAAATGAAATAACCCCGCCTACGCTAACGGTATACGCTGGCGGGGCACCAATGAGGGGTGATAGGTGAAGATGAAAGCAGGTCAGTTAGTCCAACGTAACGAATTCCACTAGAATAAACCACGATGGTTTCCAGGAAGAACCATGTGGAATTCGATCTGATAGGGTGCATTGCTAGCAGTGGGGCAGTTAAATTCCATAACTAGCAATTGTTGTAATGTGAGGACGAAGGTAATGAAGAGACTAGGCTGTTTGACTTCATTATTAACAATCGCTTTTCCCCCCATTTGGAAAGGTTTTTTTAAGGGGGGAGACTCATGTAAAATTTTCAAAAAATCGATTTTTTTTTTTTTCGATATTCTGAAAGTATACTATGTTGAGCGTGTACTGACGAGCCGGAAAAAAAAAATCTCGAATATTTACAAAGTTATAGCTAATACAGTGGAGCGGGCCGAAGTACGTATTGTCAAGTAACGAGCCAGGTAGTCGGGGCGCTTGAAAAGGACCCTTCTATTATAATACCTGGAAATATTTCTTTTGTTCAACTATCGAGAATCCTTTTTAGTAAATATATATATATATACTTTTACATTTCTGCACACGTGTAACATTAGTACACGAATAATCGTTAGTCGAGAAATATATTTAGTTTAGCTGGAGATTTCTTCGTGTTCAGTCGATTTTGAAAAGCAAAAATGCCGAATTATAAAAAAGGTACACGTGGGAATATTGCAAGAAATAACACCCGGAAACGAAAGTTTCAGGGCAATCAATTCACTAATAATGAAGGTGAAAAATTCGAAGCCAGTGTAAGCCATGATCACAGTGCCAGTGGCAAAAAACTCCATGCCCGTGATAGTGAAGATATAATAACAAATCCTTTACACGGGTACAGGATAATTGAATTTTTTACAGTGTTTACAGCTTTGTCTGAAATTGTGAAGTGCTCGGTGTGTAATCAGAAGATAAAATTCAATGAGTGTAGTTCCAGAGGTCTTGGTTTTAAAATTGTTGTCACACGTCCATGTGGTAATAAAACAATAAATTCAGGTCCTTTCATTAACAACGGATTTGAAATAAACCGGAGAATAGTGTTTATCATGAGACTTTTGGGTGTTGGAAGAGAAGGGATAAATTTATTTTGTAACCTGATGGACCTATGCACTGGTTTGAGTAAAAGTTGTTACGCTAACATTGTGGAACACATTTATAATACAGTGAAATTATCATTTGAATTTCTATCGCAGAAGGCAGTGAAAGAAGAGATGGAAAAAAATGTCGAGCAAGGAAGAGAAAAAAATATTTTAAAAGTATCTGGAGATGGTACTTGGAAAAAACGTGGTTTCAAATCAAATTACGGTGTTGCAACGCTCATAGGATATTATTCAGGGAAAGTTATTGATTTGAAAACAAAAAGTAGTTACTGTCAAGGCTGTATTTACTGGAAGAACAAGACTCATACAGAAGAATTCCGTAAGTGGATTGAATATCACGAGGATGAGTGTCAAAAAAATCACGAAGGTTCGTCAGGAAAGATGGAAGTCGATGCCATGAAAGAAATGTTCTCGACTTCAGAAGAAAAATTCGGAGTAAAATATGGTAACTACATTGGTGACGGAGATTCTAAGACATTCAAGGCTATTCTAGATTTAGAACCTTACGGTAATGAGTTACCAGTAGTGAAGAGTGAATGTATTGGTCATGTAGAAAAAAGAATGGGTTCTCGACTTAGAAATGTAAGAAAAGAAAAGAAACTTTCGGGGAGAGGAAAACTAACTGATAAAGTGGTAAAAAAATTAACAAAATATTATGGTTTAAGTATTCAGAGAAATGTTAACAGTGTTGAAAATATGAAAAAAGCCATAATGGCTACTTATGATCATATTTTTTCCACTACAGAAAATCCCCAACATGATAACTGCCCTGTAGGCGTTGATAGCTGGTGCAAATGGCAGAAGGCTATTGCTCAAAATCGAGATCCTCGAAAGGAAAATTTAGCTCCATTACTTGGTGAAGATTTAAAACAGCATCTTTTACCAATATATCAAGATTTGTCCAAAGATGATTTACTTGAGCGATGCCTTGGTGGTCATACGCAGAACGCGAACGAAAGTTTTAACGCTACAGTTTGGCGATTATCCCCAAAACACCTGCATTCCGGACTAAAAGTAGTCGAAATTTCAGCTTACATTGCTGCAGGGATATTTAATGAAGGTTATACTTCCGTATTAAGAATAATGAACCTTTTGAATCTGAATATTGGCACTTATGCTAAGATATTTGCGGATAGTACAGACGAGGAGCGAATAACCCGACAGAATCGTAAAAGCCTTTCAGAGACCAAAGATGCTCGTTCAGCTCGCAGACAACATCAAATAGATGAAAATCAACTTTTTGAGGAGGAAGAAGGACCTATATGGACCTGGAATTGCAAATTAGTCGGTAAGTAATTAATAATTCAGTAAAACTACTCATTTTCCTGTACTGAAACTTTAAACGCGATTATCTCGAAACTACTTTTTGAAAAACTGTTCGTGTTGTAGCTCAAAAAATTATTGACCGATTTGTTTGAAATTTGGTGAGGCTTTTCTCTACATTACTATCGGAAGGATAAACCTAAAACTTCAGGTATTTCTGATTGATTACTTATTTTTTTTGGGGTCAAAAGGGTCAAAAAAATAGCCCAAAATCGTAACTTTTTTTTAAGGCTGATTTTATATTGGATTTTATCCTTTTCTTTTTAATTTTATAGGTTTATCCTTTCCGTTTATATGTCCTGAAAAAAAAAAATTTTTTTTTTGTGTTTCAGATCAATGGTTGATGAGTGACAAATGAAGCAGTTTCGGACCTCGCGTCAGAGGCAGCCTACAAGACATCATGCTGAGCCGCCATTTTGAATTAAAAAAAAAAAATAATTCTTTTTTTGTAGTCTTAAAATGTTTAATAAAGTTGTGTTAAAAGTTCTAAACAATTAAATTATTTTTTCACTGTAAAAAAAAATATTAAAAAATGACCGATTTCGAGGCATTTACATGAGTCTCCCCCCTTAATGGATGATAATGGAATGGTAACCCCGCCTGTGCTATTGGTATACTGGCGGGGTACTAGTGAGAGATGATAGGTGAGGATGAAAAGGCAGGTCAGTTAGCCCATTGTGACGAATGCAACAAATATTAATCACAATGGTTCCAGGCCTATGTTCAGCAGTGGATACTTAACGACTGATATGATATGGTGAGACTATCTTATGGTGGGAACAATTATTTGTATATTTACATTTTCATTAAGTTCCCTTGAATTTTTTTATACCACGAAGGTAACAAACAAACAAGCATACAGCCCGTCTGATGGTAAACAATCACTGTAGCCTATGGACGCCTGCAACACTAGAACAACTGAATTTAAAAGTGCTTGTAAACAAGTCTATTTGGCTAAAGACAATTTGAATTTAGACATTTTTTAAACAAACCATAGACAACGTTTTTTTTGGCGCGAAATTTTTATAATTTCTTAATTTATATTCAATAATATCATTTCTTAATGACCGCTAGTTATATAGGTAAACATTGCTTCAAATATGAAACATTTTTATTAGAAAAACAAATTACGTAGTAGACATTATCAATCACTCTAAAATCAATACATTTATATTATGTTTTTTTTTTTTTATACAACTTAGAATGGCAAACAAGCTGACGGCCCACCTGATGGAAAGTGGTAACCGTCGCCTATAGACATGAGCAGTACCATGGACATAACAGAGTATACTGTTTCGCCCATGATACCCCCCATGCGTTGCCATTCCTGAGGACTCAGATGTTATTACTCTGTACCCTGTAAACTCACGCCATATCTCACCCTTCAAACCGAAACGCAGCCATGCAAACACAACTGCTTCACGGTTGAAACACGAATGGGACAGAGGTGCCCAAGCAATCGAGTTTTGTTTCCCTGTTTCATTTGGAGAGTTTCTATGATAGTTTCAACAAAACTTGGTTTTCTTCTCATTAATTTCTATTGAGACAGTTTATACTTATTTCAATCACGATTGAACTTTACAATATGATTTTTTTAGACATTCATGATTTACAATGAAGACTACAATAAGAAAAATCAGCGACAACAAAGTCAAAAGCAAAGCTAAAACTGCTAAAGATGATGTTCCTATGCTATCGAAGAAAGAGGACAAAGAGAAATCAACCACTAGTAAAAGTACGCGGAACGCTGTGTCCAATACACAAAATACTCTATCGACGCCAAGAAATACTCTGTCTACGCCACGCAATATATTGTCGACACCAAGGAATTACACACAAAAATCATCAACAACGGATATTTACGTGCAAAAAAAGAATATTCAAACCGCGAAAGCACCGAGAAAATCTACAGGAGCCACAAATAAAACCAGCAGTCTATCTCCAATGAAGGATTTATTAAAATCGTCGTCGTCGTCTGTAAGTCACAGTAATAGATTAGAGAAAAAGGTATCCAAAAAAGATGAAACAAAGGAATCTGATAAAACGGTTAAAAGAACACCTCGATTAGCAAAAGACTTACCGTATGCGAACGTCACTGTTAATTCACCAGCGCCGAAAAAAAAGTTAGATTTGAATTTGGAAAGAACGAATTCAAAAAATTCCGCGCGCAATTCTGACAACGATGATCGGCAGCGATCGAAAACGAGGACTCTAAAAGAGGATGAAGTGAAAGTTTTGACACCAGAAATAGTTGATAATAATGCTGAAATGATAAACTTGTCGCGACGACTGGGCGCTCAACCAAAAGCATTTTTTGTTGATTTAGAAGATGAAAAGAAGCAATCGAAGGTAAGAATAGTACATTACTGCAGCGGCCAACAACTAAGGCATTGATGGATGAACGTGCAAATGTGGACCGAGGCGTAGCCGAGTCACACATACGTGAGTCCATCAATGCCCAGTTGTGGCCAAGGCTTGTATAGTACTTTTCTCAAACAATGCGCGGAAATCAAAAACACAATTTTACTTTTTAAGTTCAATACCGAATAACGAACAATAATAATTTTTCACGCGCCATAATGTTCCTTTGTTTCTTTTTTAATAAACAGTTTTCTATTTGCAAGCTAGTTCGAAATTAAAATAAAATCTTTTATTAGTTACCTCCTTGGTAGCCATGTTTCGAAATAGAAGATCATTCCATTTTTAAATTACAGGACAGATATGAGTTTACGTAGTAATTTATCTGGCTACAAAACACGACAGATATGGATTTTCACACAACTTTTCCCGGCCACTGCCCGCATGTATCTGGCCAGTACGGCAATTTTGATTTACCTCTAAGAAGATTGTCAAAATAATGCTCACATTTCCAAGCATGTTTGAGAAAATAACTTTTCAATTATAACACTGTATTATTTTACTGATTCATATAAGCTGTTAACTCTTCGCTGCTGAATATAGGCCTTCTTCTATAGAGAGGTTTTGCCAACAGTTACCACACTTGGCAGGTGGATTGGTAACCGCAGTTAGGCTTTGGTGATGTTTTAAGAGGGACGCTGCTGCTCATCCCTCGGTCACTGTTCCATCCTTCGCCCTCTCTTGGTCGCCTCTTACGACACCCATGGGAAAGGAAGGGATGTATTATATTCCGGAACAACATGGATACATTATTTTATATATTTTTTTACAACATAGGGGCAAACGAGCATGCGGCTCACCTGGTGGTAAGCGACTACCGCCGTCCATGATCACCCACAACACTAACATTGCAGGTGTGCTGCCGGCCTTTTATCGGTTCGGAAATACTGCTGCTGGAAGTTGATTCCAAAGAGTGGTTGTTATATATACATGGCAAAATAGTATTTTTTGGAAATTTTGTCTGTCTGTCTGATTGTTTTAGCATCATGCAAAAACTACTGCACTAAATTGGATGCGGTTCTCACAGTTATGTTCTTAAAGACTAGCTTTAAATCTGGTATATGTCTTATCTTAATATGTCATATAGAACTGGTTGCCCATTTTGAAATCCACAGCTACGTCGTTGCAGGCATACCTAAGCTAGTATTTTATAAAATCATTAAACTATGGGAAATTTGTCATATGTATCTATATGGCATGCTATTAATATGGATATATCAATACATATAATGAAATAGTAACTGGTCGCTGTCCGTACATGGAACATATATATATATATATATATATATATATATATATATATATATATATATATATATATATATATATATATATATATATATATATATATATATATATATATATATATATATATATATATATATATATATATATATATATATATATATATATAATATTATAGGGGGGTTTTATGAACGCAATAGAAATCAAAACAATGATTTTGAGAATTTATATCTGTTTGTCTGTACGTTTGTGCGTGCTAATCTCATAAACGGTTTAACCGATTTGAACCTAGTTTCCATTAATGCGTTGCGGTTTGCTCCACTTAATATTTAGTGTTTGTTATATTTCAATCGGTTTATAAATAAAAAAGTTATATCGATCCAAAAAAAAAAAATAAGATTTACATAAAAAAACTGCCATGCAGTAACCATTCCTGTTGTTCATTCTATGTCGAGGTACTTACTATAAGTGGCTTCTGTACCACTTTTCCCCATAACACGTTTCATCTTTCTCAAAATTTGTATGGTGTTTTCGAACAAATTTACACATTTCGAATATGTAATAGTTTTTTATTTTTATTTTATGCAACTTAGAATGGCAAACAAGCTTACGGCTTACCCGATGGAAAGCGGTAACCATGGACATAATAGAGTATACTGTTTCGCCCATGATACTCTTATGCATTGCCATTCCTGAGGACTCAGGTGTTATTCCTCTGTACCCTGTAAATTGTTTTTTTTTATGATGGGTGAAAATGGTATGGTAACCCCGCCTGCGCTAACAGGATATGCTGGCGGAGCACCAGTGAAGGGTGATAGATGAGAATGAAAACAGGCCAGTTAGCACATCATGATGAATTCATCAGGAATTAACCATGATAGTTTCCAGGGAGAACCGCGAGGATGTCGACCTGGTTGGGTATATTGCTAGCAATGGGATTCTCAGTCTCCATTACTAACAATCCCTTTCCCCCCTGTAAATTGGGCTAAGTGTATTGGGTTATTTGTAAAAATAAAATACAATAACTAAAATGATTAAGTTTTATTAGGTACAAGCCGACGAAACTAGCGATGAACAAGTAAGTTACGAAGACGATTTCGAAAGCTATGAGTCCGACTTCGATTCCTACCACAGTGAATCTAATTCAACGAGTTCGAACAACGAACAACCAGACAAACACAGTGATTCAGACAATAATACACAAAGTCAGCACGCTGATGATGACGACGATGATATAGATGATAAAAATAATGTAAAAGGTGATCAATTTAAACGTAGAAGTCAGAGTGAAAAGAATAAATCTGGTGAAAGTGGTAAACGTGGAGACTTAGGACACACTGAATCTGAAGATGGCGTCAAAGATTTAAAAGACGATGAAAGAATGCTGGATTCTGGTAAGTCGCATCTTTACTAATGTAAAATAAAAATAAATGTTAAAGTGAGTTAGTGTGTATAAAACAAATGTGTGTACACATGTACACAAACTGGTTGCACGTTAAGGCTACCCAAATATGTATAATATTATCTTAACTTACCGCATTCATTGCAATAAATTTTATTTATTTTAATCCAATCCAGTCTAGTCCAATCCTGTCCAGTCCAGTCCATCCCATTCCATCCCCTTTCATCCCATCCCACCCCACCCCATCCATCCTATGTCATCCCCATTCCTTTCCATCCCATACTATTCCATCTCCTTCTATTCATCCCATCCTATCCATCCCCTTCTATTCATCCCATCCCATTCCATTAATTTAATTTAATTCTATTTCTTTAATTTCATTAATTTTATCTCAATAGAAACTATAACCCTATGTAATGCCCAGAATCTAATGATAAACTTTAAAGACTATAAATTTATTTATTTGGAAAAAAATGTTTTTAAGCAAATTGTTATTGCAGGCAATTTCGATTTACGCGAATCTCAACGCTCCGCGAACCGCGCGAAGCCCGCCGCCATGGATTTCATTCTCGAGGACGGCGAACTGGACGTGAAGACTTCCCTCACAGACGAGGGTTTCCAGGAAATGAGCAGCTCCAGCGCTGTTTCCAGCATGAGGACCTTACACGTTGATGTATTGGATAGGTCAGTGGTAAATGCTATGATAACATAAGTGGTTTCAAACTGTTTTGCTCTTTTAAAGGCAAAGCAATAAACTGAAATGTGACCATTTTATGTTACTATGGCACACACATCAAGGGAAAGAAGGGAGATTGCTAGTTTATATATTTTTTTTGTTTTATCACATTTGAAACCTCTAAATTTATCAATGTTTCTCTACAATATTATGCATGTATTATACATATAAACCTTCCTCTTGAATCACTCTATCTACTAAAAAAAAACACTTCAAAATCCGTTGCGTAGTTTTAAAGATTTAAGCATACATAGGGACGGACAGACAGCGATAGCGACTTTGTCTTATACTATGTAGTGACGATGATAAAGCAAAATAACTAAATCATACAGCCTAAGTTTTTGTACAGTGATTCCTTTTATTTTACAGACCTCTTTTCATAGACTTTACGAAAAGCAAAGAGAACAAACGTAAACGTCGAATATTTGAAAGATTAAAACAGCGCGCCGAAGATATACTTAGTATGGTAACACTGCATGAGATGTCATATTCATTATTTGAAATGCAACCTATAACTTATGATGTGTATATGGCAACATTTGGCAGGTCAAATTATATGCAAACTGCTGTTCAAACATTTGAGGATGGCATCACTGAAGAGGTTCAGACTGAGGAGACCGAATGCGATGTAAAATGGACCCAATGTCCTGTAGATTTTTCCAACCATGATATTTATCTCACACAAGATGTCAAAAATAGAAAATACAGTCAAAATCTTGAGGATTATTTAACGAAATTTACAATTTTAATTAATGAAACATCGATTAGAGACGTTAATGATATGAATGGTATGGATGAAAATTACAAATTGAATCCACTGAGGATTTATTTGGAGCAGAAAGATGGCGTCGGTAACGGAAAAATGTTGCAATACGACAGTTACAATTCTAAATTTAAAAATAATGAATTTAATGTAAATAGATTAAAAAAGTTTATGAAAAAAGCAGAAAGTAGAATCAGTCATGTTTTAACAGCAAACGCTAATAGCGAAGAATTGCCTGACATAGTAAAAACTTCTAAATATCCATTCAGCAAAGGGTTTGTCACATTGACGAACCAAAATGTCACAGACGAAAAAATCTCTTTTATAATAAACACAAAAATTGTAGGCGTTATATATTCGGAAAATAAAAACAACCTTATATTAACTATTCATAAGGCATCAAATACGACGGCAGACAGGTGTACGGTTTGTTTATGGAATTTAAGTGTTGCCAGGCGTGAGCCTGTAAAAATTTTGACAGCAATAGACAATATTGTTGTTGGTAGATTTAGAGGTGGTACGGATGGTGTTTTCGTCGCCGCTTTAGAAGACGGGTGAGTTCCAAATATATAGTAGTTTTTTAATAAACTAGGTTGTTTAAGGGGTAGGCAGAGAGAACCTAGTGCCAACATCGCTATCTATTGAAATCTACATAGTAAGTTTTTATAGTTCATGTAAATCTTTTGCCATAATAATGGTATCATTAATCGGTACTGAAATTTAATGTTGTCGGGGTGGGGGGGACTGTTAGTAATGGGGATCTAAAAGTCCCATTGCTAGAGGATAAGTAGGGGTTGTTAGCAATGGGATGTTAGTCTCCATTGCTAATAATATACCCTTTTCGGTGTAATTCCATGCGATCCCCCCGGAAACCATCATAAATGAATGAATGAGTATACTTTAATTGCATTATACAATATAGGAAATAAGCAAGGCAATTTACAAACACAACGATACAATTGTATAAGTACAGTGAGGCGGTCTTATTTCTGAGAGCAATCTTTTCAAGACAACCTTAAGGTAATGGACTAATTGTTGTACAAGTAGGTATGATAGTGCTGTATATATAAAGAAACATGATGGTTAATTCTTTATGAATCACGATAGACCAACTGACCTGACATCATCTTCACCTATCATATCACTCCGCATTGGTGTCCCGCTAGTGATACAGACAGCGCAGGCGAAGTTAACATTCCATTTTCACCTACTAAAAAAGACATTGTTAATATGTCAAAATAATCCATTAGATGGCAGTAGTTTCGCCACTTATCAATTCTAATTCTTTCAATGCTTAATTAACTGTGGACAATTTATTATATTCATCTTGTAATTCTTGATAATTACTGATTATTATGTGGGTGAAAACTAAACTTCGCATTTTAACATATTTTAAAAAAACTGTTTTCCTGTTCTATGCCATTATCAAAAATATTGTCTATGATTCAAACAAACATTTAAATGAACGTAAAGATTTTATTTAATTTCTATAAATGTATGTTTGTAACAGTGCGTAGCAGATTTATATAAAAAAAAAAAATCATAAAATTCCAGTTCAATCCACCTCTGGGACCTCTCTGAGGAGCCGATGTGGCAAAACAGTATTGCCAGCGATGAAAAAACTACCAATTTAGTAGAAATCAACGCTGGTTCCGCCATGACGCAAATAGAGAAAGACAGAGAATGGAATTTAAAGAATAGTCAAGTAGTTTATAATGGGGTTCGTATTGAATTGCATTGTTTATTTTGTATCGTTACAATAAAATTGAAACAATTTCTAAACCAGGAAGTTCTGAATTTGGCTGTTTTCTATGTCTATACTGATTTTGATAAATCTTTTTACAATCGATAGTCTTTAGTCCTGCATTGGTATCATATTGTTTTATTTTTATTAATGCTTTATTGCCCACATTATTAATATATAAAAATATGACAAAGGAAAGCAAATGTAGAGAATGCGAGTTCAACTTTGCAAGTATTCTCTTCCAACAAACTCAAAGTTTAAATACAATTTTTTAATAATTATGTAATGTATGAAGCTTTTGTTTCATAATTTAAACATAGTTGTATTATATGCAGCTATATACAGCTATGCATACACTCATTTAAACATAGCTGTACGCTGTACTGTACGCAGATATATTGTAATGTTGAGGAAGAGTGAAGTATCTTGTATATCTTTGCGTAATGAAAGATTACTATAAAGTATTAAAAACCATCAGTATTCACATATTATATTTAAATTATATATAAGAATATGAAAAAAGGTCAAAATTGTGTCAGCTAAATGTTACTTAAGTTGACTGTACTTTGACACTTATATTTTTTAAACCAAAACAAAGTGCGCCATTTTTTCAGTGTTGCAAGTGATTAAAGAAAAATTTTCCAAATCAAATACATTTTATTTTATTAAAATTGTGCACTGCTTTTCTGATATAATAGATATACATATTGTATTTATTGCTTATAATTAAATATGCATGCATTAATTTAAAGTAGTGTCCATTTTCAATTATATTGAAACTAAAACATACTTATGCCTATATTCAGATATAAATAATAAAAAAAACAACAGTAAAGATAATTGTTATCTCAAATACATTTGTAAAAATTTTGTATATGATTCATTTTTCAATTTAACTTTACAATATATATTTTTTCTATGGCGTGAATAGGGTTACCAGATTATGCTAATTCAATCCACACATACATGGATAAAACAGTTGATCTGTTTATTTGGTCTTATTATTTATAAAAACTAAAACCTCCTACAAGCCTATTTTAACTTTTACACTGTTTTCTCATTTTTATGAGGAAACAGTGGAAAGGACTTAATGCGATGTAAAAGTTTTTACAGGTGAATACGATACTAAACGTCGGCAACAAAGAAGCAGGTATGTAGGTACTATTTACCTATAAAAGCTTTTACATCGCATTAAGTCACGATTGTGCATTTAAACTCAGAGGCGAAGATGTTATGATTTCACATTTTCAGGGCAGTGTACCGTATGCATTGCAAACATGTGCGTACACAAGCAGCGCCTGCAACTTGCTGGACAACACGGCAGTCGACCGAGTGGTCGGTCTCGAACTAGATTGCAGGCAGACGAGTCGCGACGTGGGAAGTAAATTTATTGGTCAGGTGAGTCTATGGAAAGTCTACTTGAATAAAACCATTCGATAGTGTTTTTTATGGTGATAATGGAATGGCAACCCCACCCATGCTCTCGGTATACATCGGCGGGATCCCAGTGAAAGATGATAGGTGATGATGAAGCAGATCAGTTAACCTATCGTGACGAATTCAACAAGAATTGTTCATGATGGTTTCCAGGGGGAACCACGTGGGAGTCGACCTAATATGGCATATTGCTAGCTATGGGGCTGTTAAACTCCATTGCTAACAATCCCTTTCCCCCCATTCTATAATGTTCTATCATCATCATTAACATTACAATTGTTATCTGTCCACTGCTGAACATAGGTCTCCCCCATAGAATACCATAAGGAACGGGAGCGTTCCTTATGATAGTTTATCATTGGGGGATTAGACAGTAGTTGCCATAGCAGGCGGGTTGGCATTCTCAGTTAGGATTTTGGCTATGTTTTAGGAGAGACGCTGCTGCTCATCCCTCGACTGTTAAGTTCCCTTAGTCGCTTCTTATGACATACGCGGGAAAGGAAGGGGTGAAGCCTATTATACGCCGGGACCACATGATTAATAGTACTATATAGTCTCTTTCGATAGAAGTTAATGAAAATGTAATCAGACAGTCTGCCGATATTCAATAATTAGTGCAAATAAAAAAATGACAAAAATTTGCTATCGGGGACAAAATTATTTTTGCAATACAAAATAATACCGTTTTATATGTAATCTTGGCATAGATTGGGCCGCCCTTTCCTTTCCTATGGCTGTCGTAGGAGATGACTAAGGAAATTTAAAGGTCAAGGCAAAGACAGCAGCTACCCTCTTAGATCATCATCAAAAGTCTAACTGAGATTGCAAATCCGTCTGCCAAGCGTGGCAATTACTGGCAAAACCCTCTTTTAGAAGAGTAACTTTAATTACATCAAGCAATTCATTTAATATAATTTCTTGTGACTCCAATATTGATCTTTTTAACACAAAGGCATTGCTTGAAAAGATTTATGAATACATAATCTTCTAAAAAATGCCTGCAAATTTTTTTGTGTTATTTGAGAAAATTTGTAATTGGTCCTTGACTATCTACTGTATTAAATGTATTCCTCAAATCTAGCTGTAAGTTTTCCTGTTACTGTAATATAAAATATTTTTTTACGTCTGTATGTAATTGTCTATTGTTTACAGGTTTGTGTATTACAACGAATAGGAATATTGACAATATGGTCTATAATACAGGAGAAATTAAAAACTAACTCAGATATAGGCAAGGCGTTCTGGTCGAAGATGAAGTTGCAAAAAAGTCAAACAATATCCCTTGTTGAATACATAAATGTTGGTGAACCATCGATAAACAGTACAAGTTTTAATTTAAATGCAGCTAAGAGACGAGTGTTGTTAAGAAAAAAAGAAAGGACCAGAGACAAAAAGGGTTCCCGCCCAAAATCAGCTGTCAGTTTTGACAGACCAACCAGTGCTGCTAGTATAAAGAAAACAATGTTGCCAATAGAAAATAATTGGGAGAATGGTATAGTCTGTAGCGATTTGAAGATAATGAAGTATAACAATACGGATAATTTTTTAATTGCCAAAAATTGCGGGGAGGTGTTGTGTTGTACGAAGAATGTAGCTGCCGTTAAAGTTAACAGATTAAGTGTTGCCAGTAAGTAAACACTCTCTCTTACCTATCATTAAAAACCTCTTAATTTTTTTATATAATTTCGAATATCAAATACGCTGACGGTCTCTCCTTATCCAATAATTTTACTACTATATTCCACTCTTCAAATCGAATCACAGTCTTACCTACATATTTGCCGCTATGTATAGCGGCAAAAAGAAAAGTGAAACAGAAATACCCGAGCAGTCGACATTTGTATAAAGTCTTAATTACTCATAGTGACTGCACGCAATGCAAGAAAGTTTAGAGATCATGAATGAATGACATAATAATGAATGATAAATTAATTACGAATGAATTACGAATAAATGATGAAAGAATGCTGAATGAATGAATGATAAGTGAGTTATTACTAAACAATGAATAAATGAATGATGAACTGTTGATGAATGACGAAAAAATAATAATGACAATGATCGACTTAAAAATTTAAATATCGAGCAAATATAAACGGAAATGCTATTTGCGGTAAAATGTTTCTCATTTGCGTTGCTCATATTACTTTACGACTAACTCTTAGATGATGGAAAACTTAAATATTATAACGTTCTTATAACGCTCGCCCGCCGCCATGTTGAATTCTAATTTTAAATGTCAATGCTATGTTTACCATAATGGTGCAATAGTCGACAAATGCCTTTTGACTACGCCATCACGGATTATAGTTGTGAATATTATTACTATTATATGTTATTTTAGGTGATGCAACAACGGTCACCTGCCTGGAAGTGTCACAACACGGGCTACCATATTTCTTGGCGGCCACTGATGTGGGAACCGTCAACTTGTGTTCAGTGCTTGATGCGAGAGTTCTACTCACACTTGACACTAGGTATGTTTAATTTTATTTATTTATTTATTTATATACATATTTTTTGTGAGTTTTACAGTTTTTACCAATGCACTCTCTAAAAATTAAAAAATCAAACATTATAATAATACAATATTGTAATAATAATAATAATAAAAATCTAATTATATATATATATATATATATATATATATATATATATATATATATATATATATATATATATATATATATATATATATATATAAATAATAAATGTTAAAAATGCATTTCTGCGTAATTTGTTACCGCCCTGCGAAACTCTGTGGCAGTACAGTGAAATAAGTCCAGATTGGAACTCGCTACTCATTGAGCAGACGTTATATCCATAGTATTGTTGTTGAAGTGAAAATTTGAGTTGCCATGCTTAATAATTAAAAATACATAATTAAAGTTAAATTTTATTGAACTCAATGATTTATTTGATTAATTGTAATGATTCATATGGCTTTCTGAGTTTTTCTCATACAACTTAATATGACAAACAAGCTAACGGCACACCAGATGTAATGCTAATTTAGACCAGCTTAGCACTGCAACTGGCTTCCCTCGAGTCAGCTGACCCCTCGACCCTATCCTAATAGTTTTATTATATTGCTTGTCAAGAGTTAAATATGTAAACCAATAAATGACCATGGAAATTAAAAAATTACTTTATTTTTTACTTATTACTATTTTTTAACTCTTCTATCTCAAGTGTTCAAATTTCTTTTTATCTTTAAATACATATATCAGGAATTATCCCGAAAGAAAAGAGATGGAGAAATATCAGAGCGACTCCAAAGGTCGCTACGTGGGTAGTGTCACAGTGGATCCACATTCAAGCCCCAAAGATGTACAAATCCTTCAAGGGGTAAGTGCCTAAAATAGCTTCTCTGAGCTATTTTTCGAGATAATAAATAAACAAAGGAGTGAATGATGGATGAAAGATGAACGAATGATAAATGAATGATGATGAATGTATAATCAATAAATGATGAATGAATGGCGAGTAAATAACGAATGATGATGGATTGATGCTTGTACGATGAATGGAAATATGAATGCAGAAATGCACGAGATTTTTTACTATGTTTTTAATGCACTTCATAGCTTGAAATTTCCTCGACACTTTAATCCAGTCGTCCATGTTGCACAGAATTTGCAAATAAATGGAAAGTTTTTTTTTTAACTCATTTTTAAATAGTAAATAAATTAAATAGTTTAATATCTCTTTCACACCATAGATATCTGTGAAGTCGGTGTACTGGTCGACGGTCAATCCGTGCTGTGTGTACACTCTGCTGAGAGAAGGGACACTGGTGTCGTGGGACCTGGCACACAGCGACATCTACGCGGCCAGTGTCGCCGAGAGGGCCGCGCTCGCTCTCGCGGCCAGTGCTGACACTTTGGTGAGTGTACGACACCCTACTGTATCTTCAGTAAAATGTCAAGTCACATAATAAACTAAGTAATAATGAAACTTAGAATAAAAAATATAAAGTATTTTTTTTTATACAACTTAGAATGGCAAACAAGCTGACGACCCACCTGATGGAAAGTGGTAACCGTCGCATATAGATATGGGCATAACGGAGTATACTATTTCGCCCATGATACCCCCCATGCGTTGCCATTCCTGAGGACTCCGGTGTTATTCCTCCGTACCCAGTAAATTCACGCCATATCCCACCCTTCAAACCGAAACACAGCCATGCAAACACAACTGCTTCACGGTTGAAACACGAATGGGACAGAGTATTAAAGTACAATATTTTGAAACCATCACAAATATTTTATACAAAGATTAGTAGAAAAAAAAATTAATTGAATCAATATGAAGAAATGCAAAAAATACAAATACGTAAATTTTTGCTATTTTTGCAACTTTAATTCCATTTGAGCACGCACTCACGCACGCATTCACGCACTCAAGCGCGCACGCATGCAAGCATACACGTATCGTGTTTATGTGTGTTCTTGCAAACACACACACACACACACACAGGGGGGGGGGAAAGGATTGTTAGTAATTGAAACTGAGAATCCCATTGCTAGCAATATACCCAACCAGGTCGGCCTTCTCGCGGTTCCCCCTGGAAACTATCATGGTTAATTCCTGATGAATTCATCACGATAGGATAACTGGCCTTTTTTTTTTTTTTTTTTTCTGAATGTGTTTGCTGTTGGCCGTGTGTGGCCTTTACAGCTTCACCGGACGCGAATGCAGGGGCGAGTGCTGATGGCACTCCAAGCCCGCGAGAGGGGAGCGACAGAGGTGTCGACTCTTTCTTATGGACTGCGGTGTGTGTGTGCGCCTAAGGGCGCCAGAGTGGCTCGGCCTCGGCTTAGGCCACCGCACTTCGACCCCCGTCGAGGGACGGCGAAGGGTCGGTACGTCTGGGTGGGTGAGATTGCGACGCGGTTGTTATGCGCTCGGGCGCAAACCTGATCGCGCGCGGACCGTGTGTCGCGAGGGTTCTTCGCCCCCGCCGGCGGGGGCGGTGTGTGCGATGTGTGGGTGTGTTTGTAGGGGCTCTTGTCGAGGGTTCCGCGGTAGGTAGGGAGGGAGACGCGTTTGCCGTCGTAGTTGGATCATCGGGGTCCAAGAGTGCGTGCCTCGGGCGACGACGTTTTGGAGCGACGTTCTCTATGGGGGGTTTGTATTTGACCGCTCTTACTATGAGCGGATTTGAATGGGACTCGGCTGAGGCGAAGTAGCGTCGAGACGCTTGCTTCATGAATTGCCTTATAGTGGGTATTTTGAGGTCGCGGTGTAGATCCACGTTGCGCACGTACCACGGGGCGCCCGTGGCCCGTCGCAGAAATTTATTTTGCACCACCTGAAGGGGGTGAAGTAATGAAGGAAGGGCGTGGGCGAAGACGACACTAGCGTACGTCATCACCGGTCTTATACATGCTTTATAGAGCGTCAGCTTTGCGTTGAGCGACAATTGGCTGCGCTTGTTAATAAAGGGATGGAGGCGTCCCAGTATAAAATTGGCCAGGCCTTGGACGCGCTTAAGATGAGATGCGAAACTCAACTTGGAATCTAGTGTCACGCCTAGGTATTTGGCTTCGTTCGTCCAGGGGACGGGCGTGCCAAACAGCTGAATAGAGGCGGGAAGGGATGGTTTTCTTTTGGCCGTGAAAAGCACGGCGGCGCTTTTATCTGGGTTAACTTCGATGCGCCATTTTCTGAACCAGTAGGCCAGCTCGTCCACCGCCCGTTGAAGCCTGTTGGCTGCACAGGCGGCCGACGTGCTGTCCACATATAGGGCTGTATCATCAGCAAAGAGGGCGATTTGCACTCGGGGCTGACGCGGGATGTCGTTGGTGTACAACGAGAAGAGGGTGGGGGAGAGGACAGCGCCTTGAGGGACGCCGGCTCTAATCGGTCGTGCGCTGGAACGCACTCCATTGACGCGATAGCGATATGACCTATTGGACAAGAAGGCTCGTATGATGTGCACGAGCCTGTCTGGCACTCCCATCTTGAGCAGTTTGAAAATCAAGCCGCTGTGCCAGACTTTGTCAAAGGCCTTCGCTACGTCGAGAAACAGGGCACATGTGACCCCGTTGGATTTCAGGTGTCGGGCGTTGAGGACGTGTTCTACTACACGATGTACTTGATGAACAGCTGAGTGCTTGGCTCTAAAGCCGAACTGCTCATCGATCAGGATGCCTTTGGACTGTAGCCAGTCTTTCAGGCGTGCGAGTATTAGCTTCTCATACAGCTTCCCCAGCGAGCTGAGGAGACTGATGGGGCGAAAACTGGTGGGAAGGGACTTATCTTTCCCAGGTTTGGGAAAGCCTACGACATCGGCTTCTTTCCAAGCATCTGGAAAGATGGCATTGGTAATTGCCGCATTGAAGATCGCTACTAGGAGTAGCAGAATGGTTTCTGGCAGACTCTTAAGGAGTCTGTTAGAGATACCGTCGGCACCGGGTGCCTTTCGGTTGGGAGTTCCTTTGATGAGTGTTCGCACCTCATCCAGTGTAACGGGGGGAGTGACTCTACTGGAGGGATCGACAGGATTCGCTCCACCTCGGATTCTACCTTCTCTAGATGATCATCGGGCACCGGAAGGGTGCTCGGCATGCATTGGGCCTCTAGGCTGTCTGCTAGGCATTCAGCCTTTTCTTCATCAAATATGGCCGGACTGTTGTTTGTTCGGACTAAGGGCGGAAGGTCGGAGTAACACTGGTCTGTTTTGAGGGTTTTGGCTACTCGCCAGTACGCGGTATGGCAGGGGGTGAGTTCTTTGGTGAACTTATCCCATCTGTCTCGCCGAAGTTCCGCTATGCGACTCTTTACTTCGCGCTGTAAAGCTCGCAGGCGGGTTCGGTTCTCTTCTGAGGGATAGCGGTCATACGCTCGTGTGGCTGCATTCTTAGTGCGCAGCAGAGCCCTTACATCATCAGGCAGGTTCCATCTACGGTCGCCCGTATCCGGAACCTCCCTGGAGCAGTCCTTGACTGCCGACTGCAGGTGCTCTGTTAGCGCGTCTATGGCTGTAGTCGTCTCCTCGATAGATTCGACTACGTCCGGGATGCGGTCCAGTACCGGAGAGTTAGTCGACTCGAGGACTTTCTCGAGCCGGCTCCAGTCCGTGACCGTTTTAAATTGAGGCGCCCCGTCTGCAGGTGGGCCTAGCGAGAATGTGACGGGGCGGTGGTCGGAGATGAGTTCGGCATGGACCTCCATAGAACTCAGCCTTAAGGCTACGTTCTTTAGTAGGGCCATGTCGAGGATGGAGGGCTGATGAGCAGTGTTTGCCGGATAGTGCGTGAAGTGCACTGGGGGAAGGATGTCGAAACCCATGGAAAGCGAAAGGCGTTCCAGGGTGAGACCGTTTGGGTTCGGATAAGCACAGCTCCAAAGGCTGTGCTTGCAATTTAGATCTCCGGCAATAATTACCGAATCCCCCAGGTCCATGAGAGCTTGGAGGTCGGCCCGGAGTAGCTTTTTGGAGGGAGAGAGATAGGCCGATGCTATATAGATCGGTCGATGGTCTGTCATCGCGAGGAGGCATATCGAGGCTTCCATGTTTACGAGCGGAGGCGTGTCGATCGGAATGCACTGAAGGGACCTTCGGTAATAAATTAACGTACCGCCGCCGCGACTGATGCGGTCATTGCGTACGATATTGTAGTTTGCGATTCTTGGACCGCGTGTTGAAGGCTTGAGGAAGGTCTCCTGTAGTAGGAGAACGTCCACCTGATGGGCGGTGAGAAACTCACGGACTTCGTCTCTTTGCCCTTGTAGTCCGTTAGCGTTGAAAAACGCTAACTTAACGGACCGAGGTTTGCATCTTTTCGCCCTTAGATCCATAATTAGTTGTTAAAATTGAGGATGGCGACTAGTACGCCGATGTGCTCGCAGACGGCTGCGAGTCTTTCTTGTGGGTCGTTGACTGACCTTAATTTGGAGGCCAGGGCCGTAATCTCGCCAGCGTCGATGGAGCTGGCGAGTTTCGCTACCAGTGCGAAGTCGGCTGCGAAGCTTGAGCCTACGTTCGTTCCAGTTTGTGGGGCGGGGCGCGGAGGAGCGGGCGATGCCACAATCTTGGCAAGCGTGGGAGCGGTTGCAGATGGCATGGTGGGTGAGGGGGTCGCCTTGACGACCGGAGGTCGCACCCAAGCATTTTTTGGCGGGGGAGGTGGTGCAGCTGAAGGCTGCGGGATAGTAGGGGGCGCGGGGCGTGCTGCGCGGGGTGCCTGAGCCTTTGTGGCTTTTGCGGAGGCCTTGTTTTGGCCGGGACGGGGAGCGCGGGGACATCCGCGGTAGTTAGCTGTGTGGCCCTGTGTGCCACAGAGTACACAGCTAGGTGGGGTCGGGGTGCCACTCACGCGAGTGCATTGCTTGGTGCCGTGGTCTCCCAGGCACTTGACGCAACGTTCGCGCGCGTAGCAGTTTCGGGCGGAGTGCCCATAATTTTGGCAGCGGTGGCACTGCCCGGGGTAGGTCCGCTTATTTGGCGGTTCTACTGATAGGCCTGAGATCAGGCAGACACTTCGGATGTTGAAGATAGATTTCCCCTCTGGGGAGAGATCTAGTACCACTAGTACCATGTCTAGTGGCGTTTTGGCCCTGCTGCGGTACATCCTGTGTACCTCGTGGACGGGGTAGTTTTGAGAGCGGATGTCTGCGAGGATGTCCTGGCAGTCCAGCTCCTTAGGGACGCCGCGTATTACTACGCGCAGACGTTTCTCCTCCTCGAGGGCATAAGTGTGGTAGCCCACACTGTTTGTCCTGAGGAAGGAAGTTAACTGGCGATGATCCGCCGATGTGGGAACCACTACTCTGATTCCTAGTGAGGTTACCCTTGCATGGGTAAAGGATATGCGCTTTTCCTTCAGCGCAGCTGACACCCTGTTCCAGGCTGTCTTGTCCTGGATGATTATAGGCGGAGGAGGCCTAACTTTCCCCGCGTGATCGCGGTCGGTTTTATCGGCGTTAGCCGGAACGGGTGCGCCATCGTTGGCACGTTGGGTTTTAGGCGGGGGAAGATCGCGCGCCCGCTTCGCGCGTTTGGTGCGCTTGGCACCCACAATTTGAAATTCCTCTTCCGAGGAGGAGGCAGTGTCGGAGGAGTCGCCTGTTTCGGCGACGGCGTTGGGAGCGTCTAGCTCCATTTCCGTTTCAGAGGAGGGGCGGTTGGGAGCAACCTCCTGAGGGGACATCGGCTCCGGGGTACTCACTAGCTGGTCCCCGGGAGAAGGTGGGTTAGAGGACAGCTCGTCGATGGCCTCCTGAAGGGAGGCCGCCGGCGAGGCAGGGGCGTCGTCATGTATCACATGTGCGCCCCTGCGCTCATCGAAAAATGCCTTTAAGAGGCCAGGACATTTGGCCTTTAAAAAGGCCACGAATTGTGGAATGTCATCCTGGGACAGCGACATGTTGTCCCAGGAAACACTCCTCTTATAAATTAGCAATGCACCCGACTCTTAAGTCGGGTGCCAATACCTAAAAATAATTAAATTTATAATACGGACAATGCGCTACTATAAAAGTGGACACAAAAAATAAGCCGCTACAAGCCGCGTATATAAGGGCCTGCTGGGACCTGTCCAGGTATGAGTCGCCCTTTATACAAGGATTAGTCACCGGCCGGGCGACGGTTACCCGGCCGCTTTGTGTACAGTTAACCGCCCCGCCGAGTACGGCGGGGGGGTGTGTGCCTATTGTTAATGTAACAATGGAATGTAGTCACCGAAGTGACTTGTGTACCTGTTGCCGATACTTGGCCGGGGTGTCGAAGGCGGCGCGGGTCGCCCGGGAGGAGAGTGCTGGTCTCTGGCACCGGCTCCGGAGTTGGTGCGCTGCGCTTATGGCGCAGTACACCACCCTAACACTTGTTAGTCCGATGCACTAGAGTTCACAACACTACACGATTGTCACTTGTAACTGTTCACATGCACTCACTGCACTCGCGACGCGACGAGGTGGCAGCGCGTGCCGTGTACGCGAACGGACGGCCGTTAAAAAGCGCGCGAAACTAAGGCGACGAACGAGAACCTCGTGCCCAAGTTGTTCTCTACTTTTCTTCGTGTCCGACGTGTTTGCGTATCCGCTGACTCCGTGCAACAAGGCAGCGCTACACAACGGAGTATTGATGCCAGTAGTGACGCGTGCGTCACCAAAGGCTATCGAATGAGCAATGTTCTGAATGATAACTGGCCTGTTTTCATTCTCATCTATCACCTTTCACTGGTGCTCCGCCAGCGTATCCCGTTAGCGCAGGCGGGGTTACAATACCATTTTCACCCATCAAAAAAAAAAAACAAACACACACACACACACACACACACAGAGAGAGAAAGAGAGAGAGAGAGAGAGAGAGAGAGAGAGAGAGAGAGAGAGAGAGAAAGAGAGAGAGAAAGAGAGAGAGACACACACATACACACACACACACACACATACATACACACAGATTGGATTTACAATAAATAAATATTTAAAGTCATTGTATGCATAATTTGTTACTATATTGCTAATAATAGACCCTACCATTGTTTGTATCTATAATTAAGTTTACTATTGTAATCTTTTGGAGGAAACAATAAAGCGTATCTGTCTATCTATCTACCACTAATTCCTCTAATTTCTGTCTGTACTTATCCATTCTTTATGCCAGGTTTAAGTTCTGTAAGAGATTGCTTTTAGCGATAAGGCCGCCTCTTGTATATGCACATTCTGTATAAATACTCCTTGTAGGGGGGGAAAGGGATTGTTAGTAATGAGGTCTAATAGCCCCATTACTGGCAATATACCCTCTCAGGTTGACCTCCACGCGGTTCCCTCAGGAAATCATCATGTTTAATTCTTGTCGAATTCATCACGGTGGGCCAACTGACCTGCATTCATTCTCACCTATCATCTTCCACTGGTGCCTCGTCGGTGTATACCGATAGCGCGGGCGGGGTTACCAATCCATTTTCACCAATTAAAAAAAAATACTCCTTGTATACATCCCTACTGTGCGCAATAAAGAGTTTATTATTATATTATTAATATTAATTTATTTTATTTTAATCTTTCAGGCATTACTTACGCCAGAAGGGGAAGTCCAAATCCACAGGTTGGTTGGTGACCGCAGCGCAGACAAATACCTCCAACTTTTCATGAAATATATTACACTTTTATAGTGGATTGAAATTGTATAAATAAATGTTTTTTTTTTGTGTTTTTTGTGTTTCTTTCTAATCCTAATAATTTTTTTTTAATGGTTGATAATGGAATGGTTACCCCGCCTGCGCCAACGGTATACACTGACAGAGCATCTATAAGGGATGATAGGTGTGCATGATAAAGCAAGCCAGTTTAATTTAATTAGTCTAATTTATCGTTAAATTTGTCACGACGGGCTACATCGTGACAAATTTAACGATAAATTAGTCATGATGGTTTCCAGGGGCAATCGCGTGGAGGTCGGCCTGATAGGGTATATTGATAGCAATGGGGACTAACTTCCCCATTAATAACAATCCCTTCCTCATTATATATTTAATTGTGTATATATTATATATGTATGTGTGTGTATGTATGTATTTTTTGTATTTACTGTATTTGTTATTTCTCTTTTTACTTGGTGCAATAAAGTGTAAATAATTAAATAAATAAAATACACTCCCTAAGCAGGCGTGGGATAAAATAAAACATATTATATGATAAAAAAATCAATATATTTATCAAAATACAATCTCATTAATTTCTCTTTATTTTCTGTTTGTTCTTCCCACAACACAGTGAGAGCAGCGCCCGCGCGAGCCTGTACACGAGGTAGAGGGCGACCAGCAGCAGCGCGGCCTGGTCCAGCATCCAGCGCGCGTACCACGCGTACTGCCGCGATGGAGACCGCAGGTGGTGCGCGCCTGCAATACGGGCGGCACAGTGTATACAGTGATGTCCACTATGCTTTATTGATAGATGATAATGGAATGGTAATCACGTCTATCTATCGGCGTGTGGTCCCGATATAGAATGAGCCGTCTCCTCTGTACCCGTAGGTGTCGTAAGAGGCTTTCAATTGTAGCAAACCCAGTTATTTTAATTTAGAAAGTAAACCGATTTTTAAATATTATTTATAATTTTCATTTTTAATTTTGATAAAATTCCTATGAAACCAATTTACTTGTATAAATATATGTATCTAGATAACAAAAGATTTTTCCAAGTCAATGTATAATTGATAGAGTTATGAGGTAACAAACATAAAAAAAAACCGAATTGAGTACCTCCTTCTTTTTGAAGTCGGTTAAAACACTTTTGCATCGGGAATGTTTAGTTACACTATCAATATCATTCACATATGCTCCCCCTGGAAACTATCATGGTTAATTCCTGTTGAATTAATCACGACCGGCTAACTGGCCTGTTTTCATTCTCATCTATCACCCTTCACTGGTGCTCCGCCAGCGTATCCCGTTAGCGCAGGCGGGGTTACCATACCATTTTCACCCAGCAAAAAAAAACATCTTTTATTGATACCCCGCCAGCATACTAATAAGTGATGAGTGATTACTATCAGGAGGATCATCAGCTTATATACCATTTCAAGTTATAAAAATGACAAGCTTCAGTGTTGCCAGCGCTACTCACTGTTACCTTTCATTCATATGATTAGGTTACCATGTACGAAGTAGCATACGTTCACATCGTCTGTTTAATCCCAGTCACCGCCCTCACCTTTGGTTTCGATGGCGAGCTCGACGTAGTGTGAGATTAGCTTGCTGGGTGGCACCGGCCTGTTGCGGAACAGGCGCGACAGGTACTTCGCGCGCTTGTAGTACCTGCAAACGGCAACAATACGCTCTAAAGAACTCTTCCCTGGCCCTTTACAGTGACATAAAACTCATAATTGGTCACAGAATTAAGAACATTTGTAATGAAATATGACAATTATCTGTCAATTTTTAAAGCAGTTGTACATTTTTATTGATTTATTTAGTTTACTGTATTGACCAAAATAAAATATGGGGCAAAAGGCGGAGTCAAATCTAGTAGCGTTTTCTACCATACAAACAAATTTTTTGCGCTTACATTGCAAACGCTGGCTGAACCCGACGAGATAGATCAAAATAATGTACTACAGTATTGTACACCTTAAGAAGGTCTACAAAAAAGTCCGCGATGGTACATGTCTATCTCTTAAGGATAACCCACAATAAACATTTTTTATCCTTTACTTTTAATGAGAAATAAAAGTTTATTTACGAAGTGATTTTAAACAATACAATATTTATCCTTATCCAATTAAGTAGCTTTAATATATTGTACATTTAATATAGATCAATATGGCCCTTTACAGCATGTAGTTTAAATGAATATTTTCGACGATATTACAAATTTAAAATGCAGGGGCATAGCGGTTGCGGCGGTACCGGCCGGAGGGCCGGGCGGGTCGCTAGTAGACTATATATTCAGATTCTATTTTTAATGTAACCTAACTATCTCACCTGTCATTATTCAGCATCTCCTTCAGTTCTACCCTCAGCTGGTCAGCAACATCGTCCCCATACTTGATTTTCCGTGCGTATCCGTTTCGGATCGCTCTCTCCGCGTTACCGGGCTGATCTCCAAACATTGGGATAGCTAATAGTGGTATCCCATATTGGAGTGATTCCAAGGTGCTGAGGAGACCTCCGTGTGTGATGAACAGCTTTACGTTAGAATGGGCTGAATAGGAAATGTATACTTTAAGTTTTGACACCTCTGTTTACTAGAATTCTCAGTCAGAATACGTGTGTGAATTTGAAGAAAATTACTTCTTTTTTATGCAACTTAGTAGACATGGACAATATGAATACTGATCCGATATCTATATAGTGGGTTCCTCTGGACAGTGATGGCGGAAAAAGGTCATCATCCATTTTGATATTGACCATACCTGTCGGATATCTATTTTCGAATATGTTAAAAGTCTGGTTACCTAATATTATTTTTTGGATAACAAACTTTTAAAATATTCGTATATAGATATTGTAATTAAAATATATAGATATTGCTATATATTGCTCACTCCAACAACTTAGAATATCAGCCAAGCTGACCTGATAAACTCCTGATAAAAGTGGTAATCTCTGTTCTATAGACATGAACAGCAGGCAATCATGCATACCACAGAATCTTCAATAATGTTATATTTCATGTGTTACCATTTCTCCCATCTGATACCCCATGCACAACCAAAGTATAAAACCAACTCCCAGCAGCAGTATTTCGGAACATTTACGATATTGAAACCTCAAAAAAAAAGACAATATTCTTTTCTCAAACTTGCTTGGAAATGTGAGCATTATTTTGACAATTTTCTTCGAGATAAATCAAAATTGCCGTACTGGCCAGATACATGCGGGCAGCGGCCGGCAAAAGTTGTATAAAAACCCATATCTGTCGTGTTTTGCGGCCAGATAAATTATTATGTAAACTCATATCTGTCCTATAATTTAAAAATGAAATGACCTTTTACTTCAAAAAATGGCTACCAAGGAGGTAACTAATAAGAGGTTTTATTTAAATTTCGAACTGGCTTGCAAATAGAAAGCTGTTTATTGAAAAAAAAAAACAAAGGAACATTATGGCGCCTAAAAAATTATTATTGTTCGTCATTGAACTTAAAAAGTAAAATTGTGTTTTTAATTTCCGCGCATTGTTTGAGAAAAGTATTATACAAGCCTTGGCCACAACTAGGCATTGATGGACTCACGTAAGTGTGCCTCGGATACCTCTCTGTCCACATTTGCAAGTTCGTCCATCAATGCCTCAGTTGCTGGCCGCTGCAGTAATGTACTATTCCTAAAAGGCCGGTAATACGCCAGAAAATTTTCCGTTATTGCGAGTGACTATGGGCCGCTGTCTATAGTAATCACTTACCACCAGGTGAGCTGCATGCTCGTTTACCTTCTATGTTATGAAAGAAAAGGTGTCCATCGCCTATAAACACGAACAGTATCACGGATTCCACAGAATTCTCATGGTATCCTTTATGCATTGTTTTTTCTCACGACTCATACGTACGTCTCCGGACCATGTAATTTTTTAAATTGATATTTAAAAAATCATTATATCAGCCTTTAACTGTCCACATACGCCTTTCTCTTAGGGGATTTGCCAGTGGTTGTTACACTTGGCAGGCGGATTGGTAACCGCATTCAGGCTTTAGAGGTGTTCTAAGAGGGATGTTGCTGGCCATCTCTCGCCCACCTTAGTCGTCCTAAGGCACCCACGGGAAAGGAAGGGGTGGCCTACTCTATATCGGGACCACATGCCTAATTAAAAAAATATATATCGAACAAATTACGTCGCATGTAAACCAAGACCTTAATACTTTCAAACATTTTAGTAATCAGGAATGGTAATGCAAGAGAGCTATTGTGCAGGTAATGGTGATGTTCATGTCTATTTCTGAAGGGTAAATACCACACTCCATTATGAGGGCTGTTAACAATAACCATTCCATCCAGGAAGTGGTATATTTATGAACAACCATGCAAGAACACATGCTTGATGGTAGAATCAATAATTGAATTTAATTCACTTTATTGACCAAAAGAAAATAAGGCACAAAAGGCGTACTTAATGCTAGTAACATTTTCTACCAGTCAATCTTTGGGATCAACAGTGAATCACGAACGCGGTACTACATTATAGTATTTTTTAATGCAACTTAGAATGGCAAACAAGCTGACGGCCCACCTGATGAAAAGTGGTAACCGTTGCCTATAGACATAAGCAGTACTATGAACATAACATAGTATACTGTTTCGCCCATGATACCCCCCATGCGTTGCCATTCCTGAGGACTCAGGTGTTATTCCTCTGTACCCTGTAAATTCATTGCCATATCCTGCCCTTCAGTACTTCATTATTGAATGTGACTTACATTAATTTCAAAGGCTCTCTGGTATATTCTGTTCCAAAGGTAAGGCTATTTTAGTTATAGACAACGGTTTCTACATTCCACCAGGTGCAACGTCAGCTTATTTGCCATTTCAAATTCCTCCAGTGAATGATGTCCTAGCAAAACCAACTCACCCAAGATACTGGGCTGTGGCATCCACGGCCGTACGTGCACATTCTTCGGTAGGCCGGAGATCTCCTCCTCGAACTTCCACAGGACCGTGTACGGCAGCTCTCCCAGCACTTGTATCAACCCGCGGCGGATGTGCTCGGGAAGGGCGGCCGACTTCAGCACCGACCCCATGCTGAAGTACACCACGCCGTGTTTCGACGAGTCCAATAAATCTTGCAGATCCTGGGAATTGTATTTCGTAATCATGAGGCTTGTTTTGAGAGGAGAGTCAAGTATCGCCGTAATCGGATTGAATGTAAGAATAAAGAAGAGTTAAGAAGAAGAGTAAGCAACAAAATATATGAAAGTATGTAGCATACTTATAAAATTATATATTTTATTTATTTTGTAAAAACACGCAGACAAGCGTAAATATTTTATATATATATGTAATACGGTCGGTCGCGCACGCAGCTTGTTTGATGTACCTATGCGCGCGCAGGACGCGCAGGCGCTCGGCGACTACGGGTTGCGCGCGCAGGCCGCGCATGCGTATATGCAAAAAAAGAATGTTGTTGTTGGCGCCACGGCACACATATCGTCTTAATATTATACCTTTTTTATATTTTCTATTGTTCTCCTTCTTTACTATTATTATATTACTATTATTACTGTATTAATAAACGTTTACATTATACATTCTACAAATATTATTCTCTCTTAACATCATTCGCTTCACTGGTGACCTCAAACTGTTCACGAATATCAAGATGAGCGTGGAGCCAGGCGCACAGAACATGGAATCCTGCCGTGTGGGAGTCAGGGTACCTCCATTCTACCCTGAAAAACCTGCTTTGTGGTTTGCACAATTAGAGGGGCAATTTCAACTAGCCACCATTACTGCAGACTCCACGAAGTTTTACTACGCTATAAGCCAATTGGAACCACAATATGCAGCGGAAGTAGAAGATGTCATCACAAACCCACCGACGGCTAACAAATACGACAGACTTAAAACTGAACTTATTAAACGATTGTCAGCATCGAGAGAGAAGAAGGTTAAACAACTCCTCATTCATGAAGAGCTTGGTGATCGCAAACCTTCTCAGTTCGTCAGACATCTCCAGAATCTTGCTGGGCCTGGGGTGCCGGAAGAGTTTTTACGTACTATATGGACCAGTCGTCTACCAGCAAGTACACAGACAATTATTGCATCACAACCGAAAGCCTCACTAAAAGAACTAGCCGAGTTGGCAGACAGGGTACATGACGTTGTACCTCCAATTCTGCAAGTAGCATCCACATCGGCAGCAACATCTGGTATCTGGTAATCACCTAAACCAGCAAATAGAAGAGCTTACAAAACAAGTCTCCGCTCTCACTACAAGGTTAGACAGAATATCTCGTAATAACGAACGTCAACCATTTAACCGATTGCGAAAAAGATCACAATCTCGATCAAGATCAGCTTCAAACCATAAGAAGTACCCCAATTGCTGGTACCATGCCAAATTCGGTGATCAAGCTAGAAAATGCATTCAACCCTGCGATTTTTTGGCGGGAAACGCAACGGGCAATCGGTAATGGCGGCCAACGATTGCACTACAAATGGTCGCCTATTTGTGACAGATAAGAAAACGAAGACGCAATTTCTAGTGGACACGGGTAGTGACCTCTGTGTTTTCCCTCGTACTTATCTAAAAGAACGTCGACCAAAATCAGATTATCAATTATGTGCAGCAAACGGCACTACAATTGCAACATATGGTTATGTACATTTAGTATTAAACCTAGGCTTGCGTCGTGACTTCGCTTGGGGATTTGTTGTTGCGGACGTAACAAGGGCGATAATCGGTGTCGATTTTTTATCATATTTTAATATTGTTGTTGATTGCAGGAACCAACGCTTGATTGATAACAATACAACCCTCGCGACCCCGGCTTCGCCTGCTCAGTCTTGTGATATCATTTCTTCGGTAAAAAGTATCATGGATGAGTCTATATATCACAGTATACTTAGGGAATATACTGACATTACTCGTCCACATGGTACACACCGCATCCCCACTCACAACACTGTACACCACATACGTACAACTCCTGGCCCGCCAGTTTCATCAACACCACGCAGGCTAGCTCCTGACAAATTAAAAATAGCTAAACAGGAATTTGCTGAAATGCTTAAGAATGGTATATGTACACCTTCCGAGTCGTCCTGGTCCTCACCACTCCATCTTGTACCTAAAAAAGATAATGGCTGGCGTCCATGTGGCGACTATAGAATGTTAAACGCACGAACAATACCTGACAAATATCCTATACGTCATATCCAGGACTTTGCCCATAATCTCTCAGGCTGCAAAGTGTTCTCTACCATTGATTTCCCTGTAAGCGCCGGGGATATCAAGAAAACCGCGATCACGACGCCGTTCGGTCTTTATGAATTTCCGTTCATGACGTTCGGACTTCGTAATGCCGGACAAACGTTTCAACGTTTCGTGGACGAGATGCTGAGAGGCCTTGATTTTACATTCGCTTATTTGGACGACTTCCTAGTCTTCTCGAAAGATGAAGAGGAGCACAAGCACCATCTAAGACGGCTGTTTACTAGACTACGCGAATACGGTATGGTAATTAACACCTCGAAATGCGTGTTTGGTGCTACCGAGGTAAAGTTTTTAGGATACCTCATATCTGCTGATGGTACTAAGCCGCTTCCCTCCAAGGTCGAAGCTATACAGAACTTTCCGGTGCCAAAAACAATACGGGAACTAAGGAGATTCTTGGGTATGCTTAATTTTTATAGGAGATTCGTTCCTGATGCTGCCCAATACCAAAACCCCTTAAATTCTTTATTAGTAGGCTCGGTAAAAGGCTCTCATCCTGTCACATTGTCTCCAAAGGAACTCGAAGCATTCACGGCCTGCAAGAAGGGACTGTGTAAAGCAGCTCTGTTAGCACACCCAGACTGTCAGGCTAAGTTAGCAATCGTTACAGACGCATTTGACACAGCAATAGGTGCAGTGCTACAGCAGTACAAAGAAAATGAAGGATGGCAACCTCTGGCATTCTTTTCTAAAAAATTAAATTCAACCCAACGAAAATATTCTCCATATGATCGGGAATTGTTGGCAATATACGAAACAATCAAATATTTCAGACACATGGTAGAAGCACGAAACTTTATTATTTATACAGACCATAAACCCTTATGTTTCGCTTTTCACTCAAGAAAGGAAAATTGCTCTCCAAGACAGTTCAGACACTTAGACTTCATTTCGCAGTTTTCAACAGATATCAGGTACATTTCAGGTAAGAATAACGTAGTAGCTGATACCCTTTCACGAGTAGAAGAAATAGTTCAACCAGTGGACTTAGAGCTGTTAGCGAAAGCACAACAATCCGATCCAGAACTACAGCTGCTACTGAACAGCAACACATCACTACATCTAAAAAAGATTAAACTGCCAGGTACACTGTCTGAACTGTATTGCGATGAGAAAAACAATGCTGTGAGACCATATGTTCCAATGGAGTATCGCCGGCGAATATTCGAAACTCTTCATTCGCTTAGTCATCCAGGAGTAAATGCTACCTCCAAACTGGTGGCAGAGAAGTACGTCTGGCCAGGGATGAAAAAAGACTGTCGAGAATTCACAAGGACTTGTTTGGCTTGTCAAAGATCAAAAGTCACTCGTCATGTCTCTTCACCTCTGGGCACATTCAAGCTTCCGAAATCGAGATTCAGTAATATTCACATCGATCTTATTGGACCTCTGCCACTGTCACAAGGATATCGATACTGCCTTACAGCCATCGACAGATTCACTCGCTGGCCTGAGGCAATACCACTCCAGGAAATCACAGCTGAAGCAGTGGCCAAGGCTCTACTAAATGGATGGATTTCTCGATTTGGCTGTCCTCATACTATTGTCACCGACAGAGGTGCACAGTTTGAGTCATGCCTGTTCAAAAAATTATCTGAACTCATCGGTTTCCAACATAGAAGAACGACCGCCTATCACCCTTCATGCAACGGCCTTATAGAAAGGTTTCATAGACAATTAAAGGCAGCAATTACTTGTCATGCCAATTCTAATTGGGTGGAATCTCTCCCTTTGGTACTGCTTGGGATTAGGAATGCATACAAGGAGGATCTTCATGCTTCATCAGCCGAACTTACATACGGAGAAACACTTAGGCTACCAGGAGATTTCTTTCAATACGAGGAAAGTACCATCCCAGATGTAACTGATTATTTGTCACGAATACGTTCATTCGCTAAAAGGTTACAGCCCACAGCCACATCGTGTCATGGCAAAAGATCTGTTTTTGTATATAAAGACCTCAAAACAGCCACACACGTATTTCTTCGGGACGATACTTGTCGCAGACCTCTAACACCTGCTTACACTGGGCCACACGAAGTACTAGAAAGAACAGACAAAGTCTTCAAAATACTTTTACGTAATAACCCTGTCACAGTATCTATAAACCGAATAAAGCCAGCTTACATATTGCATGACATTAACACATACACGAGTACAACCACACCAGACACACACACATCTAGTAATCAATCATCAAGCAATCACACACAAAACAATCATAACACAACACACAATACAAACACTTCTTCCACAAATTCGCCACAACACACTACGCCTAACAAAACTGGAAGAAATGATATCCGCAAGACGAGATCAGGTCGTACTGTTCACTTCCCTAAATATTATCGCCCGTGAGACGGTCTCTGGAGGGGGTGATGTAGCATACTTATAAAATTATATATTTTATTTATTTTGTAAAAACACGCAGACAAGCGTAAATATTTTATATATATATGTAATACGGTCGGTCGCGCACGCAGCTTGTTTGATGTACCTATGCGCGCGCAGGACGCGCAGGCGCTCGGCGACTACGGGTTGCGCGCGCAGGCCGCGCATGCGTATATGCAAAAAAAGAATGTTGTTGTTGGCGCCACGGCACACATATCGTCTTAATATTATACCTTTTTTATATTTTCTATTGTTCTCCTTCTTTACTATTATATTACTATTATTACTGTATTAATAAACGTTTACATTATACATTCTACAAATATTATTCTCTCTTAACATCATCCGCTTTAAGTATATGGAGCAAGAGATGTGCGAGATGTGATAAACGGAGGGAGACTTTGTACAAAAGTCGATTGCTTGGGTACCCCTGTCTCATTCGTGTTTCAACCGTGAAGCAGTTGTGTGTGCATGGCTATGTTTCGGTTTAAAGGGTGGGATATGGCGTAAATTTATAGGGTACAGAGGAATAACACCTGAGTCCTCAGGAACGCATGGGAGGTATCATGGGCGAAACGGTATACTCTGTTATGTCCATAGTACTGCTCATGTCTGTAGGCGACGGTTACCACTTTCCATCAGGTGGGCCGTCAGCTTGTTTGCCATTCTAAGTTGTATAAAAAAAAGACGCCTGTAGCACTGGATTCTTTATACCTACCCTATAAGGGACTTAGCGTGAAGAAACATTGTGCATGCAACTAACATTTACTCCTAATTTCTCATTGTCTCAATGGGAAAAGGGATTACGGAGATTAGTGTCTAGCAACACACCAGTTCAGTAGATCTTGCAGGTCCTGAAAGAGTAATTTTAAGTTGTATAAAAAAAAAAAAAAAAAAATTCCGGATTTTATATATCATCATCATTATTGCAGCTGTTACGTGTCCACTGCTGGACAAAAAGTTAAAAAACTTGTAAAAACTCAACAGTCTCTTACTTTCGGCAGAGGGGGAATATCCTCAGGTATATGGTAGCCAGCGACGTTTATCACATTGGGTGGGACCGGCTGCGCAGGCGCAAACGACGGATGCGAGTTCACCAACAGAATTGACACGTTATTGGTTGCTTCCGATAGTGGTGGTAGCGGCACTCCACGGGCGGCTGCCAGAGACGAGAAGTAGGCGTTGTATCTCTCACATGTCGATAAATATTCAAGCCTGAAAAGAATAAGTTTATTTTGCAAGAATAAATTGGAAATTCCTTCTCATTTCGAGTTGCGCAACTGAGGAACAGGCTACCTGCTGACATACAGGATAGTCCTTCCATTACTTCCTTCAAGAAAAGATTGATATCTCACCTTTTAACTAATAATACATGATAATATTATGCACTTTTATATATGTATATATATACTTATCCCTAAAAGAGATCTCTTCCAGCCAGCACAGTGTAGCTAGTGCAGGAAAGGTAAGGTAAAAATAATGTAGTGTATATATATATATATATATATATATATATATATATATATATATATATATATATATATATATATATATATATATATATACACTACACTGGGTTGGCTGGAAGAGATCCCTTTTAAAGATAAGCCCACCCTTGCTAACAAGTTGTTCAACTAATCGCTACATGTATTGTTCAAACGCAATAAAGAATATATTATAATTCACCAATTATAATCATTAATACTATCTACATATTACACGTTCAAATCATTCGTCTAATTTTACATCGACTCTTGTTAACAGATACAATTCGACTTGGACTAAAGAGAGCTGACATCCGCAACGCTATCTGTCAACAGTCAGACAGTTGATCGACCGCAGAGCAAGTTCCAGTTGGTCCCAGTGACAGAAGTTTTGAATGAGATTGACTATTTGAACAAATTACAAATATGCTAAACAGTACTTTTTTAATGGATGATAATGGAATGGTAACCCCACCTGCGCTATCGGTATACACCGGCGGGGCACCAGTGAAGAATGATAGGTGAGGATGAAGCAGGTCAGTTAGCCCACCGTGACGAATCTAACAATAAATCAATCACGATGATTTCCGGGGGGAACCACGAGGAGGTCGGCCTGACAGGGTATATTGCTAGCAATGGGGCTATTAATCCTCATTACTGAAGTGAAGCAGTTGTGTTTGCATGGTTGTGTTTCGGTTTGAAGACTAAGATAAGTAGTGAAATTACAGGGTAAGGCATAACACCACAATCCCGGGGGGAAGGGATTGTTAGTAATGTTAGGTTACAGGGTATTGTCCAGCCTGTCTATCTCGCTCTAACATATATTTTATTATATTTTCTCTCTTTTACGTTATCAATCTATATACTTTATAACCTAAGCACACTTAGGGTACAGTGGAATAACACCTAAGTCCTCAGGAATGGCAACGCATGGGAGGTAACATGGGTGAAACAGCATACTCTGTTATGTCCATGGTACTGCTCATGTTTATAGGCGACGGTTACCACTTCCCAATCAGGTGGACCGTCAGCTTGTTTGCCATTCTAAGTTGTATAAAAAAAATTATTACCAACCAGTCGGTGATGGTGATCATGCAATGAAAGAAGGTGTTGACGAGCCTCTGCCACAAATTCATTGGTATAGGAGCGCTGTTCATCAAGAAGGGCACGGTTGGCACTGAGCGCACTTCGTCCACAAGCCGCTCGAGGAAGGAATTGTATACTGTGCCTCCTAGCAGTATCCATGGAGCTTGTTGCACGGCCGCGTAGCTGGAAAGAAGAAAAATAATATGAAATAATATTTATTGTAAAGAGGTTAAATTTGTGAGTTGGAATGTTCGGGGTAATCTCCGGAACTACTGATCCGGTTTTAAAAATACTCTCACTGTCAGAAAGGTATATTATTCCTGACTGCTATAGAATACCTTTTATTTTGGTAAATATATATTTTCAATAATTAATCACAATAAATGTAATTGAAGTCGACAACATTTTTTTAATATGGTGCATTTGAAGTGAGTAAAATGAGTTAGCAAAGATCGGGTTACGTGAGATTTTTATTTTTTTACTCGTTCTTTTTTTTTAGTATGAAACAAACAAGTATTTTTTTTTATACAACTTAGAATGGCAAACAAGCTGACAGCCCCTGATGGAAAGTGGTAACCGTCGCCTATAGACATGAGCAGTACCGTGCACATAACATAGTATACTGTTTCGCCCATGATACCCCCCATGCGTTGCCATTCCTGAGGACTCAGGTGTTATTCCACTGTACCTTGTAAATTCACGCCATATCCCTCCCTTCAAACTGAAACACAGCCATGTAAACACAACTACTTTACGGTTGAAACAAATGGGACAGAGGTACCCAAGCAATCGACTTTTGTACAAAGTCTCTCTCTGATTCTTACAATCCTGATTAAATGCGCGAACTTTTAACGACAAGACACTTTAGTACATTTTTTTAAAGGAGGACCTTTCAAAGTAGACAAATTTAGAAAATTTTGAATTCACAGTTTAACAAATAGTCTTAATTCTAGAAAACTTAGGGCAATTATAATGACACAATTGCCCCAAGTTTTCTAGAATCTTAAAAATAATGACACTTTTGACTGTGGTTCTAGAAACGTTATTTAGCGTTATGGTTCCAAAGTTTAAATGAAAAATGGTTACAGTTTGACCAAATTTATAGGTTTTTCTCAAATGCCCACAATTTTCAAACTGCATAGGATAGATTTTTTTTTTTATTTCTCTCATGATGGTTACAATCACCCCATCATTTTCATCATCATTTGGCTTGACGTTGAGTTCTGGTACACGCTGTACATTCAAACTAATGCATCTAAAAGTTGTAATTGTTTGTATCTATAATAAGTTTTCTATTGTTATATTACGGAGGGAATTTTATTATATTTTATTTAATATTAAATTTAATATTTTATTTATTTATTTATTTATTAACAATAGTGTTTGTTGTATTTACATTATTTTCACCGGTACCTTTCCTGCACTGGATTACCCAAATTAAATTATTTTCTCTCCAACTACACTGGGTTGGCTGGAAGAGATCTCTTTCAGAGATAAGCCCTCCCTTGCTAACAAGCTGTTAAACTAATCGTCGCATATATTGTTTAAGTGCAATAAAGAATATATAAGGAACAATAAATAATATCTATGTATCTAAAAGTATCTCACCCAGCATCAATTTCGGAGAAGAACCACTCTGTGACCACAGCGTCGTACTGTGTCTTGACCACTGCTTCCCTCACGGCCGGCGTGTTGGCTGTCATCGTCGTTATGTTCCTCGCGAACTCCTTAGCAACGTTGACGCCCTGGTTGATGTTGTTCAGATTGGTCATGTCCAATGCTGGAATGGGATCGGTGTCATAGACAAACATTATATAGATAGAATGTGTTGCCATAAACAAGAAAACTTTTTATCTATGTGCGCGTGAAACTCTGTTATGTACATGGTACTGTTCATGTCTATAGGCGACGGTTACCACTTTCCATCAGGTGGGCCGTCAGTTCGTTTGCCATTCTAAGTTGTATAAAAAATCCATATCGCTGTGTATGCACAGAAAAATGTTACGGCGCATATAAGAGTAGAGGAAGTGTTAAAAATAAAAAAAATAAAAAATATTACGTACTACTTGAACGCCCCCTATTATAATGTTGATTTGCTTATAACCTTATACGTACCGAAGACACTACGCCGGCATACACAGACCATTAGTGTATGCCGGCTGAAGAACCCAGCGACCCGGAGGTCGTCGCCTCCGGAGTTGAAGCCGGGGTAGAGGGGTATACCCCGAGGCCCCTACCTCGCCCGCCCATGCAACATCTGGCGGGCACGAGAAGCCCTTATTGATTGATTGATATACGTACCGTCGGCGATTACTTTCGTGCCCACCGGAACTAGCTTCAAGTTTTTATTTTTATTATCATACGGATACGGTGTGACCCATGTTACCTGAAAAATTAAACATAAAAAATCAAACTTTAAATCCTTATTTTTTTTATTCTTATTTTTATTGTGGCAACTCTTCGACTCTTTATTTATATCTTCTTTTTTTCTTTTTTTTCTCTCTGGCAACACTGCCGATAACAGTCTTTGTCAGTTGGCTCTTATTTATTTATTGTTTTTAATTTATTACTTGTGAAATAACGATACTAGTGTATATAATCAGTGAGTTTTGGTCATAAGTAACGTCGATTGTTGTTGGTGTGTAAATCTGTGATTTCTTTGTGACAAAAATCTACGTTACAAAATTTGTGGGACCGCCAACTGTCAAAGTATTGGTAATTTACAATTGAAGTCTTGGATTTCTATTGACTCCTTTAATAATTAAATACAGTTATTACACTTCACTATTACTATATCCATTTACAAATAAACAATAATATTAAAGTCAAATATTCGATAGTGAAGATCGGTTGTTGTTGTTGAGATATATAAAAAAAAAAAAAAAAAAAACTACCCACTAACATAAAATATTATTGCAATAATTACAGCTCATAAAATTTATTTATTATCATATTGATAATATATTCCAAATAGCTGTACGAAACTAAACTTATGTATTTTATTAAATAACAATACAATATTAGTAATCCATAGCCATTGCTAGATATCATATGACAAATTAAGACATATTTACTGTAGTGGTAATATATAAGATTAATTATTTTTTTTGTAACAGTATTGGTATTTAAAGTTTTTACTAACAATATTTATTTATTTATTATTAAATTATTTATTGTATTATTTTATTGAAGGGAAATAGCGCACTTTCAACACTGTATTTCTTCTATTGAATAATATTCATTGTTGTCTTGTTTCGTAGATATTTAACATAATAATTAAAAATGATGTCCCGCAGAGCATGTGATCTTGATGCTAAGCTCAAGGTGACACTCTTAGAGTTAAAAAAATCCAATGAATTAAATAAGGCCTTATTACAGGAACGAGATGAAAGTGAGATTGAAATTAAGTTGATGTCTGATAAATATGTGGCTCTGAAGAATGACCTAGTGAAGATCAGTACAGACTTTGAAGTTCTACATATCGAAAAAGAAAAACTTCAAGAAATTGTAAATAAATATGATCTGTGCAGAGACACATATGAGTCAGCATTGCAGAAAATCACTCATCTAGAGCGGCACCTTGAGGAAGTTCAATCACAAAATAAATCTTTGTTGGATCACAGGCGGTTGAGTAGTTATAACGAGACCATGGATCTGTATACAGAAATGTTAAATACTACTAGTGATCAAACATCTGCTCTGCCCCTTGTGACCATAGATTTGACAAATACACCAAGCTCCTATAGTCCTAATAAAGTACCTATTAATAGTAGTAAGAAGTTAAAAAAATATGTAAAATTAAATAAATTTATTCGAAAATCAGAAAATTTAGTGAAAAGTCATAAAAAGTGTTTAAAATCAATTATTACTAGGAAGCAAAAAATTGACTTATCAATAGAATTAAATAATTGTAAAGAAAAAATATATAACAAAGATTTAGAAATAGATGAATTATCACAAAAAATTAAACTATTAGAGAACTCGTTGTCCAATTTATCTTTGAAATACGAATCAGCTAAGAATGAAATACATGAATATTCTGATCAGTTGGATAATTTAATAAAATTAGGTAACTACAACATGGAGCGGTTTGTTTCTCTTACGGATAGATGTCACTGTAATTCACCAGAGTCTGATAACTATATCCAACCGTCCCACCATAATCAGTTGAACATTGATATCTCATCCGTCACGGGGCCAGACGTTTCATGTTTACCCACACGAAACAGTACAAAAGTAAATAAATGCAGCACTGTACATGAAACCATCAGGAGAACAATTGTTTATTCAGATGAATTTGGCAAGGATTTAGGTAGTTTATTATCGAACTGCCTCTCGCAACAAGTAATAAATAATTGTTTTCCGGGATCAGGTATATATAAGATTATAAAAAATATAGTAAATGAAAAATATAATATTCACACGACCCTAGTAATAGCGTTAGGGAATTGTTTGCATATGCGTAAATCTGATATAGTTAATTTAATAAAATCATTATATAATATAGTGGAGCTTGGTATAGGTAAAATATTATTATGCGCATTTCCCTACTCTCAATCCCTGACTAATGAACAGAATAAGTTCATTTATAGTATAAATAATTTAATTTATTCGATGACATATCATTGTAATGATATATTTTATTTTGAAAGTAACAAATTTGTTACAAATTATTATATGACGGGAGGTAATTTTTATCTTCCTAAAAAACAAAAAAAGATTATTGCTAGTTTACTAGCGTATAACATTTATGATCCCATTATAAGTAGTATAACGGGTTTAATTAGTAATATTAGTAATTATACTAATAATGTGACATGTGTTAATTTAAACTAACATCTACGACATTGGTTAAGCCACAGGATATGGTCATTATTCATCAAAATATTCGTGGCTTCTCCAGCAAAGAATTAGAATTAAGTCTTTTCTTAGAATCTAACAATGTACGGGTGTTATGTCTGACAGAACATTGGCTTAAACAATATGAAATAATTTGTCCTTTTGAACATTATAATATAGCTAGTTTTTTTGCTAGGAACAATGCCATTCATGGCGGGTCAATTATTATTTTAAAAAATGATGTAGAATATAAAAACCGTCAAGACATTGTAAATATTTCTATTGAGCAAACAATTGAACTATCTTGCGTAGAATTAGTTACTTGTATAATAATTTGCGTTTATCGTCCGCCATCGGCTTGTTTTGATTCTTTTGAACTGGCTATGGAGGAAGCATTGAGACGAGTCGCACGGAGGAATAAAACATTATTTGTATGTGGCGATTTTAATGTTGATTTATTATCGGAATGCTCAATAAGCTTAAGATTGATTAACTTATTTAAATCATTTAATTTGCACAATCTTTTTTTAGAACCCACTAGGGTCGCAGGAAATTCTGCCACTTGTATAGATAATGTTTTTTGTAATTGTGAAGTAAAGGTGAAAATGAATTTCGACTGTTTTGGATCTGATCATTACGGACAAAAAGTTATAATTGAAACTAAGGGATCCAAAGGGACTCAAACAATTACATGCAGACAAATAACACAAAAGAATTTGGCACGTTTTAAAAATAAAATTGAACATAAAATATCTAGTGTCATAGTACCTCAATATGACCCGGACATTGTATGTGAACATATTTTTAATTTAATTGAACATGAAGCTAGCAGTGAATTTAAAACAAAAACATTTTCAACTAGTGTAAAATCAAAGTTTTGTGACTGGGCCACGTTTGGTATTTATAAGTCTAGGGCTAATCTTTACGAACTTTACGAAAAACGAAGCTATATATCCGATCCCTTATTTCATGAACATGTAAAATCTTATTCGAAAATATTTAAAAAGGTTTGTCATACAGCTAAGTCTCTCTATTTAGGTAAAATAATAACTAAATCTAAAGATAAAATAAAAGCCACTTGGAAAGTAATAAATAGCGAAACTGGAAAAGTTAATTTTCAAAATAGCAAAATAGCTTTAAATATTAATAACAAATTGGTAAATTCCGACACAGAGGTCGCGCATACATTCGAATCTTATTTTACTAATATTCCATTAATTACGACACAGGCTCTAAAATCTTCCCCGTCTGCTGCTGAAACTTTACTAACAGACAATGTTAGCAAGTCATCAGCTGTATTTAACTTTAGACATACATCATCAGTAGAAATAATGAAAATATTCAAACAACTTAATAATAAAAAAACAGAGGATCTATGGGGTATATCTGTTAAAATACTGGATAGTATAATGGAAATTATTGCGCCCTCTCTTGCTTTTATTTTCAATAAATGTATAGATGAAGGTAAATTTCCTAACATAATGAAAATTAGTAAAATCATACCGCTTTTTAAATCTGGAGATAGGAGTGACCCAATAAATTATAGACCTATATCCATACTCCCAGCACTCAGTAAAATTTTTGAAAAAATAATCCTTATGCAACTTGTCAGTTATTTCAATTTAAATAATCCACAATAGTCAATTCGGTTTTTCCAAAGGTCGTTCAACTACAGACGCAGGTGCAGAGTTGCTTAGACACGTATTTGCTGCATGGGAAACTAAAATGGATGTGATAGGTGTTTTTTGTGACCTTTCTAAGGCTTTTGATTGCGTTGATCATAATACATTGCTAAAAAAACTTGCTTTTTATGGCGTCAAAGACAATGCTTTAAATTTAATAAAATCTTATCTATCTGATAGAATACAGAAAGTGAAGATTAGCAACGCTACGTCTGACGGGTCACTTGTGCAAATGGGTGTACCTCAAGGATCTATTCTCGGTCCATTTTTATTCCTAGTTTACATTAATGATCTCCCATATGCCATGCAGGATAGATGCGGCATAGTATTGTTTGCAGACGATACTTCATTGATTTTTAAAGTTAATAGAATGATTAATAATTATGACGATGTAAATAGTGCTTTGCGGCGTCTCCTGCACTGGTTTACAACTAACAATCTTATGTTAAACGCTAAAAAAACAAAATGTGTTAATTTCTCTCTATCTAAAAGTTTTAATACTAATTGCAATATTAAATTAAATGACGAATCTCTCGAATTTATAGAATCTACTGTCTTTCTAGGAATCACACTAGATAATAAAACACAATGGGGTGCACAAATTCAAAGCCTTGCAGCGAAACTAAGTTCAGCAGCTTTTGCCGTGCGTAAAGTTAGACAGTACACTGATACTGATACTGCTAGATTAGTCTATTTTAGTTATTTTCATAGTTTACTCTCTTATGGAATATTACTATGGGGAAAAGCGGCAGATATTAAGAATATATTCATATTACAAAAACGTGCCGTTCGAGCGATCTACTGTATGAAGAGTCGTGACTCATTAAGAGAGAAATTCAAAGAGGCAAATATTCTCACCGTTGCTTCTCAATTTATATATTCAAATATTCTATATGTTCATAAAAATCTTGACTTATTCCCAAAAAACAGCAATATTCATAATATTAATACTAGATTTAAAGACAAACTTGCTGTCCCCAAGTATCGTTTAGAAAAAGTTAATAGGTCTTTTATGGGAATAGGTATAAAAATTTACAATAAGATACCAAAGGATATGTTGGAATTACCCTTAAATAAATTCAAAACATCTGTTAAATCATATTTACTGAGCAAAGCCTATTACTCACTAAACGATTACTTGAATGACGAGTGTGCATGGCAATAGTTGTTCATGCACTGAATTTTCATTTAATGTTAGACATAGACACCTATATAAATATACATTGTAAATAAACTGGCTTTAAAAAAAAAGTAATTCAATTGAGTTTCTTGCCAGTTCTTCTCAATTGGATCTATATACCGAACTGTAGTGCTATTCTCTAAGCAAACAGCCTAGACATCAGCCTTGACGCAGCGATGAAATATTGAAATGGTATTCACTAATTCTTAAGACGCGACACTAGCGCCCAAAGACGAGCTCAAAGACGAGCGGCATAAACGGGAACTACTCAAGGCTGTGCGATTTGACATTTTGCCATAGTATTTGGTATTCACTAACAAAAATCAGCCTCGCCTTCGCCGACAGCCTAGCCTACAGCCTCGATTTCTTATGTCAAACTCAAAAGCTTTGTTTTCTACGCTGTTTGCATAGTATTCATCTAATATATTTATTTGTTTCTTGAATTCTGTGATTATTAATTGTATTGAAATTGTCAATTTGTGTTTAAAAACGATTGCTGCCCGTTTATGTGTAATGACCCATTTGTTGAAAGAAGCTAAAATAGAAAATGATTGTAAGAAATGCCGACAATCAACAACTTTATGTGATGTGGATTATATTCATCATTACCGACTTTCTGAAGAATTAATCAATATGTTAGAAAAAGAATTGTCACCATGTATGCCTGTTCCAGAGAGTTGTTAAAGCTAAAGGTTTGTAACTTAAATTTTATTAATTGATGGTATTAGGTACATAAATAAATTTAAAGCAGGAAAAAGAATACTTTGCAATGATTGTGTGCACTTGTTTATTTTATTGAGACAAGCTTAATTGTGTCAGCAGATGTTTGTGTAGGGAACAACTAGCTAGTTAATAATGGTGTGTAACAAGTATTCTAGTATGCATAATAATACTTCTGGTGTTACAAATATTCATGGATCATGGTAACCGTTTCCTATTAGGTGATCCATAAGCTTAGTGGCCTCTGGTTTTGTATAAAAATAACTATGTCTAATATGTTAGAAAGAAACCAACTTAGTTAAACATGTAGTAAATTATTAATTCATGTCAATTAATTTTTGTTAAATTAGACCACTAAATTTAGCATTCAGGTTGAAACTATTATAAAAAATTGTTTCAAAATCATAGTTTTAAAAAACATGACACACATAAATTCAGGATTGGCTATGTGGCTAATTAAAAATAATTAACATTACTTGTTTTTTTTCAGGTGATTTTGAAACTCATTTAGTAGCATGACACAAACCCTTGGACAGCCACAATAATAGTAGTGTATTGCTGTATTGTTTGTGATATGCTGATAATATGATGCAGTTACATCATCTATACAAAATGAAGAAGCACAAAAGAAAATTTTGTAGTCAAAATAAGCTAGCTATACTTTTTGTACTTATATCTTAAAACTATTTTCAAATACTTTTTTATTGTTACATTTTTGTCTACCTGTGAATTAAAATTAATATTATATTATGTTGTAAATGTATATTTTAATTTAAAATTATTATAATTAATTCATATTATAACTAGTATGGAGTAAGAAATTAAAAAAAATATTCATTAAAAATTATTTATTTGAAATTGAAACAAGTTTATAATTATAAAATTTTATTGTAATTGTGTTTTTATTTGAAAATTATATAAGATGAAACTTATATTTCAAAATTACTAATGACTATTAAATGACATAATTTAATCTTATATTTTCAATAATGAACTTGATTAAACTAATAATTTCAATAACTCTTGTTATGTTTGGCAGTGTATATTTTTAGAAATGTATTATTGTAAAATCTATTAGTATTTTAAAAACCAAAATTGAGGTTTCTTCCCTTCTTCACAATGGATGGTAGAATCATAAAGAATTACCATTTATAATATTTTAAATTTAATTGAATAAAAATTATTTGACATTTTTTAATTTTTTTTTTAATTAAATCGTACAATGGCTGACTTTAATTTAGTCATATCTCATTCATTAGCTATAAGATATGAACTAGTGTTGTCTGATTCTCTATCAAAATTTGTTCTGTCTCTACTCGGTGCTCTTCAGTGGCAACAAATCTTTGTGAGACTACTCTCTTTCTAGTTGAGGCTGCTATTGTGAAGGAGATAAGTGTCATCGGGATACTGTCAGTCAAATGACGGCGTGGACCTAAAAATAACAATAAGACCAATTAGACACATAATTCTAAAATTATAAATTAGTTATTTATTTAAGATACTCCACAAAAATATAAATAATCCTTTTTTCTGTTCGTGTATGTCCTGTCACAAGCCATGTCTGATTCTTTATATATTCCATCAGCATCTCCGACTACTTTGCGAAGGGACCTCATTTCATGGCATGTTACGAGATATGCATTTATTTTAGTTACTAAAAATATAACCTTAAAAACAATACAAGTAAATAAAAAGCACATTTTACTTACGTATTTGATAGATACATCCAAACTTATAAAACGTTGGTAAAGTTACGTTAATTTTATTAATTATTTTTAAAAGAGAATAAACAAATACAAAAAGTGCGCCTCTGGAATGTTAAGTACAAGGAATATAATACTCTCTACGTACCTACGTATAAGTGTTATTTGTTTATTTTACGGCAATGGAAGCAAGGGTATTCAAACAAATCTTAACTTTAAAAAACAAAATCAAATGTTTGATGTATAAATTTATGTTTATTTTATATAATATTTATTTAAATAACATTCTAAACTGAATAAAACATTCCATTTGTCAATAAAATATTATATTTCTACAGTTATCGGTTTCATTTTACGGTTTTTGTTGCAAGCCCTATCTCGTCCGTGCGCACAGCCTCGAGTTATCACAGCCTACAGTTCGTCGATGAGGTTTGACACGTTAGTGAATACCAATTACCGCAGCGCTGTAGCCACGGTCGTTCGCAAGGCTGATCAGCCTAGAGCTCGTCGGCGGGCGCAGCGTTGCGGTAGATTTTTAGTGAATAGCATTGCTGGACGGTAGGGAAAATATAAAATTATAATGTAAAAATTTGACGTTCATAAGCGGCTAAAATGTCCTACATGAATAAATGATTTTTGAATTTGAATTTGAATTTGAATTTGAATATATTTTTTTGATGGGTAAAAATGGTATGGTAACCCCGCCTGCGCTAACGGGATACGCTGGCGGAGCACTAGTGAAGGGTGATCGTTGAGAATGAAAACAGGCCAGTTAGCCCATGATGATGAATTCATCAGGAATTAACCATGATAGTTGGGGGGAAGGGATTGTTAGTAATGGGGATTAGCAACCCCATTGCTAGTAATAAACCCTATCAGGTCGACCTCCTCGCGGTTCCCCCTGGAAACCATCGTGATTGGTTTATTGTTGAATTTGTTACGATTAGCTAACTGACCTGCTTCACCCTCATCTATCATCCCTCACTGGTGTCCCGCCAGCGTATACCAATAGCGCAGACGGGGCTACCATTTCATTATCATCCATTAAAAAAAAAAAACCATGATAGTTTCCAGGGAGAACCACGAGGAGGTCGACCTGGTTGGGTACATTGCTAGCAATGGAATTTTTAGTCTCCATTACTAACAATCCCTTTCCCCCCACTCTTTATCTATTAGAGGATATCATGGAGGCGGAGTAGCAGTGAGGGGTGATAAGTGAGGCAAGTCAGTTGGCCCATTGTGACGAGTTCAAAAGGAAACCATAATGGTATACAGGACAACGTGGAGGTGGACTTGATAAAGTATATTGCTGGCAATGAAGCCACTAGACGACCCCTAGATAATTCTCTCAATTTAATTCTATGCTATAATATATTTAAATGACAGTATTCCTCTAAGTTCTATTTTTTTTTATTCAGCCCAAGTCTAAAATCGAAAGTGTCAGTGTTCTGAGCAGAGGTACAAAGACTCTACATTAAAAAAAATATAGCTTTATCTAGTATAATGATATACTTGCTCTGTGCACTTTACTACACTTTTTCCAAATTTAAATGTTATATTCTAATTTTAATTTTTTTGCGGCTTGGGCCGCGGAACTTTCTGTAATGTTAAACAAAGTTGATAGGTTATTTTTTCACTCACTTGATGACCAGCCTTCAGTAAAGAGTCCACGATTCCCTTTGCCAGGTGATTGTGACTGCGAGAGGGTACCGGAAACACGCCCAATATGTGGTAGGCAGAGACCTTGGCTGCTGCCATGCACAGCAGCAGCATCCACACCACAGACTTCATACTGGCTGGAAAGAATAATTACAAGTTTATTTAAGATTTATGTTATAAAAAAAAATAGTGATAAAATTAATTGGAACTAAACCTTATCAATTATAAAAAAGAATTGTCACAACTACGCACACAGGCGTATGCATGCTCGCGCACATTTTCGCGTGTACGCTTGTTCGCACGCACGCACGCACGCACGCACCACGCACGCACGCACGTGCACACTTTGCACAATATTATATTGCAACCTCCAATAATACAAAACGCGATCTTCCTAGAAGTTCAAAGTGCAGATAAAGGACTATGAATCGAGGACTAGTAGTGTAGACTTATTGCTAGTAATATGATCTGACAGAATGAACTTTAGCCAGTCCCCCCCGACCCCCTAAAAACCATCGTGATTAAAACCTGGTACATTCATCACGATAGAACAATTGACCTGTTAAATTAATTAAAAAAAAAATAGTACTATTATTATTAATTAAAAAAAAAAGTAAAAGACTTTTTTAAATCGGTCCAGCAGATTATGAGCTTGTTCATAATTTTCATAATTTTATTTCATTTATGATTCTAAACTTATCAATCGCGACCTTGGTGCGGCGTACTCAAGAAGTCGCGTTGTTTGCACACGTATCTAATGTTACATGGAACATAATAACAGATTTGTTGATTATTCTAACGTAATGGTATCATAAATACTATAGTCCAGAGCTGTCCAAGCTATGGCCCGCGGGCCACATGCGGCCCGCAGCTTGAATGACGCGACCCGCCGAATCTTTCCTAGTTACTATCCTAAGAACAAGGAAATACATAGAAGGAATGATAAAATAGAAACTATGAATCATATGGTTGCCTCCTTTCTTCTTATGCAAATATAATTAGTAAAAAGAGGACGAAGGATCATCAGTTTCTATTTTTTTCAATTCATAGCAGGCTAGTGTATAGAAAATGTTTGATATGTCAATTATTTGTCAATGACAAGTTTTAAATTACTAGATTATATATACGACACAGTTTATGTAGAAAGTATGCAAACAGGTTTTGTCTGCATTTGGTAGGGTTATACGGCCGTATAACATTTTCTATACACTAGCCTGCTATGAATTGTCAATTTTATCACTTCTTCTCTGTAATTCCTTGTTCTTAGTTACTACCAATATTGATTACCATAGGGAGACTTTGTACAAAAGTCGATTGCTTGGGTACCTCTGTCCCATTCGTGTTTCTACCGTGAAACAGCTGTGTTTGCATGGCCGTGTTTCGGTTTGAAGGGTGGGATATGGCGTGAATTTACTGGGTACAGAGGAATAACACCTGAGTCCTCAGGAATGGCAACGCATGGGGGGTATCATGAGCGAAACAGTATACTCTGTTATGTCCATGGTACTGCTCATGTCTATAGGCGACGGTTACCACTTTCAATCAGGTGGGCCGTCAGCTTTGTTATGGGGCAGGGTTTTAACACAGTTGGTGTTTTTGAAATGACTAGACTCGTAGAGTATCTGAATTGAACTGTATTTATTATTACAAATCGTCCATATATATAGTAGAGATATCTTAATTACTATTTACAATTACAATAGTCAAATACTTCCATCGAAAGAGTGACAACAAATACAGATAATAACTTACTAATGGAAATTTGTATGAGATAAACAAATATACAAATATGAATATTAAACAATATAATGATTTCGATATCAAATGGACAAATACAAATATACAAATAGGAATGTCAAATATTATAATGATTAGGTCGTAGGCTGACACATGGTCTTAGGTCACGTACTCTTAATATATGTAACACCTCCCCCCTTAGAATAAAGATTGGGCTTGAGAGCTTGATCTTTGAACTCTCGGTGTTGAAGTTCTTGGATAATTTTCTTCATTTTCCTCTTCGTCTTCCGTTACGCAGGTACTTGTTGCTATAGTAGTCATCGGGACGGCAACTTGGATTCTCTGACGTCGTGATGTGTTTGAAAAACAGTTGTTAAATATTTGTATACAACTATTATCACGGCTTGGTCTTCGGTTACGCAGGAGTAATCCATTAGGACAACGTTTGCTAATTTTATAAATGAAGTATCCTAGCATTGTTATGAATAACACGAAGTATATCCATGTAAACGTTGACGAATATCTTTGTAAGATTGGTCGAGATCTCATATTTTCTAAGCTTTCCTTAAATTTATCGACATGATGTTTTATTTGTTTCAGTGAATCCAAAGGCATTTCATTAATTTTAATAGGAATTAACTTTGGAGCTTCAAAGTTCTTGTATTCTTCAAAGCAATCGTCTGTTCTAATGTCTGGAACTATTACAGGATATGTTACATTTTCTTCAATAGATTGAAAGGCTGTTAGCGTACTATACCCAGTATAAAGTTTGCAGTTTTCCGGTAAGGATAAAATGCCTGCTCCTTGTAATTTATGATGTGTAACTTCCGTTTTACATTGAAGTATACAATTAGTGTCTTCTGTAAGTATGTAAAGCCATTGGTTGTTGTCAATGTTTTGAAAAGTGTTAATTCTTGCTTCAAATGTGGATGTGGTACAAATTTCAGGTAAAGTCTTTGAAATGCTTAACAGGATCTGGAGCTCACATAATGGACGTGATGCTGCTTCATATGCGACAAAAGAGGTGCAGATCTTCTTCTTTATAGCGTAGGACTTGCATGAAGTGAGGTCGCTCGTAGATACGTATATATTACCGCTAGGATTTGTAGCCAAATGCATGTGCTCAGGTAGGATGGTTGTATGCAGAGAGGAATTAAAATGTTGGATTGGAATGGAATATATGTGATAGAGATTGAGAGGTTCGCCTTGAATTAATGGAAAATCTAATATGTATACAAGCCTATCAGAATATACATAAGCAGAAAGAGAAGATAAGTTTAATATTTGATTTTACGAACAATATGCTTGCTAAACAATCATTAATTTCATTTTCTAGATTTATTACGGATTCTACTATCTGCAAAGAAATTACGGAAATGTCTACACTAGCCTAATCTAAAGATTTAAAATAAAGAACCTTTTAACTTGAATGTAAGTCATCGTTGAGACTGAATATTTTCATTAATTATTCGATCATCATAAGTTATCTTAAATATACTTTCATTGAAGTTTTTAGTTGTTGAAGAAATAATTAAGATTTGTTCGAGCATCAAGAAAGAAGATTCTATTACAAGTTTTTTTCTAATTTATTAAGGTAATATCGAATTGAACAAACATAAGAACTATTATTTATAAATTTATGTTTTAATTATGTTTTATTTTTTATTAGAAATAAAGACGATTTTAGGACGATTCGTAAGCTAACGAATATAACAAAAATGATATTTTGTATAATGATTAAAATTGATTGATTATTGAAGAATTATTGATTTAATTGATTATTGAAGAATTATTGATTTAATTGATTATTGAAGAATTATTGCTTTAATTGATTATTGAAGAATTATTGATTTAATTGATTATTGAAGAATTATTGATTTAATTGATTATTGAAGAATTATTGATTTAATTGATTATAGAAGAATTATTGATTTAATTGATTATTGAAGAATTATTGATTTAATTGATTATTGAAGAATTATTGATTTAATTGATTATTGAAGAATTATTGATTAAATTGATTATAGAAGAATTATTGATTTAATTGATTATAGAAGAATTATTGATTTAATTGATTATTGAAGAATTATTTATTAAATTGATTATAGAAGAATTATTGATTTAATTGATTATAGAAGAATTGTTGATTTAATTGATTATTGAAGAATTATTGATTTAATTGATTATAGAAGAATTATTGATTTCATTGCTTATAGAATAATTATTGATTTAATTGATTATTGAGGAATTATTGATTTAATTGATTTTGAATATTGCTTATAATAAATTAATACTATAAGTTGTTTGATGTGGAAACAACTTAACATGTTAGAGCTATTCTTTGTACAAGCCGGCGTCTATACGGCTCATTGTTTGTTAGTCGCCTTATACGACACGTCAAATCTGAACGTCAGTGCTATTCTTTGGTAAAGCCGACTACTACACGGCTGATTGTTTGTTAGTCGCCTTATACGACACGTCAAATCTGAACGTCAGTGTTATTCTTTGGTAAAGCCGACTACTACACGGCTACTTGTTTGTTAGTCGCCTTATACGACACGTCAAATCTGAACGTCAGTGCTATTCTTTGGTAAAGCCGACTACTACACGGCTAATTGTTTGTTAGTCGCCTTATACGACACGTCAAATCTGAACGTCAGTGTTATTCTTTGGTAAAGCCGACTACTACACGGCTACTTGTTTGTTAGTCGCCTTCTACGACACGTCAAATCTGAACGTTGGTGCTATTCTTTGGTAAAGCCGGCTTCCACACGGCTACTTATTTATTTAATTAACGAGTTTATTTATTTCATAAGGTCTTAATCTATTTGCGTGAACTAACTGATGTCTCCCGGATTTACGAATAACATAATTTTCATTAAAGCCTACACGTATCACATCGAATGGCCCTTCCCACTTATTATCTAAATTATTTGGGTTAGGGACCTTGATCATCACCTTGTCACCTACATTAAATTTAGCAATATTTTTAATTTTCCCGTCGTAACGTTCCTTGGCTTTTTCTTTCATTTTCTGAACGTTCTGCGTTGCGACATCGCGGGCTATTCTAAGTCGTTCGTTTAAATCTTTAATATAATCGAATGCAGTATAATCGGGTATTGTTTTTAATGAATAAAAAGGTCTTGGTTTAAAACCAAATAGAAGTTCGTAGGGTGTGAAACCTGTAGAGCTATTAACTGAGGTGTTATGACATATAATAGCCAGTGGAATAATTTGATCCCAATTTTTCAATTTACGTGCCTGGTACATTCGTATGTGATCTCGAAGTGTGGCATGAAACCTTTCTAATGCACCATTAGTTTGAGGGTGGTAAGCTGTATTAAAAGTTTGACTTGTACCGAGAAGTCTTATTAATTGCTTCATTAGTCCATTCATGAATTCAGTACCTTGGTCAGAATGGAAACGTCTAGGTACACCGAAATGTTGACAGAAGTGAAAGAGTTGCTTAGCAACTGTTAGAGCTTCTTTATCAGAAATTGGATAAGCTTGGACGTACCTAGTTAGTTCATCTTGTAGTGTCAATATGTATTTGTTATTATTGTCGCTAATGTCAGAATATGATACTAAGTCTATAGAAACACGTTCAAAAGGTTCATTAGATTGGGATGTTAATACCATTGGAGCTTTAAAAGTTTTTCTTTGAATCTTATTGCGCTGACATATTTCACAAGAGTTTATGTAATTTTTGATGTCTTCGGCCATGTTTTTCCAGAAGTAATGTTCTCGAATTTTCCTAGTGGTTTCAATTATACCTCGATGTCCTGAGAGCGGTTCATCATGGTATGTTTTTAGAATGCTGGGAATTTCCTGAGGCGAAGGATGAGTAATTTTATTCTCGCAAATGATTATATTGCAATTATATATTTCTGCCAAATAAGCTGAGATATGTAGCTGTTGGTTGCCCTGAAGCTTGCAAGTTTGATCATATTTCAGGTTCGGTATATACAAAGTTTCAATATTATGCTTATGTAAGCACGATAACAATGATTTAAAATAACTCTCCGCGTCCCATGGATCATAATATGATGTTCTAGCATAACAAAGGAAAATGTTTTGTTGATATTCAGAAGTTATTTTATCTATGTCGTAGACTTGTTTTTCTGTTTCAGGTTGATTGCTTTGGGAAGCACATAGATCTAAAGCTTCGTTGTATAAGTTATTAAGATCTGATTTCTGACACGACACAGGGATGAAGATATTTTTATGATTAGACTCTAAAAGATTTTCAGGTGAAGTTTTAAGCTTGTGTGAATTAGCGCTACAACCTTGAGATAAGAATTGTTCATAGTTTGTTTTTAATAATGTTTCAAATTGTTTGTCAGGATTGTCTGTACCCATATTTAATATAGGTGGTCGTGATAAAGCATCGGCGTTTGTATTATTTTTTCCGGCTTTGTAATTTATTTCATATTCATATTCTTCTAGTTTCAGTCTCCAACGAACGAGACGTGATCCCGGATCTTTAATGGAAAATAACCATGTGAGTGGTTTGTGATCAGTAAATATTTTAAATTTTCTACCGAATAAATATGGTCGAAAGTGTTTCACGGCCCATACTATTGCGAGAAGTTCGCGCTCTATAGTAGAGTAATTACTTTCAGCTTTATTTAACGTACGTGATGCGTAAGCAATAGGTAAATCTTTGCCAATTTCACCTTGCGAGAGAATCGCTCCGATAGCGTGGATTGAAGCATCCGTAGTTAATATAAACTCTTTAGTAAAATCGGGATATTGTAACAGAGGAGTCGTTGTGAGAATTTCCTTACAGGAGTCAAAAGCCTGCTGTTGTACACAACTCCATGTAAACGGAACATCCTTTCTTAATAAGCTTGTTAAAGGCTTAGTGAGCTTACTAAAGTTAGGTATGAACCTACGATAGTAGCCTGCGAGACCAAGAAATGATTTAATATCTTTACATGATTTAGGGACTGGAAACTCACGAACTGATTTTACTTTTTCGGGATTTGGCTTTACACCTTCACTCGATATAATATGACCCAGGTAAGCAACTTCTTTTCTCAAGAATTCGCATTTATCTGGTTGTATTTTCAGACCGTATTTTCGTAACCGATCGAATACTTCAGTTAATTTCTGTTTATGTTCTTGAAGGCTGGATGCAAACACTACGATATCATCAAGGTAAACAAAGCATCGTTCTCCTTGTAATCCGTAAAGTACACTATCCATGGCACGTTGGAATGTAGCTGGTGCATTTTTGAGTCCGAAAGGCATTCTTAAAAATTCGTAATGACCAAAAGGAGTGCTGAAGGCAGTTTTGGGAATATCCTTGGGGTCTAATTCAATTTGATGGAAACCGGATGCTAAATCTAAAGTTGTGAAATATACTGAATGTCCTAACTTATCTAGTATGTCAGTTATGTTAGGCAACGGGTAACTGTCTCCAATAGTGACGTCATTTAATTTTCTATAATCAATTACAACACGCCATTTTTGTTTTCCAGACGCGTCTAATTTTTTTGGAACTACCCAGATTGGACTGCTCCATGGAGAAGTACTATCTTTTATAATATTCTGTTGTAACATTTTGTCTATCTGATTTCTTACTTCTTGTTGGTGTACTTGAGGGAATCTATAAGTTTTAGTATTAATTGGTATATCTGACGTAGTAGGAATAGAATGTTTAGTGTGATTCGTGAACGTTAGTGGATCGCCTTCCACGTAGAAAATGTCCGAATATTCTGAAGTTATTTTTTCGAGAGATTCACGTTCTTCTTTATTTAAATGATCACACCTTATAAGGCTCCCGATATCTATTCTTTGTTTTATAGAGATGTTGTTAATTTGTGAATTGGGTAAGGAAACAGACTGTTGAATTAGTTCCGATTCGTTAACAGAATTTACATCTATAATAGGCGTTGAAATATATACGTCATTATCACTCGAGTTTACACAAGTAATGAGAAAGCTATTATTTTTGACATTAACAAGAGCATTAGGAATACAGATATCGTTACTAATGTTTTGCTTATTTATCATTGCAGTTCCGTCTGATATATCATTAGTTAAACATGATATAACTGTCTCCGAACGACGTTTGATAATTTGTTTACCATTATCAAAGTACTTTGGTTCATCTCCCAGAAGGAACAACTGATAAGTCCTGTCATGTATTCGCATCGTTTTTGATTGAATATAAATGTTGACATTGAATTTTGACATGAAATCATTACCGAGTATACCATCAGCGTGTATGTTTAAATTTGCGACATGGAATTTAAATTTTGGAAATTGATCTAATGAAATGTGGGATGTGCCACATGTTTGAAAAGGCGAATTTTCATTAGAGATACCAATAATAGAAACGACGTTTGATGTATCGATGGTATTTTTACCGATTTTATTTTTATTTATAACTGAAATGGCTGCTCCCGTGTCTACTAATAACGTAACTGGTTGGCCATCAATATGAAATTTACAGTGCAAAAGATTTTCAGGAGGTATATTTAATGTAGAGATATTGTAAGATTCATTAGGATAAGCTCTTTTCTTTATTTGATTCGATTTTAGTTTTATTTTTGATTTTTGTTTCGATTTACGAGATCTTTTTGATTTTTTAGTCTTTGTAGTTTGTTGATTGCGCATGGGATTTGAATTAGATTCTTTTAATATAGGTTTTAGACATTGATCTTTTTCAGAATTAGTGGAATTAGTGATACAATCTACAGAGTTAATAGGTTTCTTTGATTGATTTAGTAAGGTTTCTGTGACCTTTATAAGAGATTCAGTGATCTTTGTGAGATTAATGATTAATGATTCAGAGAGCTCTAAGTTTGACTTAGTAGCTATCGTGGTTTTATTATCACAAGTACACACATCGCTTAATTGTCCCCGATGGACTGGAATTGTTTGCGCTTGTGTAGTGATGTTTGTATTAGATAATGTAGTATGACACTGATTACTATTAAATTTTATTGAATTTGAAGATCGTTTATCTGAGGTTCTAGAGTAATATCCTGACCCTCGGTGATCATCGAAATATTTGGGCAATACGTGGGAACCGTTTCCGAAACTGTGCCCGTCAGATCGGCCGGTTGCAAGTTTAAATGATTTACTCGAGCTGGAGTCGGATTATTTCGCGGAAATTGGTTATTACGACTATTATTAAATATTCTCTTTCTACAATTAGTTATATGATGTCCGGGTTTTTTACAATAATTACATATAATAAATTTTCGCGGATTGGTATTAATAGTATGTTTATCTGGTGGTTTATGTATTTGAGGTTGATTGATCTGAGGTGGTTGACGAACGACATTGCTATATAGCGGTGTTGTTATTTGACTATTTTTAAACAAACTTTGCCTAGCCGTATTCATTTTTCGAATTTTTTCTTCTTGAATTGCAAAGTTTCCAGCATGAGTTAATGAATCAAAACCTTTTGTTCTTAACATTACACCTATGTCAGAACTCAATCCATTAATAAAAACGTTCAGAGCTGTTTCTTCCGTAGTAGTTTTTCGTCCTATTAATGTCGCATCTACCACTTCAGTTGTTAATTTTTCTAAAATTTTATTTCTACATAAATCTACGCGGTGGAAAAATTCCGTTACCGATTCATTTGGTTTCTGAAAGAGTGATTGTAGTTCGAGATTTAGATGTGAAAGAGTTTTTGTTTGCGAAAATTTTTGTATAAGGAACGTTTTTAAGTCGTCCCAGTTTGAGTATAGTTTCGCGTGGATATCAGAAGAAGTATTCCCACTTATTTTGTTTAAAGCGTAAATTAATAAAATTTCTTCCTGCTCTAGACTTGCTAATTTAAAAGCTGAATCGCACGATCTTATGAACTTATATACTTGACCCGATTGAGTTGTATCGAAATCCGGTATTAATTGTAATAAAGTATTTAGCGGAACATTTTGTTCGCAAAATTTAGGTTTTACGTCAATATTTTGTTGTGACATAATGAATGTTGAAATTAGAATAATTGAATTCGTAAAATTGATATAGTATAATAGAATATTAAAAATAGATAGAAAAATAGATTTTGAGTTTGAATAATAAAATTATTTTATGATTTAGGCGAAAAAGATTTATGAAAAGGAAACAGAGAAAGGAAACAGAGCAACATGTGTTGACCACTTACCCCAGTAACAGCAACAGGATACGCATTGCAGAGTATAGATTCGGCGAACTATTCAAAGCCCTTCAGGCACCGTCCTAGGATTGTTGGCGATGTTTGTCCGAGTCCCAGACGTTAAGTTCGACTTGCACTATTACGCGACGGATCCTACCGACTGCGCCAAAATTGTTATGGGGCAGGGTTTTAACACAGTTGGTGTTTTTGAAATGACTAGACTCGTAGAGTATCTGAATTGAACTGTATTTATTATTACAAATCGTCCATATATATAGTAGAGATATCTTAATTACTATTTACAATTACAATAGTCAAATACTTCCATCGAAAGAGTGACAACAAATACAGATAATAACTTACTAATGGAAATTTGTATGAGATAAACAAATATACAAATATGAATATTAAACAATATAATGATTTCGATATCAAATGGACAAATACAAATATACAAATAGGAATGTCAAATATTATAATGATTAGGTCGTAGGCTGACACATGGTCTTAGGTCACGTACTCTTAATATATGTAACAGCTTGTTTGCCATTCTAAGTTGTATAAAAAAAACCTATTTTATTTCTTTATTTTTCACAACTCCGTCAGTTCTAAATCGATTTGGAAAATTCTTTTTTAAATTTTGTCACATCTTTAGTTTTTTTTTTTAATGAATCAACGATATAGAATATGGTATGCGTTATACTGTATCTATGGATCTTATAACATGACTAGGCGCTTTAGTAAACCAACTATTAAAATAAATTTAATAGGTAATCAAATATAACCTTCGCACGGACGCGGTAATTGACGAGTAATTTGATGACATTTGAACCTTATTGCGTTGTAATAAAGTACAAGAGATCGTATAACTTTGTCATTATTCAACATCCGCGCTTGTGACCGTGGTCCTTATTAGTGGTTATGGGGGGGGGGGGGGGATAATAAAATGGTCCCCGCCCGCGCTATCGGTGTACACCGGCGGGGCACCAGTGAGGTTGAAGGAAGTTATAGGTGAGGATGAAGCAGGTCAGTTAGCCCATCGTGACGAATTCAACAAGAATTGTTCACGATGGTTTCCAGGGGGAACCACGCGGAGATCGACTTAATAGGGCAAATTGCTAACAATGGAGCTGTCAAACTCCATTGCTAACAATCCCTTTCCCCAATAGGGGGAAAGGGATTGTTAAGGGGGGGAGTTAAGGATTGTTCATGTTCACGTGGTCTCCCCTGGAAAGCATCATGTTGAGTATATTCATCACGATGGACTAATTGACCTGCCTTTTCATCCTCACCTATCATCACTCACTGGTGCCCCGTCAGCGTATACCGTTAACGCAGGCGGGGTTATCATTCCCATACCATTTTTATTATACTTAAATTAACAAAAGGAATTAGTGCATAGTATAAAAACTCTAATTCTTTTTTTCATGAGAAAACCAATCATTTTGATTAAAATTGATTTATAAAACATTTTTATTTAATTATTTAAACTGTAATGCACAGTAAAATTCTACGTACATTTGGTGAACATAACACCGGACGGTGTTCTCTACCAGTTACCAACTATTAGGCAAACCGAGAAATACGTAGGCGGTGCATTTTTGAATAGAGGAAACATAAAGCAATACTTGATAAATTCATATAATATAAACATACACATATATTAAATAAATAAATACATATAATAAACAAAACAAATACATAAATAAATACGAAAAATATTACTATATAAAACAATTAGATAAAACAACTGCAATAGAAGAGCAAACAGAGTAACCAACAGGAATAGCTTAAAGAGGAAGTGACTTAATATCTATCTATATACTGTTTCACCCATGATACCCCCCATGCGTTGCCATTCCTGAGGACTCAGGTGTTATTCCTCTGTACCCAGTAAATTCACACCATATCCCACCCTTCAAACCGAAACACAGCCATGCAAACACAACTGCTTCACGGTAGAAACCTAACCTACTTACGTAGTAAACCTAAACTATAATTACTGTACAAATAAAAAAAAAATACAAATCGGTTTCTTAATGACGAACTTCTAAAGTTGACAAACATAAAAGACACCCGAATTAAGACCTGTTCTTATTTTTGAAAGTGTTAAAAATATAACTGTTTAAGAATACGCTCATGATAATTCCTAATTAAAAAAAAAAAAAATTTCCCGCAACATCATCGTAAATTAAATTAATTTTGATGTAACTTGGCTATTTTAAAGCAAATATTCTAATTCGATCCTAACTTTATTTGCTAATTAATTCTACTATTTTAATTATAAACGTTTAATTACTCATGAGAAAAAAAAACATCTTTAAGTAGGTACTATTATTACTTGTAGTGAGTACTATTAAATACTCTGAATCGATTACATTCATAGCTTAGATTACATTAAAATAATATTCAAAATAATTAATACCATAAAAAAAATATTCTAAAATTTTAACATAATATTTAAATACCTACCTAAGGGTATCCACTGATCAAATTTACAGGTAGAAAGTTAAAAGCTTACCGAAGTATGGGTCAACGACTGTAATAATAACTAGTCACTTATTTTATATAATAAATAATTCATCACATCTAACCTTCAATTTAAACTAAAAAATGCCTTAAACAAAACGCGCAGTTAACACTAAAAACACATTGCACAATTTAATTTAAATAATTTGTGAACTTGTTGTAACAAAACGCAAAATAAAAAAAATATAATATATCACAGCAATCAAATTTTAAATTAAGAATTATTGTCGCATTCGAATTTCACGTCATGCCGCCAGATGAGGCGACCTTGACTGGCTGGATGCGTTGCGACTTGCGTTGATTGACTCGGCTCGACCCGTTCGCGACTCCGCGAGATACGCGCGGTACCTATAATATTTTATTGTTTACTAGCTTTTTCCCGCTACTTCGAACAACGTGGAATTCAGAAGAAGGAAAACAAATCAAGGTAAAATATACACTAATTTTAAGTCAAGCTTTCAGAAATATAACTGTGGAAATTGCATCCAGTTCGGTGTAGTATTTACGTGATGCCGGAACAAACATACCTACAAGGGGGGGGGGAATCAAAAGTATTGACTTAGTATCTATTGGTTTTATTAAGAGGTTACAATTTTATTATATTACTAGTATTCGTCCGCGACTTGGTCCGCATGGCCGGGACATATTTACTGATTGCGGTAAAAAGTAGCCGCCATCGCATATAATACAGATTGTGGTCACCCATCTTAGTTGGAACCACGGCCGGGGTTGCTTGACTTTCATTAGCGCTACCTCTAAGAAATCACTCGCTCCTCATTGTATTATATACTTAAATGATAATTACGTACCTAATACCTTCATAAAGTTTCAGCCAATTCAACTGATCGGTTATTTTATAGCATTTTATATGTGATTCCTTACATTGATATAACTTGTTTATTTATGAATCGATTGAAATAAAACAAACACTAAATGTTAAGTGGAGCAAATTACAACGTATTAGTGAAAACTGCATTCAAATCTCAAGTTTTGCGTTCTATTACGTTCATAAAGCCACCTTATAATAGATTTTCTTATATATCTTCTATGTACGGACAGCGACCAGTTACGATTTTGTTATATGTGTCGATTGATATTGATGATAGTACAAATTATATATATAATATAATAATATATAATCTAACTAATTTGGGGTTGCATACTCCAGTCTCGAGGTTAATCAACGCGTACAATTCCTGTAACGAGCCCCTCAATCTTGATACATTTCACGACCATCCCAACTCATTCAAGAGTAAAATTCTAAAAATTCTCTCGTAATACTACCATAATTTTTCCACAACCAATAATTTTAATTCTGTGCGCACTGTTCTAATAATTTTAATAATTGCATATTTTAAGTATTCACATGTTTGTTACCTGTATGTTCTTTTTTTTTTATTGTTTTTCCTGATGCCAGTTTTGGTAATATGTAATCGATGACTCAAGCAAACGTTGTGTACGTCTGTAATTGGTGTAAATGCAAGATGCAAGCCCTGTATATCAATTAAAATTAATGTCTGTATTTACACTGTTGATGTAGCTTTTAAAAATAAATAAACAAATAATCTATGGCACAGAGTAACCGCAATGGAATGCAATACTGGCCATGTATACGTTCACGCTCACTTTTTTACTTTATCCGAGCAGCAAGTACCTTGTATTATTCTTAATTAATTTCATTAATAATATAGTATATATCATATATATGTAAATATATTTGTTATTTATATATATTTATTCGTTTATATATGTAATTTTAGTATGTATGTATATCAATAATTACTAGTACCGCATTCGAGTATTCTGACACTTCCCTACGGTTGTCTGGGAGAGAATGCTTTTAGCATTAAGTCCGCCATGTACACATATATGTACTAATGAATAAATAAATAAGAAAATAAATAAATACACCTAAATTTACAATAAATTGACAAAAATAATCATAAAAACTAAAACCTCCTACAAATATATTTTAATTATAACACTGCTTCGTCACTTTCTTTCGAATTGGGAATTTAATACAAAAGAAAGAGACAAAACAGTTCAATAGCTAAAATAGGTTTATGAGAGATTTGACTTGTTGCGAATAAGGGGGTATTTAAAATAAATAAATAAATATTTAATTAACCGCGTGAAAGTCGATCTGATATATTTATATATATATTTTATACAACTTAGAACGGCAAACAAGCTGACGGACCACCTGATGGAAAGTGGTGACCGTCGCCTATAGACATGAGCAGTACCATGGACATAACAGAGTATACTGTTTCGCCCTCATGCGTTGCCATTCCTGAGGACTCAGGTGTTATTCCTCTGTACCCTGTAAATTCACGCCATATCCCACCTTTCAAATCGAAACACAGCCATGCAAACACAACTGCTTCACGGTAGAAACACGAATGGGACAGAAGTACCCAAGCAATCGACTTTTGTACAAAGTCTCCCTCTGGTAGTACATCTTTCTAGCAATAGAGTCAATAAATACAATTACTAACCCCCACTAATTGGGGGGAAAGGGATTGTTAGTAATGGAGACTGAGAATCCTATTGCTAGCAATATACCCAACCAAGTCGACCTCCTTGCGGTTCCCCCTGGAAACTATCATGGTTAATTCCTGATGAATTCATCATGATGGGCTAAATGGCCTGTTTTTCCACCATCAATATGTAGAGAAACCCAATACATAGATATCGGATCGGTATCCATATTATCCATGCTTACAAAACACTATTAAATAGTTATAATATAGTTAAAATAGGTTCATAGGATGTCTAGCAGTCTCTTTCATATTATGCACCGGGGATTCTCTTTGTTTATTGTGACTTTTTCCTGTTGCAAATTGTTATTGTACTTATTATATTATGACTAATACTGAACAAAATATTACATACATTTACATAAACAAATAAAATAGTATATTAAAAGTTGAATGTATATACACACACACGCACGCACGTACGCACGCACGCACGCACACGCACACGCACACGCACATGCACATGCACACGCACACGCACACGCACACGCACACATACACACACACGCACATGCACACATACACACACGCACGCACGCATGCACGCACGCACGCACGCACGCATGCACGCACGCACGCAAGCACTCATGCACGCACGCACGCACGCACGCATGCACGCACGCACGCATGCACGCACGCACGCACACGCAAGTAATGACGCACGCATACATACTAATATATATGCACATATAAATTTAATTAAAATTAGCAATAATACATTCTGTACGGTCCAAGTTATGTTTTTATAACTCTTCCGGTGTCTGTCTATGTACAATTTTTTTTATATAATATAATAAAACCTACCTCAGTTCAATTGTAAAGGACCATAGTGGGGAAAGGGATTGTCAGTAATGGAGACTGAGAATCCCATTGCTAGCAATATACCCAACCAGGTCGACCTCCTCGCGGTTCTCCCTGGAAACTATCGTGGTTAATTCCTGATTAATTCATCATGATGGGCCAACTGGCCTGTTTTCATTCTCATCTATCACCCTTCACTGGTGCCCCGCCAGCGTATACCGTTAGCGCAGGCGGGGTTACCATACCATAATCACCCATTGAAAAAAAAAACATTGTAAAGGACCAAAGCAATAAGAAAGTTTTGCGCAAAACAAGTTTTTTTTTTATTGTACTAAATAAGGCGTTATCCTGCGGAAGTCCATATCACTAGTAATTTAATTAGAATTATTTTGTTGTATGTATGTGTATGTGTGTGTGTTTTAGTGTGTGTGTGTGTGTCTGCCAGCACTTGACGATTGACTACTATTATTATTAGAAAATGGCCGTGTGGTCCCGGCATAGATCAGGCCACCCCTTTCTTTCCCGTGGGTGTCGTAAAAGTCGACTAAAGGATGGCGAGGGATGGGCAGCAGTGTCCCACTTAAAACATCTTTAAAGATACGACAAAATAATCTTCCAGAAAAGAGCATATTCCCTTTTAAAAGGCCGGCAGTACACATGCAATGCCGTTGGTGTTGTGGGTGATCATGGGCGGCGGTAGTAACTGACTACAGTCAGGTGAGCCGCATGCTCGTTTGCCCCCTGTGTTGTAAAAAAAATCTTTAAAGCCTGACTGTGGTTGCCAACCCGCCTGCCAAGCGTGGCAACTACTCGCAAAATTCCCCAAGGGGGAGGCTTATGTTCAGCAGTGGATAGTTGAAGGCTTATATGATGATGATGATGATGATGATGATGATTATCACCAAAAGCACCAAAATTTTCCAAATTAGCCAACAATCTCCGACTGCAATTTCGTTCTAGCACATTTTGCGACATGTGTTTTTTTAATGGGTGAAAACGGAATGGTAACCCCGCCTGCGCTAACGGTATACGCTGGCGGGACACCAGTGAGGGATGATAGATGAGAATGAAAAGGCAGCTCAGTTAGCCCATTGTGATGAAAACAACAAGACTTAAACACAATGGTTTCCAGAGGGAACCGCGTGGAGGTCGACCTGATAGGAATGGGGCCATTATACCCTATTGCTAACAATCCCTTTCCCTTGCGACATGTGTTTCATTTCACCTCTAAATCAGGCATCTTCAAATTATTAAATAAGTATAGTAATGGGGCTGCTAGATCCTATTACTAGGGGGGAAGGGATTGTTAGTAATGCGGTCTAGTAATCCCGGACTAGTAATCCATCCCAACAATGTATCCCACGAAGTCAACCTCCACGCGGTTCCCTCTGGAAACCATCATGTTTTATTCTTGTTGATTTTTCGTCCCGATTGGCTAACTAATCTGGGGGTCTACCATAAAACAAACTTCCTAATTTTCGGACTCAATTTCTTGTTTTCGTTAACCCTTAAATACCTGAAGTTTCAAATTTGATACCGGGGTTATAAATCGCATTGGGCGCTTACAATCGATTTTATTTTAATATTTAGCTGTTTACATGTTACTAAAAGTTTTTTTTTTTTTCAAAATAAATATATAAAAATATCGTTTTGATTTTTTTTTTACTATTTTTCTCCATTTGTAAACAGTAAAGGGTACACTTATATATTTTTTAATTTGATTTAAAAAATCAGGCTTTTAAGGGTTAATACAGAAATCGGCCTAGTAAATGGAGCTTAACATATTGTTCCATATAAACCCTACAATAAAGGTCCAAAGGAACAATATTTTAACATTTTAAATATTTATTACAAATACAAATGCCTCTATTATGGATCGTGGGTCAAATTAAGGTGTTACATCAGTTAAATGGTATCTCCATGTCCTGCTATATAAGCGTATATGAATATATGAAACAATTACATAAAGTACATGCATTATTTAACAATATATAAAACGT